CAATCCGCGAATGACTTTGATTCTAAACTACATATTGAATTATATTGGGCTAGACGTAATGCCGGAAATAATGTCAAAACTTTACCTGTAACAGTTAATAATACTATCCGTAAAAGAGCTACACGTGATAAACATAGTAACGAGAATGCTCGTATTCTCACTAGATCTCAGAAATTGCTTATATCTCAACAGCATTCTAAGTAATTGATGATACCTTTTCCCAAACTCTACTTTTTACCTTATAAAGGTTTTTTATAATATTATGGGTTTTTAACGGTGCAAATCATTACTACGATCCTTTCTTTTATTTTCTTATTTTTATTATTTTCTTTTTTATTGCATATGAAACAACTACCATTAAGAACTGCGAAACACGTACACTCTAAAATACTTTCAATCTGGTTGGGGGTAATGTTGTATGCGAGCTGTAAATACACCTTAGCTAAGGTAATACGCTTGTGCTACGACGATTGAAGTATTCTCACTGCTGTCATATTTATCATATGTCAGCTGGTAATTTCAGAGTTCACGTAACACCAAATGCCTATTCAAGTACGGGTTGTTTATTATATTCTCCTTACTGCTCCTTGCGGGTTTATTGACAGCTTGAACAATATTTGGATATAATCTACCCACGATGGCAGGGTCCCGCTTGTAGTTTTAGTTGTATTCATTATGTATAAAAGAAATCATTATTTTTATGTTCAATAAAATTTAGTTCCTTTTTGCAATCTGGTTAATACTTTGTCTTATTTTCTATTTTGGATTTTTGGATTTTTCAGTAACAGAGAGAGGAAACCAAGATAAGATCAATTCCTGTTCAGTATTGAAACTTGTTAAAATTGACAGCCTTGATTTCACTGTTGCTGCAATCGTTTCAAATCTGAAAGAAAATGAAAATGGCATATATTTTTTCTGGCCTGAAAAGAAAAGAGTGGATTTTGAAATAGGAGAATATGATTGCTTTCAAGATAACGACATAACGAATTTTTATTAATAAAATTAGCAGCAACTGGGAAGACACAACTTGTTTAAGGAGTTTGCCAAAAGGTAGCTTAAAAGCTACAGGGTTGCTGGTTAAGTTTTATGTGTGCAATAAATGGGTCAATATTAATGCATTGAAAAGCCACTGAAAACGAACTGAATTTTTATTTGGATTTCAGTGAATTAAATGTGTTGCTATTAATGCATTGAAAACACACTGAAAATTAACTGAATCGAACACTGAGCTGAATTTCTGAATTTCCTCTGAAATTTGTCTGAGTTGATTCAAGAACTTCAGTAGCCGTTTAAGTGTATTCAATGTCCCAAATAAAATTTCAGTCACTTTTCAGATCACTTTCAGAACGATCAGATAACTTTCAGCATTTTTTTATTTACAGTGACAGTGTACAGTGATATTTTAGTAAAATTGAATTGCACTAGTTCCAGGATATTTTTTTTTAAAAAAAAAAAAAAAAAAAAAAAAAAAAAAAAAAAAAAAAAAATTAAAAAAACACGGCGCTTGTCTATATTAGTACATCTCCTATTTAAGATCTCAACATATTCTTTTCAATGTGATCAACCTTAACATAACATTTGGTACTTTGCTTATATCACAAATGGTATCATCAAAGAAGGATAGACCTTTTATAGCTCTAGTATGGCCATAGCGTTACAAACTTACTACAAGCGCTGCGCAAGAAACTAGTTTTTTTTTTTGTTAGTGAAAAAGCTGGATAAATGGTTGAGAAGAAAAGCCGTTTTTAATGCTTAACGTTAACAGATTCAAAATGTTCTCCAACTATATTTAAACTTCTCTTTTCAAACATTTTAACTATTTCGATTGAGAAGAGAAGGATCTGGGGCTGAAACAAAAATATGACGACATGCAAAGGAATTGCGATTGGACATGAGCTACGTCTATTTAAATTATTGTTAGTCATCCATCAGCAGTTTATGACTCATTGCATATACGCCTTGCAACTTTTCAATAATCGACTGGAATATTTAATTATAGTGATAGATCGATAGTCACAACCCGATAAAAAACAAATAGGAGGTGAAGGTGATAATGCGTTTGAAATGCGACAACATACTTCTTGTGAGTACAGAATACAATACAATTGTCCTCAACTAAATAAATACTCTTCCAACTTAGTTATAGATTTATAAATAGAAACGTTAGATGGAAAAAAAAACAAACAAACGGACTTTAATTTGCCAAAAGATGAGATGGGAAATTGCGATAAGACTATAAATACATTAAAACGGTAAAATACTAGTTTTTCATTTACCTCTTTTATCATTATTATGAAAAAAACAAGTGCTAAAAGAAGTCGCGACGAAACCGATGACAATTCAATTGTTAGGCTGATTCAAGAGACCGTCAGAGCAGAGATGAAAACAGCAATGGCACGAATCGATCACAAATTTCAACAACAAAAGGCTAATATTGATGAGCAATTCCAAAATCACTTGGCGGTTATGAATGAACGGTATCTTGAGCCCATGGAAGAAAGAATAGACCATCGATTCCGACTAAATTACTCGGAATTGACAGATGTTCTCATGAAATCTATGGAAAACCAACTGTTGAATCTGGAAGATTGGTTTGATGAACAAAACAACGCCATCCTGTCTTTCATGCAAAGTAACAACGCCCCCAGCTCTATTCCAGTAATTCCATCCAACATTATTGATTCTGAAGATCTCGTCAGGACCACTGATAACGCTGGTAATACCGCAGTTTTAGTGGAAAAATTTGGCGAAATTGAAAAGAAAAAGAAGGACAGTAATCCCAGATTGACAGTAAGTAAAACGTTTACAAGTATGCTGAGAAAAATCTGAACATTTGATAGGCAGCCATTCGAAAGCAAATCAGGAAATTGGGAGATGATGAGCAGTTTGATGTGTCCATCCAATTTTGTCAAGGCAAAAATCCGGATGTAGCTGATATTGTTGGTGCACGAATTCTTTCCAAATATACCGAAATCACAGGAAATATGATAGACCTTAACGATAAAGCTAAAATGGTTGATTTAAAAGACGAAATCGAGATGAGAATTAAAACTCGTTTCAATAGTATTCGTCGTGAATGGAAGAACCTCATTAAGGCTGCCCCTGTTTTGACAGAAGAGCAGAAACAAGAAGCAACAAAGAAAGCCGAAGAGAAGAGATTGAAGCAAAAGCTTTACAAACGAAAAGAATATGTTAGTTAAAAGACTGGTACACATATATCATTTACTTACCCTTTAATATAGAAATTGAAAGCAAGAAAACTTGCATTAAATCTACCTGTAGTCAAGGATAAGTTTGAACATAACAACGTAACCACTGACCAAGTCCACCAATTAATTGTATTGAAATACATGTCCGAAGAGGAGACAGATGATGAATCGGATCAAGTTGGTATGTCTGACGTAAACAATGAGAAGCCATTGTATGTCAAGAAACCAATGTATCGAAGTAACAAGGTAATAATGATATTAGTCATATGAAATAAGTTTCCTTTTCAAATTTACTAACCTTTGACTTTACAGGCTACCAATATCCTAAATTTTCTTGATAAGCACGGACGAAGAGTCAATGAGATGAGTAGGAAGAGAATAAATCTCTACGAGAACTTGGCCCCTCCTAAAGACATGAATAAGTGGATGATTCGACCTGACTACGACATAGGTAACGAAGTTTCGCCATCTACTGAAATTGGGTATGTTCCTAGCTATGACGGTTGTGAATCGGAAGATATGTGGAGTTGGGACGAAGAAGACTATTCGTAGATTTAAAATAAACAGCCGCATTTCTATTTTTTTTTTTTTTTTTTTTTTTAATTGAAAGCAAATTATGGAATATAAAACACAGCAGTTTTGCTTTTTAGTATTTTTACGACTTATTAAACGCATTTCTTTGTAAAGGTATTAGGACGTTGTAATTGCTACCATTGTCTATGGCATCACTCAAAGGTTTTTTTGCTATAGTAATTTAAGAGTAGATTCGAGAAATAGGAACCCCACAATCTCTACACATGTCATTATACGAAGATTATTAGACCCCAATCCCTAATCTTTATACTTGCTGTTGCGAAGGCTTGAAAAAGCGAACAAAAGCAAAACCATGATCTCTTCCCCTACTAACGTTACACTGACTTAATTTTTAGATGTAATTAAAGAAGTAGAGCCAAGCTCCATATTTCTTGTTATACTGAAAGGCAAATAAACTCTGTCTGCAGCTGTCAGATAGCGAACTCGAATTGTCATAGTTAATAGTTTTACCATTCAAGCAAATCGATGCAAATTACTCTGTATTTACTGATATTGTTGGCCATACTGCATCGAAAGGTGTTAAAATTGCTATTACTTTCGTTGAATTGGTTTGTTCCGCCGCGCTCTATCTAGACTGTTACACCACAGACGGTACGTAAAAATTAAAATAAATAAATTCAGCATACACCCCGTTTTTTTTTCGATTATTCCGTTTTTAATTTTTCTACAGCCAACATTTCGAGGCAGCAAGGTCTGTCTCTACTCTCGAGAAAAGACAGGATGTAGATGTAACTGGAGTAGAGATGAACACGAGCAATTGTGCCAATCATATGTCAAAACTTTGAACGATGTTGAATTTTAGTTGGGGATGATTTCACTTAATCTGTAAAAGCTTAAAAAATGGAGTGTGCAGATAATTACAATCAAATTTGCTGCCAAAATTACAGGGTACGGTGGATCTATTTAATAATAATAAAAGGATATATCAGTGATAGTTTTTTTAATTTTGATAAGACCGACTTTATCACTGAATAGCATTTATCTGGAGTATGTTCGATAGCTTTCCTGAACAGTTTCGGGGCATAAATATATGAAGTCTTACGGAGGAATGAATACAGAGCGACTTTGAAAAAAACGTAAGTGTAGATATTGTCTAACAGTCGTTTAGTAAAGCGAGGTAAGTCAAAGCAATAACGCATATTATTTTAAGCTTATACTGATATTTTCTTATAATAAATTCCTTCAGAGTTTTACAAAATGACGATGACGACTTCCTTTGCCCCATTTCTCTCGTCAAAAATATATTTTTCCAAACTCTTCCCAAAAAGTATTTTCAAGATCGGGAACCACACGCCTACAGCGAAAGTGAAGGGAATCAATGATTCGTAGACAGTGATAGACAATTAAATTATGATGATGTTGTTGTGATGATTTCGACTACCTAGATAACCGCATCACTGTCAACTGTTCAAGAAATAGTCAGAGCGAGTTACAGCACACGGGATTATAGTACCGTTGTTTTGTTAGCTTTTGATGTATTATTTCGGCCTCGTAAAGATCAAGAACAGAACTTTCTCGTAGCTCATAAAGAGTTAGACAGCTTGAAATCATCCCAAGTTAAAGAAATTGTCATCACTGCATAAAAGAAGGAGTCATTCATGGGATGGAATTGAAAACAATCTGTCATCTTCAATACGTAATTTTGTTTTAAATAGTCCTTACAAGAGCCTGCTATTGAAAGCAAATTATATTGAATAAAACTAGCAAAATTCACTTCTCACTTAAATAACGGCTGGTCCAAAAACCTTATTGTATCACATATTGCCACCAAAATACTTGAAGTGATTTCTGTAAAGGGACGTAAGGAATTGCTTGTACTATCCAATGTCAATCATCGCAAACAAGTGTTCGAATAGTGCTGCAGCCAATAAACGAATATGACAAGTTTTTACACAGTTAGGATTATCCTCATTTTTTTTTTATAAATTGTATTCCCTCCGCTTTTGTTCTTTTACGATCATAACATCTTCTTACAAAAACCTGTTGAAAAACTATTCATGTTTGCATTCAAAAGATACATTCTTTACTTGTCCTTCTTTGTATGATATTCAATTTGCATGCAATTGTCATATTAGATATTGTATTGTATACGATCACTCTTATGAAGTACGATATCAATTGTTATAAATCCGTACTAGCGCCATAGCAATAACAAGAATCCCGCCCATTGCTGTACACAAAAAAATTCTCTCAGTACATTCCGACAATTGATTGATACTCAAGCCTTTTCAGAAATTAGTCTATTATATTACAGTATTATCACGTTAAATTCAGACAAGCGCAAATTATTTTCAGACAGGCTCAAAAAAAAATTCAGACTAAAAAAAATTATTTTCAGACAAACGTAAAAAATTATTCAGACAAACGTAAAAATTGTTCAGACAAAGTAAAAGTTTAAACTAATTTTGATTCTCTATTAAGGTATTTAGCCCAGTAAGTTTCAGAGTGTCGCAACCAACCAATGCAATCTTCTGTGGTGATAGTCTCACAGGCTGTTTTGATTCTAAGGGTTTGAGTGTCTAAAGTGGAAAGCAGATTTCTTTTGATGTGCTTCTTGATCTTGGACCAGCACTCCTCAATAGGATTTAAAATGGTGAATATGGGGGCATATATAAAGGCTTTTATTTCCTACTTTGGATTGCATCAACGACATTCAATGGATATAGTGAATTCGGCAATTATCCATGACGATATAAAAGCCATGCTTATTGTGCCTGTCCAGGACATCCATGACATTTCGAACAAAGGTTACAAATGACAAGGATTCAAATCAGTCACGAAAAAGGCCTAAAAAGAAGAAATCATCAATAAAGAATAAGATCTTTAATGCACATAAGAATAAAGAGAAACGTTTCCAACCGCCAAGGCTGTTCAGTTTATTTCCGAATCCAACCTTAAAATGACGATTTATCAAAATTGATAATCAAAACCTACATGGGATTTTTGGAAGGAGAATTTGTCAAGTACAAGAGGAAACACCTTTATCTTTCACAACAAGATCTTTCTTTAAATACGTTGACTTCAGAAAATTGAAATAAACAGGTAAGCTTCCAACATTTTTTCTGAATAATACGCAACTTTTTTTATCTTTAACGTGAACAGTCTGGATGAATAACAATCACTGCATGAGAAAGGTCAGATGTTTTTGAGCAGCTTTTATACCGATGTTTACACATGTAGAGTTTCTTTTTGTAGAAAACAAAACCCTCTTTCATCTTTGAAAAATGTCACTCTGACCTTGAACAACTTTAATAGCGAAGAGATCAAACAATATTTCAGGCCATGTACAGTTGATCTTAATAGGAAGGATGTTTTTACATCATACCATGGCGAGAATGATGTATAACACCTCTCTAGCTCTGAGTATTACAACATGAACGGAGTCATCAACTGTCAGAAACAAGAACTAGAAAGAAAGAAAAGTAATAACATCGAGTATATTGAAACCAGAATCCCTTCCCCAAAAACAACTGGCACTGAAAATTATAAAAGGCACATAACATATATGCTCCAACACTTTGAAGCCTTAGTCACTTTTTATGATTTCCAAACTACTAAAATACGGTGGTCCAACTATATCGGGAAACAAAAGGCTACGGATCATGCTATCAATATTTTGACTAACGGTTCCACAAAGTACAACAAAAACAGGAGAAAAAACACTGGGCGGAATAAACGTAAAAGACGAAAATTAAATAGCAGGTATAAGCGAAATTTTTCCAACACCAAGCAGTCAAAAAAAGGAAGACAAGCGGCGAGGTAAAACTGCTTTTTTTCTTTCTAGAAGCATTAATCATTTTATTCTTTTAAAGGGCATTTAAGGAAAAATTCGAAGAAGGGGATAAAAGCAAAATGCCAATGATAATATTCGGAGACGGGTTAAAAAACAAGTCGCATGTCCGATTTAAAGGACTAAGACATGGAGTAATCGATAAGTTGTACAGACAGCTAAAGCGGCGTGAGAATTTGGATGAATTGTTACTGCTTGATATCGACGAGTACAACACTTCCAAGGTGAAATAAATAGATGTTCCTTTTGCAAAAGTTTTAATAAAAAAGCTCTTTTTTTTTGTAGACGTGCAATGGCTGTCTCGTAAAGAACTTGGAGAATCTGACGTGTGGTGATCACAAAATCCATCAGATATTAAACTGCAACAATTGTAATATCTTTTGAAACCGAGATGTCTTAGCATCGAAGAATATGTTCATTATTGCTATTTCCATTTGGAGTGGTAATGGGTCACCAAGTGTCTTTCAAAGACAAAGCACCACCTCCAATGTGGTTGCTGCACCGTCATCGGTGACAGCTTAAAGATAACTGCAGGTAAAACAAATTATGTCTTCTAAACTTGTCTGAAAACTGATATCATTTATGTCTGAGTTTCCATTTTATTTCGTCTGAAAAAGGTAAGTCAATGTCTGAAAGTAAGTTTTTATTCTTCTGAAAAAAAAAACTAGCACTGTCTGAATTCAAAGTGTGAAAACTGTAATATGATATATTAACACCTATTCAGTAAAGTGACTTTGTGGAACCTAACCCTACATCTTGTTCCTGCCCCTAAAGCAATGTACTCAATTCCTAGTGTTTCGGCACTATCTTGTTGTCCCATATGTACTCTGTTACCTATTTAGAACTCCAACACGAAGATTGTTATTTAAATATAAGGACCTGTTAAACACTTAAACCCTGACAGCTGATACCAAGTTGTATCTATCAAATCTGAAGTGCAATAGTTATTTCCTGAGAAGGCAAACTTTCTTATGTATACACTCAGCTACAGTAGACTCAGGTATAAACAATTATTTTTATCATATGAGGTAAATTATGTAGTTATTAAGTACTTCTCTTTAATGAGATCTTTCACTAAAATGATGAAATCACGATATTGGAGTATGTATTAAAAGGACCAGAAGTGACCCCCCTTTTTTTTCTCTTTAAAAATGCTATCCTCTTGTAGACCTTGATTCTTCTGCAGTTTTGATCACTTTAAAACTTTGAAGACGTGGATGATCGTTCACAATACTTTAACTAGAGAATAACATTTTCTAATGACAGTCGGCAGACAACTACTGAAAAAAGTCTTGATGTCAAAAAAGAAGATTTACTCTACATGATCTCGGAGATAGAGACAATCTTTAGTCTATTATAAATTCACATAGTTAATGCAAAAATATGAGCCTACCTTTTCTAAAAATTTGTAATTGACCCCTTTGTGCTTCCATCAACTTTTATACATCTTGTTGATCATCAATCTTTACTTTTCATATAACAATTAACCAAAATTCATACTTCACAGTCGATTTAAACCTCTTTATTATGGAACCGTACATAAGACATAGTTTATAATAACACAATCACTTCTCTTTTTAATATTGGCAGCTACTTTAAATTTATATTCTGATAACGCCCTCCTAAAATCATCGTCGATTATCTTTTTATTTCTTAAGCTTTAAATTATAAGATTTCTTAAGTTGGTTACTTCCAGTCTGGTACTCACTTTCATAACTACTTTATTATCAACGTTCCCGTTAATAACCAATATATAACTTTTCGTTTAAGAACTATTACTAGCGTCTTAACACCATTATCTGTTATAAATTTAAGCCAATCCAAAAGCTAGTTTTCTGTTTTCTTCCAAAAAAAAAAAAACTGACTTCGTCTGAATTTAAAGTAGAAAAACGGTATCAAAGTACAGCTGTAATTAAACTAGCTGCAATGGCAAGGTATTTATGCGCATTGCCAATTATACCCATACCTACATTTATATGTTACACCGAAAGCCTCAATTCAAACGATTTTATAAAAAATAGCACATTTGTAAGCTGGGGAAACACCAGTTTCTCCGAATTCAAAACCAACCTTAAATCGAAAATCCCGCTATTTTTCAAAGTTCTTTTCTTTTTTTCTTTTTTTTTTTTTTAATTTTTTGTTGTTTTATACAATATGGAAAAACCATGTAGACCTAAAAGAATTAAACCTTGTAAATATCCATATATATATATATATATATGACAACAAAGTTAAATCGTTAACATGAGTTTATCTCCAGGTGAAAACTGCAGAGCTCATCGTCGTAAATGTGTTGCTTTTGACAAGACCTCATGCGACCGATGTCATAAACTAGAATTGACTTGCATATTTAAATTTACAGAAACCACGATTAAAGCACCCAAGCCAGTAATCTCGACCAGCAAACGCAACAAATTATTTGATGCTGTGTGGACTCTTAAAAAGGAGTCAGACAGCATACAGTTACAACTGTCACAATTGCAATCGGTTTTGGACCCACGTCCCTCTTGCGGGTGTGTCGATCCCTGTACCCATAACTTGAAAATACTACCAAAACAGAGCTCCTCTCGCTGGGAGGTAACCATATCAAGTAACCACAACGGATTTGCTCAGTTTCAGACTACAGTTCAATCTTTGTCGGATCTATCAAAGTTTCTTAATGAGGCAGTATCACTGCTCAAATGCAATGGTTATATTGATAAACTATCAGAAACAAGTGGAAAACAAGTCCTACCCGTCACTTATAAAACACTCAAAGTAGAGGCTCTCATACGTAAACTCATAGGTATTCCAATGGGAAATAATTCATGTAAAGCACTCGCTTGGATGGATGCAGGTCGCCGGACACAATTGAAGAGACAAGCGATAGACAGATATTTTGAATGCAGTGGATTATGTGATCCAATTTTAATTTATTCATACCATTACCCCTTGTTAATAGAATCCCCAGATTCATTAATTGCTACCGCCCTAGTAGCTAAGATAGCCTATTCAAAGTGCCAACATATTGATATGACTGGTTGCGATTTCACACGGGCAGAATTCGCCAGATCTTGTCGGGTGGAAGCAAAATCATTGCTGGAAGAAGTTTTGTTTGATTCTGAGCCTACACTTGAAATTTGTATAGCTCTATGGGCGCTTTGTTTTAGCAGCATGTATGCATTGGAGCCAACTGAAGCTAGATTTCAGTCTAGTATATGCTGGAGAATGGTGATTCAATTAAAACCCAAATATATCAAAATGCAACATCCTTCACTAGAAGATAATATCAAGGCTGAATCATGGAAACGATTATTTTATATGGCAAGATATACCGAATTTAATTTTCGTATGTCTCATGATTTAGTCAGAGATTTCACCAGCATCGCACACGATACAGAGATAGGATTACCAACCCCATTACCCTGTGAAGCTACGGACGATCGATTTGTGATTTCTGTATTTTGTTACCGCTATGTCACACAACTGACTACGAATGCTGCTGGGATAACAAAGGACAATTTGGCCGAAATTACTGGACTTCGGTTATTTGCGGGGGTTATTGATCAAATACAATCAGCAGCTCTTCAGTACCAAGAAAATACGTTACTGCAGATGTGGCATGGCATACCAGATAATTTACGACTAGGATGTGGACCATTTAAAATCACGGAAACAAATGAAATCAACGAATGTCACAATCCGTGTGTTTTACGATTTAATATGGTATTTTACATTTATTGGATGAACCTTCATTCAAGAATTATGATATCACCCCACAGTACTGATTTGGCAGGCGCAGCATTTAGCAGATTTGATGGTGACAGGTCACTCATCGTTGCATCCATAAATTCAGATACTGCCACCAAAATATTTGTGGCAATTTCTAGTAGATATCCTTGTGTGTTGGAAATCCACTGGCTTACTATGTGTATAGAAGTCTTAACGTTACTGACCACGGCTGCCAATGAATTTATCAGAAATAGAGCAATCTATAACTTGGAATTAGCAACAAAAATTCTGAATTTACAATTAGAGGCGATTGGAAATGACCAATCAAGACCGGACTCACCGTATCTCGATAAGCTTAAAGAAATAATCAATACACACACATGGCTGTAAATAAATGAATACCAGATTCTGTAAATATGAAGAGATGTTTTTTAATAAATTTAATAATTAAGAATTAATATATATGTATATACAGTAGGAAGTAAGTTATTATAAAGTAGTAGGTGAAGTATTAGGGGGTTGATTATTATTATTATTATTATTATTGTTATTATTACTATCAGTGGATGTTAATATGTCATAATTTACGCTTGCGGTGCTACTGTAACTTGCTGTGTATTTACTGATGATTTTTTTTAAAGCGACACCCAATATAGCCCAAGGAAAGACTTTCACATCTTTTTCGATATTTCTTGGTTTAGGGTTTGGAAACCCCATGATTAATTTAAAAAAGTCAGCAGACTCAGGCTTTGATTTACTAACGGTCAGTGGTTTATAGCCTTCCAGATTTCGTCTTATTCGGTTTTTTTCTTCCACAGTAAATTTAACGCCAATCAAATGCTCCAAAAGATAAATACAATCCACTGATGTGATAAAATAATCATTCTTTTCTTTCCAATAGATGCAGGAAACAATGATCAATTTACTCATATCAGGTTGTTTGCTCTTTTCGATAGGTAATTGAAAAGCCTTAAAATTACAAGTCACTTCGTTGCCTTGTTGTCTTCGCCAAAATTGTACCAGTCTTCGTTGGTTTTCCCATTCTTCGGGAGTCCAATCTTTAATCATGGATTCAAGATCGCCTTGAATGTTGAGATTGGCCTTATTGAGTAAATTAGCAAATGGATTTAAAGTCAACATTGCGGATTGTTGTTGAGGTTGTTGGTGAGGTTGAGGTTGATTAGAGGAAGAAGAGATGGGAGGGTAATTAGGTGTAGCAGTAATATTAGGTGAAGTATTAGTTTGTAGTGGAGGAAGAGGGGATGGTTTCATTTGTATAGAAGGCGCAGTTGATGGTGATGATGATGGTGGTGTAGTGAGGATAGTATCCATTAATGGCATAATGTAAGGATCTTGTTGAGGATGTGTGGTAGGTGATGATATGTAATCCCCGTCATTAAATGAAGGCTGATAACTGGAGGAAGGATAACCCAGAATGGCGGTTTCTTCGAAATATTCGCGTTGTCTCGGAGATGGTTGCGTGGGAGGTAAGCCTACATACGGAGCATGCGGCGACAAACCATAGTAATTTGCGGGATAATTCGATGAAATAGCATATTGATCTATTGGGAGTATATTATTAGTCAATAAATATAGCGGGGCGACATTCTAAAAAAGAAATAATTACCCGTCTGACGAGATCGTTTTGAATCATTTGTATTCTCGATAGGGTCATTTTGATCAATAGATAAACGTTTTCTTGAATAGAAAGTAAAGTAACCCACAAGCCAACTGTCAAGTATTTGATCTGACTGTTCAAGTAAAAGATAAATAGGAACCCTTGATGAATCACAACTCGGTACAATGGAATGAAATGTAATTATTTGAGTAACAGTGTCTACAGTAAAATGACATGTTGTGATACAAGAATCGAAAGCAACTTTTAATAGATTTGGATCTATATTTGTTGTGGAGCTTATGCTGATATGAAAGTTATCACCAGCACAACCTTGTAAAGGACCATATTCTAATATACGAGGTGGTTGAAACTGGTCTGTAGATTGTAACGAATGTGGTGGTGGTTGTGGTGGAGGAGGTAAATCGAAACCTAAAGAGAGTAAAGAACGTTAATGATTGTATGTTTAATCTCTTTAGTAGTAGGACAAATGATTACTTTGTGACATGACCACACACTTCAAGTTCCGTTAGGGTTTAATTAGGGTTTGATAGCTTTTTAGAAAGGCGGAAGGTTAATTATTATTGTTCTCTTCATTTGGCTTCCGATCCATAACGTTAGACGCATGGTCGTACATTTGAGTTCAAATACGCTTACCTTTTTCTATGTTATATCCAATAACACAAAAAATGAAAAAGGAAGAGGGAAAATGTCAAACTCAAAAAAAACGCAGGAAAAAATTGTGTCTTGTTTCTCCCTTTTAGAACAAGAGCAATCATCGAGCTTTTGTGTTGAAGGAAAAAATATCTGGGAGAGTTCGACCAATAGACAGAGTGACTGCCAACTCAAACAAAACTGACGACTTTATTACACACACACCTCTTTTTTTTTTTTTTTTTTTTTTTTTTCTTAGGCAAACCCTGGTTTTTTATAAATACCAAATTTTCATTTGACTAAACATACACCAACACCTCTTCCTAAATAACAACACTTATATACTGGTATTTATTTTTGTTCTCCTTTTTGTGAAAAGCCATAAAAAAAAAATGTTATTTTCATACCTCTATTCACACACAATCCTTACACCTAATTTTTGTTCCCAGACCACACTCCATCTCTATAATCATCCACATAACCCAAGTTAAACCCTTTTTTTCACTCTTATTTTTTTATATATACTCTCCACATCAAACAGACCAAAGAAAAAGGTAAAACATGGAATATAGATTGATAGTTATAAACACTATTTAACAACAAATCAGAAACAATGTCAGATAACGAAAATAGCGGTGGTTCACCTGTGGATAGGTCAAAGAGACCCCGTTTTGAAGATGAAGAATGGGACTCAGATTACGAACGTGATGGACACGATGATCGTCACCCTAAGAGACTTGCTGTCCCTGATCCAGAAACCAAAGCACCTCATTTCGTACCTACTGAAGATAAAGATTCTTCAGGTAATAGCAGAAGAAAGAAGTGGGAAGAAAAAGATGGCGATTCTGAAGATGAAAGACTTGAAGACATTAAAATCCGTCCATCTTGTAGTAAAGTGGATGACAATGCCAACACTAAAGACGAGAGCATCTCTATTCGCTCCTTGGTTGGCACTAAAGATGCTGGCGTAATTATCGGTCGAGGAGGTAAAAATGTCAGTGATATTCGTGAATTATCTAACGCACGCGTCACTATATCCGAAATTGTACCTGGTGCATATGAACGAATCTTAACTGTGTCTGGTCCTGTCAATGCTGTTGCAAAAGCATATTCTTTAGTTGGTGAGAAAATCCTATCTGAACATACTCAACCCGAAGAATCTAATGCTGATGGTGAACAAATTCTGACTATTAAATTACTTGTGCCTGATAATAAAATGGGTACATTGATCGGTAAAGGTGGTGTTGTGATTAAATCTATTCAAGATGAAAGTGGTTCTCGTTTAAATGCTTCTGAAGAACCATTACCGATGTCGAGTGAACGTACTATATCCATTCAAGGTACCCCTACTGCTGTTCAACACGCCATTCAACGCATAGCAAAGATTCTAATGGATTATTCTGAACGTGCTCCTCCCAATACCATCCAATATAGACCCACTCCACAAATGAATAGCCGTAATAGTAGCAGTAGCGGTGGTAATGGCGGCTATATGAACATGCGATCAAATAATTCTCACGCTGCTATGGGTTATGGGGGGATGATGCCCATGGGTGGTATGCCAATGAGCAATCCTAGTCAATTCTATTACCAAGGTCCTGCTGCAGCTGGTGGTGTAGTGGGTGGTGGCGGTGGGTACGGCAGTATGCCAAATTCAAGACAACCTGACTACGGTATGGGTGCTATGGGCATGAATGGAATGGGAATGGGAATGGGTGGTATGGCTAGTTTATCTGGTATGGTTGCTCCATCCCAAGCACAGCAAATCTTTATTCCCAATGAAATGGTAATAGTTTCCTGTTGGTCATATTAAAAACAAGGATACTCAATTTTAATTTTAGGTTGGCTGTATTATTGGTAAAGGCGGAAGCAAGATCAACGAGATCAGACAGCTTAGTGGCAGTCATATCAAAATTGCTGATTCTCATGGTGATGCTAATGAAAGATTAGTTACTATTACAGGAACACCTGAGAGCAATCAAATGGCCCTTTATTTGTTGTATTCTCGACTTGAATCAGAAAAGAATAGATTGGGTTTGCGCCAAAATTAAACTTTTTTTTTTTTTTTTTTTTTTTTTTTCTATTTTCTTTTTTTATGATGATAATTAAACTCAAATTCACTTTTTTTATTTATCTTTGTTCTATTTCTCGACAATGAATCCATTACTATTTTTTATTTTAATTTTACTGCTTCATGATGTCGCAACACATTCCAGTACACCCGGAACAGTAAGTGCTCTTGTCCGTCATCTCGCCAAACTAACGATCTCATCAAGTGTAATTTAAATAAAATGGCAACAGTGGGCCATGGACCTTCACAGTCAAGTTGCAAAGATTGTTACGGTGTCGGCATTACAACAAATTCATCCAGTCTTGTACAGATCCAGTTGACCGGACGATTTGCATACGAAGGCATCATGCTACTTGTTAAAGACAAGCATACGAATAAAACTCTAGGTGAATTTCAAAACTTTGACGAAAGCTTATTTGCACCTGTTGCTTGCGACGATGACGAAGACGAGCAAGATCGTATCGAACCTGACTCTGTTGCGGTGTTGGGTCATATTGATTCGAAATTAAAACATTGGCCTGTCCATGTAGGTTGGAACATGGTGGTTGATAAACCAATAACCGATTTGAAACTGATTGGCATGATTGTGGTAAAAAGAAAGCTTAATCCATATTTTTGATGTGTTTATTAAAACCATATCTATTTGTTAGATTGATTATGAAAACTTCCATCTGTTACCAGAGACAGAATTCAAGATCAAACGAAAAGTGCAGAAAGTAACCACTACATCTTCTGCAGCAGTAGCCACACACACAGAAATACAAGTTGAACATGAGGCGGGAACTTTTGTTCAACAAGTATCCAATGAATTATTTATTTGGGTTTTATCCATTATTTTAACAATCTATGTGTTGATGTCAACTTGCTTTAGGCAACTTACAAAAAGGAAGACAAGAATTACCAAAAAGAATACCACTTCCTTACTTCAAGACGATATATCTCTTGTCACAGGATTTTCGTCTTAATAGTACGCCAAAATAAATCTGGCACAGTGTGGAAGTTTCTTGATGCTTCTATTATGAGCAAAATTTCAAACATATGGATGATTAAATAAACAATTAAGTCATCCTGACATAAACCAGCGCCTTTTTATCAGTCTACAAATAAGACTCGCTCACACACTTTCTTCCTTTCTTTTCGTTTTTTTTTTTATATATATGTATATTCGTCTATGACACTATCTTTAAAAAGAAAAGTAATAAACGCTGTGAGAAGGAGGAAAAGCCAAAAATATAACAAGTTGAACGACGGGCTTTCTGGATGTTTTTTACTATTGCATACCTGAATAGATGTTTCAGCCTTAAACGCCTCTACTCTACATCTTGTTTAATTTAAGTTTGCTGGTACGTTCAGAGGGTAAAAGGGTTACTAACTCTCACTATGTTGATTTATTACAAAAGCTGGCAAGAAACCAAGTTACAACCTGCTGAAAATTGTATCTGAATTTCACTCTATATTTAACGTGAGCATTTGTTATCAAATGCATGATACTTTTCTTTACGAATGAACTTTCAGGAGCGAAAAAAATCAGATTAACGGATTCTGACAAGATGTATGCAGAATGTTGGGAAAATAGAAGCAGTCAAACCATTTTGCAAAGACAATTGAAGAGATAGTATTGCATTTATATCTTTAAAAAGTGCGCAGTTTTATTAACATGTGCTATGAAATTGAAACCGTTATGGATAGCAGCAGGCCTTTCATCTGATATGCAAGAATTTTTTAATCATGAATATCCCTTTATTACGGAACTGATATGTAAGATTAATAGAGTTGGAAAGTTGAACACAGTCGATTTTTCTTCTACTACGGCTTTACAAGTATTAGAGACAGAAGCTGGCATTAATAAATTCACAGAAATCATCGAAGCAACAAAGGCTAATATGACACCACGTCTTCCTGGAGCTTGCAGATCACTGTCGGTCATGCTGACAGGTATAGTAACAAGCAACTAGGCTTAAGGTAAAATATTATCACTGTATGTTACTTTTCTTACACATTTTATCCAAAATAAAAATGTATTTAGTACTTTGAGTTTCCAATTTTTATTCTCAAAAAAAAAAAAGATAAAGTGTGCCAATTAAGACTAAATCCTGTACAGCCAACCCAAAGGACTATTAATACCTCCGACCAATCATCACTCCCTGCCTGACATTAGAGTGTACATGGCCCATTTAAAACAAATAAACCATCCTCCTTCCTTTTTTTTTCCTTCTTTCTTCTTCATGCTTAATCAACATCTTTTAAGGATACATCTTGTGTTCATATTTTTACAGTTTGTAGCAGCTATTCCACAGTTTAATATAGGTAAAATATATACGCTTTAATCTATCCCGATAAAATCTAATATACATGAAATAGTCAATGGCTTTTATAACAACGGAACTGTATGTCCACCAGCAACCCAACATAAAGTATTATGTCCTGCACTATGTGTCAAAGATCAGACACTATGTCCCACACCTTGTCCTTTAGGATCCATCATGTGCTCCGATGGATCATGTCAAACCACTGCCTGTACTATAGCACAAGACAGCAACAATAAGTGTGCTTCATGCCTTTCTAATCCAGGTATCACCTTAAAATCATGTATGCCAACGCCTTTACATGTGGATATTCCTAATTATCAACCTAAAAACGCCACCATGCAGTTGTACGAAGCTTGTTCAAACAGTATGAAGACTTCAGTTTACTCAACATGGACAGACATACAAGATCACTCGCTTATTTGGAATGTTTGCGATGCACCAAAAGGAATGACCTTTCCTATAAACGGTAACACGACGAGAAAAAGCTCACATGCCTACAAAAAAAACTCCCTAACCGTATTCTAATCTAGCTAGTATTGTCATCATTTTTTTATCGGTACATTTGGCCTTTTTCCCCTTGTGGGCTTTATGGGCATTATACAAGTACACAAAAGAAAAAGTATATAAAAAAAAAAAGAGCCAAATCGGAAACTTATACAAGAAACTCATGTTTATTCTTATAGAAATTCTATCAATCGAATGCAGTATTAAGCGAAAGCCCTGTTCAAGAAAATATTGTTTATGGCGACGAAAAAAAAGAGATCGAATACAGAGTGGAAACGCTTGAAAAGGAGGAAGAAGAATTGAATCAAAAAGGGTTCAAAAATAGTAGTGTGGGATTCATCATGATCTTATACATGTCGGCGATATCAGTCTTTTGGACCGTTATTTTACTTGTTTTATGTTTGGATTATTATGGTTATGTAAGTACCCAATATTTATAGTAAACACATTATATAAACATGAGCCTCCCTTTTTGTAGATGAGCCCAACGTCACTTGGACTATTTTATAATTCTTACGACTTATCAAGCAAAGCCTTTTGTTTAGCCTGGTTTTTTGCAACGAGCTGGTACTTGATATTAAACATGACGCGATCCAAGATTCGCAACTATTTTCGAGTCCGAACGACGTTTGAAACTGCCGATCATGTCCAAATAGAAAAACAGCGTAAAGTGATTCAGATGATGAGCAGCGATAATACACATCCCTTGAAGAAGCTTGAAAACTTTTTACGGGAATCCTTTGGATTTGATGTGCTTGTCATGACAGTACCTGTCATGAAAAATAATCAACACCGATACTTTGAGTTTCAGTCAACTCGATATAATTTCAAACAAACCAGATTCCAACCTGCCGTCATTGATATTAGCCTAAATCCTAAAGATTTATTAAAAATGAATGCAGGGTTAAATGATATCACGGCTCAATCGAGATTAGAAACATTGGGCCCAAATTTTATCGAGGTGAAAGTGCCAGGTTTCTTGAAAGCCTTTTGGCAAGAGTAAGTAGCGGATTTTTTTTATTTTCATTATAAAAAGATAATTGCATTTTAAAATTTATTTTGTGAATAGGCTCACCGGGTTCTTTTATATCTATCAAATCATGATATTATGGTGTTATTTCTACCTAGCATATTGGCAAATTGGCTTGTCGGATACATGTGTTATCTTGTTAGCTGCCATTATCAAAGTCATTGTTCGCTTGAAATCTGAGAGGCGGGTCAAAGAAATGGCAGAGCATGTGGATATTTGTCAGGTGCTACGACAAGGTACCTGGAAAAAAGTATCGACTGCTGATTTAGTACCTGGTGATGTAATTGAGATTGTTTCGAATCAAACTGTACCTATAGACGGAGTCATATTACAGGGCGATATTGTAGTGGATGAAAGTTCCTTAACAGGTGAGGGCAGCAACATGATTGCTTTAATTTTATTTTGTAAAAGAAACTAAAAAAAAAAGTTGTACTATTTCAGGTGAACCATTACCTATTCGAAAGTTTCCACTTCGAGCAGATGCAGCATTGTTTGATCCTCAGTCTGCAGGAAAAAACAATAGTTTATTTGCAGGCACCACAATCAAACAAGCATTGACTGAGAATGATGCCACACCTATAGCACTGGTACTAAAGACACGAACAAATACAGATAAGGGCCAGCTCGTGCAAAGAATTTTATTTCCTCAACCAGTATCCTTTATATTTAATGAGCAACTGAAACTAGTGTTTTGTATGCTGTTATTATGGGCATTAGTATTACTTGGATTTGGAGCTTGGTGGTTAGGTGGTAGTGGTATGACAGCCTGGTTTTATGGTACGGTATGTGCAGCCCAAGTCATGAATCCCTTATTACCAGGTAAAAAAAAAAAAAGATGCCGGTTTTTTTATATTTATTCTAATCAGAGCACATATCTTTTGCTTTAGCTATATTGGTTGTAGGACAATCTATTGCTGCAGGTAGACTCAGAAAGAAGGGTGTGTTTTGCGTAGATTTACCTCGTATTTTAATGGCCGGTAAAGTCCAAGTATTTTGTTTTGACAAGACTGGTACCTTGACAAACGAAGGGTTAGAGTACTATGGCGTTTATCCTACGCTGAAGGAGACAAGACAGTTTGATTCACTATACCACAATTTTGACGACTTCAAACCAGAGACCCATGAGACCCACAAATTATTACAAATGGGTTTAGCAACCTGTCATTCTGTCACAACACTGGCGGGAGAATTTGTAGGAAATCCTGTAGATATTGTTATGTTTAAAAGCACAGGATCGAGCATGTCTACAAAGGGAGGACACGATATTATAGCCACAAATAATGGTGACTTGGAAGTTATCCAGAGATTTGAATTTCAACATGCACGCATGTCCATGTCGATAGCAGTCAAGGATACATCGGGTCATACACATGTATTTTGTAAAGGATCGTTTGAAAAAATTGCCGAAGTGTGTGAAAACAATGTACCTCTTAACTTTGATGAATTGACGAGCGAAAGTGCCAAGTCCGGCTGTTATGTTCTAGGTATGGCACATGCAGATTTGGGAATACTGAGTATGGAAGAAGAAGAAAAGATTCGAACCGATTGTTCGCGTGATCAATTAGAGTCTGGTCTCAACTTTATCGGGCTTGTATTGTTCAAAAATCTGTTGAAGAAGGATACGACGGCAGCTATTCAACAGATCAAACAAGGCGATGTTCGCGTAGTTATGATTACGGGAGATAACGCTTTAACTGGTGTATATATCGGACAACAATGTGGATTAGTACCTGATCAAGCATCTATTATTATGGGAGACATTGACGAGGGCAATGATATTGTATGGACAGAGATTGATACAGGTAACGAGATCAAGCATATTGATACAGCTATTGCCGCTAGTCATGGAGAATGCGAACTTGCCATAACCGGAAAGGCTTTTCGCTGGCTTATGGAGCATGACGAGATGAGAAAATATTTGTTCTTGACACGTATATTTGCTCGAATGACGCCTGTGGATAAGATGCAATGTGTTGAATTGATGATGGAGAAAGCGATTACGGCCATGTGTGGAGATGGTGGTAATGATTGTGGCGCACTAAGATCAGCTCACGTGGGTATTGCCATGTCAGAGGCTGAGGCATCAGTGGTCTCACCTTTTAGTACACCTAATCGATCCGTTCAGTCATGCGTTGACTTACTAATTCAGGGAAGAGCAGCATTAGCAACATCATTTGCCAGTTACAAGTATCTGATCATGTATGGTGAAATCATGGCGTCGGTTAAATTTTATACGTTTTATTATACCATGTCATTTTCACAATGGAACTTTATCTTGATTGATGCGTTTATTACCGTATTTTGTGCTTTTGGTGTGACACAATCAGGGGCATCCCAACGTTTGTCACAGCATCGTCCTACTGCCCGCATCTTGGGACCCGAAGTGCTTCTGTCTGTTTTGGGACAAATCTGGATTAACGTCTGGTTTACTATTGGCGCATTTATTTGGCTTTACTCAAGGGATGATTTTTTTCGATGTAACGAGTGGGATGCTCGTGCTATCGATAACTCAAAATGGTGGTTATTAGGAGATAGTTTTGAAGCTGATGTGGTGACATTTCTTGCCTTGTTTCAATTTGTAAATTCAGCACTTGTTTTCAACTATGGTTATATATTTAGAGCAACATGGTATCGTAACTACTTTCTGATGGCTGTTTGTTGTACATTTATTGCCGTTGTAAGTTACTGGGAACTAGCAGGTAAAACCAGGGAAAAAAAAAAAACTAAATTAGATGCTAATGATTCAATAGATCCTAATCAATTTGGGTGCTTGATGAGAATAAATTGTGGAGACCCTGATGTACTGGTCTCGCTAGGATATCCACGGCCGAATTTTTATATCGAGCCATACAATAACCCACTTGGGCACAATGTATTACCCAAGACATTTAGATATCATCTTTGGATATACTCTATTGTTAACATGTGCGTTGTGCATATTTGGGAAAGATTCTTCATATTGGGACCTGTTCGACAATGGTTGAGGCAAAAACAGCCTTTAAAAAGACTTGCCATTAAACTTTGATTGGTGCCTCGTCACTGAGTAACGATAAATAAACATTTGAATAAAAATAGTTTTTTTTTTCTGACAGAAATTATTTAACATATGGACAAGATAAGCTAAATTGATTGTCGGGATAACCACAAAAAGGAACGGTGCTATGGTTGATAGAAAATAACAATAGGCCAAAAAAATGAGCAGATCTTATATATGGCATGTTTAATAAATAAAGTTACACATGATAATTCAAGTTTCAAACATGTTTCTTTTTATTTGGGCTGAAAGATGATAAATTTTATTGCTAGAACAACACCAGTGATATTCATTGCATTGATAGAAAATGGATTGAGTTTTTCTTATAGGTGTGTGAGATATATTTATCCTTTGGGTAAAAAGAAAAAAAAGAAAAAGCATAATCCTTTTTTGGTGTGGGCCATGTGATAAATGATGTGTTATGCGGGAAATACAATTGAATCGCCGTTTAAGTATAAATAGTGTCTTTGATTTTCTTTTTCATTATTTTTTTTCCTCTCCTTGTCTTTTATACACTTAAAAACATACAAATTAAAAAAAAAATACTATGGTTACCCACTCAAGAGTTGCTATTGTTGGAGCTGGAGCAGTTGGAGCTTCGCTTGCCTACGCATTAATGTTCAAGAACATTTGTTCCGAAATCTTAATCGTTGATATTAACCCAGAAATTGTTCGAGCTCAGGTACTTGATTTAGCAGACGCAGCTTGTGTTAGTCATACCAGCATCCGAGCAGCCACTGCCGAAGAAGCCGGTCAAGCAGATATTATTGTTATTTCCGCTGGTGCTAAGCAAAAGGACGGTGAACCACGTACCAAACTGATCGAACGTAATTATCGCGTTCTCAACAACATTATTGGAGGTATGCAGCCTATTCGACCAGATGCTGTCATGTTAATGGTTGCCAACCCCGTGGATATTTTGACCCATATTGCAAGAAAATTGTCGGGTTTGCCTCCCAACCAGGTCATTGGGTCCGGTACTTATTTGGACACGACTCGTCTTTGTGTTTATTTGGGAGAGATTTTCGATGTCAACCCACAGTCAGTAAACGCTTTTGTACTTGGTGAACATGGTGATTCGCAAATGATTGCATGGGATTCTGCTACGATTGGTGGACAGCCACTCCACACTTTTCCTCAATGGGAAACGTTGGATAGAGAGGCTATTGGAAAGGCAGTGTCTGGTAAGGCAATGGAGATTATTAGATTGAAGGGAGCTACCTTCTACGGTATTGGTGCTTGTGCTGCTGATTTGGTTCATACTATCATCTTGAACAAGAAGATTGTTCATCCTGTTTCCGTTTTTGTTGAGAAATATGGTGTTACATTGTCTATGCCTGCAAAGATTGGATGGGAAGGTGTTCAACAAGTCTATGAAGTACCACTTGGAAAGGAAGAGGAAGAACAACTTGTACAATCTGCTGAAGCACTGCGTGAAATTGAAGAGCTTTATTAGACTTGTATTATATATTTATACCCTCCTTGTATACACATTTTTTGCTTATTTACAGATGCCGCCTCAATAAAACGCGCGATTTGAAAAAATTATCGCTTTTCATTGTTATAAATTTTTTTTTTTTTTTCTTGTTGCTTTTTACTCCCCTCTCTTTTTCTTTTTTTTTTTTTTTTACCTTTTTAAAATGTTATCCAATTTAGAAAAAGAAGCCACGTCTTTACCTCCACCTTCTGCACTATTCGGTACAAATTACTATTATCCTCCTGGTCAGAATAATGGCGTGGAGGCAAGGTCAGGTTACATGCTTCCTCCTCCTTCCAGTCTCCCTGGATATCATTTACCACCTCCACCACAGTACATGTATCACCCTCACCCACAGCAACAACATCAGCAACAACAACAACAACAACAACAACAACAGCAACAACAGCAACAACAACAGCAACAACAACAACAACAGCAACAGCAACAACAATCAAATACCAACATGTATTATTATCCAGTGCAACAACAACAACAACAACAACAACAACCTCAACAACAATTGAATAACAAATCATTGTCAAACAATTCAAGCACAGAAAAAGCATCCAAACGTAAACGTCGCACAGCTGCAGTTGATCCAACAATGAAAAAGAATAAAAAAGCCACACCACCATATCATTATGAAGTATTGGAATTGAAGCAACAGAATGCAAAGAAAGCTGGCGGTAAAAAAGCTAGCCGTAAAGAGTCTGAGGCGGTGTCTGCTGCTGCTGCTACTTTAGCTTCATTTGCTTCGTGTTCGCCACCTCACTCAACAGAAGAGGATGATATGGATGAGTGTATCAATTTAGAAGCCTGTGCAGGTCAAGGCGGACAATTTGAATGTGACTTGTGTGCTTGTAATTATAGACACTTGAACTGTTTACAAAAGCATGGGTGGGAGCATACAGAAGTGCGTCTTAATATGACTAAACAACAGCAAAATCAGCTAATAGAGGCAAGTTTTTTTTTTTTTTGGTTAAATATATATATAAACATTCTTTTGAAAATATACTAATTTTTTTTTTCTTCTTCTTTTATATATAGGCAGCACAAATCTTGATGGATATTGCTCGTTACGGAATGAAAATGCGTATGCTTCAATAACTTTTCTTATTTTTTCTTTCTTCTTAATTTCTTTATAACCCTTTCATATACAAACAACATTTTCATTTTCATTTTTTTTTTTTTTTAACATTTTTTTTTTTTTTTTATATATTTTTGCCCAAATAAAGTAATTCACATCTAGCGCACATTGGAAAATTTTTTTTTAAAGTTATTTTTGGTTTACCCAGGGATCCAAATTCGTGAAGGAAACCCCCAGTGGCAGAAGTTGCATGCTTTTTGATTGTTTGTAAACAAAAAAATATTATATAAAAGAAGACTCTTCATGAGAATCAAAAAAAAAAAGAAAGACGCGCTACAAAATAGTGTGACACCTCTCGGCTTTTTTTTTCCAACTTTCTTTATTTTTATCTATCATTGATTTACTAGCTTGTGCACATTTTTAAAAGTTGATCGGAAACGCAAAAACGTCACTCCGGTATAACGTCAGTTGTTAAAAAAAAAAAAATAGATTAAGGTAGTGCAGACCCAATTTTGCTTTTTAATTTTATATTTTTATTCGTTTTTGTCAGTAGAGCTTTGGGCTAGTTTCGTTCTAAAGATATACCATATCTTTTTTTTTTCTTGCGAGATATAGCTATGAATATAGACCCTTCAATATGGTTAGTTTGGTAATTTTATCTGATTACCGCAGTTTCCAAGGTGAATTTGCGAGTCTGTCAATCATCGATTTGACATATAGGAGTAATTTTGTGGTAATTGGATCGACATTGTCATTTGTTAATGCAAAGGGTACAGTCAACACGATGATCCACAATTCAGGCCGTTAACAATATATATATGAGCGCCATCATAGATTATTATTCATGGGACATTTAAATGGTCCCTAGCCTTACATTTAAGCGATACTTCAAATCTGTATGGTGGCTCAGTAAGGATAACAGTAAAGAGTATAGAAAGATAATGTAATTACCTTTTTATAGTTATGCTAAAAGTAACATCGTCTGCAGAACGCTTCAATACCTCGAATAGTACTATGATATGCTTGTAAGTCTACAACCTTATTTAATTCTTACACCACACTTATAAGCTTTTTTTGAGTTATGTGTACAACTTGAACATTTAATTTTGGCAAAAAGGTTTAAATGCATGTGTTTTTTTGTTAGTTTTTCATTACCAGCTCAGCTTGCTTTGCTAAAGGTCTTTAAATATAGAGATGCACAAATAATAATAAAAAAAAAAAAAGCCTGTTTGTGACCATTATATTTATCACACATGGAAATCATAAAGTCTAAAATATGTTATGCTTCCCTTGTCAAATCTAAATTTCCTAAAACGTCAATGTTTGTGCGACGAGAATACAATGAGCGTCTTAAAATGTGACGTAAATTTGATGAAACTCTTTTTTTAATTCTTTTTCACCAGTAGAACCCTAATGTTTACCTTAAAACGATGCCTCTGTAGAAATTCCCTCTATTATATCAAACGAGAATTATCCAGCTCGACGTGCCACAGAGCGTCTTCGGAGAACACCAAAAAGAAAGTGACACATAATAATTCACCTATATGGTCCACCCAGTTCCTCTCGAAAAACAAGCAAGACAATGATACACCCCGAGCTGACGACGATAATGCGTTTATCGGCTCCTTCTTTACAAACCAGACATGGTTAACGGGTAAAATGGAATGGTTGGACGATTTACCGTCTGTGGAAGCCATTAATTCGAAAATGTTGGATCTGTACCCTCAATTTGCCTCACAATTCACTCATTTGCGTGAAGGATATGAGAAAATGTGGGAATACCTGACCATGGAGGACTTTCGAAAGATTGTGGACGAGATTAACAAGGACGCACACGATGCAACAAAATTTCCTGAACTGAACAAGGATGCCATTGTCAGGTAAAGTCGAGATGGATGGAGATCACGTTAGGAGAAAATCTAATATGTAAAAAATAGGGAAGGAACTAGTTTATCAAGGCAAGAACAGGAATTCATCAGGTTACGAAAGCAGTTACAAAAGCAATCGTTTGCCAAGTTTATTGGAGAGGATGTGAATAATATTGATGAACGAGATATACCCGTGGTTGGATTGGCATCAAGTGGAGGAGGATATCGTGCCATGATTGGTTTAACAGGTTACTTGGATGCAATGAAAAGGTCAGGCGCACTGGATTGTGTCATGTATTTTGCTGGTATATCGGGATCATGCTGGACCATGGCCATGTATTATAATCAACTGTCAAAAGCAAACCCCCAGCAATTGGAAACACATCTAAAATCACATGTCAATACGCATTGGGCAAATATGTCCAATTTTATCAACCTGCTGACTTCATCACCCGAAAACAGTAAGTTACTGCTGCAGGGTGCCATTCAACGTTTTCATCAACAGAAAGGTGATATCAGTTTAGTCGATATCTTTGGAGTATTAATGGGTCAGACATTGCTATCGAAAAAGAGAGAGACATTACCTTCAGAAAAGGAGGGAAAGGATGCTACCAGCAATCGAGAACAATCCCAGGTGGGCGAATTCGAAAAACAAGACATGTATTTGACAGGTCAATCTCAGTTTTTAAAGGATGGATCAGAACCTATGCCAATTTATTGTGTGGTTCGACATGATATCACACTAGGAAGATCATTAGAGGATCGATTGCGAGAATTAAAGGAGAAACGTGATGATACAAACAAGGCAGCAGAAATTGAACGTATTGAAAAAAAGGCAAGAGAAATCCAGGATGCCAAAGAAAAGGAAGGTTATCAATGGTTTGAATTCACGCCCTATGAAATGGGATGTGAAGAAATTGAAGCATGGATTCCCATGTGGTCTTTCGGCCGCAAATTTGAAAACGGAAAGAACGTTGAGAGGTTACCAGAACAAACACTAGACATTTTAATGGGGTAAGAAGAAAATGATGATGTTTGAGTCATGTTGTTACGGACTAAAACTTTGTATTTCGTAGTATGTTTGGATCTGCATTTGCAGCAAGTCTTGTTCATTTCTATCAAGAAATCAAGAGTCTTTTACCTTCTGGCTCGCTTGACAAGATTGATGAAACCATCACACGCTATGAAACCTCCATGTCCAGTTATCACCCAATATCTCCTTCCTCCTTCCCCAATCCATTCCATGGCATATCGGGTGAATTCAAGTCCAAAGAGGATAAGATAGTCAAGAGACCCAAGGCAATTACTGGTTCCCGGGATTTATACTTGATGGATGCTGGTATGGATAACAATATTCCATTTTATCCACTGCTGCGTGCAGGTCGAGATGTGGATGTGATTCTTGCCGTAGATTTGAGTGCGGATATACAGACTGCTACTCATTTTGATCGTGCAGAGAGTTACATCAAGAGAAGAGGTATCAAGGGTTGGCCATTAGGTGCAGGATGGCCAAAAGATCACGACAGCAAAGAAAAATACCCCCTGGGATCTTGTACTATATTCGAAGGAGAATCCAAGGAAACCACTGAAACAACAACAACAAATACTGTGAAAAGAGAGCATCCAATCATTTTGGCTTATTTCCCATATATTGTCAATAACACATATGATCCCAAATTTGATCCACAAGAAGAAGAATTCTGCAAGACCTGGAATTTTGTCTATACACCTGATCAAGTGGAAAAGGTCACTGGATTAGCCAAGGCCAATTGGGATGACAATCTGGATAAAATTAGAAACATTCTCAAGAAAACGTGGGAAAGAAAACGAGATGAAAGACTTGGGGGCGCATAATAAGAGGTTTTATTTATTTAGGATATATGTATGTAGGTGAAATAAAAAAAAAAAGAAAACTATTGGATATTGTGTTCCATACGATGTAATTGCTCCACTTGTTCAGGAGTGCCACTGTTTTCAATAGTACGAATTAAAGCAGGATATAGATCCCAATCAGCATTGGAGACAGAGTTATTTATCACCTTGTCATTTGCTGTAGACTTGTGATATGTGTAGCAAGGCAGACTATTTCGCTTAAAACGATAGAGGGCCGGATGAGTTAAATCATCCTCAGTCATAGGATGTTCAACAACAGCAGTTTGTTGTCTTGGAATAATAGATGTTTTCATTGTTATATAGGTAGGTATTTAAAAGAATAAAGAAGACACTTGGGAATAGAGAAAAAGAGATATTTATATATATTAACAGTTTGCATGATTTTTAAAAAAAAGAAAAAAAGAAAATCACCCCACGCTTTGACACAGTCGGAGTACAATATGGAACCAATTAATGCTCGATATCCTCCCAGTCACGGCCCTTTACAGTGGAAAGTTCTGTTTCCGTCATTACCGTTCCGCTTGTAAAGTAACCTGATGCAATTTTGGCATCAATTTCAACTCTTGAATCCGCAGGGATAAGTTCGTCGGGAATAGGGACACGCTCAATAATAGGAATACCCGATTCGACAATGGCATCATGTTTCTATAAAGAAATATTTAGTGTTTCTATTGCTTTTTTGTTTGTTTCATTTCTCTTACCATATTAGACATTGACTGTGAAAGAAAAAGAAAAGATTAGCAAAAGCACACACACTCATAATACAATAAGACATCCTTACCATCATACGGTCAATCTTTTGAATACCCAACCAATGCAAGACATCAGGCATTAAAGCCTGGAAACGCATATCCTTAACACCTGCAATACATTCGGTACGTAAAAAGTAGTTATCGGCTGTGTCACCACCAGCTTGTCTTTTACCTGTATCACAACAAAAACATGTTAAAACTCCGTGTTGTTCCCCACACACACACACAATATCAAAATAAACTTACGGGCATTATACACCAAGTATTTTGTAACCTCGCCTAATGCTCTTCCTTCCTTACGGACTAATGAAAACATAAGTAAATAAATAAATATAAACGTTGGGAAGTAACTTACAATAGACGATAACACCAACACCACCTTGTTGGGCTTGTTTAACACACTCCTCAATACCAAAGATTAAGTAAGGTCTGCATGTACAGATATCACTACCTATTTATAAAAACATATTTAGTTTACATATTATTGCTAAACCCTAAACATTCAATATTTACCAAATACATCGGAACCGTTACATTCATCATGCACACGAAGAGTTAATTTCTTGGTAGGATCTAATTATATCTACAGCGTGAGCAAAAGTAGTTGATATTTGAACAATGAAAATAGTGACTTACCAGAGATAAATTCAGGGTTACCAAAGATGTACACACTGATACCACCAATAGGAGGCAAGTAAACTTTCAAATCAGGTCTAGTAATCAACTCGGGATACATTCCACCTATTATTGAAAAAAAAACGATAAGCAAGTGATATAAAGGATAAGATGAGATACATGTATCACATACCAGTATCTTCACTATAATCAAATGATGAATTAGATTATTTTATCTTTTTTTTTTTTGGATTAAATAAACTTACAAGAGAGCACGACGAAGCAAGGTTTCTTCAATACCGAATCTCTTTGCAACACCAGGTAAATACCATACAGGTTCAAGGGCAGCCTTGGAAACAGCCAAATCACCACGTGCGTTTACAACGATCTTACCATCCACCGTCAAGTTTCCAGTCTGAACATTCATTTCCATTTCGGCCATTGTCATATGAGCACGAGTGATAGCAATAGTAGGTCTATAATATACTTTTCCCCATAAGTAACAGACACAAACAAATGATTATAAGAAACAAAAACACATACCTGACGTCTAAACCAGCCTCATACTCGGCCTTGAAAACAGCAGGAGCAACATGACCAAAAGGATCAATGGAGACGATTTTCTCAGGATCAAACCAAGAAGCGTGAGGACCGATTTGGTAGGTAGGTTCGGTCATGTCGAAGTTGGGTCTGTAATTAGAAGGCAGGTCACCAATGGCAACAGCCAATGCACGATAGATGCAGTAAGAACCACCATAGGCACCGATAGCATTTCTTTAAGAAAACGTTTTACGGGTGAGTACAAAATAGCATATACAAACACACACAACTCTACCTCTTTTTGATACTTTCGGCGTGACGCGAAGCAACAATTGGGCCTCTTTCCTTGGCGCTTTTAGCTCCCCAATCAAGAGAGATAGGCTTAATACCATGTTGACCAGGATAAGCTAAATATATATATATTTGTTAGTGTATTTTTATTAAAAGATAAGAGAGGGGTAATATACTTACTAGTCAAGATAACACGGCTAGGATACATTGAGGTAGATGATTGGCTGGTAGGAGAGCTTAAAGGCTTTGATGTGACACTGTCACCACCATCATCATTAATTAAAGCACTAATGGAAGTGGAAGGAGATAACTGATCATCAAACTTGGGAGGAGTAGCGGAAGACAATTTTTCAAACTAGATAAAGAAATAGCAAAAGTTAAGTATGAAACTTACCCCTCATCCTTTTTTATTAAATAAAGCTTACCTGGTCTGCCAATCTTAATTGATCAAGTCTTAAGGTTTCCATGGTAGTTAACATTTTTTGGAGGATGGCCTCATCATTAGAGATAGTCATTTTTTTTAAGAGATAATCAAAAGGATAAAGAAATGAATAAAAAAAGAAAAGAAAAGGGGGAGAAAATACCTAGTTTTATAAGTCAAAAAAAAAAAAACTAGAGAAGGGAATAAAACGAGTTGTTTATAGAGAGATAAGTCATGGGATTGTAAAAAATAAATAAATCACAATAATATACATGGTATTTTTTTTAATTCCACATGATACGCTTATCATCAATGCAAAACCTTAATATCTCTTACAATTTAATTTACCCTTTTTTTTTTTTTTTTTTTTAATTCAAAAGATAAATTTTCTCAAACGTTTCTTTCTTTCTTTAACAATTTATTCTTTCTTTTCCTTAAAAAAATAATCACATAGAAAAATGACTCTCACCAAAGCTGTCCATGTTAGCAACCATCCTATTGTTGCTTACAAGTTATCTCAATTAAGAGAAAAGAACCAGAAACCCAAGGTGGTTAGAGAATTAACTCACGATCTTTCTCTTTTACTGGGTTATGAAGCTTCTAGTGATATCACATTAGTCAAGGGACAACAGGTAAGATTAGAGCAAAGTGTGTGATGTTTATCTCACACGTAATATTTTTAGGCTACAAGTCAATATGGTAACTATCAAAGCTCCGAGATAAGAGAAAGAGTAGGTTTGGTTCCTGTTCTCAGATCAGGCTTAGGCTTTGTTGATGGTAATACAAAGAGAGAGAGAGAGACATTTTGTAAGATATGTGCGTGGGAGATTTAATATTGTTATTGTTTTCTAGGATTCTTGAATTTATTCCCGGATGCACCTGTTTTACACTTGGGTATTTATCGTGAAAAGGTCTCTCATCAGCCTGTTGAATATTACAACAAGTTACCTGATGTGCCTAACGTGGATGTTTGTTACGTGTTGGATCCTGTTATTGCAACTGGTAATACAGCAGTAGCAACCATTAATATGCTCAAGGAGTGGGGAGTGACTGGCTCTCAAATTAAGTTTGTAGCTATCGTTGGGGTAAAGTATTCTTTATACAATATATCATTATCAATACTAACAGCTATTTAGTCTAATCAAGGTCTTGAACAGCTTCAAGCCGAGCATCCCGATATCAACATTTATGTTGCAGCTATCGACGAAACACTTGACACGAATGGGTAATACATACATATACATGGTATATTTTGGTGTACAAAAAATATTAATGACTAAATCTTAATAGATACATTAACCCTGGCATTGGAGACTCCGGTGACAGACTCTGGAACACTGTTTAATTTTACCATTGCCGGTCGCATTTTTTTTTATAAAAAAATAAAATACACACACAATATTATTTTTTTCGCACGCACACAATCTTTTTCTTTTTTTTTTTTTTCACTGATAATGTCTTGTTTATCTATCTATCATAATCCCCGTTGCTCAAAGTCGCGTACTGCGCTTGCTTATCTTGAGCAAAACCAGTCAAAATACAATTATACTATTGATGTTATCTTGTACCAAAAAGAGCCTCCTACTCGTGTACAACTGGAGAAACTATCCAGCTATCTCGGTTTAACTAACAAATCAGTCGAGGAAGCGCCCTGGAAAATCTTACTCCGTCCTGACGCTCAAAAATTGGCTTCAACCTGGGAAGAAGCTTACCAGCTTTTGGAGTCTGATCCCAAACATCTTGAACGTCCATTCATTGTTGAATTCAAACAGGGTAAAGCTGCATTAGGTAGACCAGACCTTACTGATGTCGAGGCTCTTGTTCAAAACTTGTGACTCGCTTAATTTTTTTTAAACATTTTTTTTTGGCGGTAACTTGGCCCCCCCTTGTTAAAATAATAAAATAACCTCTCTCCTTTTTGCTAATTAACCATGAACTGTTCAAGACACGTATTCACCAGCATTCGTACATATGCAACAAAAAGTAAAACCACAAATTTAAAGTGGAAGCCCAGTGTACCTGTTCAACAAACAACTCTTTCTGACGGTAGTATTTTCATTGCACGTCAACCTCTTGTTGAACCTAGCGTTCAAGCCGACGTCGCCCCTCTCATCAATAAAGCCTCTGCTACTGTCGCAAAAAAATTATCCGAAGCTGAAATCACCCAAATGCGTCAATTAAGAGAAGCCGATCCTTCCACATGGACTAGATCCAAGTTGGCAAAGAAGTTTGGTTGTTCTGAATTATTTGTCAGCATGGCTGCTCCTACCAAAGTCACAGTGATTGCAGAGGATCAAGCTCAATCCGTTGCAAAGCACGGTTATAGACGTGCATTAATCACACAAGAAAGACAAAAGAGAAAGGCCCTTTGGTAGACGAAACAATATCGGGAGTGGATTTTTTTTTTTTTTTAGTTTATTGATATACCTATTAATAAAACAAAATTGTAATATATAATACTGTTGAAGGCTCCAAGAAGCAGGTTAATTTATTGTTTGCGCTGGCCTGAGAGAAATGATGGTTTCATGGAGTGTTAAGAAGATTTTCCTCGTCGCCATTACAATTACACTTCTCTTCTGGATCATGTTCAAGTCTTACGTTATCGATTTAAACGACGTGCTCAACAAATATAACAGATGATTTATTTTCATTTAAGGAATATTACAACAAGATAGTATATGGATTCATGATAGAAGAGCGTAGAATAAAACTAGTAAAGGTGATTCTCACTACTGATATGAGGCTCGAAATTTACTTTTCGCATCATCATTTCGCATCGTCCCAGAACCGACTACCATGGCAAAAATTCGAATGCGAATCAATTTGTTTCATATCTTGCGTTTCTAAGGGCCGTTTCGGATTGATTTCAAAAGTAGTTGGTATCATAGCAGTAAGTTGACGTGGTAAATGTATAACACACACAATGTTATTTGACCACGTTATACATCTTTGACATCGAATAGCACATTGCAGCTCTCTTGTTTTCTTAGTCTTAGCTGGTTTGATTTTAGCGTACTTGTTAAGATGCAAATTATTCTCATGAAGCGAAACGGACGCAATTCATCTTAATATATGTCCCAATAAGCTTCCCTTCATTACATATTCATCTTGTAATAATAAGCGAGAGCTATTTGTATTAAATAAGCATAATTATGTGGATGGTATAATGTATTAAAAAAGGCACATTGTTATATAATTTGTTCTGGTAAATTAAATGTATTGCTGGGACCTATATACAATGTAGCCATTGCAAGGGGCTGTTTGACAGCTCCTGGTACCAAGAAAGTTAGAAGAGTACTTAACGGCCAGATGATTGAATCCTGAGTATCATAATCAGTCATAATCAGTTATAGAGTGTACATATGTTCAGAGTCTTAGTCATAACCTTTCAAATACACTAGTAGAATTGTCAGAGTCAGTGATTTTCATAACAGCCTTTCCCCTCGACTAATATAACTCATCACTTGCATGTTCAGAGCTTGCCCTGTGGCTAGTCATTTATAATCCTACCTTAGTATGTGCAGCCTTTAAAGCTGTTTTTATACTGGAATGAAGAGTCTTACAGTGGTTCTGTAGAGATGCGTTTGAACTTAAAAGAAAAGCAAAATGATCATAATGAAAGCCTTTTTGACACTAAATTGTTTCAGAAATAACTCAATAGCTGGGTGACGGTGGCATTTCATCTTTACGTTTTTTGAAGGTTTCATCAAGGAACCATTTTATAGTATTACATACTCTTTACTACTCCTAGCAAGTGTGTTTGTATAGAAGAACGTTTTAAAGAAAAAGAGTTCCTGCTCTGACAGACGAGGTAAGACTAACAAACTACGTGTGACGGGAACTTCCAATTTTTATTGTGTAAATAGTAGGGCATTGCTACCCACAACTAACATAAGTATAAGATTACTTTATCATTCGGTACAGCGAAGCCTCTTTTTCTCAATTTATTGTATCACTCAAGTGTCATTTCTCCTATTTTAGACTATCCGCATTTTTCTTGTATAGATGTGCTTTAATCCCACGAACACGCATCATTACGTAACACTTGACTCTTTAATTACAAAGCCCCTTTTTGTCTCTTGCTCTTGCTCTTAATCAAAACAAGGCGCCAATAGAAAAGATGGCTTATCGGTCAAAATAGTCATTGATAAGAAGGGATAGTTTGTAATAAATGTAACACGAATTGCGACAGTTATATTTCCTTATGTTTTATCCGCATTAGTTTGCAGGGTACACATTGACTGAAAATATTGAAAGTAACAATTTATATTTATAGACGGTATTTTTTTTTTTTTTTTTTTTTTTTTTTTTTTTGCATAATCTCCTTATCTGTTAGTTATTGATTAATTAGACTTTTAGTTACACAGAATGATTGAGGCACGTTAAACTTTTTTTTTTCTTGAATTACTGAAGTAAAATCATAAAATGGATGCTTGATTGGAGATATTCCGAGATAATAATATAAAATTGGAGATGCAGCAGAAAAAGATGGAGGCAAAAATGGGATTGATAAATACATGTTGTTCTTAAAAGTACGACTAGTCGAGTAGTACGGTTGTAACCAAGTATAAACATGTCAGTATTTGTGAAACGGGTCATTGTCAGCTGGTCCATTTGAATCAAGGTACTGTTCATCTGGCTCCACAAAGATAAATGCAAAGCTCAAATACAAAAGAGACAGGCAAAACGAAAAATAAAAAACCTTAAGTAACAAGTCAAATGTTTATGTGAGAGCTATCCCTTTACAAAGGATCAATTTTTTTTTAAAAATCAAAATATGAAAAAAGCTTTATTCAAAAATGAATCTAGAAGAAGAGACAGATATCTTGAAAAGGCGCGGCTTGATACTGAAAACTAGGACAAATGGAAAACGCGTGCTGACAGGAGTCAAATTCGAATCAATACATACGAAAGAAACTCGAACAAGAAGTATGTAAAATATATACCTAGATAATTGTCTTTGCACTGTCATAAAATCAAAACTTATTCTAATCATTTTGGAATTTTTAGATAAATGAATTTGCCGCTAATGTTACCAAAAGATAATCCTCTGAGCAGACTGAGGAAGGGCGCCAACAAAGACTTGAGGCGATTGCGGAGAATAACGAATGTTGGGCAGCAGTTGTTAGAGATGGAAGACGAATCCCTTGATGTCACACACGATGCATCTAAAAGACGAATAAGATCACTAGTTTTATTAATGAGAAATGTTAATTCTCAAAATCATGGGAAGTCAATAGCCGAAAGATAAGTAAAAATGCATGTATCAATATACAGTCTCAGGAGCTTCAGACCAGTATTCTTATTTGCAACTTCTTGATGCTCTATGTTCCCCCCCCCAAAAAAAAGACTGGTCATTGATTCCTTATCAAATTCCGTTTGTTTTGATGGCAAACCATGTTTTACGTGCTTATGAAAACTCAAGGTTTTGGAGTAAAGGGTACTCCTCTGATTATTCCCGGATAGCTAAATATTTTAAAGATCAATGCTCTGTCTGTATTTTCGTTGTGCTCTTCTTCCAGAAGATATTTAAACTTGGATATTTATGGGTTTGGCGACCGAGTTTGGGTATCAAGATGCTTAAATGCAAAAAATAGGGATGCTGCCTTTAACTCGTTTTTTGAAGTATCAGCAATGATAAAAAAGCTTTCCTCGTCTTATGGTCTTGATTTTGCGTACTATACATGGTATCTTCTCAGGTTTAAAAACTGTTCGTCTGGTCGGAAATTTGAGCAAGCATACACCATCTTTCACATGTCAACCTGTTGATGCACCTAAAAAGCGTAAGGACAATTCTCGACATACGCATTCCACGCAGCCAAAACAAATATATTATGTGATAAATGAATTTTAAAGCTCTCAGCCAATCAGATGTTTTGTATATTTTTAAGACAAATGCAAGAACACAAAACGGTAAGCGAGTTGGCATTTTAGAAATACGTCAGCTAATTTTTTTTTATTTGTGATACAAATGGATAGATTGCTAAACATCCGGACGCCAAAAAACCGTTTGGATGGTCACACCATGAAAAGGCGTCTTTTTTTTTTTAGAACTCCCTTTTTTTTATGTTTGTTTCCTTTTTCTTCTTTTTCTTTACCCAATTTTTCTTCAAGACACGGTAAGTTTTGACATAGTTATCAATATTAATTGGCTGTTAATTGTGTGCTGTGAAGTGTGGTTGCGTGATAATATTTTAGCTGCAATCTCCTTTGCTTTCCTATTTTATTCAATTTGCTTAAATACCAAGTTGGTAAGACATTCACCCCCCCCGTTTCCCCATTGCTTTTTTTAATCAATTAATCATATTTCTTTTAGTTGGTTCTCTTTTATTGTGTTCAATCCAAGAATTTCACCTGTAGCGACCAAATACTGCTCTTTATACCATGGCATCATTAACTGAAACAATCGAACAGTTACTCAATAGACAAGTGTCTTTTCCAAATCTTTTAGAAAAGCGTGAAATTTGGAATCGTAGCGATGCTGTGAGTATAATGAAGGCAGCCATTAAGAATGTAAAAGCAAAAAAAAAAAAAAACCATGAACAAGTCAAAGCATTTGAAGAAAAATGGCAAATTGTAAGTCTTCATACATAAAAGCCAAGTATGTAGAAGCTAAACCATAATATAGTTTCTTGAATCTACCGAAGCTGAGGTGTTTTTTGAGGCCCAAAAAAATAAGCAAAACATTATACTGGAGCGTCTGTCTGAAATGAACTATAGTTCGCGTATCAGACGCGCTTATTTTGATAGCGAGGAGTCTCAGTCCAAACGACCTTGTATTTCATTAGAGGTAAGTAGAATTTATTGGCAATTGTTTATTTTTGTCGTATTAATTGATCTATATTGCAAATCTAAGGATAATTAGACTGTACCATCATCTGCTAATGAAACTAAGATGTATTTGGTGAGGAATACCTCCGTTCACCCAACCAAGAAGATGTTGACCGTTTGTTGCGAGTTGGAGAAGAGAGAGGATTCCCAGGCATGCTTGGATCGATTGACTGCATGCATTGGGAATGGAAAAATCGCCCAACAGCTTTGCATGACCAGTACATCGGCAAGAGCAAGAGGCCCTCTGTGATTCTGGAGGCCGTAGCATCACATGCCCTCTGGATCTGGCATTCGTTCTTCGACCTCCCTGGGTCACTTAATGACATCAATGTCATCAATCGGTCTCCTGTGTTTACAGACCTGGCAAAAGGTGTAAGCCCCAATGTCAGGTTTGAGGTAAATGGTAATACCTACACGAAGGGGTTTTTTCATCAGCTGGCCCCATGGATGATGAAGCTAAACCGCAATCATCTGACCCTACTGGGTCACCCACTGTCGATCCGTCACTACAGATCATTACAAGTACAAATATCTGGGCACTATGGACAGACTTTTTAAATATGTTTTTTTAAGGAAGATGTGGATGGTTTAGAAATTAACGATTACAGGTGAGTTAAAATTTATCAATGATAATTAATGTTGCTAATTTGTTTTTTAGCTTGGAATATTTAGGAATAGTTCAATGTGGCGAAAATATAGGCAATAACCAAAGCAGAGCAACATATCCAAAAGACCTAGTTCAAGCTACCAATAATTTTTTGAAAGAAAGCAAGCAGGATGTTTTTTCTAGGTTTAATAGTCATTATACGGAATGGTTCAACGCTTTGGTAAGCGGGTAAAAAAAAAAAACTGTAATTCAACTAATTATTAATTTTTTTGTGACAGAATAATGATATCGACCATTGCCATGCATTATTATTGAAGAATTCTTTACGTGTAAAATCTACAAACGATTTTACTCTCAAATTCTGTCATGATATTGTAAGTTTTTTTTTATTACTGCTTTTAGTTACATATATTGATTTTATTCTTTTTACCAAGTGTCACTCAAGTATTCAATCCGCCTGAAATAGCTGAACAAGAATCAACATATAACCATAGATTAGTGTTCGGGATGAAGATCGAAACTCCCGAGCGAGCTTCGATCGTGTTCCAGTCGAAGCTCCCTTGAATCCAAAATAAGTGGCGCATCCTCGAGTGCAACAGCTCGGTTCGAGTTTTGTTCGAATTGGCGCAAGATCGGTGGAAGCTCGAAAAGATTGAACACTACCATAAAGTAATTTGGAGGTTCATGGACACCATCAAACTTGTCACTCCATACTGTAAATTCATTCCCGGTGAGACTCGCTTACAAGCAATAAAATTTGAATTAGAGCGTCGACGCCTTTCAACTTCCAGTTTTTACAATGCAGACGGTGTCCTCATTGACAATAGTTCTGGCATGGAGCTTGCGCTTTTGGAGACGACAGGGCCATTTGGCTTGAAAAATATCCCGCGTGAGACCACTGACCACGCAAAAGCGGTCTATGGACTTATGGCGATGTTACACAACATCGCTTACACTTATATTTATGCCGATGCTGATATTTTTTTGAGGCTTAGAGTATCTTTATTCATGCTGCCGGTGAAAAATACGTCTTTGGTCCTTTGGGTTAGTTAGCAAAGAGCTGTACATGTAATGGCAACCACGTTCATCCAAGGTTAAATCTTCAGATTTAAGAATTTGACCATGCTATATTGTCATGAAAAAGATGCCGCTAACATGATTGCATGTTCTCGTCATTAAAAAACCAGTGGATGCTATATCCGATAATGATATTTCATTCCGATCTTTAGGTACGTCCCCTTTGGTCTTTTATGCTCGGTACATGTTCAGGTATTAAATATAAATCATTAAAAGCAATGCGCATCTTACCGCATGCAAAGTGAAATGTTACCCACAAGTAATGTCGATTGCAAGGAAAAATTTAAGAATATCACGAATATGATGTGGGAATTAAAGGTTTGATGATTATTATATTTATCAAGATTTGTTTATTAACTTCATATCAAAAATAAATCAAAAATAGACTGGAATAGATAACTCTCATGACTTATTGCAAGAGATAAAAGAATCTCACGAAACAAATAGATGGCTTGTGGACGGACGTCTTGAAGGCTACCAAAAGGTCGGTAGATTAGATGATTTATTAGCAGATAGTGTCGAAGTGAAGTTGTCTTCTCGCGTTTCCGAAGCAGACCTCTTTATCCGGATTTACCTCTTCATCCGGATTCACCTCTTCATCCAGATTCACCTCTTAGTCCAGATTTACCCCATAGTGTTCAGTAAAATATAAATAAATACGTATAAACCATCTCCCTCTTCATTTGAAGCAGTGTTGAAAGAGGAAAAATTGTACCCAAACATACTTCTTGTCCGAAATTGAAAAAATAGAGACGCTAAATGGTTACTTGCCTGTAAAACAAAAAAAGTTAAGAAAAGAAAAGGGGTATTCTTGGCGCACCTGCTGGCGCACCCAAATCGGGCTTTAAAGTATAATTCTTACGTAATATATTCATTTTGGGTGCGCGAAAGCAGTGTACCGAGCTATTACATAATATTTTTATTTTATGTGCGCGGAATGAGTGCGTCAAGAAAGGGACAACGTATTTGTACTATATTTTATAAGCAACAGTACTTTGCTCAAGGAGGTCCCTTCTTTTAATTTTAGTCCTATTTACATCTACCAAAAAAATGGACATTTTTGAAGTAACAGAATAAAGTAATCACGAATGGTCGAAACCTTTGGAATCGTAAGTACTTTTACTATTATTGTGCATTCGCGTTTCATTGCCGATGAGTATGAAAGAAAGCATAACATGGTATTCGTTACTGTTGGATTAAAGCTAAAAAGCAATGACATCTTCTTAGTTTAAAAGCAGTTTGGTGAAAACAAAGTAGCCGAACAGTAAAATATGTATCGCTAATTGTTAATCTTTATCATAAGCATGCTATGAAGGAATAACTTGATCTATGTGAAACTGATTATATGCGTCAATCTTATAAGATTTCAAATAAATATAATGGTGGGACCTGTGATATTTAAAGAAGGCCTTATTGTATTTAAGTAAGACATAAATACCATCTGCCATAGCGCATGCTTCGCTTGACGCACCCATTCCGCGCACATAAAATAAAAATATTATGTAATAGCTTTCGCGCACCCAAAATGAATATATTACGTAAGAATTATACTTTAAAGCCCGATTTGGGTGCGCCAGCAGGTGCGCCAAGAATACCCCAAAAAAAAACATATCGGCCAATGGCAAACTCGAACATTGGAAATTTGTGAACCCACAAAAAAAAACTGCAAAGTCGCATATTGTTACCGTGAGCATTGTAAATTTATTAGGTGGGCAATTGAGGTTCTGAAAAATGACCAAGTGATCTTCAGAAAAGTTATTCTGTGGAGATGCGTTTGAACTAAAAAGAAAAGCAAAATGGTCATTATGAAATACGTTTTGACATTATATTGATTTCAGGCGTAAATCATTTAGCTGGGAAACAGTAATATTTCATCTTTACTGTTTTTTTAAAAGGGTTCGTTAAGGAACTAATTTATAGTATTCCATGCAATTTACCACTCTTAGTTCATAAGTAAGTGTGTTTGTATAGAAGAACGTTTCAAAGAAAGAGAGTCCCTGCCCTGACAGACGAGGTAAGACTAATGGACGACGTGTGACGGGAAATTCCAATTTTTATTGTGTAAACAGTAAGACATTACTACTCACAACAAATAAAAAGGAGTTGTCCATGAATTAAAAAACAATAATTAACCAGTACAAGATTACGTTATTATTCGGTACAGCGAAGCCTCTTTTTCTCAATTTATTGTATCGCTCAAGTGTCATTTCTCCTATTTTAGACTATCCGCATTTTTTCTTGTATAGCTGTGATTTAATCCCACGAACACGCATCATTACGTAACACTTGACTCTTTAATTACAAAGCCCCTTTTTGTCTCTTGCTCTTGCTCTTAATCAAAACAAGGCGCCAATAGAAAAGATGGCTTATCGGTCAAAATAGTCATTGATAAGAAGGAATAGTTTGTAATGAATGTAACACGAATTGCGACAGTTATATTTCCCTATGTTTTATCCGCATTAGTTTGCAGGGTACACATTGACTGAAAATATTGAAAGTAACAATTTATATTTATAGACGGTATTTTTTTTTTTTTTTTTTTTTTTTTTTTGCATAATCTCCTTATCTGTTAGTTATTGATTAATTAGACTTTTAGTTACACAGAATGATTGAGGCACGTTAAACTTTTTTTTTTCTTGAACTACTGAAGTAAAATCATAAAATGGATGTTTGATTGGAGATATTTTGAGATATTTAATTTAAATTGGAGATGCAGCAGAAAAAAACGGCGACAAAAATGGGATTCATAATGGGTGTTGTTTTAAAAGTACGATTAGTCGAGTAGTACGGTTGTAACCAAGTATAGACATGTCATTATTTGTGAAACGGGTCATTGTCAGCTGGTCCATTTGAATCAAGGTACAAAAAAAAATGATAAACAGGAGGTACTGTATTATTGATCATCTGTTCCTTTAGTGCTGCCCTTAATACTAGTTTACAAATGACGTTGCCTTTTATTTTTGATGCGCATTAAAAAGTGTGGGAAATGGATTTCAAAAGCGGGTTAAAAAAATTGCTGTTGTGACTAGCTTATTGGGAATAAAACTTCATTGAGCTTTTTCCCGTTACCATCTTTTTCCTTGTCTTATCAATTTTCATTTAAATTTTATTAATCATGCCTCTTAATAAAACCTTAGGAAATGGAGTTGATATTCCAAATGATGATGACTATGATGATACCCCTTACTTTGATTATCATCATTTAAAGGCCATTGAAAACGTGAGCTTTATTTGTTTAGCTTAAAGGATAAGTAATTAAACCTTTTTATTTTCTTAGCATGATAGCAAATACCTTTGCCAAAGCCTTTCTGTGTCACCAGGCGCTAGTCATCTCACAGAAGAACATATTGCTTCTACTTTGTCAAATATTCCTGAAATCCCAACTGCGTCTGTACCACATGCTGCGGATCCAAAGGTTAAATTTGAAGCTAAAGGTAAAACCATTGTCATTTTTCTTTAGTTTATAATTGTGAAACTGATCGCTCTTATCATCAGATAATGCTATCACCACTGAACTTCGTGAGTTATACGGAGCACTCCAAAAATGTCTTGATCTCCGTGAAAAGTACATTATGCTTTCAGGTCAACGTTTAATGGATGATCCTCGTAACAGCGATGATTGGGAAATCTACCCTGCTGCCCCTCCCAAGTCCTGGCCTTTACCCCCACCTGAGGAACTCGAACGTCGTAAAGCTAAAGAGAAGGCACGCGAAGCCGATCCTGTTGCAGCCGTTGGATCTGATTTCGATTTCAGCCAATGTAAAATCCCTGGTGCTCATGTCTACCAATTTGGCGTTGGACCTGAAGGCCATTACCAGGTCTACAAGAACGAACTGGACCAAACCGCCGGACAACCAATTCACGAATTTCCAACCCCCAGAGAATTCTACGACGATATGGATTATATTTTAAGCGTCATTAGTGATGGTCCCGCCAAAAGTTTTGCATTCCGACGTCTTCGTTATCTAGATAGTAAGTGGCAAATGTATATTCTTTTGAACGAGTTCCAAGAATTGGCAGATTCAAAGCGTACGCCTCATCGTGATTTCTACAACGTTAGAAAGGTGGATACTCACGTACATCACTCCAGTTGTATGAACCAAAAGCATTTGTTACGTTTTATCAAATCAAAGATGAAGAGAAGTCAAGATGATGTGGTTATCTATCGTGACGGTCATGAATTGACTTTAAAGGGTGTATTTGAAAGTTTAAATTTAACTGCTTATGATCTTAGTATCGATACTTTGGATATGCATGCTCATAAAGATTCCTTCCATCGATTTGACAAGTTCAATTTGAAATATAATCCTATTGGTGAAAGTAGATTAAGAGAAATTTTCATGAAGACCGATAACTTTATTCAAGGTAGATATCTTGCTGAAATCACAAAGGAGGTCGTATCCGATTTAGAGTCCTCCAAGTATCAACAGGTAGAATATCGAGTGTCTATCTATGGTAGATCGATTGATGAATGGGATAAATTGGCCAAATGGGTTGTTAATAACAAGCTGTTCTCTCCCAACTTGCGCTGGTTGATTCAAATCCCTCGTCTCTACAACATCTACAAGGCTTCAAAGAATGTAAATAATTTCCAAGATATTATTACCAATGTATTCCAACCTCTTTTTGAAGTCACCAAGGATCCTTCTTCTCATCCGGAATTGCATGTCTTCCTTCAACGTGTGATTGGTTTCGATACTGTTGATGATGAATCCAAACCTGAAAAGCCCATCTTTAAGGACTTTCCCCTTCCTAAGGATTGGGATTCAAGTAATAATCCTCCTTATAGTTATTACCTGTACTACATGTATGCCAACACTGCTGCTCTTAACAAATGGCGTCAACTTCGTGGGTTTAACACATTGGTGTTAAGACCTCATTGTGGTGAAGCTGGTGACACGGATCATTTGACAGCTGCATTTTTAACCTCTTATGGTATCAGTCACGGTATTTTGCTTCGTAAGGTCCCTGCACTTCAATATCTTTATTACCTAGCACAAATCGGTATTGCCATGTCACCACTCTCTAATAATGCTCTCTTCTTGACCTATGAACGTAATCCACTTCCACAATTCTTCCAGCGTGGATTAAACATTTCGCTTTCTACTGATGATCCATTGCAATTCCACTTTACCAAGGAACCCTTGATTGAAGAATACAGTGTCGCAGCCCAGATTTGGAAATTATCTTCTACTGATATGTGTGAGTTGGCTCGTAATTCAGTGATTCAATCGGGTTGGGAAGATCAAGTCAAGAGTCATTGGATTGGTAAGGATTGGTATAAGCCTGGTGTAGAAGGAAACGATATGCAAAAGACCAATGTACCTAATATCCGTGTGGGTTTCCGTCATGAGACACTCAAGGAAGAGTTGGATGCACTTCGTCGTTATGCTCCTCGTAAGGATGCTTCTGTTAACCACGAGCCCATGTCCAAACATGATTTTGTCGGCGTTGCCGGTCTTGCTGAATCATCCTCGATCCAGCAACATTTAATGGCTCATAAGGAAGATGATTGGGTTGAGAATGAAATGAGTTCATTCCCTGGTGTCTCTATGGTTGCTGAGCGTGCCAAGTTAAGAACAAATCATTAAATGTGTTTTTTTATTTTTTTATTTTTTGCAATTTATAATAAAGTTTTTTGTTTGTCCTTTCATTTAAAGATTATGTTGGGCAATTAACAAACGGTTTTCCAAGAGTAAAGCTGCCCCATTTTGCATACCCGAAGTAGATATGGAGTGTCTCAAATGGGAGACAATGAGCCGAGCATTTTGAATAGCGTTTTCACAAAGAGCCTCCCGTAACATATCTGTGATGTAATAAGCATTTGCTCCTCTTTGCATGGTAATAAAGCAATAATTGATATTTGCTGTGGTCTCGAAAATATGTTCCAACAGCCCACAATTTAAATCGTCTTGCGCTAATCGACATAATGTAGTATAGCCTGTTAGAGTACCGAAATAGTCAGCCTCCAATAAATCAACATTGCTTTCCAAAGTCACCTCGAATTTATTTTCCCCAGATACAATATTGGGCTATACAAAAAAGAATAATTAGTCGAGCTTTGTAAATATAATAATAACGCAAAGGTGATACTTACAATTTTGGTAAAGGTTTCATAGATATAAGCTGCTGAATTATCTCCATACGCCAAGACATTTAAATGGCATTCTATTAACGAATATGCATGTAGAGGGATAGCCACGGTGTAGGAAAAGAAATGCGAGTTATCCCCAGGTTCTTGATGAGCCACCAGGGAATAATTGGTCATATCTAATTCATCATTGATTCTGATTAAAAGGACGGGTAATCCAGTGGAATTAAGCGGGGTTACGACGACAGGGTTGATGTGACTGATGCATCTCTGGATAGCTGCTTGTAAATTTAAAAGGAGGTCTGGGTATCCCGCTGTACGACCACTTACAGCGTAAGCAGTCGAGTATCTGAAGCTATACACCACATTATTTAGCTTTACCATTCTTTTGTGAGAATCTGTTTTTCGACGACATGATACGCCCGCTGTCACTCTCCAAATAGTCATGAAAAATGTATGTCGATTGTAACCTTTATTGTAGCATGTCATTAGGTACGTCTCATTCTGGTCCAAAAAATAAGCTACCTTAAGAATAGTTGCCGAGGAAGAGATGTTTGCATCGGGCAGCGTTTTATCTTTCCTGCGGTGTAGTACGTGCTGACCTGTAAATGGATTCGGCTTGGTAAGGTTCCAGAATTTAGTGGATTGACACTGGCAAGCGTGGTTGTATTTTGTTTCGAAAAAGCGGACCCGCTGTATACACAATTCTCTTGTTCCTGCTTTTAGATGTGTATCATCTGTTTCTGTGAGCTCTTGAGGAATCTCTGCTCGAATAAACACGCCACATCCATACTTTAGTTGTATATTATTATGTAAAACAAATTGACTTTCTTGAACGAACACTTTTCGATGATCAACGTTACTTGTACAACAATCTAAATGCATACCCGTTCCTAAATCCCAGATATCAACATAGCACTCATTGTAGCTAAATGACACCGTCATAATATAGCTGTCTTTTTGTAGAAACAATACTTGGGTTATACCTGCTATGCTCCGATTTTGTGGAAAAGATAATGTGACTACAACAATCCCACTTTTACAGTCATACACATGTACAGCAGGTTCAATAACAAGTCTTGTAAGGTTATTATTTTCGTCGTACTTCTTTGCTATTGCCACAAGATTAAGCTGTCTCGAAAATGCAGTGAGGTATTGAGAGTCGTCTCTTAATTGATTGTAATGAATCATCTTTTTGTTATTCAGACTCCAGACATACAGATTATTTTTGTGTGACTCTGTATGTTGTAATGACGAAGTAGACACGCAGCAAATGACATTATAAAGTTGAATGTTGTCCATATTCATCTTTATAAATTCATTGTTTTTATCAAATAGTTGATGATGCAAAGGAATATGATAACCTATATTGATAGATTGATCACTAGAAGCTTCAGTTATTTGTGAAAACTGTTCAACATCTTGCTGTTTAATGTTATCTTTGTGTTCCACATCGCTTGGAGAATCATCTTGATCCTGATCAAGAGATATATGATTTTTTACCACTATGTAATCCTCATCTTTTGTATTCCATTCGTCGTTTTCCTTGTCCTCATCATCGTCTTCAATGTTGAAAAATATATCATCGTCGAGAATACTATTCGTTGGTGAATTTGTTAGAGATTGGTACTCTACGGGATGCTTTGGAACAATCACTTGGGGTATAACATTTGTAGAACCACCTTTACCTAATGGAAAAAGAAAGTAGGTGGGCGTCTTATTATCATAGTTGTATGCAGGCGACAGAGAGGCGCTTGTATTTGAAAGGTCGAGTGAAAATTCGAGCTCAAAGCTTTCAATACGTAATGATGGATTATAAATTAAAGCATATACTCTGACTTCGTCTTGGTTGAGAAGAACAAGTTTATTTTCTTCCGCAGTAAAAGAGCAGCCGCCATAGAACTCGATTATTCGAACGGGCATAGTAAGGATGATGTTTATACTGTCAGCAATTTTACAAGGCTGCAAATCCTTTAAATCATAAACCGTGCAATACTTCATGGCCATGTTGGGTCCCAGTCGAGGGTTTGGCAACCATGAAATAGCAAGATAACTTCCATCTTTAGACAAACTCATGAACATGGTTGAATAGGAATTCTCTATGGGGTTTTGAGAATAGCACACCATTTTCACTTCGTCCAAGTTGTTGTCAAACTTGTAGTCATAACCATTAAAGTATTGTCTTGCTTTCCTTTCATTTGTCATATCATCAATTGTACGGATAGGATATATATACACTACACCACAAGCATTTGACTCCTCTTTTAAAATCGCTATTGAATTGTCACAAATAGCATATTTTTTTTGGCTTGTTGTTGTCATATGTTTTTAGTAAAGTGGCTCTGAAAAAAAAAAAAAAAAAAAAAAAAAGAGTGATTTGCATCGCCTTTTTATGCTTTTTGGGTGAGAACATGTGACAAATAAATGTGGCACAGCATTTTTTTTTATGCGAATATCTTCGTTGAATAAACCTGTTGCTTTTTTCAATCCTTATTATATTACTTGATATCTGAACTCAAACTACGTTTTATTTGATAGACAATGTTAATATTGAGATACTTAAAATAAATCATCCTAATGAAACAGAAGCAGTTAATAATCGATTACGCGTCCCAAAAAAAAAAACCAAAAAACTCACCAAATCCTCCTCATTAAACTGCTCCATATCGACATCAACTGCGGCTGTTGAGTCGTCTGCCTCAATCCAGAACTACAAATCAAAAGTGTTAATTTACTGCAGAAAATGAATTGATTTCTTAAAAAGAAAGAGGCACAAACTTTTTCAGCGTCTTGTTTGGTTACATCCTTGATTTCAACATCTGAACATTCCTCACTTGCTATTAAGCCAAGACCAGCCTGTTTAACCATATCCCACATTTGGCGGCGAGGTGTATTGGGCGTAGAAAGGCTGCACCATGATTTTAATTCATGCATCACTGTATTGTAACGTAAAGCATCTTCCTCCTACAATGCTTCTTAATGTACGTTATTATGTATTGACATAAAATAACTTACCTCGACACATGTCTTTCTTAATGCTTCAAGACAGTTCAATACTTTTTGATAATGTTGATTACCAAACGACAAATTCAGTAATTTAAAGATAGATTCTTGCATTAACGTATCTGCCTTTTCTACCATATCTTCTTCTGCATCGGCCTTTAACATGGCGTAATAATCTTCCACGGGTGTACTGAGACCAATTGTCAGCTCGCCTCGGAGTTCGGTCATCATGGTGTCGAAGTTGACATTGCGAGTATCTGCATTAGCTGAATCAAGCAGATCGTTAATGGGGGCTCTATCTTCAAAGTCTGTTACTGGAGCAAACATTTTCTTTTCCTTTGTATCCACTTCATAAGGGAAACGTATGGTGAGTAAAGTCAAAGTATATATATATACATATATAAAACCACTATCCTAAGTTATGCTTACCTTTGATGACATTGAATTTTTTCGCGATCTTTGTGCCAATCTCACCCACCTGTTCCAAGATGACGGGGTTAACTTTAAACTGATCATCAAACCGCTTGTCTAATTCAGGAAGTGGTGCACTAGGATTTACTGCGGCCCTTTTAGTAGCTGTTTTTACTCGCCAATCTATAGGATTATAATTGGATTCTGGTGATAAATAATCGGGTCTATGGGGGGGGGGGATTAATTATTCTAGCCTAAATTTCTTTTAACCATAAACTTTACCCAAGGCTATCATTACTCATTGCATCTACCAAAGACTCCATTAAATTCAAATCTTCCTGATCATCATAGTTTTTGGAAGATTTAAATTTATGACTGCGAATATCATCAGCAAATGGGACCTAAGATATACTTGAGTTTTTTTTTGTTGTTAATGTATTAATAAATTTTTAACTTACATCAATATATTGAAGCACAGGGCATACATCGTCCAGTTCTGGTTGTAAGATACCAATTTTTGGTTGCGCATTATCACTAGTTACGAAACGAACAAGAGCGTAATGACCTGTTTCAAATAATGCCTCAGCAAGTGTGGTAAGTGCAACAGCCGATTGCTCTGTTCTAAATAGCCCAGCGGTTAAAATAACCACATTGGAAAAAAAGTTATATCTAGGTACCTAAGAAAAAAAAAAGAAGGCCAATCAGTGTCATTTCGTAGAATTTTTTTATCCTCTTACACTTTCTGCTTTCACGAAACCGAGAATTGACATTTCCTTTTTAGTGACCAATTTTGACATTGCCAATTCTTCGGAAGATACAAGTACAACCGATTTACCAAACTTGTAGCCTTGTTGAATATCTTCTTTGGATACTTCAATATCTTGTGCATCTTCTCCATCTTTACCGTCATTAGCGCGGATCAAGAATTTTCGAATAGCCTCCACTTTACGGGTTGGGCCTTGACTTAGTCCAGATAACTTCTTTAAAGTAGGTAAAGATGTTTGTTTGGTCCTCAAGTAAGTGTTACTACTGATGGGAAGAAAAGTAGAATTTTCACTTATACTTCCCAAATACATATAACCACGGAATGAAGGCCGAGCACTTACGTCCTTAACATAAATAGTCTGTGTCTGTGCATACGCTTCGTCCAAACTCATGATGTCCCCTTCATGGCCAGATTTGATCAACGCTTGCCAATGTTCATAGTTGTTTTTAACAATTTCATTACAACTTGTAGATTGAAACTCTTCATATTCAGCACCGCTACAAAAAAAAAAAAAAAAAAAAAAAAAAATAAGACAGATGTAATCAAGGTTTCAAGAAGTAAGCTTACACTAAGACGAGCTCAATTTCTGTACTTTTTAACATATCACCCACTGCTGATAAATCAAGCCAATCAATTTGAGTCTGATTGTCAGTAAACATCACAATGCGCTTTGTGTATTTCAACTTTTTGCAGTGTGTTGCGATCAATTCGATAGCTACAATCAATGCATCCAAGACTGACCGTACATAAAAAAATATGTTTTTTTAATAAAAAAAAAGTCGTTGATAAACGTGAATAATCTACATTACCATCAGCGGAAGGGACATTTGGGTCTGCAGTAGTAAGGTTGGAGAGCTCTCGTAACATTTGTACCGAAGACATGACAAGTGGTGTCATAGTAGTAATGTGTTCGTATTGTCCCGGTGTTGCGTCAGAAAGAGCGTTATGAGTTTCTATAGCTCACAATTAGATTATATGAATTGATAGAATTTCTTTCTAGTATTTACCCGGTGTGCCACAGAGAATTATAGAAACTAAATCAGTCTTCCTTCCTGTTAGGACCTGGTTTTATGTTGTTAATTTTTTGAATTCGCGTCAGTAATGAGGGAGACAGTTACTCACTCTGTCTTCAATGGAAGAGGTAATTGTTTTTAAAGACTTCTCAAATGCATTATCAGGAAATAATGACATTTCATGGTGAACATTCAAGATATAACACGTAGCTTTTTTGTTGGCCATGGTAAAAAAAATATTGAGTGAAGAAGTGATATTTTGGTTTCTTGTTTTTTTAGGAGTACCAGTCAAAAAGTTTGTAACCCCGCTGCCTTATTCTTTCTACAGACATGTACAGTAACGCATAATACTCTTGTATGCATATCAAACCCATTCAAAATTATTGCAGTCGATCACTTAGTTAACAGCTTTAAATACAGCTTCATAATTCTATTAGGCATTTATAAGAACATTGTCTGATTTTAAGGCTTTGATGCATACTTTTTCATATTTGTACAGTTAGTTTTTTTCGAACGACCGATATATTTAACAGACTCTAGAAACTAATCCAAGCTATGTCTACCACTTTTATTGTTTTTTGATATGGTATAAAACCCACCTAGAATTTACCTCCCTTCTCTTGCAAGTTTAGAACTATATTCCAGTCTTTCCCTTCATTCGACGTTCATTTCCTACATTCTCCGTAAGCAAGATCAACTTCGATATCTGTAGTCTTGATCGAAAAAGAGTCCCCTGAGCCTTCCAAAAAACGTAAAGTTGGTCACACAAAGCCGATTTAACTCAAACAAGGCACGACAGCGTATCATATTGTCACGTATATTATCATGGAAAACTGTGGAATTTATCACTCTCGTTCTGTTGTTGATGTTATCAATAACCATGGCTATAAATTGGTATTAAATGGAAAGACGTTAACAAACTTTATCGTCTCAAAATAAAATACAACAGTATCAAAAAATAAGGACACCATTTGAAATGAGTCCAGAGAAAGTATAAACTAGTGTCTAAAAATTATTTTAATAGGTCTCAATTTCAAGTAACTAGAAAATTTGGGCCTGGCTGACAAATCGGAAAAAAAAAGAGTACGCAGAGCTATCTAAACAGCTTTAACAAGAAGAGTCAAAGAATGGATATAGGAAGAGAGTTTAGCAATCAAGAACGTCACAAGGGATGGGATGATTGCCTCTACCAAGAGTTAAAAGAACAACGAATGGTGTGAAATAACATCTACAAGTGAATGAAAAGATCAAATTCTTCAACACAGCCAAGTTCATAAATTATTCGTACGTACGTACCGCAAACAAGATGAATACAGCTGCGTTAGATACAAACCATAGAATAAAAAGAGGGAAAATACAGAAAGAGGGAAAGACGGAAGCACCAATTTCTCTGAAGAGGAAACGTGTGACAAGGAAGATAAGGACTAAGCGTTATCACAAGAAGAATTGCAGCAGATACAGATCTGGCATGTTTAAAAGCCATGAATTAGATGCAAGAGAAGGCTCAGTGTTGACTTTTGTGGGGTATTGGTCTAGAAATGGGACATATGTTGGAGGACATGGATGGAGAAGTTTAGAGATAGTTTTGCAAAGGTTTAAATTTGATGAAAAAGGCGAATAATTTATTGTAGATGAGTACAAGTCAACAATGGATTGTACTTCTTGCTTTGAGCCCACAACTAAACAAACAATATAGGTAGGAGACCATAAAAGAAGAAGGATTAAAGGTGCCGTGATCTGCACAAACGAGGCCTGTCCCAAAAGATTGTCCTCTCGTTCTACCACTCAATCAATAGAGACCAAAACGGCACTATGAATATTGCTTTGATTGGTTTCTGTCATCTTGTTTCTGAAGACGGCTCAACTTTGCCACCGTTCCGAAGATTCAATAATAATTCAAACAAGTATGAGATATCAGAAATACGTAATTTTAAGCTTTGTACTAAAAGTTTTGCTTAAAAGGTTTCATTTGTCGAAAAACTTCCAGCTCAATAGTCTGGCAACGTTGCGGTCTTCGCACCAATTTGAAAATCATCGTGTAATCGGGACTTTTAATTGGTTTAAAAAGGTCTCTGTTTTCTTTTTCATTTGAGGCTACAAATAAAAGTGCCTTCTTACTTACTTTTTTTGTTAAAAGAAACCAAGATCGCGTAATGACTTATCACAAATATGTGGTTACTGCACAAAAACCTACAGCGACTCAATTTGCTGTGAAAGGCTCCTTTACTTCACCTTTTGAAACTAATTTAGTACTTGGGTATAATCATCCGTCAAAGCCGCAATATAAAAACCAATAGGCTAACTTCTATATTTCTAGTAAAGGGACACGTATCGAGATATACACCTTGACTCCCGATGGGTTGAAACCTACCATTGAATTCAGTATTTACGGTACCATCATTGCCCTGAAATTATTCACACCCAAAGTAGCAAAACATCCACAGAAAAAGTTTTTGATCCTTTTATAACGCGTTTGTTTTTACATCTTATATAGGGTCGGGATAAAGCTTCGCTCTTCTTAATCACAGCACGACAAAAGTATTGCATATTGTCGTTTGATTCAACTCAACAAATTGTGACTGAATCAACTGGAGAAATTGGATTTCCAGGCCAACCCCATAATGAATGTGTCGAATCAAAGCTGGTCATTGATCCATCCTGCAAATATTTTGCAACCACCCTTTACGAATCTACTATAACCATAATCATGCCTGATATCAATCGAACTAAAGAGCATAGCACACCACAACCATTACGTAAAATATCACTTCGAACAAAAGACGGTAGAAGGCGCCAGACTCAAGATTTGATATTTCAGCATCCACACGATTACATGAATATTAGGTATACCAATAGATTACCAAAGGCATTTACGAGAAAAAAACTCACAATATAAAAATCAGTCTACCTGATAAAAAGGTGATCTCTTTGGCATTTTTACAAGATTCTTTGATAGAACCTGTATTGTTGATTCTATACGATGATTCCTTGGGCCGGCGTTATCTTCAAACATTTACGGTGAATTTGAAGACACGCCAATTGATACCGGGAGATATTGTTATGGATCACTTTGAATCTGATGCAAATCTATTGATTTCAATGCCTGCTGCTGTTGGTGGTGTCGTCTTAATTGCTGGAAAATTTATTCGATACCTAAAACCTAACCAACCTCCTATAGCTATTGGAATTAGACCATCGACCATAAATAGGTTAGTTTTACAGAAGGAAAAAATTAGGAACTTGTCTTAGGGACTGACTACATGTATTACAGCTTCTCAGTTATGAATGAGCAAGGATCTAGAATCCTGTTGGGGGATGCGGAAGGGTTATTACATTTGTTAACATTGAGTATCACAGATAATCGTGTGGATGCGTTATGCTTTATTGGTTTAGGAAGTGTAAGTAAAATCGAGAGTAATGTGGAGAGATGGTATGCCTAACATAATGTATCAAAATCCATGTTTACAGATTTCTACGCCATCATGTATAGTGTATTTGGATAACGATGTTGTGTTTATTGGATCCACTGTTGGAGATTCACAGTTAGTACATGTTAAAAGGACTGAAACTAGCACAGCAGAAAATGGAGAAATCTTGGAAGTCATCGATGAGTTTCCCAACTTAGGACCCATTATAGATTTCTGTGTCGCAGATCTTGATAAACAAGGGCAAACACAGCTTATAACTTGTTCAGGAGTTGCAAAGGATAGCTCATTACGAATTATTCGAAATGGTGTTGGGTTAAATGAATTAGCTGCGATAGAGATTAGTGGTGTAAAAGGCGTGTGGGCATTACGACCTTTATTCAATGATGAACATGATGATATGTTGGTCATCTCGTTCGTCAACCAAACTCGATTATTACAACTACGGGGTAATGCAATGACTCAACTGGATCATCATTCAGGTATAGATTTGAACAGTAGAACATTGGTAGCAGCCAATGTATTGGGTGATATGGTCATTCAGGTGACTGATTGTAGTGTAAGATTGATGGATGCAAATGGTGACGGTCATCTGTTGGATGAATGGGTGCCGGAAGAGCGTACTCAAATCACCGTGGCTAGTGTAAATCCAACTCAGTGTGTAATTTCGATCGGTTATGGAAGACTAATTGCGCTTCAGATTCTGAACAAACGATTACATTTGATTGGGTAAAAAACACAGTTTTTTATATAAGTTGCATGGATTGACTCCATTAAATTTTCACTCTAGCACCACACAACTTCAAAATGAAATATCATGCATTGATATCAGTCCCATTGATTCTGAAACCCCATTTCAATCGACTGTCGTGGCTGTTGGTATGTGGCAAAATGTTGGAGTATGTTTAATTGCGTTGCCTAGTCTCCAATTGATCGCCGAAGAAACGCTTGCTGGTACGGTGATGCCACGTTCTATTCTAATGGCTAAGTTTGAAAATATTTGCTACTTGTTAGTGGCACTGGGTGATGGACAGTTTTACAACTTTAAATTAGACACACGATTAGGCGAATTATCAGATAAAAAGCGATCATTTTTAGGCAAATTACCTATTCATTTGGGCACTTTTACATCTAATGGCACAACACACGTCTTTGCAGCCTCCGATAAGCCTAGTGTTATCCATAGCCGCAACAAGAAGCTGATTTATTCGAATGTCAATTTAAAAGAGGTTCGATGCGTCACCTCATTTAATAGTTTATCCTTCCCCGATGCAGTGGCCTTAACAACCAAGGATAGTTTAATCATTGGACAAATGGAAGAGATTCAAAAACTCCATATTACAAAAATACCCACAATTGATACTCCTCGACGTATAACATATCAGGAAACTTCGAGATCTTTTGGTGTAGTAACTGAAAGAATAACATCTGATCCTTATACCGCCTTGACAACCACGGGCGGATTCGAAGTACTCGATGATCAGACTTTCAAAGGTAGGAGAAGAAAAGTTAGAAGTTTGTGCGAGATAAGAAAAAATGTATTAAGAAGCATTTTAGTTCTTGATAGAGTTTATTTTAAGCAGTTTGAACGACCTCTTGCTGCTACTTCGATGGCATTTGAAAATGACAATAATGAGTATTTTGTTGTGGCGACAGGAAAGGACACAGACGAATTTGAAAATGATAGCGTAGGACGCATTCTTGTGCTTCAAGTGACTTCACTACGTACGTTAAGATTAGTGTGTCAAATAAAAACGGATGGCATGGTAGACTATATAAGACCATTCAATGGAAAATTATTAGCAAGTGTGCGAGGAATGGTAACGTAGTGGATTTCAAAGGGATAAAAAAGTGTAGCGCTAATAGTTGAACAAGATTCATGTTTATAGATGGGAACTACAGATAGGAAGAGGGACGCTTATATCCATATGTTCCAAGAGACTACCTTCAATAACTGAATCCATAGCTACATACAAGGATATAATTATCACAGGAGATATGGCTTATTCTGTGGTGGCTTTACGTTATGATGCGAAGACAGAAAGTTTGGTTGAAATAGCTGCACACGAAAGACTAAAAGAAGTTCTTGCGATTGAGGCTGCTGATGAAAACTTATACATTGCAGCAGAGAGGGATGGACATTTATTTGTTGTAGAGAAGTGCCACGAAGAAGGCGTTAACGACGAACCCATTTTAGAAACAGTCAGTGTGTGGCATCTGGGCGATGTTATCCGAAAGTTTAGATTCGGTAAACATTTTTGTGTCATAATAATTTTATTTGTTTTTAATGTAACTGGGGTTTCTACTTGTAGGATCTTTGGGAATGAATAATGCAGATCCTGACGGCAAACCCGAAGCACCAACACTTATTTTTGCTACAGCAAGTGGGGCTATTGGTCTAATCGCAGATTTAACGGCGGATCGGTTCAAACTCCTGGACCAAATGCAGTATAATATGACCAGAATTGTGAAAAGCATTGGGGACTTAAGCCATACTGAGTAAGCCCCCCCCCCTTTTTTTTTGGTAGCTGTAAAAAACTCAACACTCTTTTTCCATTAGTTGGCGAAGCGTTTCTATAATGGATAGAAAAGACGAAGCCGTTAACTTTATCGATGGTGACCTGATTGAAAGTTATTTAGACTTGACCCCACAGCAAATGCAAGAAGTCGTAGATGGACTTTATGGAGGGCGTAAGCTAGATAAATCTGTGGAGGACCTTTGTAAAGTTGTTGAGGAATTAATGAGTGCTCATCCTTAAAAGTATATTATGCATATAACAAAATTGCTGTAAATAAACCCACCTGCTAGATACATAAGACTGAGTATGTATATTTCATTGTGAATATATTTTAGATCAAAGCGAGAAGAAATTTGGCAAAAAGCAATTCTACTTTCACCTTAGATTATGTCTTAGGTTTTTTACCTTCCTATTTTAGGTTGCTATAATTTTTTTTGTTTAATAGGAAGAGAAATTAAAACTAACAAAAACGCACGTTATCTTGTTGTAAAAAGCTGCTTTGACTGGATGTCATGATTCTTTAAAACGTTGTGAAAATAAAAATAAAAATTCATCCCAAATCAACAAATCCATCCCAGTTCTTTTTATTACATACTAATATGCATAACGGAAAAGATAGCAACAAGCTTAGGCATAAAACTATTATTACTTTTAATGACATTTTTTTTTAAAAAAAAATCATCATTATACTTGCCAATTTTAGTTGGTAGTTTTAATGGGTGATACAAAAGCAGTAGGCTATGGGTTTTCATTTATGATTTTTATTAAATGACTAATAGTTAAATAGTCCAAATCAAGAAATTTAACTTTTGCCACGTCTTTCGACCATCACCTTCATGCCATACCTCATTGGTAAAGTCAAAGAAACTTGGTAGGTAATGTCCTGTCCTGGCATAAGGGTAAACTTGTAACGCTTTACTAAAAATATAATTGCTATCAAGGCTTCCAAAGTAGCCAAATTCTGCCCTAAGCACACACGTGGTCCAGCATGAAAGGCTATGAAATATTAATTCGTAGTCACTGGATAGCTCATTTAGGATACATACCTGGCCATTGGCCTTGTGATTCACGTTTGAGTTCGCCATCATCTGTAATCCAACGTTCTGGTCTAAATATTTTAGCATCGCTACCCCATACTTTTTCTGTTCGACCTTGAACATAAGGACACCATAAAATATAATCTCCTTTTTTAATGCGAGTCCCATCAGGCCATATATCATCATTAAGCGCGAACTTTTGATTTAGAGGTACTGAAGGATAGAGTCGCAGTACTTCATAAAATATAGCATGTGCATATGTCATGCATTTAATTTTTTCATAAAGAGAGGTTGAATCGATTAGATCGTCGTCGGAAATGAACTTTTCAATTTCTTCTAATAACTTTTTTTCCACTCTTGGATGACACATTAGCATATAAAAAGTCCAGGAAAGCGCCTGAGCAGTTGTATCTCTTCCTGCGATAATAAAATTTAAGACAATATCACGAAGCTCGTCGTTGTTTAGCAAATTTCCATTATTGTTTCGAGCATCCATAAAACGAGATAGAAGATCCTTGTGAATTTCGCCAGCTGCTAATTGTACTCTGCGTTTTTCAATAACGTCACGAGCAAAACCATCAACAACTTCCAAATGGTTATTCATATTTGGTTTCCAAGGAGTTAATAGACTAACAACACGCTCGGTGGCAGGCCAGATTGGGTTGACAAATCTAACAAACGTAGTTTTCTGTGCTTCGTCAAATGCTGTCGCAAAAGGAACTTTGCCGGTAGTGGAAAGTGCGTTTAGTTCAACACCAAAGCCTAATTCGATAAAAGAATCAAGGGTAAATTTAAACATAGTTTCATGAAAATCAACTATATGGTGTTCATTGCATGCTTTGTCAAATATGATATTTTGCATGATCGCTAATTCTTTGACAAATACACTATAAATATTGGGTTAGCATAAATAGTTGTTAATATGTTGACCGTGACTCTTACTCTGTAAACTGATCCCTGAAATTTTTAACATTGAATATATGACTTGCTGTTTTACGCTGGTATTTCCATTCTTCGCCATTAGCATTAAATATGCCTCCACCAAAAAGATCTGTCATGGAACCATGAAATTCAGGGCCTTTAATGTAGTTTTCAAAATTATCTAACGGAACAATTTAGTAATATAATAACTATTATTTTGATAGTGCAAGCATACGTTTCAAGACATGTTCAACGTTTTTTGGATCAATTGTACCGATGTGTCTAGGTATACCTATAGCGGATAATGTCCTAATATAAAGATATTAGATACATTAAAACATGATTGTTTATAACAACAACTATTACAATGTTAACTCATCCAAACGAGTGAAACCTTCCAACAAAAAATCATGGAAACGCATCAAATATTCAATAATGATTGGCAAGTTTCCCACAAGGGGCCATCCAGCTTGGGTTTTGATGCCCGGACGTTTGGAATCAAAAACTGCCCTATCATGGTAAATGCAAGCCAAAAGTGAGATGGTAGCAGCAGCGCCTGTCCCAATATATCGTGCAACAGAAGTCATATTCTGAGTAATAAGTATGAAAAAAAAAAAGAAAGAGGAATGTCCCGCTCCGTTTTTTATACACAAAGTTATGTTGTACACACAACGACATGTCTCTAATAGTGGGTGACAGCCTTTTTTTTTTTTTTTTTGTCGATAGTTGTTTACTAGTTTCTTCCCCAGCTTTTCTTGTGTGCCCTTTTCACATGTTACCCAAATTTGATGTGAAGTTAGAGCTGTGACACCGTGACCTGAATTACACAAAAGCTAACACACTTAACTCTTCTATAAACGATATTACGTACAATTTTTTATGTCCCTTTGATAAAAACCCCACAAAAAAAAAAAAAAAAAAAAAAAAAAAAAAAAAAAAAAAAACCAGAGAGAGAGAAATCATTGGGGACCTTTATTTATTGTAAACACTAATATGGCAATCTTCAAAAATGCAACGCTAGACAGGACCACATTTTTTCTTATGCATTTGCATACATTAACATACGTATCCCACGCGATGTTTCATCATTTGACAACAGGTATACTCGATAAGTAAAAAGGCCGAAACACCATTTTATATTTAAAATTATCATTTTATAGAGAGCTCCCAGAAGCTTAGACTACATATGAACATAAACGCATACTTTTCAAAAACTGAAGATAGAGTAGTGAAATCAAAACACACTTTTATGTTTTATATACCATTGTGTATGAGAGAAGAGTTTATACATTTTTATATAAAGGAAAAAAAGGGGGTGGGGTTATATAAAGAAGAAACGGTATGTTTGGGTTGTATGTATATGGGATGTTAATCGCAAATCATGTGCTAGTAATATATAAATATAAAAAAAAAGAGAAAAAGGTCATAAAAAGTCGTCATAAGGTCAAAGGTAACGTAAAGTAAACAAATAAATGTGAAAAAAAAAGCATAGTGTATGAATGTGTGTGTAAAAAAGTGTCACTGTCTTTAAAACTCAAGTACAAGTCGAAAATTTCCGTCTGCCTTAACTTCCAAATCCACAGTCATCATTTCGCCATCGGCAATATGTTCTGCAATAAATGTATCTTCAACTAGTACAAGTACATCATTACCAACATCGTCCTCGGATTTCTTTCTCTTCCATAAGATTTCTGATATTTTGGCTGGATGTAGTGATAGAATAGCGCCCAATCTCACTTTTAACTGATGTGTTGTAAGTTGATGTAGATAAACTTCGTGAGGTGTGCTATGAATATGACGTGTCCATACATAGAAGCATAAGGCAGTAGGTAATTTTTGAAAGGGTTTACTGCTGTTGCGGGACTTCTTTGCCTCGACTAATTCTACAGGCGATGTTTTTTTAAAAATTTTGCTATCGCGTTTGTGCTAAACGCACATACAATAAAAATCATCGGTAATCCAAAATTATATAAATTGTCCAAATTTGGAACTCTGACACATTGAATACAATGGAAGAGCCGATAGAAAATATTATTAGAAATCATTGAAGCAATCTGTCGGCGACAAGCGTACCCTTGAATTCATGTAGAATTCAACAGTCAAGATAAATTTATGGACTAGCAATTCTAATAACAGTCAGCTTTCAAAAGAGTATAAATAGACCCCATTATTTCATAGTTAAAACTTCAGTCAAATAAAGTAACAAGGACTTATAATCGTACCTATCGTACCATTGTTTTTTTTATATACTTTATATTTTTTTATCAAATCAGAAGTAATTGATTTGTAACATTTTTTACGATTATCCTGAATTTTTTTGAAGATGACTCTTGAAGAAAAAGGAAAATCCAGAGCAGAGGGGACAGACAAGTCGGCCGAAATGAACACGGGAGATCCCATGGAAGGGATTGAAGTAGTCAATGAAATCACGTCTGCTGTCAAGGAAGTACAAATTTACAACACTCCACCTAAAACAACAAAGGGAAAGGAGGTAACAATTAAACAACGTATGCAGAGCTACAAGGAGTACCAAGTAAAGATTCGTGATCGTATGATGAACTTAATGGACATCCAGCCAGCATCTTCTTTAATCGAAAAGGAAATCAACGAACATCGGTTAAAACTTGAGGAGGTGACAAATCGGATTTTAACTTTGGAGAGGAGTATGAACCTAGTAGAAACACCAAAAGGAACAAGTGAATCTAAGTGGGCCAGACAGGACAAACAACGCATCAGATCCAGCGAAATCCCAAAATTACAATTAACAACATTAAATGAGCATCCATATCCTACAAAAGAGAAGTACAACTCAATCGACCACTTTATCCACGAGTTTGAAACAACCATCGGAATTTACGCGAAGATAGAAGAAATGTGGAAAGATTCAATTCAAGTAGCAGTACCATTCCTATATAAGACGTGGCTCAAGGAATCAGTATTAACATGCGAATCTTGGGAGAAAGCTAGAGAAGTTATTATGAAGAAGTTTGGGGACTTCCAGTCCAAGGATATGAACAGCTTACGCTTATTTGACTTACACATGAAGCCGCACCAATCCATCGTACAGTACACCAATGAATTCATCAACCTTGCTGCTGCCGCTGACATCCAGAAAGATGACAAGATGATAGTGCTCCTATTTAGATCACACTTGTATGAGCCATGTAAACCATTGATATTTTCGTCCATGGAGGGTAAGCGTCTGGTGGACGAGGAGTATGAGTTCACTATTGACAAGATATGTGACATCGGCCGGGAGATCTTTGGGGATGAACCAGTTGGGGAAAGTGCTCGTTTGGTGACAAATAAGGTAAATTCACCGGTAAAACGTCGACGTGATAGTGCATCAGTAGAATGGCAACAGTATGGGGCGAAGAAAACTAAAGGATGTCCGAAACATGGGGGTGAAAAGGCTAACCACACTGTCGAAGAATGTCGAAGTCAAGACGTAAAGAAGAATAAATTTTTGGGCAGTAAGAACATTCCATTCAAGGCCACGGGTAACAACATGAAGGGACAACCCTGCCGGTACTGTAAAAAGGAATGGCACCATGGTCACACCTGTAAAGAATATTACGAACACAAGAATAACCGTACTGTTTTGGCTCTTCGTCGGGAGGACGATGAAGATGATCAAGGGCCAAAGACCTCAAATATCAAAGAGGCTATGGAAATAGATGCGTATGAATGTAAGTATAATATGCAAAGGAAAGAAAGAAATCCATTAAAATTGACATTGACTCCTATCATTATTAGAGAGCAAAAAGTAATAGCAAGAATAGACACGGGATCGGATATCTCATGCATAAATAAATCAATTTTAGACAGTAAATTCAATAAAGAAATAAAAATTTCCAAAATAAATGGGTCTCTTAATTATCTTTCACTTGACAATAATAAGGAAAATATTAAAGTAAAACGAATTGGAATAACAGAACCTTTAAGAGTTCGTTATATTAATGATTTAAATTTCGATTTTGCTTTTGAAGTAGTAGAGTTTAGCAGTGTAATGGAATCCCAATTTGATGTATTATTAGGTCTCGATATCTTGAGTAAATTACGGATATCATTGTCGGGAGTTGCCTATTGTTACCCCGATGAGGAAAGAACAGAAGCACAATTTCGGAATGTAAACTTTGACACGCAGAACAAATATGATCCGGAAAATGCTAATTATGGTACGGACAAGGAGCGAAAGATATTTTTAGAAGAAATACATGGGGCCACCGAGGCAAATAAAAATATACCAAAAGGATCGTTTTGCACGATGCCTGAGGCACTCATTCGCATCCCTCTAAAAACACAAACAGATAACATGTATATCAAGCAGTATCCGTTAGTGTACCATCAAATACCAGAAATACAAAGACAGATTAATGAATGGGTAAATGAGGGGATAGTATACGAAAGCATGCCCAGCTCGAAGTATAACACACCATTGTTAGCTGTAGGAAAAAAGGATGACCAAACTGGGCAATTAACCAAAATAAGAGTGTGTATGGACCTTCGAAGAATCAATTCCAATATTGATGACTCTAAAACGGACAAATATGTGATCCCGGATATGGAACAAATGTTTGCCGAAGTAAGTGCACCGGGAAGAGTCTACACGAAAATTGATTTAAAGAATGCGTATTTTTCATTTCCAGTTGACAGTGAATCACAAGAAATCTTAAGCTTTACATTCAAAAATAAGACTTACAGATGGAAAGGATGCTGCTTTGGATTATCATTCATATCACAACAATACTCACGAGTAATTGCGCAACTTTTCCAAGGGATGGAAGGCGTACGAAATTACATCGATGATCTGTGCATATATTCGGCGCCAGAAGATCACGCGGAAATTGTTAAGGCTGTAATTGAGAAATTAACCTCGGTTAATCTTCGCATCAACTTTGACAAGTGCTCGTTTCTTCAAACTTCGATATATTTGCTAGGATTTATTGTTGGCCCCGGAATCAAAAAAATTGATACGAGGCGATTGTGCAATATTGACGACTGGAAAACACCCAGAAATAGTCGTGACGTTAGACATATTATGGGCATTGTATCACATCTGAGAGAGTTCGTTCCCTTAATGGGAAGAATATCCTATTCAATCAACGCACTCCGGAACTGTAGTGAAAAGAATAAGCCATTTATATGGACTACACAACAAGACGAGGCATTGAAATCGCTGAAAACATGGCTTACATCCAGTACGATTTTGCACACCATCGACATGACCAAGCGTATATATATAGAAACTGATGCATCACATTATGCGTATGGAGTATTAATCTCGCAACGCGATGAGCTCGGCAGATCTCTATACATTACATTTGCCAGTAAAACGTTTGGCAAACATGAAATGGCATGGTCCGTAAATCGAAAGGAAACATATGCAATTGTATATGCCTTTCAGAAATACAGGTCCATTCTTTGGGGACACCCTGACATCGTTGTATTAACTGATCACAGAAGCCTGGTATTCATGAACACAGCTACGCACTTGTGCCGAACGCTGCAAAATTACATGGACATTCTCAGTGAATTCAAATATCGAGTCGAGTATATCCCAGGATTTTCCAACACATTTCCTGATATATTAAGTCGCTTATACCCCCCAGAAGTCGAGGATCAAATTTTGAGGGAGGATGAAGAGAAGAAAATTATGAAGTTAGAACGTATGATCTTACAAAGAAGACTACCGACTGATAAGATCAATCAAAAGATTGCAAAAGATCAATTCATTCATAAAAAAGAAATATACAGTAAAGATGAAAATTTGAACGTATTAGCTGTAAGACTAAACAGTAAAGAATACAAAGAAACAACAACTGAATACATAGCTCCACCCATAAATGAAAGAAGTAAATTATTAAGTGAAACTCATGCAATGGGACACTTTGGATCAGAAAGTATGGTACAACAATTACATGCTCAAGGTATACACTGGAATGGTATATTTAAAGACAGTAAAGAATACGTACAAACATGCATCGATTGTGCACGAAACAACATTGCAAAGAAAGGTTATCATCCATTGAGACCTGTGGTCAGTGCAGATCCATTTACATTCTTAGCTCTTGATTTAGCAGGTCCATTTTCCGTTACAGAGAATAATAACATATATATCCTGGTAATGGTCGACTTATGCACCAAGTACATAATTGCAAGACCACTGAAAAATAAACAAAGTAACACAGTGGCAAAGGCGATAATGAATGTACTAGGAGACTATGGCATACCAATAAATCTTATGTGGGTAACAGACAACGGCCGCGATTTCTCGAATGCTTTGATGAACTCGATCACAAATGCATTAGGTATTGAACATCGTTTTTCGACACCATATCATCCAAGGGGAAATGGTGCAGCAGAAAATGCCGTAAAGGTGATCGTTTCCACACTCCGCAAATTATTAGGCAATGACACGAATAAATGGGATGAAATGTTACCCATCGCACAATTATGCTGCAATTATAAAATACGTAATCGAACCGCTAGTAGCCCATTTTCATTGATGTATGCGAGACAGTTGACAACTCCCAAAGATTACACTGATCCGTCCAGAACAATCCCAAGAAAATTGGCGACAGAAGAGGATTTGATCAAACGAGCTGAAATAATGGCATCGGTTGTATTTCCCGCTATTGAAGAAAGAACACGAAAAATAGTTGAGGAACAAAGTAAGAAGTTTAACAAAAAGCATTACCTCATTGACATTCCTAACGACACAACCGTTATGGTAAAGTTACCAAATAGAGCAACCAAGTTATCACCGCTATACGAGGGACCATTTACAGTTGTACGAAAGACAATGGGTGGCACTTATGTATTGAAGGATGAAATGAACGAGTTGTTACATCGTGATTATGTTCCGTCAGAGTTGAAAATTGTAAATATTGACGAGTCAGGAATAGAAGACGAGTTATTCGAAGTTGACGAGATTCGTGATCACAGAGAAGACAAAGAAGGCAATCGCGAATATTTAGTAAAGTGGAAAGGTTACGGAGAGCGAGAGAACTCATGGTTACAAGCATCAGCATTCTCATCGCCAGACACGATCCGCAAATATTGGGTAAAAGTACGTGAGCTTGAAAGACTAGAACAAGAAAGAAAGAATGAGTTAGTTCAACGCTCAGAGAAAGTTAGCAAACGACAAGAAAAGCATACAAAGATTATAACTGATAACAAAAGAAATACAAGATCTAATAAGGAGACAATACATAAAGAACTTCCCGCTAAGAAAAGACGTAGCAATCGAGATAGATAAATTTTTAAAAAAAAAAAAAAATATGTAAATAGATATACCCACAGGAACAAGTCACAAAAATATGCATACAAAAAAAAAAAAAAAAAAAAAAAAAATCATGTAGCTAGGATGAGGACATACTATGAAAAATGCTGAAATAGGAAGCATACCTATCATCGATCGACTAACGTTGAATCTAGAGGGAGGACATGTGCTAAACGCACATACAATAAAAATCATCGGTAATCCAAAATTATATAAATTGTCCAAATTTGGAACTCTGACACATTGAATACAATGGAAGAGCCGATAGAAAATATTATTAGAAATCATTGAAGCAATCTGTCGGCGACAAGCGTACCCTTGAATTCATGTAGAATTCAACAGTCAAGATAAATTTATGGACTAGCAATTCTAATAACAGTCAGCTTTCAAAAGAGTATAAATAGACCCCATTATTTCATAGTTAAAACTTCAGTCAAATAAAGTAACAAGGACTTATAATCGTACCTATCGTACCATTGTTTTTTTTATATACTTTATATTTTTTTATCAAATCAGAAGTAATTGATTTGTAACAAAGTGTATATCCAACTGTATTTACAAAGTCAACATGCACCAACTTAACCACATCACATTTATTATAAAACAATGTTCTATTCTTCGTTGTGTGTCTGTCAGATCCATGGAAAGAGAAATAGGTTAGTTATATGAATTAAAGATTTTTGATTATATTCTTACATACTTTTACAGGAGCTTACAAAAAAAAAATGAGATCAAGAGTCAATGCTGGTGAAAATGCCAACAACATTATGGAACGAACGGCTCTTTTTTCTTTCATGCGAAATACAAAGATGGTGAACTTTGATCCAACTCCCCCGAAACTAGAAACCGACTTCGTAGAACATCCTTCTGGTAATGTGGACTTTGGTCAGTTATGGGCTCCATTTTATCAAGAATTTGAATTGACTGGCAATGCCGATAATGATTGCCTTATTGCTGGTGATCTCCTGACTATGAAATCGTTTGTCAGCGCTTTAAAATCGTACAAAAAACGTTTTTTTAGTTTACCAGAGCCTATTCATCGAATCCAAATCAATGTGGAATCTATTCTTCCCGCTGGTAAGCTTTGGCAAGATTCACACGTATATTCCGCTGCCATCTTTAAACAAGGGTTATCAAAGTCCATTGCAAAACGTGGTGGTGAGCATGTTCTGTTCCATTCGAATCACCAGACAAGAAGGTAGGTTTCAGCTTTTTTCATCAAAGCTAAACTAACAATACTATCAATAGACGAGGCAGAATTTCACAGGTGACTAACTGGTATGTGGGTAGGCTGTTATTCTTTTTTGAATACGCATTTGATGAAACATCCAGTTTTTACGCAGTACTTGAAGTCATGAAGAGACATTCCGCTGCCTCGCATAGCCCTTGCATTCCAACTGTTGTACCCTACGAAAATAACGAAGAAAAAAAAATAGTTGTTATTAACATTGCGGACATTGTGACAGTTGTGGGATTGCTGAAAATGGTGACACATTCAGTGAATGGAAAGAAAGTAACATACCAAGATTCTAGTTCTCTATTTGTCATTTCACCTTCTACTAGCTTTGATGACGACATGAAGAAAACAGCAGGAAAAATATCCAACCTTTGCTAATTAATAAATCCCCTTTTCACAATTTTTTTAAACCACGCCAGCTATTCTTTTATTTTTATGGGATATACACCGCACCATGGTTAATGGGATGGGCGACCTTTAGTGTTGGATGTTCCGTTTGCTTATTTGATTTTAAGCAAATTAGTAACTTGATAGTCATAGACGAATGCTTATCCAGTTAAGATAAATGAGATAATTCAGGCAATTTTTAGTTTTTAGGGTGTTCCTTTTTTTTTATTACTCAAATGAGTAAGTATTCGCCCATAGACGAATACTCGTCTGCTGCAGGTAAATGGAACGGATGAAATAACTTTTATTTACCCAATGTGAGTAAGTACTCGCTCATAGACGAATACTCGTCTGCTGCAAGTAAATGAAATGAGTAAAGTAATTTTTATTTACCCAATGTGAGTAAGTACTCGCCCGTAGACGAATGCTCGTCTGCTGCAGGTAAATGGAACGGATGAAATAACTTTTATTTACTCAATGTGAGTAAGTACTCGCTCATAGACGAATACTCGTCTGCTGCAGGTAAATGAAATGAGTAAAGTAATTTTTATTTACCCAATGTGAGTAAGTACTCGCTCATAGACGAATACTCGTCTGCTGCAGGTAAATGGAACAAGTAAAGTAATTTTTATTTACCCAATGTGAGTAAGTACTCGCTCATAGACGAATACTCGTCTGCTGCAGGTAAATGGAATGAGTAAAGTAATTTTTATTTACCCAATGTGAGTAAGTACTCGCTCATAGACGAATACTCGTCTGCTGCAGGTAAATGGAATGAGTAAAGTAATTTTTATTTACCCAATGTGAGTAAGTACTCGCTCATAGACGAATACTCGTCTGCTGCAGGTAAATGAAATGAGTAAAGTAATTTTTATTTACCCAATGTGAGTAAGTACTCGCTCATAGACGAATACTCGTCTGCTGCAGGTAAATGAAATGAGTAAAGTAATTTTTATTTACCCAATGTGAGTAAGTACTCGCTCATAGACGAATACTCGTCTGCTGCAGGTAAATGGAACGAATAAAAAAGCTTAAATTTTTGTGCAACCTTTATATTTTACTCAAAATGAACGAACAGTTACCCCTGGACGAATATTTACCCTTTTTGAGTAAATGAAGTAATTTTATTTTTTGTGTACCATTGTTTATTTACCCAAAATGAGCGGATACTCGCTCACGGACGACTATTCGCTCAGATTTGAACGAATGCTTACCCCCAGACGACTATTCGCCCATTCGTCCGCATTTACTCTGTTAAAGTAAGTTTTTTTAGCCTAGGTGCTAGATGACAGGCAAGATTATGACTGACACGCCATATCTTGAAAGTAAGTAATCCAATGAGAATCATATAATAGAAGAAAGAGTGGTACACGTTTCTATAATAGGTCTGTAGTGTCACTTGACGCGTACATTTAAAAGTCATCAAAGTACATTCAAAAATTTATCATGTTTGTACTTTTAAACCTCGCTTGTCATTGGCCTCCGCTAATCTGATTAGTACAATATATTAATAATGTCTTTTTAGAATAATTGTATAATAGATGTATACTTTTGTACTTGTATTTAGCTTGATAAATACCGTGCTAGTTTGTTAAGTCAATTGTGAATATTTAATATGCAACATTAAAAGAAGTGTTTATAAAATTATCGTAATGGATAAAAATATGCTGTGTAGATCAAGCATACATGAATATATAAAGCTCGATCACAACAGCAAGCAAGTTTTATTAAAAAAGCATGATAACTATGCAACGTTATTCTTTGACTTTATTGTCGTTCCTCATATCCTTCACGTGCTATTTCATCTTGTAGATCTTTTTCCAACATGTACACCTGTAACGGAACATGATCAAACACCAATCTTCCTCCTACTGATACACCCATATAAATAGGACCATTGTTTGTAGCAAACACAAAACCAGCCGTCTCCAACAAGCGTTTCATCTGGTAAATGGCCTCATCCGGGTTATCTTGAATTTGAGCTTGCCAAACATCCCCTTCATATTCTAGTGAGGTGCTGGTCATGATTTATAAAAAAAAAATTTGAGAGAGAAAAACATTTAAACTTGAAAAAAAAAGTACCCCTATTTATACCATTTATCAGCAAGTTGCATAATATAAACATACGTGCCGAGTCATCCATTTTTCTCACGTTATATTGAACAGGGGTGCAAATTTTTTTTCTCATTTAATCTTGCATAAAATCCTTTTTTTTTTCTACTCGGAACTCTCTACCTTTTCCTTGGTCTTTACGTCTCTTTTTAATTTGACCTCTTGCAAAACAATTTATTTTACCTTGACCTCTTGTCTCTTCCATGTCATCCCAAATGATCTCATTTGCCACGGCTATTTCCCTATGATCGGCATTGATTGCTCGTAATTTTTGTTCAATTTGATTAAACATCCAATCGATCGAATTTGTTCTCAAAAAACTTAATTTTCTCGCCAACGGATGCGCCATCAAAACAGCCATTTCGCGATGAAATCCAGCTTCAATCATGGTGTAGCTTGTGACATTGATAATTTCACTGGCTAAAATACCTGACATTCCTAACAATCCATAAAGATGGAGAACACGTTCTCCCCGTACTTTCCTTTTATAGAAGCCGACTTGGGCTGCTCTATTTTAGATCATAAGATCCTCTGCGTCTCCAGGCTGCATGTTTTGATACACAACGTATTCCGAATATGTCAGGTAGTGGTATAAACAGACAATACTTTTGAATACTTGTTGTGTAGTGTTGGTCATTGTAAAAGTATCATTGATTACCGACAGTCTAAACGTGAATTCGGCCAAACCGCCTGATTCTAACAAGCGATCGAAGATAGTACCCATACCCACACTTCTTGACCATGAATTTAACTCACCGGCCCTTCTTTGTAATTTGGCGAGGTAGTTGGGATTATCATTTTTTGTAATTCGAGCCAAGAGGCGACCTTCTATATCAGCAAGCTCCTCTTGCTCTGCTGTTGTTGATGATGGTGCTGTTGCTGCTGTTACGGCTGTTCTTGAGCTTGTAGCTCTAGCCATGGACGCTTCAAATCTTTCAATGACCGGAGACGGTCTAGGTGCAGGCGAAGCTGCCACTCTTGCTACTGCTGCTGATGCTGATGATGCTGCTTCTGCTGATGATGCTGCTGCTGCTGTTGATGATGATGATGTTGCTGCTGTTGATGATGATGATGTTGCTGCTGTTGTTTCCTGAACAGCGTCAAATGCCGCAGCTAACTCTGCTGATGCTTCAGCTAATGCAGTCTCCCTTTCTGTTTTTGGAGGAGATGCTGCTGCCGCTGCTTCTACTGCTGCTGCTGCTAAAACAGCTGTAGCTGCTGCCTCATCAGCCGCTTGTTGAACGGCTGCTTCAATTTCTGCTGCTGTTGTTGTTGTTGCTGGAGCTGCTACTGTTGTTGTTGTTGATGTTATTGTTGTTGCTGCTGTTGTTGTTGTTGTTGTTGTTGTTGTTGTTGTTGTTGTTGTTGTTGTTGTTGTTGTTGTTGTTGTTGTTGTTGTTGTTGTTGTTGTTGTTGTTGTTGTTGTTGTTGTTGTTGTTGTTGTTGTTGTTGTTGCTTCGATTGCTGCTGCTAATTCGGCAGCTGCTACCTCAAATTCATCATCCTCATCTTCATCTGCTCCTACTGCTCTACCCACAATATGCCCGAACCATGTTCTTCTAATTCGTCATCACCACACGAATCCACCCACTTAATGGTCAAGATGTCCAAAGGACGTGGATCCGCTACATAATAACCATCACATTTTGTGGCTAATGTAATATGATTCTTCATATGAGCCAGGCGGAAGCCACTCTCACGCATTATTCTTTGGAATTGTTTTATTCCGCAATGCGGTTCACGAGCATTATTGTACTGAAAGTACTTAATAAACTTTTCAAAATCAGGATATTCCATAATGTCAAAAAAAAGTTATAAAGAAAAAAGAAAAAAAAATAGACAACATTCTTTTCGGACAGCGTTTATATACCCCCCTATGTCTTCATTGTGACGCTATAAAAAAATTCCCTTTTTCAGTTCCATCTCTGTCTTTAGAATACAAGTATACATCTCTTCTCTTTTAGATTTAGTCTCTTTATTGCTGTTTCCTTTGTTTTCTATCTGTCATGTATTTTTATTGATGATCCTTTCCAAATGGCATTCCATCTCGTAAACATAGTTATTCATGCAGATTTACTTTCTTTTTTTTATACTTGATGGTATTCCTCTTTAAATACATTGTACTTGACCTTATGTCTTCATGTTCCTCATAGTTTTGTCCTTTATCTTCTTAGTTGATTGTATTCTTTTTTAAATTTAATTATACTTCTCTCTATTTCATCTTTGCTTTTCTTGATTGATCATCTTCCATCCTATTTGTATGTAACTATGCCTTCTTTTTCTTATACACTCACATGCAATCATATCGTACCTTGCAATATCAATTTTAACAGTTACTTCATTCATTGACACCTTGCTTTCATTTAATCCATTGAATTACATCATGTACCTTTTAATTCCATCTTATTTTGTTCCATTTCGATGGATTCCATTGCATTCGATTGTATTCCGATTGATTCCATTGCATTCAATCATACTCTATCGTAATCCCTCCTATCTCATTCAATTCCATTTCATTCGGATTGATTCCATTGTATGCAATCCTATTCCATCGTATTTCATCGGATTCCATTCATTTCCATTCAATTCCATGTGATTACATTTAATTCCATTCAATTACATTGAATTTCATGCAATTACACTCAATTCCATCCAATTACATTGAATTTCATGCAATTACACTCAATTCCATCCAATTACATCAAGTACCATCCAATTACGTCAAGTAACATCCAATTACACTCAATTCCACCCAATTGCATTTAATACCATCTAATTACACTCAATTTCATCCAATTACATTATATTCCATGCAATTATACTGAATTCCATTCAGCAGCTTTCAATGCCATCCAATTACACTCAATTCACTCCAAAGGCATCCAATTCCATGCAAGTACATTCAATACCATCTAATTACATTCAACAACATTCAATTCAAAGGTATTCAATGCTATTCAATTTTATTCAATGTTATTCTGGTCATGTACATCATCTTCTGTCATATTCCGCCAGATTAAATTCAATTCTATCCAACTCTGTCATGTTCTATTGTATTCCATCGAATTAAATTAAATTCCATTGTATTCCATGGCAATCCATCCTATCCAGTTGAATTCAATTGTAGTCTATCTGGTTACATTCAATTACATTGTATTTCTTCCCATGCCTCTTCATTGCATCGGATTTAATCTTGTTTTTCATGTCTCGTCTACATTTTTAATTTACAAGACTACACTTCACATGACTTGCTCATGTTTGATTTTTTTTTATTTAGTATTCCATCCCATGTGTTACCCTTTACTCTACTAATCATCAAATGTTGTTACCTTGGTTATTCCTAAAACATCAATCCATACCTAGTGTAATGATTGAATTTGCGCACCAAATCATATTCCAAGTACCCATTTCAAAACAACATGTTCATAAAGGAGTTCTTGGGCTACTCTTACATGATATCCACTCATCTCCCTCTTAACAATTCATTCTGTAAAGTACACTGACAACAAAATAAAATCCGCTGCCAACAGTGGAAAGGAGAATTCCTTGGATTCCTTCATGTCTTGTACCTTTACCCATGACTTGACCAGTCCCGATTCGTCTTGTCAACACATCCAATAAGGAACCACGATCGGCCAGCACCGTCAATTAAGCGTCACTGCTATTCTTACGCATTCGCGTAATCAGCTTATTCATTACAAGACGTATCTCTGCGTCTTCCATAACATCATCATCACTTAATTCAATTACCTCAGGAGTTGTACTTTGAGAGCTAAACACCCGTTCCAGATCAACTTCATAGAACATTTCGACCTCTTCTTGTTCCTCCTCTCGCACTTTGCGTTCATCCTGACTCTCAGTAAGATCCACCACTGTGATACCTTCCATTAATAACATTTGTTCTCTTTATCGTATATTCATGTTCATCATTTTCTTTTCTTTTTCTTCATGACAATAGCAACAGACGCCTTTATTTTTTTTTAGGGAATCATTATTCATATCTCTCTTCCTACCCAATCATAGTCTTGGCCTGCTTCATTCATCCTTTTCAAACAAAAATAACATTCAGTTGCTTTTGTGCAAAACATTGTTCATTTTATTTATTTAAAAAAAAACCTTTCATCTACTTGTTCATCAAGTACATCTATCCCTTGCTTTATTATTCCTTTTATTCACAGTGTCGATAACAGTTTGCATAATTTATTCATGCAAATGTCCATTTTTTAAAAAAAAAAGAGGTTTATTTTAAAAAAGGGAAAAAAAACTCTTTTTATTTTCTATTCCCCAACTTTATATGCAGATGGTACATTTGATATACAAGCAGCACCTGATGAAACATGTCATTTCATTGATATATATACAGTGCACTCATATTTACTTGCATTATACCCATGTTTTTATTTTATTTTTTAAAAAAATGGAAACAAATTGTGTAACTAAATGTTGGCATAGATCCCGTGTAATAATATACCATATGCGTATTAAAAAAAACCTTGTATTTCTTGTATTTATTTAAAAAGGAAGCCTTTAAAAATAAAACTTGATTTCATTTTGTTTCACACAATACAAATAGGCCATTGTTCTTTCTTTTATTCTCATGCAGTCCATTTTATTTCTTTTTTTTTTAAAAAAATAAAAAAAAGGCTCAAGCATGTCTTGATGACATGAGATGCTATTATTACTTTTTTCAAGTGTGTATGGCATAGAATAACAGTATCAACAACTACACCAACCCTCACTACAGCATTGGGTACTTTTGTGTGCATGTTTATTTGCCCTTTTAAAAAAAAAAAGATCTCCTTTGCACTTTTACCCCACAGTAATATATCAGCACATCCACAAGCACATTCATATGGAACGCATGCAAACACAATTCAAATACGCCATGATTTCCTTTAAAAAAAGATACCCCATTATTTTAAAAATAGATTACAAGAAATACACAAAATAGGGTTTAATAAAATAAGCTGAGATAGTGTTTATTATTATTGGGTTTTTTTATAATAAACCCACCGTCGACAATGGGATGGTGTATTGACTACAGTATGTTGTCTGCCAAGGTCGATTAGGTCATTTTCGTCACATGGTATTACTTTGTTAGGCCAAATGCGTCTCGGCTCTGACTTGGCAAGTGGATTGCCGCCCACCTTTGTAAAGCCCTACGGCTACAACGCCCAATTGGCCTTCTTGAGCAGGCCAAGGATAGCCCGTCATGCCATCCTTCAACACAGGATGGCCCATCGACTTGACAAGAGTCACACCTTTTCTTCCTCTTTCTCGTGGCACACCTTCTTAACTTTTTCTTCTTCAGGCAACACCTTTTTTTCTTCTTCTTCTTCATGCCACACCCTCACTTCTTCCTCTTCTTCATGCCCGTACCTCTCTTGAGCCATGTCGAAGAGTCCTTTTTTTCTTCGTCATCATGCAAGTAACTATCTCCAGCTATGTCGAAGAGTCCTTTTTTTATATTAGAAAATGAAGTGTTTATTCCTTCTTTTAAAAGGTATGCTTACCTTTAACGACAATATAAAATACCTCTATTCTTTTTATATGGTGTGTAACGCAAAAAGTAAGAAAGAGGGAGCCCTTTCTCATAAAAAAAACTGTTTTATATTCTTTTCTGATAAATTTTTTATCCTTTTCATAGAAAAAAAGACGACTGTATGCGTCATATGTACGATGCCAAGATAAAAAAAAGAGATAAATCACATTGTTCTTTTGCCTTGTTTTTATACTCTTACGTCTACATGACGCACAAAAAAAAAGAATTCAAAGATCTAGACACAGATCCATCCATGATAGAATACACTCCATTACATCATAATCACAACAGACATGATCCCCCCCCCCCTTTTTTTTTTATTATCCCTATTATCCTGTTATACACATATTCTATCATCTCTACACAGTCCACATTCATAGCAAGAGTTGATCCATATTCCATCTTTATCCTCTTGTTTATACTAGAATCTTTACATGGTCTACACACGGATCCTCCTTTACGTCATGTATCTTTTGATCTCTGCACAATCCACATCCACAGCACGAGTTGATCCATATTTCATCTTTATCCTCTTATTCATAGCAGAGTCTTTCCATGGTCTACATAGTGATCCTCCTTTACATCATGTACCTTTTTTATTTCTCGTATCTACATGGTCATCTCCATCACTAATAATAATCACAAGTAATAATAATAAAAAAAGGACACTGCTCACTCTTCTTTTTTTTTTTAAATAAAAAAAGTATCATCCCTTTATTTAACATGATCATACAGGTCTCCTCCATGTGTATCTCTCTTTTGTTCATCCCAATTTTGCTGTAAATAAACAACGTCAGCAACACGACTCTTTTTTTTTGCATTCATTCTTGTTGGAAAACTCACTTTTTTCAACGCATACACTTGGACTGCGTACCGTCTGATCTGGTGTAATGGATGCACAGGAAGCCAAGTACATTACCCATGGCAGCAAAGCCAACGTCTTCATTTTGCCGCAGATGGCGTTCATTTTTGTTGAGAGTCTAAACCAGACAACACCTTTTTTAAGTCCCCCCCCTTTTTTTTTTCCAGTAGTTTGCTCCCGAGAGGGAAATAAGGGGACCATATGGTTTGCTGCTTATAAAAAAAGTATACGTTAACAAGTACGTTCATTGCAATGGCAAAATAAAAATAAATAAACTTTCTTACTTGAAAAAAGGGGAAAGCCCCATAAGACAACAGGTACTCTTGTACAGGTACTATTAAAAAAAAAAAATTAAAAAGGTGTATTTAATGGAAATAAAGACACTCTTACTTGCTCATACCCAAAGGGGCAGCTCAACCGGGATAAGAAGAACCGCCCACCAAAAGAGACAACAGCCACTCTCCTTTTGCTAGTCATAAAAATAAACATTAGCACGTTCCATTGCAACAAAAGTAAGACTCTCTTACTTACCCAGAGCCATGAGGGTCAGCATAGCTCAACCCCTTTTACAACGACGTGTCCAAGTGCTGAAATAAAAAAAAGAGATTAGCAAGTATAATCATTTCAAAAAAAAAAAGGCACTCTTACCTGTCCCCAAAAAAAAAAGGCAACAAGGCATATATAAATTACTGAGGTTTTCAGTTCAAGTTGGTGCCATTGAGTTCTTGTTGGTCTTTGTAACTACTTGACAATGGGGTGGCGTGATTAAAAGGACTTGAGGGAGAGGAGACCATGTCGTTTTAAAGTGTGTCTCGTCTTTAGGCCTTCACTCGCCGATTCGCTTCTGTTTCACAACACAGACCTCCAAAGAAAACCAGCCTGGGCATAACGGCTTGTCTTGTTTTTCTTCTAATAGCCAGAGAAGAAGTAGTGTCATTATGAAGGAACGTCGTCAAAAATTATCAAGTCATTAAAAAAAATTCACTTGCCCTTATGCTCCCGCCTTTTTAAGAAAAAAAAAAAAAGACAGAGATAGCTCATCTATGCATCCATGTTTTTTAGTGTGTGTGTGTGTATATATACATGTTGGAGTACACTATGTATTTACCTCTGTCTTTTTCACCCCAGCCCGCAATGGCTAAAGGGCCCATCTCCCTTAATGCCTCATGGCAGACCTTGGTGTCTTCAAAGCCAAACGGAGGAATCACGCCTTATTATTGTGTAGGCAGTATAAAGTGGTAACAAGAAGAAAAAAAAAGCATAATCATTCGTGTTTTGTAAAAAAATGTTGACAAGAATTAAAAGATAAAATAGGACAACGATAAAAAATTGGGGGGGGGGTCTTTCCAGATTTAGATACGGAACCCAAAAACCGGAACGGATGATCATCCCGTCGATATAATTATAGATCAAGGTTATGTTCCCCCATCATTCTCAAGAAGAAACCAACCTTTTTTTTTTTACATTACCTATTTATATTTCTCTCTTTTCTTTTGTCATCAGTCTTGCAATGGACTATTTTATTAAAAAAACACACTTGTATACACTACAGGCTTTGCTTTTTTCTTTCGCCTCGTGTATACGCCTTCTTTTGCATTTCTTACAACATGGATCGTGTGATATTCAGTGATTTCAAAAATACAATGAGCATCTCTTTTTTAAAATAACACCCAACACGCTCAAATAGACCTGTCAAAAATACGCTATTCTCCTTGTCATGCGCTTCTTTTAACACGAGTACATATCTTTTTTTCATGGTGTGATTCAAAAAAAAAAGAATTCTTTGCGTCTTTACGTATAACAGCTACACGATATACAGATCAAAAGGCACAACAAATACATTATTTTGTCTTTATTGTACGATAGCTTTCATCCCTTTTCATCTTTTTTTTTTCCTTACTAAAAAATAAATAAACGTAACCTCGTCATGATTCACTCGCAAAATACCTGTATTCATTGTATTAGAAAACATAACAGTCGGTGTTGCTTTGTTTGTATATTGTGGGAACATACACTCTAGTAACACCTGCTAGACCAGCTACATGATTCGCCTCATTTCATTGTCAATCCAGTTCATATCTTGTCCCCTTGTTCAGTGCTTGTTATCCCGCATTCATTTGTATAAAAATAGCCATTAAACTTGTTTACAATCCTATAAACACCCTCCCATCCACCCATCTTTTTTTTTTTTTCCTCACCCAACTTCTTTATCTTTATTCACGTTACTTCTTTTTCTTTATTCACAATCCATTTTCATGTCTTCTTCTGACGTTAAGATAGTCTGGTATACATTCATACAAACAAAAAAGAACTAACGTCCATTTAAAACAAGTTTCTCTCAAAGATGAATTCCCTGATATCATCATTCCCAGACATGATGGAGGAATCACCATTCGTGACAGAATGAATTTGTTGAAACGAGATTTACCATCTTATTGGAGATTACGTTGGTCCGCTGAACATAACCATGAGGTCTATGTAAACTTTGTCAACCAGGTTACAAGCTGAACAATACCATCGTGAAATGATGCCAGTCCTTCTTTTTTTTTGTGTGTGTGTGTGTGTGTCTCCACCACCATCATATATTCATTCAGAATAAAATAATGCATAAAATTTATATTCCTTCTTTATATTTCCTCGTTTCCATACACGTATCCATTGATAATAATCATACTAGATCTCTGTATCACTCTTGGCACTGTCAATCACAGAGTATAAAGTATTCGTGACTCTGTCCCTTGTTGAAAAAATCTTTTCCCTCTCTTTCGATCACTTTATTAAACAAAATGCAAGCCGAACAAACAAAATAATTATCTCTCATCTTGCTTGATATCATCGAAACCTGTAAGCAATACCTCCACCAGTGTAAAGGATGAACTTACTTGGAAAAAATTGTCGTTTTATTAGATCCCGATCATTACAGGGAGATTTTTAAAAACGCGGGTATGGACGCGGGTATTTTAGGAGGCCTTAAAGTCGACCCACCCAAGACTCCCCAAGATGAGGCTTCCGTCAAAGACATTAAAGAATAAATTTTGAAGTGCCAAAGTTTCTAGGGGAAAAGGGTTTTTTTATTTCTTGAAGAAAGGTGGTGGATACGATGGACACTATTTCGGATGGATACTTGACATCACCGAGGCAGTTATTGGAATGAGTGAGAAGGGATACAAGTGGATTGATTATTTTTAAAGAGTCAGAGTGTTGCTATGGATGTACGTGTGTCATCGATTAGCGTTAATCTAGGTGGTATCACTTTCATTTACATGGACAATGAATAAGGAGATGGAGCACCATTATAAATATACAGTCTCTTTATCCTATACCCTACTCTCTTTTATAAAAAAATAGAAACACAATTACTAGCATCGGATTCATCTATATATAAAAAATCAGTGGCTACTTTTTTAATTTATTTTGCAAAAGGAAAAATGAGTCTTTTGGAAACAGATGCATGTATTTTTTAATTTAAAAGAATAGAATGAATTGGGTGCTCCATGTGTTTCTTATTACAGTGTAGATTTTTGAATGACTTTGGGGATAGGCCCCTTACTGATAACAATCACCCTTTTGCCAATGGGCGTATTTTTAAATTGTTTCGAGCGTAACCAGGTGTAGAACAGGCCTGTCCATTGATCTCTATTATAAAAAAAAACGATTGATTTTAGTCTTCTGGTATATATATATATATATATATTCATAGTGCCCTTCAAAAAAAATCCTCCTTGTTATCTGCTGCTGAAAGTGGTGGTGGTGACGGAGGTGGCGAGCTTCATAGCGTTAATAGAGGCAGAGGTCTTGTTGCAGCTGTTCATTTGAAGATGATTTTTTTTTCTTTTCTTTCCATCAAAATATCTCTCTTTTATATACACTTGACCGCATGCTGCTGATCGTTTATAAAAAATAAATTTATTCATTATAGTTTAAAAGAGATTCCACATCATCTCCTGTAACACACACACACACACACGGACTCATGTATATAGAATCGACATTGATCGTATGCAAGGGGACAACAAAAACTTTATTCTTTTTCCCCTTTCGTTACCAAAGGTCCAAATGTAGTATAAAATCTATCGTACCGGCAGATATCGTATCCATAAATTGATTGTTGTTTCTTTTTTTTTTTTTTTTTTTTTTTTTTTGGGTAAATGGGTAAACACTTACTAAAAAATTCGTCCAAACGAGTAAATGGGTAAATTTACCCAATTCGTTTTTTTTGAGAAAATGGGTAAACACTTACTAAAAATTCGCCCAAATGGACGAATCAGGCGAAACATTATAGCCTTGGTGTACAGGCTTGATCTCATATCATCCTTCATACAAGTATAAGACATACATTTAAATTATAACATTGATATGAAAACATTTGAAGGTTACATCAGCCACATTGAGGTGCCACAGCTATCTGAATTAAGAACTACATTTACCCCTGAATATTGTGCTACAAGACATGCACAGTTTAAGAATGAATGCTATTGTTATTGTTATGGACATCTCATTATGGCCTTTCTATATGGGATCATTACATTGGAGTATTATCTGGATGAATCTACCCACGACTGTCATCAGTACATCTGTGATCAATGTCTGAAATAATGTGTATATAAAGACCCCCTTTTATTTGTTTAATAAAGCCTAAGTTAATTTTTGCAATTTTGATAATTTTCATGATTTATTTATAAATCTACACCGATTTCCACAGACTCATGGGTTTCGGCCACGTAAGCTGAAACTAACACTAAGACTAATTAAGTAAGCCAAGACATTCTTAAATGCAAACCCATGTTATCTGAAAAGATATAGATACTCCCCCTTTTTATCGCCTTCCCCGTTCCATAATCAATTATTATTATTAAATACTTTGTAAACCGTTCTCCTTTTGTCTTTGTATAACTGGTAGGTATCTTCTGATATTATTGCTATTATATAATCCTAGCCATGTTCCTGAAACGCTTGTTAATTATAGTGGTGATGGGAACGCTTGTTGATCAGAGTGATGATTAATCAAAGTGGTGATCGAAACGCTTGTTAATCAAAGAGGGTCATCCTATAATAAGCGATGTGTTTTTTCGTTTTCGTTTTTTTATCTTTACCTCAATTTAGGCAAAAACACACACACACACACATACACACACACACAGACACAAACAAACTATGGAACACCATTTCGAAGAACGCAGAAATGAACTATACAATCTTTTCACTTCGTTTTGTGAAGGTAAAAACGTTTGGTTGGGATGGGGGTGTGAATTGACAAAAAGGATGTGTGAGTATGGGGGAATACTGACAATTTATTTTTTGGGGGTGGCTGTAGATTTTGCCCAACATGCACCTTCTGAGATAACCAGAATGTTAATCAATAACGACTTTTTTTTTTCTGGCCTGGAGCCATTGCCGGTAAACGAAGGCTATCTTTGCTTGAGTTATGACCAGTACAGGGCTCAAATGAGCCAAGTACCTATGCCGGTCCGTTTTGGTAGGAATAACAGCAAAAAAAATCCATATAAAACATCTGGTATCAATACTAACATGAGAGGTGATTTAGTGAACGTCGTTGACGATGAGGAGGATAAACTTTTGGTGTCTCCCCCTCATCCTGCAGCTCCTTTCGTGGCTTTCCCCCTGTGGCTGAGGTTCTGCCTGTTCCCCCCCTCTGCTCCCCTTCCACGTGGCTCTGCTATCACCACCGCCCAACCCTCCCCACCCTGACTTTTTCGCCCGTCAGCATGAGGGTAAGTTTGTGACCATGGTAATGGTTTTTCGATAAAAGTAACCTTCATCTAATGTTGTCTCTCTTTCTAGTTGGTGACCGTTATCGACGTTTTTCTGGTGAAATTGTTCACGCAATCACCACCACCAGGAATTCCATTCGCTTGCTCTTTGCTCGGGTTGCTAGAGGGCAGTTGGAGTTAAACACAGTAGTAAGGGAGTACATATTTGTACAAGGAAACATGGCCGCCTCACAGGTTAGAAACCTTCTGCTGGCCTTAATTCTTTTTCTAATGAATGATGGGGTGCTCACCGTGCGCCAACTTGCCTGTAAGTTGTTTAAAGATGTTTTCAAAATCACCTTAAACTTATCTATCTTTATCAAACAAAAATGTAGTGCTGCACTCACCCGAGCCAACACGTTCGGAGCTGGAATCAATTCGACTAGCGTTAAAACTTGGAGCTTTTCTTTCTCCAATTGTAGAAGACGCAGGTCTTACGGCTTTGTTGTTGGTGGACTTGTTCCCTCCGTCGAAACTACAAAGGGCAAGAGCAGCAGTCCTTTCGGACTATGGAGCTTTTGTTGCAGGTTTAAACTTGCGTAATTTATTCGAACGTGAACGGGTGCCTTTAGTTCTCGCTTTCGGTGTGGAAACTTTGTGGGAATTCTACAACGAGTTTTTTTAAAAAACGTTTTTCTTTTTCTTTTTCCAACTTCTATTTCAATAAATAACAATTTTATTATCTTAACTTTCTGTAATTAACTTCACTTTGACGTGCACTTTGTGTAATAAAAAGGACGAGCGAGTTCGAGCTATCGTATTTGCAATCGAGCCGAGCTTAAAAACTTCGAGCGAGCTCGAGCTGCAAAAAAACGCATTCGAGCGAGCTTCGACTGGAACACGATCGAAGCTCGCTCGAGAGTTTCGATCTTCATTCCGAACACTAATCCTAGCTATATTTACTCCTTATCTTGTCACTCAGTTATAATACATATAACCTATGTATTATAAGTAACATATTGCGAATATATTCCTATTGGTTTGACACAGTACCAGCTCCCTCATATGTAAAACTGAGATCAGATTTCATAATCGTTCCTGGATTGGTCGAGTAGCTGCCGAATCTTCTTGTTTCTCATAAATTTATTTTAGTAATCCAAGGACCCTGTCATTGAATGGATAAACTATAATGTTCTAGAAGTGCCGGATATGGGTCAACTAGCTCCTTGTATATAACAATAAGCTATGTTTCATATGTAACTGATTTCTAAATCCAATTCTACCATAGAGCATGGAAGCACCTGCTGATATTAAAAATTGAGCTACCTGTCTTAAAGTCGATATACGATTTTTTAAAGAGCACATTATACAGAAAGAATAAGGAAACAGACCTGTCAAACTGCGAGATTGCAAAAATGGGCTCAGGACAAATCAAACTTACAACAGATAGAACCAAGCTATTCATCGAATCAAAGATCACGCTTGATAATATCGTGAAAGATTCGACCGTAAAGGCTAAAGATTTAATGATCCCTGCTCACCAGTTCATAGGTAGTATATTATTTATTTGACTGTTTTAGGGAACCTTTCTATTCTTTATTCCATTTGCTTGGTAGCACCCAGCCTCTATGTGGCTGTCAAAGAAGGTATTACAGTCATCCCAAATTATGTCAACCATGTTAAAGACTTCAGAGGGGTATTAGAGCTTCAAAATAAGTATATAAAAACTTATGCTATGCATCGTCTTTTAATGAATATTGTAAGAATGCAATCACGGAAGTCATGGCTGTCGTATTTGGGTTCGATTCACTAAAGAATAAATAAGCAAATCATTTATCTAAATAAATAAATTATAAAATTAAAACAACCCTTGATAGAATGTTTGTTTGGAAAGAAAACTCATAATTTGCATTATGCACCAAATACATTTGTCGTGATCGAAGCTATATACTTAAATAGGTCTATCTGTTTGGGATGGAGATAGAAGGTAAATTATAGGGAACTGTGTACATCTTTTATTTCGAGAAAAAATTGATTGGGGAATTCTACCAGAGAAAACTACAGGTATTTATACTAAATGATTATATGGCTTTTGGATAATATATATGACATGCTAGAGGAATAAATGATATGGTACTATACGTAATATCAATAAATAAAAAGTGCGTTGAAAATAAAAAGAAAAGTAAAAGAATTTATAATTTAATTACAGTTCTAGGGCAAAGAAGATAAACCTTGTGATATGTGCGTTCAGGGCAATATGTACTTTTTAGGAATACGCATCAGTAAAGTGTCCCAGATACTAGGCATAGGTAAAATATGAGCTACAGTCAATGGAACCCTTTCATTCTTTTCGTTCAAAATAAAGATTTCTTTCGCCTCGGTGATCTCACAGTTCAATGTACGATCTCCTAAATCAATAAAACTCTTGTGTGTCTTGGCCGACGCATGCTTAGCTGACATCTTTTGTGCCATGGATTTCGCATTTAGGATGAATTGCTCAATCGTGATCTTTTCGGTAAAATATTTCTCCCAAGCTTTTAAATAGTCCAACAGCGTCACAGCAACGCATATCAAGATGCCCATGCAGACAAGCTTGTAGCGTGTATAATAATAAAACACGCCCTTAAAGAAAGGTAAATGGCCCTGTTGTAAAATATCATTGTACAAGGATCGTAATTGTGGGGATCGTAACATATAGGCAACCTTGTTGGTAATCTCAAACTTTTCGGCAGGTTCAGCGGAAGTCTCTGGACTATAAGGGTTAAGGTAAGGGGGTGTGTTGTATTGATAAATAAAGACACTTACTGTAATTTGAACACAAGTTGGCGATGAGCTTTACTTATCTCTGCTGTAGTGGCTGTTGGCTAGAAAGAGAGGTATAAGTACAAAAGAAAAGACTTAGGACGAATACATACTTCAACACCTAGCCATGCATAAAAATCTGTATTGTTCTTTTGCAATGCTGTAGAGAGATCAAATAGTTCAAGGTGATCTTGTCTCCAGTGCCAAGTCCTGTATAACTGTGGCAGAACCATTCCCAAGATAGCCACCAGACATACCAAACTTTTTGTATTCATTTAAAAGAAAAAAAGAAAAATGGGGTTCCTATTCAGTTCGCATTCAAACTCTGGCTTACAACAACCACACATTTCATACTCCGTCTAATAAGTCGAAAAAAAAACCAAGACTCCAGTTACGTTTATACGCTCATGGGCAGTTACCCGTGGTGTTTTACCCCAGACAGCCGTTTGCTATTATTTGTTTGAAGTAACTTTTTTCTTTCAGCCTAAATGTGTATTTTAATCTCTTTAACAATAGTTGATGAAAAGAAGGCTAGATATGTGATAAAAGGACCAACACATGTGCTGTGCATACCAGCAAGGGAGTGGGAGTGGGGGAGGCAAAGATATTTGATGTAAGTATATACCTTTTAATATTAAATATGAGACTAGTATGAGATACAGAGTAGTGGTATGAGATGAAAGTGAATGGTAATACTTGATAAATGTGTGCAACCGTAGGGCACTCTTACTGCGGTGACAGAATAAAAGTACCTGGGTAAAATGGATAGGCCAATCAACGTCAGCTGAACACAAAAAAAAAAAAAAAAAACTGGACGCGTTTTTTTTTTTTTTTTTTTTTTGAACATATTTTTTTTTTTTTTTTCTACACTCTTCTTTTTTTTCTCTTTTACAAAAAAAAAATACAACTTTTTCACCATGGCTGACATCAACCAAATTGCCACTGCTTTCACTCAATTCTACTATGAGACTTTTGATCGTAGCAGACAAGATTTGACCTCTCTCTATGTAAGTTTATAGTTCAAAAGGGGAATAGGAAAGAAAGTTTACTAATGTGTAAATGTAGAGAGAGCAATCTATGCTCACCTTTGAGGGACAACAATTTTCTGGTGCTGCCGTTATTGTTGAAAAGTTGGTTGTAAGTAAATAAGAAGCAGATAGAGAAGATGATTGTTAATCTGTTTGTGTTATAGTCTCTCCCTTTCCAAAAGGTTCAACACAAGATTTCCACTACCGATGCCCAACCTGGTAACCCCACCAGCGGTTCGATTATTGTTGCTGTTACTGGTGCACTTTTGGTAAGTTAAAAAAAGAGGAATGAAAGGGCCTGCTATAAAAAAAAAAGGATAGAAATATTGATGGATTATATACATATAGATCGATGATGAACAAAACCCTCAAATGTTCTCTCAAACCTTCCATTTGGTTCCCGAAGGTGCTTCTTACTGGGTCTACAACGATATTTTCCGTTTAAACTATGCTTAAAATAAATAGCTGAATACCGCTTTTTTTTTTTCTTCTGCTTTCTTCTGCTTTTTATTAAATTTTTATATTTGTTTACACAGTTGTTTCAGCAACAGGAGTAGCCTTTTTATCAAAGGCAGCTAAAATGTTCTTGCGAATATTAAAGTCATCCAACTTGGAGGTTGCAACATCATCAGAGTTTGCGATTTTGGCAAGACGGGCCTTTTCAGTGTTGAGGAAATCCTCGCCATGTTGAGAGACCTTTTCCATGATTTTAGCATAGTAATTGGCATAACGGGTACCGATTTCTTTGGCATGTTGAGCAGCTTCAGCTTGAATCTTTTCACGAGCAGCAGCATCCTTAATAAATTGGATAGCCAAGGTATCCAACTTGTGAATACGTCCAGCAACAGGTTCTAAACCACCACCAACAACACGGTGAGTACCACACTTCTTGTTAAGGAAATCAACAAAAGCTTGTTCCGAACGACCACCTTCGTATGCAACGGGTTCAGTTTCTCCTGCAGGGAAGAACTTGATGGTAGGGAAACCAGAAATATCGAATTCAGTACCAATATCTCTTTCTAAATCAGCATCGATTTTGGCAACAACACACTAATAGAAAGAAGATGGTCTTAATTATCATGCGCACAAAATGGTTATATCTAGAACTTACGTTTTCCTCATTGGCAAAGGTACTAGCAACCTTTTCCCAGATAGGAGCTATCATACATACAAACTGTAAGTTTTTTTTTCTTCTTCTTTCACGTGCTTATCATGGCATAAAATAACTTACCAAGTGTTTTACAGTGACCACACCATGAGGCATAGAACTCAACAATCACGTTCTTGTTGGGGTTTAAAGCGACTTGGTGAAAGTTTTTGGTGTTTAATTCAACAACGTCAGACTTTTGAGACTTGATACGAGGAGAGATACCGGTCTTTTCACGGATAAAGTTGGCAAGAGAAGTCAAATCACGGCCACCTTTATAGTCTTCAACACCCTGAGGAGAGTTAACACCTTGGGGGAACCATTTTAAAGTAGGGAAGCCTTGTACACCAAACAAAGTACCAGTCTCACGGTGAGTATCAGCATCAATTTTAGCAACAACAACATTGGCCTTTTGATGAGAAAAGGCATCAGCTAATTGAGACCAGACAGGTGCCAAGTTCTTACAGTGACCACACCAAGGAGCATAGAATTCAACGAGAGCAGGCTTTGAACCATCCATGACAGTCTTGAAATTACCATCAGTCAAGATGACAACGTTACCTTCGTATTCGACACTGTTCTTTCCTGAGCCAGCACCACCGCCAACAGAGGTCTTTTCACGGATAAGCTGGAGAACATCTGTAGCAGAGTTGACATTCTTAAGTTGAGCAAACGCGTTATTTACATGACCTGCTAACTTTTCGGGTGTTGTGGATTTGATTTCGACAAGGTAACTGGCAAGCTTTTCCTTATTCAACTGTTTAGCGTTCTCTACTAAATTAAATCCAATCTGACCACCTTGATAATAATCATAACTGAGGAAGGCTGTATTAATAGCCACAAGTAAGAAAAAAAGCTTCTTAAAGAAAGACATTTTTTTATATCTAAAGTTGAAAAAGAAAGAAAAAATATTTAAATTTCGTTATTTTTATAGTCTCAATTAATTTCTGCCAAATCAACGCTTTCCAAGTGTACATTTGGAATATATTTTTACTGCTTTTTTTTTTTTTTTTATGTTCAGGAGAGGTAGGAGTGTAAATTATCATGTCGTAAGCCTCTTTCCTCATCTACCATAACCTATTGTGGTTGAAATGAAAGAAGGCAACTGCAGACAGAATAACTACTTGCAGTACATTCAACAAAGTAATGCCGAAACCTGGAAAGGCTTGAAGCGAACAAGACAAACACATGGCTATACTAGCAACAAAGTATTCGGCGGAATATATGGCTAATACTGATTATTTGGCCCGCAAAGATAAGGTAGCAGTTCATGGCTGTCTCTTCTAAATGTATAAAATGGATTCGCTCTGGTGAGTTTGACACGTAAACGTAAGCTACGTCTGGGTTTCATAATATTATTTACTATGAAAAATCGCTGTTTAAGTTGATGATAGCAGAGAGGCATTATCAGGATTTGTCCAATTAGAGGAAGCAAAAAAAAAAAGTATTGGCACGTTCCTCTTCTAAAAGCGGCGCATAATGATACTTTTTGAGCGTTTTAAATAAACAAACCGTGTCTTATTGCATGTTATTACTGTTATGTATCAAAATACAGAGCCAAACGCTGTATATCGTGGTCAATAAAAACAGTATTATGTTCCGCTGCAACATGTATATATATACATATATATATATAAGTTGGCTATGCCAACAGTCTTTCAAAAGCCAGAATAATTAGTCGATAACGCTGAAAGTATCGTTTGAGTTCGCCCTAATGGAAGTGGTGGTGTCTCCTATTTTCGATGATGTTGAGCTCGGGGACTGTAAACACACACACACGCACGCACAGCAGAATAAAAAATACAAAAAAAAATCTATTGGCTCCCTGATCCCTTTTGAATTACTCGATTTTTGTTAGCAGGTGACATAAATATATGCATGCGAGTGATGTACAGCCGTAATATCATCTTCATTGACAGTAAAAAACGATGGAAAAGCGACAACACAAAAACTGAGCCAATGAAAAAAAGTTGTCACAAAAAAAACAAGTTAATCATTTACAATACAAATTATACAATCAAGAATAATCTTTTTCTTTTTAATATAAATACTATGGTGATTACACAACCTCAGCAACAGATACAGCAACAAGCACAAAAGAAAAAGGAGCTTGCACCCAATGAAGTTTCCGCCACAATGTGCTCCAACTGTGGCACAACCACAACTCCACTTTGGAGAAGAGCTCCTAATGGCGATACTATTTGTAACGCTTGTGGATTATACCTCAAAGCCAGAAATACTTTGCGACCACCTTCCATGAAACGTAAAAAGCAACAAGAGCAACAGTTTCAACAACAGCAAAAAGCACAATCCTTTCCAAATGCTCCTCTAGGTTCCTGTCCTGGAGGAGGTCAATGTAACGGAACAGGTGGTTCGCCTTCCTGTGAAGGCTGTCCTGCATTCAACCAACATCAAGTCAATCGACATGCTTTAATTTGCGCTAATTGTCGAACAACAACCACACCTTTATGGCGTCGTGATGAAGCAGGCAACACTATATGTAATGCCTGTGGTTTGTATTATAAACTCCATGCTGTACATAGACCAGTGAGTATGAAACGGAGTGTGATTAAACGTAGAAAAAGAATCATGGTCTCCGAAAACGGTGAGATAGATGGTGAGGACTTAGATGAGTTGGATTCCTCCAACGATGATGACGATGAAGAAAAAGTGAAAGAGGCAGAAAAAAAGATACGTCGAATATATAACAAGAAGAAGGCCAATATACAAACAACTCAAGCAACAGTGCCTGCTATTGAAGATTATATTGTGCCAAAACGGACCCCGTTCTCCTTACCAGCACCCGTATCCACAAGCACCACAAAGCGATTTGACCCATTGTTTGACTACCGATCCAATGTACAGTTGGCACCCATCCTGAAAAACACAAACCCTTATGGAGATCTCGCTCAATTCGACGATGCCATGACACGACTAGAAAGGCTAAGAAGAAGAGTACCGCCTGAACAAAACAAGGTACTTTCAAGACTGACCCATTCGCTGCAAGAGATTGTATTACAGGCCGAAGACATTTTATCCAATAGTTAAAAAAGGATTTATTATAATAAAAGAAAGAATAAAGGGTAGATTATATACAAGAAAAGAAAAGAAAGAGGTAATTATTTGTAGGATGTCATGTATTTGGATTTCTTTAGAGATGGACGCTGTATATATTGTATGGAAGGTACTTGGTTATTGGTGGATGATTTTGTCGAGGAAGTAGTTGAACTTGTTAATAAAGTGGGTACTGAAGATTGTGAATGATGTCTCTGTTTTTTATTATTAAATATATCCCATGGATCATCTCTTGTATCAATCTTTTCGTATTCTTCTTCCTTGTGCCAACCACTCACCAGACCAATGCGCACAGTGACTTTAGCAATCACTGATTCCTTGTCCAGATCATGAACCGAATATATTTTATCAGATATCTTTGAATCAAGTGATTTTAGGGGAACTCTTGCTTTGCCCACAGTCTCTTTAGTGTACTTGTCTGTAATAATGTAACTTAGCTCGATGGAGTTTTGTGCGTGAAACCAGTTCTGAATATCAATAAAATGACCACGTAACTGGAAACAGCATTTACCGTCATGTTGATTTGGTAAATTAATCGACGCAACAGGTGATAAATTATAATTTGATAAAAACGAGTAACCAAAATAAGGCTTCTTCAGGTACTGAATTTTTTTGCTGGTAATGGGTGTGGACTGGCGAAGCAGATTTTGTTTGAAATGGTCCACAAACATAATCTTGAAATAAAACGTATACTGCAGTGTGCCTTTGCCAATCTGATGGTATGATTGCTCTGGTGGGATGCTAACGGAGGGTGACAATGGTAATGGTAGTGGTGGTGCCTGTTTGTCGGAAGAAAATATATTCATCTTTTTTAATACATTGGCAAGTTCTTCGATATTCAGGTCTACCAGTGAAGACTTAGTGCGTCTCAAAGGGATCTTTTGTGGTTCATTGTTGCTATGACTACTGCTACTGCTACTGCTGTTAACGGACGGTTTCTTTTTTCTGCCTGTATTTGTTGTAGTTGTACTAATGATTGATGTTGCACAACTAATAACAGAATTCGATGTGCCTAGAATTGAACTGATTTTTTTCTTTCGATTACTATTCGTTGCAGTCACTCTTTTTGGCATGATAGGAGTAGGAGGTGGAGATCTTAATTGTATACAAGGCGTATTTAATACAATACTATTGTTACTCGAATGGTTATTGTCTGGCATGGCTACATAAAATAGTCCTACTTTCAGCTGTTGTCGAGTTTTAGCTATGGTACACCACGCGCCTTTATCGGCTACAAATTTGTAAATGTGGTCTAATTTATGTTCGGATTGAGGAATGACCTCTTTTGCATCTGCTATTAAGAAGACTATTTTGTTGTTGTGTTTATCTTCCTTCTTTACACAAATGCTCATGGTTGCTTCATTTCTTCTTAATCTAGTCAACTGTTTGTGCGAAACAAAATAAACAAGTGAAACATTGAAGCTACAGTTCCCATGGTTGTCCACTTTGGAAGGAGGTGAACATATATTCGTTTTGGTGGGAATCAAATCGTCAATCGAAGGTGGTAATTTCAAATCTAGTTCGGTTTCAATCTTGATTGTCGCATCCGTTTGAAAATAACGACCTGAATTTAACTTATCAGTACCTGTTTAACGGTATTATAAACATATATATTTATATAAAAAAAAAAAAAAAAAAAACCTTGTTGGATGGTTACTAGAATAGCGTATTCACAAGTCTTTGTTAGGAGTAAAGACATATTGTTAACGAAAAGAAAAGGGAAAAGAAAAAAGAAGGGAAAAAAAAAATAAGAGAGAGAGAAAAAAAAATTTGTTATTTTATTTTAATCAGTCAGGTTAAAAGTTAAATGTAGCTCCCTGTGAATCATTGTGAAACATAAATTGACCATTTTCAGTATCAGGTGCCATTTCAGTATCTTGCTCCTCATCACCATCACTGAAATATTTGTCAATTAATTGGTATGATTTCTTGTAAATTTCACCATTTTCATGATGTTGTAAAGCATGAATATATTCAACACCACCACATTCTTCAATCAATAAGGCATAAGGATTTAATCCATCCATCGTATTTGATTTCTCCATATCTCCAACTTTCAATATATTATCCAATCCATCTAATGCCACCAACATAATCTTGTTATCCATCGATGTAAGTATATCACACAAAGGTTTAATACATCCTTGGTTAACCAAGAATTTGATTTGTTCCGGCTTGTTTAATCCTCCAGATGTTGCATTACAAATGGCCCAACAGGCTTCCTTCTTGGTCTTTACATCTCCCGTGATCAATACCTGGATCAAAGGTCCAACAATACCACTGTCGATAATAGCCTGGATCTGGTTTGTATTACCAGCTGTGATGTTCGATAATGTCCAACATGTCTCCTTACGAATGGGTTCCTTGGGGCTACTCAACAAGTGTAATAATGCAACAAGTGCTCCACAGTTCAATACCATTTGTGTTTGGGAATCATCTCCAGTCACAATATTACCAACAGAACGAAGTGCAGGTGTTTGTACAGTGGTAGCAGGATGGCCTAATAATTCCACTAATCGACCACATAACCCAGACTCAATGACAGCTTGAATACGCTCATTGGGACCATCTGATAAGTAAGAAATAGCCCAACATGTATCAATGAGCACCTCTTCATCCGTAGAGTTGATTAATTTAGCCAACACGCCCAAAGCAGGAGAAATCTAAACAATGCATACATATGATATCAGTTCATCGTCATCATTACAGTCCATACTTGTCTACTTACCAGGCGCCAGTTGGGTTGGGGATTCTTGCCTCTACAAAAGTTGGATAAGGTCCATGTAGCGTTACGGATCATGGAAAGCTTGGAGTTGTCCTCAAAGATGGCTAATAAGGGGGGAAGGGCACCTGTTTCCAGGACATAGTCACGACACTTGGGACTATCACCAGCAATATTACCGAGGGCCCAGACAGCCTAGCAACAAGGTTATGGTTTAGACATTAAAAAAAAAATACAGGGAATCAATCAATCTGGGGGTTACCTGTTCTTTGACATCATCTACGGGACTACTTAATAATTCGATAAAATAGGGTACGGCACCTGCTTTAATTACAACTTCTGTTTGCTCTGATGAACCAGACGCAATGTTGGTTAAGGCCCAAGCAGCCTCAAACTATTATAAAAAGGGAATGTCAGATTCTTATTATTTGCTTGATTATAGTCTATACGTTACTTGAACTTGACCGTCAGGCGAACGGAGAAATTCGACAAAACGAGGCACTACACCGCAGCTGATAACTTCCTTGATGGGAGGATTCTTCTCTCTGGATAAGACCTTTCTAAACTGAGCTGTAGCTTGAAGTTGGTGAGTGGGATCCTCAGAATATAAACTTTGCACCATGAGAGGTAATTGGCTCAAAATCTATTACAACACCAGGTTAATTTTACATTGAATTTGCTTTCAGCTGTTATACCTCTGCGTCTTGGTTCATGGCAAGATCATCATCAGAGTCCTCTCCCATATCTTGCGCGTTGAAATTTCTTCTCTTGGCCAAGTTTTCTTCCTTTTTTTGCTTTCTGATTTCAACTTGAGCATTCTCACGTCTACGTCTAACTTCTTCAGGCTTGAAACGACTACGTTCCTTGTAGGCATTACGACGGTTTTCTCCTTCCATAAGTATAATGTTGTTAGCTGGGAAAAAAAAAGAGAGAAAAGAAAGAGGGAAAAAAAATCATTTTATATATTTTAAGGTGAGTATCCTACCCGGTTTTAAAAATCCGACTTGTAACGTCGCTCTACCTATACGTAAGTACTACTACTGTTGCTTGACAAGTACATCTATTTGCCTTTTGAACTACCTCTGGATGAATTTTATACTATTAGAAAAACGATTACAGATTGGTTAGATTCAGGTATAAGTGAGTCACATGACGCATCTTTCCAGGGCAGATACACATACGCATGGATTTATACCTGTTCAGCAGCTGCTCTCTGACTGACAGCTTCTTTAACACGTAATCTGGCAGTGGTGGAAAGGACATTTGGCTGTGAATCCATAATGAGAAATAGGTGACGTCAGTTTTCTGGTGCCGATTCATTTTTATTTTGTTTCAAAAAATAAAACCTTCTTCTTTTCGTAAAATAACCCCTTTTTTTTTCTGTTTTGCTTGTTCATCATGGCAGGATATAGTAGTTTAGGAGCTTATAGTTATTGGTCAGGACTTACAGTCTCGCTCTTGACAGTAGTTGGACTTTATATGCTTTTCACCGGTTCTGGTGAGGAATTCAATGTTGGTAAATTACTTCAAGAAACTTCACCTTTTGCTTGGGCATTGACCGGTATGGCTCTTTGTATTGGTCTTTCTGTCACAGGTGCTGCATGGTAAAATAGATTGAACGCGTCTTTTTTCAGGGAAACCATATTTATTCCTCTATAGGGGTATCTTCATTACAGGTTCTGCACTCTTAGGTGGTGCTGTAAAGACACCTCGTATTCAATCTAGAAACTTGATTTCAATTATTTTCTGTGAAGTTGTTGCTATTTACGGTGTCATTATGGCCATCGTCTATTCTGCCAAGTTGAGTGATGTTCCTCCCGAAAATATCTTTTCCAACTCCAACTATTTCACTGGTAAGTTACTACTATATGACAACCTATAAAGTCAACTAATACAGCTTTTAAAAGGTCACGCTATCTTTTGGGGTGGTTTAACTGTTGGTGTATGTAACTTGTTGTGTGGCCTTTCTGTTGGCGTCACAGGATCAAGTGCTGCTTTAGCTGATGCTCAAAACCCTGAGCTTTTCGTCAAAGTTTTGGTTGTCGAAATTTTCGGTTCTGTTCTTGGCCTCTTTGGTCTCATTGTTGGTTTATTAACCGTAAGTCTTTTAAGCATCTTTTTTTTTTTTTTTAATTCACTCGCTGCTCGTAACTCATCATTTAATTTTCATGTAGACCGGTAAAGCTGCTGACTTTCATTAAGTAGATTTCAATAAATATAAAAATAAAACATCGTTCAGTATATCCTTCTTTTTCTTTGTAGTCGTCGAATGTTTCATTGTAAAAGTGATGGGATTTATTGTCATATTCTAATGGTTTAAAATTAGCTCTTGTTAAAATTAGAAAGGGTTCATTGTAATATTACGTTGGTTGATAATTAGTATTTCACAATGAGCATGGGGTCATTGTCCATGAAAAAAAAAGACATATAAATTAGATACAGATACTTTTCTCTTTTGTCTTTAATCATTATGAATTACCATTGGCGTTTCTTTGCTTTCGTACTTCCCGCACTATCTGTGTGTGTCTACGATTCCTCACTCTGTTATCCAAAAACGGTTCAATTCTACTTTGTAGTGGCTGTCTGTATCTATGTTATCCGAAAAGAACTTGAACAGTACTTTAATCGAAAAAATGCAGTCCATACTCCTCCTGTTGCCATAACACCTTCTCCTTCTCCTCGTCCTATTAGACGTCCCCAGTCACCTATCAATAACACTATAAAATTTCGTTCTAATATCTCATATTTTTCATTGTTCCCGATCATTGCTGCTGGTCCTACATTTAGAGCGCATCTTACTTCCGAAGAACAATTCACTGCTTCAATTGCAGAGATAAATGGATGGTTGAAAGGAGCTAGTCAACCCACGTTATTGTATTCCAGAGAAGATCAACCTGGTACACGTGCTCTGTGCCGTCAGTTATTGGTTCAGCTTTTCACTCAACATCGTTCTACTCGTCTGCATGCCATGCTAAACTACATGAACACTTCTATCACATTCGAGGATGATCCTTATATTTTAGCTAGAGCCTTGACCAATTTAGTATTGCGCGCGCTCAATATTCCCCATAATATTGGACTCTACAAAGGGTCTAATCACAGATCTATTGACAAGCTACTAACAAGTACGCTTATAGCTGCGCAAGATTCTCTTGTCTGTGATTTTATCTTGTACAATCTCATGCATCATGATCAAGTAGACACATTATTAAACCAAGATATCAATGAGACGACAGGTAGAAACAGTATGGTGAATATCAAAAAGAAGCAATCTTTACCTATCTTTACCGGTATACCCTTCATGACGCCTTTACCATCACCTTCTACTTTTGAGTTCTTCGAACGTACCTTTGGGTTATTTCGTCCCGATCAAGAGCATTTATCTGTTCAATCAGCTTTGGTCAAGGACTCAATAGAAACAACATTGGACAAAATAGATCGTCTACATTCTTTGCTGTGGAACAAAAACACACGCCGTTTGCTAGCTTGTATTTCGCCTCCCATTTTACCTGAACAAGAGGTCGGTAGAGATCCCTTATTTTTTCAGATAGAAGCGATACCTTCTCCACCTGGTGGTTCTAGAGTACCAACTCCTGGTGAGATAAAGTTTTACTTTACGGAGTCGGAGCCTATCCATGTCGATGCCGATACCGATGACACCAGCTGGCCATATGTTAATTATAGGCGTTTACATCCTGAAGATAGAGGCTTACTGACTTACGGAACTACACCTGCTATCTTTGAAGACTCAATTGTACCACTACGAGCTACTCAAATCTTGGTAATGAAACATTTGAGAAAATTGTTAGGAAGCAAAGAATTCACCTTGTACAACCATTTGCACGCACTTTCAAAAGCAGGATATGCATATGATGATGCAGAAAATGATCTGAATCGTATCCGAAACAGTCTACACATGTTGGAATTAAACTACCGGACCTTTCAAGATCGCCTACAAGAGTATGAAAAAGGTTTTGTGATTCACCAGTTATCAAACTATGTCAAGATGTTTCAATCGGAAGTCGAATGCGTGGAAACGGCCAATATGAGACGTCGCGCGGAGGGTGCTCACCGCCTAGTGTTTCCAATAAGAAAAATAGGTGCTCTCACTAAGAGTGTAGCTTGGAATCTTAAATACGTTTTAGAACGCTTTACCAAATTCGACCATGCTTACAAAAAGCCCGCTTATCGTAGACTTGTCCATAATATGTACCGCACTATATCTGACAACGTGGATAATCTTACTTTTGGTAATAACAGAGACTAAAAAGGCAAATAAGCAATGCGTCGAACTTAGTTTACGTTTTTTATTTTTTTTATTTTATAAATAAATTTCAATTAAGCAAAAAAAAAAAGAAGGGGTGTGTGTGGTAAAAGCTGTATCAAGGAGAGACGCCAAAATGTAAAGAGATTATTTTATATAGTTCTACAAATATAATTCGTATGTGTGCGTGTGTGTGTGCGTTGGTGAGAAATGATAGAGATATAAAAAAAAGAGTGTAAATACAATCCTATGAAGGAGGGAATGTTACAAAAAAAAAAAAATAGATCGAAGTTAAGGATTTGAAAATGTGTTTGAAAAAGGATGATGACCAACGAAGGGAGAAGTGGGCGAAAAACCAACCTCGCTTGTCATTAAAGGATGAACGTTATTTCCTCCTATTAAACTACCTCCTAAATGATGGTTATAGCCCTGTTGCTGTTGCTGCTGCTGCTGGAACTGCTGAAGCTGAAACTGTTGCTGCTGCTGTTGTTGGTATTGAGGTTGGGTTTGTTGCATAGGCTGCTGTCTTTGCTGTTCTCCTCGATTCAATTTACCTTGAATACGTTTACAATACGATGTGTTGCGAATTGCTGGTAATAATGGGCGAATACAATCACCCAGCTTATTAAAAAGAAAAGCGTATCAGTTGGGTATAAACATTTGAAAATATGTATAATTTACCTTTTGATGCTGAGTCTCTTCGGCAAAATCCAAGGCAGTTTGAACAACATAGTTTGCATAGGAATCCTTCAAGAGTTTCTCTAATTGAGGACGGTTGACCATTTCTTCAATCAAGTGACGACGAGTATCTTCTTCTGCAACACGGATGCACTATGTTTATTATAGAAAATCAATAAAGACCCCTTATTGTTACTCCTTTTTAATAGATTACCTTTTCCATGACGTTGGAACTATATTTCTGTACGGACAATCCGCCAATATGACCGATGAATTGTCTGATTAATTGATCCGAAAAGTGAGCATCACCCAGTTCAAGAACGTATTGCACAACGTAATTTCCATATGGGTCTTGTACCAGAGTCAAGGCATGTCGAATTATTTCATTGACCAATTGTTTCTGGAGATCTGTTAGGAACTTATAAAGAATGTGCAAGTGTTTTATTTTTTTACCTTTTGACTTTCGGCAGAAAAGTCAATGCAACGTTGTAACACACAACAGCCATGGCGATGTGTGGCTACTTCGATACAGTTTTCACTTACAGCATCATAAATGAATTGTTTATCTGTACTAGACAGACGATGTAAACATTTCTGTATGACATGATTACCATTTATATCTTTGATTAAAGTGACCACATTTGGAGAGAGAGCTCCAATTGTCTTTTCAATCTGATATTTAAGGGGTGTGTAAGCAGATAATAAGTGTAAATCTAAAATCAAACTTACCTGTTCAGGAAGGGTCAAGAATTCAATCATTCTCTGAACAGCTCTTGTTCCGTGCATATTTAAAGAAATTGTAATTACAGCGTTAGCAACCTGCTCAACAATCATCGTTCTTTGTGCATCCGTGCAGTACTCCATCAACTTTTGACACAAGTAATTGCCAAAAGGATCTAAATCATAATATTAGCGTTAGTCACACACACATATATATGTTACTGATGGGCTAAGTTTTACCCGTCATAAGCTCCACAAAGTGAGGATATATTTGAACGAATATAAGATCCCGTTGATCTGGTTTTTGCTCTTCTAGTTTCTTTTGAAAGAATCTACAGCCGTATTGGTCTTTACACAAGGAGTATATCTCATCCACAACATCTTCCAAGCGAATAGAAGCAAAACGATCTCCCTCGTTATTGTTATTGACAGAGGTGTTCATGGTAGTAGCTGAGCTTGTTCTTCTCAGTTGGTTCATGGAATTTTTTCGGCTTGTGGGTGAAGGAGGACGGCTTATGCTAGTGGGTTGAATCTGTCTCATGAGATGGGATACAAGTAATGGATTCATTGTGGTGGCAATGGAAGGAGATAATAAAGGAGGATTGGAAAAGGAAGAAGAAGACTGGCTGTAGTTGTTGAATAGAGAGTTCTGTCTGATAGGCACGGTTGGATGATCCATGAAATCATCAAACGTATTACTGTTATTATTTCTAGTTAATCTTGTTCCTGAATCTAAACTACCCATGCGTCTTGCAGATGAAAGATCCGGGTTTGAATAAGATGGCGTCAATCTGTTGATGTCTAACCTTTTGGATGCCAAATCAACAGAAAATTTACGATATTCTTGTTGAGATTGAATAAACTGTTGTTGTTGTTGTTGCATCAAGAATAGGTTATGTTCTACTGACGGTTGGTGCTCTGCCGTAGTCAAGTTCTGCATATAACCATGCCAGTCAGGATAGTTATTGCCATTGCTATTTGCCATATATGACGTGCTCTTTGTAGATAGTAAGTAAAATAAGTTTCATGCGATATTTTATAGATGATATTTACCAGGTTGGGGTAACTCTCACGACGTGATAATTGCTGATGACCATCTTCAGCATATCTCATAAACAAATTGTTACTAGAAGAGGAAGGACTATTATATTCTGGCTGAATTGCTTTAAATGTCTAAATTAGTTTTTTTTTTTTTTTTTTTTTTTTTTTACATCAAATTAAATACGCGCATAAACACACACACACTTACAAAAGGAGTTATTACGGAACAAATGTCTGTCTGTAGACTGAGGAGTAAATGCTGTGTTATCAGGAAATATACTACGGAATGACTTGGTAGCATTTGTTGAAGCACTCCTAGAAAGAGTTACACGAAAAGTCAATTTGACATCCCTTGTTATTCTTTTTGCCCCTCCTTTTTTTTTTATGGTTTTCCCCTTACTCGTGTTTTTCTCTGCCCTCTAGCCCCCACCCACACCCCTTTTCTTTATTTTGCACTCCCATTTTTCTCTCTCTCTCTGATTTTTTTTTGAAAATAAAAAAAAGAGCAACTTACGTGTCCAACATAGTGTCCATTGGATGTTGATCTGATATTGTCAAGCTATTTATTGTAGCAATTTGATCATCAATGTCTTGGTCAGTCATACTGTACGACGCATACTGTTGTTGTTGTTGATTATAATCATCTTCTTTAGCTGATAAAATTGTTTGCTTTTGACTGTAACTATTACTTTCCATCTTTCAAATAAGAAGAAGAAGAGAAAAAAAAGAGAGAGAAAAGAAAAAAAAAAGGGGGCACGGTTTGGGCACACACTTTTTAATGCAAACTGAAGGAAAAACCATTGGCGGCGATTAAAATAAAAGTGACTTGTGACGTCCCTTGGTCAAACAAAAGCCAATTGATTGAGCTTTTTATTTTTTTTCTTCTTTTTATCTCTTTCTTTTACTAATGGCATCCAACTCGTTCTTGTATCAGACACAAGCACCTTCTTCCCCTGTTACAAGTAACTCTCAAGTTGGACAGGAAGAGATTTACTTTAACAGTGACCACACTGTAGACTACATGGTCTCACCTAAACCATCTACGAGTCGTATGACACCGCAGCCAGACAACTTGGAAAACACCAGCAACAATAAGCGTCGTTCCTCTACAGGCTCGACAAATAACTGCCTCAAACCTATTAAACTTGCTGCAGATAAAGAACTGGTTTTGAAACGAGACCATTATATAAAACCAACCTCATCAACGAGTAGTACAACTCCATCTTGTCCATTAGTCATCACACCGAAAGCAAACATAAAGTTCGAAAAAAAGAAGAACAGCAAACTATATCGAAAAGAAAGGCTTAAACAGGCCAAAAATGAATACGAAGAGAGGATAGAAGAATATTTTGAACAGTTAACCGTAGGTTGTCAACAGCGAGATTGCCTCAACAAATTTTGTGCTTCAGGACGAGGTAAACATAGACTAGATGATACGCAATGAAAGTACTAACAAAAAGAATTCATAATAGGCGGTATTCTTAGTTTACAACCGCAGGCTGCACTGATCATGTCAATACAGCTAGCTTCCATGCCAGGCTCAAGGTTATGTATAATCAATAGTGATCATGTACATGTTACACAAAAGGAAACAGAAAGAGATAATACCCAGGAACCTACACGAAAACCGTTCTTAACATCTCTCTTCACTTCCACTCCTTTCATGGGCTTATTAAATAAACAACCACCCAAGGAGAAGAAGCAAAAGGATCACCATTGGAGTACGGATTTTTGGAAATTATTCAGTCATTTTAATAATGACGATGATCATATAATAGCTGATGAAGGCTACTATCAAATCGATCAAGAGCAGCGTCAGGACACTGACATGCTATTAGCTATTCCTCCTCTATCCGTTAATTTGGATCATGCGGTAGAGTACTTGCATCGGTCCATCGTTACTCAATCAATATCCGAAGATAAAATGGATACCTGGTGTAGATCAATATTTCAAAGCTGGGAAGGCATTGGCAATAGTTTCCTATCTGGAAAGTTTATTCAGCTAGAGGATTTAACACGGTTTTATCAGTTGGTCATTCACCAAGATAAAAAACTGAAAAATACTCGCCAAATTAGAATCATGGAAGCTATCTCTGATAGTTTCGAAACCCTCTTGGATAGAATGGCTTTAAACGTGGAATCTCTCACTGCACAGGCATCAGATCATACTCGCATCATGTATGAATGGTGTCGCTCCATTATGGCCGTCGTACAATGGATCATTTGTTGCAAAGAAAAGAAACAAAAGGAAGAACAAGACGGCCTAGCTGCATTAGTCGCCAAATTGGATGATGTCGCTACCAATCAAAAAAGAGCTGCTTCTATTGCCTCTACAAGCCAAATCATTTTGATCCACAAATTGATCCAAGTCTTATCGAAAATGTCTCGAAAGAAGACAAGCATCATAAGAAAACTCATGTTAGACATGTTGGCCAATTTGGATCCCACACGTATGACTTTGTTCATTGGTGATCTACATCAGTATCTGTCCGACCATTATCATACGGGACCATATAAGCATGGATTAGAAGATACTGCCATCATGACCTTGAAATGTTTGGAACTAGTGTGTGAGTGATAAACGAGAGTCTTTACATACACATATATGCATACTTACGATAGACACTTTAGATCAAGCCAATATGAAGACACCAAATTCACCTATTGTACCGATAGAAACATTCTACAGTGACTCAATTTGTAAAAAGCTCAATATAAAAAACGAATATCGCATATGGAAACGAGTATTATTGCACGGAGAAGGCCGACATTCAGCTTTAATTACCCGTCAGGGAGAAAGTGAACATCAACGACGATCTCGTCTATTCATGACAACGAGTTCTAGCTTACTGCCTTATCCATTTGAAAACGAATATCAATTCTCCTGGTTTAGTTATCCCTTTTTGTTACCACCTTCTATTAAACGCAAAGTCGTATTGATTGATGCTATGTCACAAATGTCTCTGGAATATGAGGATGCTTGTGTTAATCATACTCTGGTTGTTCATGCTCAAAAACTCCTTTCTGAAGCCCCCCTCATGCTAAAGAACTTGGAAACTAACCTCCGTAGTGCAACGTGCCCTTATCTCTTGTTGGAAATTAGACGTGAACACTTTGTTACAGACACTTTAAAGCAGTTATCCAGAAAGTGGAGTGATCTAAAAAAGCCTCTTAAAGTGAAGTTCATTCACGGTGGTGAAGAAGGTATGGATCAAGGCGGTGTCCAAAAAGAATTCTTTGGTGTCCTCTTTGAAAAATTAGTGTCGCCTGAGGTAGGTTTATTTTCTCAAGATGATCAGACTCGTCTTTGCTGGATTCGTCATGTTGTCGAACCTGATATTCGTATGTATGAAATGGTAGGGGTTATGATGGGTCTATCCGTATATAATGGTGTTATCATGAATCTCCAATTTCCCAAGGTCTTGTGGAAGGTTTTAGTCATGCCTAATGAATCATTGATTGAGATAATGGCCGAAAAACAAGTGTTATTTACTTTGGATGATTTAGAAGAAGGTTGGCCTGGACTAGGCAATGGTCTTCGCCAGTTATTGAATTGGCATGATCAAGTGGAAGATGTGTTTTGTCGGGATTATGAAATATCCATGGATATTTACGGTAAAGGGATTGAAACCATCTCTTTGTTACCCAATAAGGATGATCCTGTTGTACCTGTAACAAATGAGAACCGTGAACAATACGTCAAGGATTATTGTACCTTCTTCATGTACACTGCTCAAAAAGAGCAACTATTGGCCTTGCGCCGTGGTATGTGGAGCGTTATTGGAAGTCGAGCCCTTAGTCTATGTACGGCTGAAGAATTGGAAATGGTGGCATGTGGTCTTCGTCAAGGCCCAGATTCTATCGAGCTGAATATGGCTGAACTTGAGAGTGTGGCAGAGTATGATGATGGCTATAATGCAGATCACCCAACTATAAGGTACAAAAAAAAAGGAGAAAAAAATAAATGAGAACAAACAATACTAAATCTTGGTTACACAGGCAATTCTGGTCTGTGGTACATCATGATTTAACTAACGACCAAAAGAAACAATTATTACTGTTCGTTACAGCAAGTGATCGTGTACCTGTCGGTGGACTGAAGGAACTTTCATTTTATATTCAAAGAAACGGTCCTGATAGTGACAGGTAAAAAAAGAAAAAAAAGAAAACCTTGCTGCGGTAATCGACAGAAAAATTCATCCATCTTTCTTTAACATAGATTACCTACTGCACTTACCTGCTTTAGTCGACTTTTATTGCCCGAGTATGCTAGCAGACAGAAACTTCGTGATAGATTAATTACAGCCATTGAGAATACCAAGGGCTTCGGACTTGTATAGATTATTTGTACTGCAGCATAACACTTTCGCATCCATCTAGTTTTTATTTATACATTACATTTATATATATATATATATTACTCATATACCGTACTTACTACGTTATCCTATTCGTTTATCAATGTATATCATCGAAAGAGAGATAACAATTTCAATCGCATATAAAATAGTCATTTATTTAGTGCATTAAAATTGTTCGTGTAATTTTTATAAGTTATTGCCGTTAAGCCGGCGAATGGTATTTGTTTTATATGTTTCCTATTTACAGTAGAGTGATTGATTTATGGTGAGAAATTTACTCAGACTATATCGACGGCAAAGCATATAGAGCTATAAATATCCTACAATTGAAAGAAAATTGTTTATCATTAGCATTTCTTGCTAGACAAAACTAAGTAGTTACACGTATGAGTCCTGTCAAAGTTTAGTCGTAGCGACATTAGATATTCATTCATACTTGCATTACAGGATTGGATAACATATAGATAAAAATCCCTTATTATACAGCTTCAATGCATTGACAATAAGTACTTTATGGTCAACAGAACATTTCCCATAAGACGTTTTTAAAGATCAGTGTTGCAGTTCAGAAGAAGTATGCTGTAAAGGGTGTCCATAGCTGACAAAATTCAAGTATAACGCTATGATTGTTTACTTTCCATTTGATTTGATACATATAGAAGAGCTAGTAAACCTTGAGAATTACTACCGAATTTGTTTTAAATTATTATACTTCCTTCAACTTTGACGATTTCATTGTTATTATGCTTAGTATGCCACCGCTAGACACAGGCGAAAGCTCGCATACATGTCCAACTTTAAATATGTGACTGACATTGAGAAAAGCGACGCTGTTCTGACTTTTTTCTTTCGCACATTGTTTTCACTCATGGATAGATTAACTCAGTTACAGGATGCCATTGATGCAGTAATTATTGTTGTTTTTGATTAGAATGCAGGGATCTAAGTGTTTTTGCAATAGATGGCGAGAATGTTTACAAACAGTATATATTACGTACACGAAAAGTCAGGCATGGCCGAGTTGAATAAAGACATACCAGTGGCACAACCAAAAAGTAGAACAATGATCTTTTTCATGTTGTTCAAGCATTTACCTCTTTTTTCTCTTTCTTTTTAGTACAAGCGGATGAACCTCACGTATTTCAGGGTACGCCCTTTCCCTTTCTTTTTAGACATACATAAAAGCTGACCGTAATATAGAAAATATGCGTGAGCTGGCATCAGATTTAGTCAAGAAAGCAAAAGAAATTGATGCATTAATAGAAGTTTTACCCGGCATCGACCAAACTGAAGATGAACAAGTAAGGAAAAAATAGACCCTCGAAATGCAGCACCTCCCGCAAACGAGGAATAGTTGCTAATCCTGTATTAGATTGATCTTTTAAGGTCACTTGAACAAGAAAATCAGATTGCCAATGAAGAATATGAAGCAGCCGTCAAAGAAATGGGTAAGAAAAAGATATATTAATGCAAACTATAAAATGTTTAAATTTTCTACAGAATTTGTTAAGCAACAAATTAGTTTGTCTTTACGAGTATTAGCAGAACAAGCACTTTAAAAGACCGATTTTTTTTTTTTTTTTTTTTTTTGAAATAAAAAAGCAAATTTTTTTTTGTTTCTTTTAAACAGATTATTTTTAACTTTCTTCCTTCATTATTTTTATATCAATGCCTGGTAAAGAATTACAAATTCCTAACCTTCATCCTTCACATCGAACTACTAGTCGATATGACGGACAGGACGCTGAGCTTAGCAGTTCATTTACAGGACGCCTTGAATCATTTGTTGGATCGTATTCTAGAACATCATTAATGCACATGGCTGAAAATGTGGTAGTTCCTGAAGGAGGCATGGTAAGTAGGATATGCATACAAAGGATTAAAAGATATTAAGAACGGAATGTGTGTTTAATTTGATTAGACAGACGATGAAGATGACCATTCATCCTTGCACTCGAGTTATTTGCCTCGGTAAGTTTGAAATAAAGATGATCGTGTAACGATACTCAATGAGTAACTTTAGGTATGAAAATACTTCGAGGCGAAATTCGGATGGTACGATTCATGAAAGAACGCCCTTATTTCCTAATCTCCAAAAGATCGATACTTGCAATAGTATAATGACAGTAGCGGATAATTATCCTTCCACCCAAGTGACACATGCAAAATCTTCTTTTACACAAAGCATATTTAATTCTATCAACATATTGATTGGTGTAGGCATCCTGGCCTTGCCCTTGGGTTTTAAAGTAAGTTTATAATTTTTTTGGAGAATGATTGTCTATCCTCACTAATTAAGATATTACATTATAGTGTGCTGGCTGGTTAGTGGGCGTTTTTGTATTTGCCTTTTGTTTTGGTTTGACAAATTACACTGCTAAATTACTAGCTAAATGTTTGGATGCGGATCCAGACTCACGGACCTATGGAGATATGGGTTCATACGCTTTTGGTATTCGAGGAAGATTCTTTATATCTATTCTTTTCTTGACCGAATTAGTCACTTGCAGGTAACGCTAAAATCCTTAATTCTTGATGTTGCACCGTGCCGTAGGAGATCTAAACCTTAATCTAGTGTTGCACTAGTTGTCTTATTAAGCGACGGTATCGATTCTTTGTTCCCTGGTCATGATCCCATTTTTTATCGTCTCGTTTCCTTCTTAATTCTTACGCCTACCTTGTTTATACCTGTACGTCATTTGTCTTACACAAGTTTACTTGGTATCCTCAGTGTATTTGCCTTATTAGTGGTGATTATCTATGATGGTTTATCTAAAGAAGAAGCCCCTGGAAGTTTACACGAAATGGCTGTAAGTTTAACAATAAAGAGACTAACCTAATATAGTAACCCATATTCTTCTTTTTGTTCACGCTCCAGGACACCTCATTCTTTCCAGAAGATTGGATGACCGTGCCAATGAGTTTTGGTTTGATTATGGCTGGCTTTGCAGGACATGCTGTATTCCCGACAATTTATCGGGATATGAACACACCAAGAGATTTCAATCAAATGGTCAATTATACCTATGTTGTAACATCAATAGTTTACATGACAGTGGCTGCCTGTGGATATGCCATGTTTGGTTCTGCTACAATGCAAGAGGTAAGCAAAATAATTAATAATAATACTTAAAATAGTGCTAAAGTGTGAGAAATAATTGTGTGAGGGGTGGGAAATAAAAGAGTGTTGTACATACGATCAATAAGAGATCTATCATGTAGTATAATCAATCTTTAATTTTTTTTTTTTTTTTTTTTTTTGAAATATAGATTACACAAAACCTTGTTACGATTCCACAATATAATCAAGTATTAAACCGTCTTGCTGTCTGGTTGATTGCGATGAACCCTATCGCCAAATACGGCCTAACCTTAAATCCTGTAGTACTCAGTTGGCAATTAGGCTTACAAAATAATCAAGCTGTTGAACATTGGTTTTCTAGAGGCAGCTGGAGAAAACCTGTAGTGAAAACACTTGGTGTGATTTTAACATCCGCCTTTATTGTCGTACTTGCTTATTTGTTGCCTAATTTCGACAAAATCATGTCTTTGCTCGGTGCCTTCTTTTCGTTTGTTATCTCTGGCATCTTTCCCATGATGTGTCACTTGAAGTTGTTTGGGGACACCATTTCTAGAAAAGAAATTGTTCTCACCTGGACTTTAATCACCATCGCTGCTATTATGGGTATTACCGGTACCATATGCAGTCTTTTATAGATACACACCCACATATTACCACACGCCATTTTCTTTTCTTTTGTTTTTTTATACAAATATATATACACTGCCTTTCTTTATTTTTATTACAAGTTAATTCATCCAATGGTTTAGTTCATCAAAGGGATTATGGTCATTGCTGGCAGTTGTGTCAAACAAGGGTGTATCCAATTGTTGCTGTGCTTGCACACTTTGGAGTTTGTCATAAAGAGCTTGTTGAAAACGAGCACGAAACATGGGAGAAATGGTCATTAGTAAGTTTTCCATGCTTTCGAAAGGAGCTTCTAAATGCGCTTGCACTGTTTGTGCTGTTGACAGTGCGGGATCCACATTGCAAAGTGGAGAGCAAGATGTAACCTGAAATTTTTAAACTTCAGCATTCGTTCTCGTCTTCTCTGCTCATGTTTTTTGTATGTATAAATGTACCTTGTAGCCTTGATCAGTTACCTCCAAGACAATCATGACACCTTCTAATAACGTCAGATCCAGGCGTCCAATGCAGTTCACCTCATCCTTGACAAACACAGTGGCTGATCCAGGAACGATGCCGTAATCAAACTCTCTCGTAATGGCATCTAATTCCGCACTTAATGAACCGAATCTCATATTTTAGGAATCAAGTAAACAACAAGATGATTAAAAGAGAGCAACATTTTCTCACCAGTGCACGGAGTTTTTGTGACTTGTCTTTTTTTTCTTTTTCTTTTTGTACGGATTCCATGACGTTACTATGCTGTAAGAAACAAGGTTAAGAGGCAAATCTCGATTAAGAAACCGAGTGTGATCACATATAACTGAACCCCTTATATGTGGTGTAGGGTTTATAGTTTTTGTCCTGTTAAATTTTTGCACATCAGCTGTGAGATTTTTCATTGGTGAAACCATCCGTTACACAAGATCATCTCTTTTTAGTGTTTTCGTTTTGGGAGTTAAACTCCTTGCATAAAAGAAAGACAGAAAATTGCCACTAGTTTATGTAAAACGGAGTAAAATGAGAATAATAGGGGAATATAAAGGGAGATTTTTTTTTACATCAGGATACAACATTTAGACTTCTTGGGTTGATGCTGAAGCTGATTTTTCACGACAGAGACATCGGTCTGTGTATCTTGTTCTTTATTGTATCGTCTAATATCTCGCACTACTTCATGGAATGCCTCATCCACATTAACACGTTCTTTTGCTGAGGATTCTACAAATTGGCAGCCATAATGCTGTGCCAAATCTCTCCCTTCTTGACTAGACACCTGTCGATCATATTCAAGGTCACACTTATTCGCTATCAGCACCATCGGAAAGTGGTCTCTGTCTTTCACTCGGCAAATCTGCTGGTAAAATGTTTCAATCTCCTCGAAGGACATGCGGGAAGTGATCGAATACACCAGCAAAAATCCTTCGCCATTCCTCATGTACTGTTCCCTCATAGCACTGTACATAGGTTAACATAGTACATCCTTTAATAAATCATTTTCACACTCACCTGTATTCTTCTTGCCCGGCAGTGTCGAGCACGTCAAGGAGTGCCGTTTCTTCATCAATGACACATTGCTTTCGATAAGAATCTATACCGGGCATCAGTCTATTTGTTCATTGTTGATTTAAAGTATACATTTTACCTTCAATAGTGGGATCATACTCATCCACGAAATGAGACTGAATGAATTGAATGGTCAAGGCAGACTTGCCCACGCCTATCGAAAAGGGGGAGTTTTGAATACTTTATATTTTTTAAAGCTCTTCTTGAATATTATTTCTTTTCTTTTTCTTTTTACCACCACCACCCACCATAACCAGTTTGTATTCACGGACTATCCAAGAAGCTGATTTATTCAACATGTCAAAAATCACAAGGTTAAAAAGAAAAACACAACCTGTAAATTTTTTTTATTTTTTTAAGCAGGGTTCTTCGCCCGGCAACCAAAAAATAAAAATAAAAATCAGGGTCACTTTTTTTAAAGTTTAGCTCTCCTGGGTGAAATCATTGCACATGGATTCAATATGCACCCGCGCGCATAAATAATAATAAATCAGAAAAAAAAAAATTTTTTTTTTCTGGTATTTTAAACTATGCCAAAATTAAAATACAAAGAACACAAGAAGGAGTCAAGTCGACGACATCACCATAGTAGCAGTAGCAGTAAGAAAAAGAAAGAAAAACCATACAAACCACCTACACTCTATGAAGAAGAAGAAGGCTGGTTACCACCTCACCATGACAACGAGGCTGCTTGGCGACAGCGCATGTTCGAAGCCATGATGGACGATGAAGGACAGGATCCCTTTTACAGCAGCTACGAACACGTTCAACCCACACCCGCCATGACCGATGAAGAACATCGCCAGCATATTGTGTCGGGCATGTATAAACGCACACATGCCGAAGAAATAGCAGCGGAAGAAAAAAGAAAGGCTCACAAGGAAAAAAAGAAGGCAGAACGACAAGCAGAAAAAGAAAAAATGGCCCGTGAAGATGCAGAGAGGATACGCGCTCACAATGTATATAAACAGTTGCAGACATTGAAACAAGTCGAAATACATCGAAAAGAGTATGTGGATAGGTGGGACAGCTTGGAGAGACTAAAAGAAATTCATAAGAAGGATATTCCATGGCCTGTTATGAACCGAGAATTTTCATTTGAATCTGTTAAGGCATTTTTGGTGGATCCGAAAATGAATTTTGACGAAACGAAAAAGACTGTACGAAAAGAACAGACAAGATATCATCCAGATAAATTTATTACAAGATATATAAACAAGTTTAAAGGATCCGAGAGAGAAAAGGAAAGGGTGATCAAGCAGGTTAATGAAATATCGGGTTGGTTGAATGAGTTATGGACTCAAATAATAAACCATTAATCTTTGACCCATCTCCAAATACGCACTAAGCCATCATCGCCTACAGTGGATAACCAATCACCGTGTGTTTCATTGGGATACCATGACACACCGTTAATATCGTAGACACCATGTGCATCCTTTGTTGTGCTTGTGTTCTTATAGTTGGGTGAATCTGGGTCTGTTGTGTCTGAATCCTTTTCGAATATACGGATGCTATTATCTCCACTCACACTAGCGATGCATCCATTGACCTTGGACCATGATACTGAATAAATACATCTGTCATGATAGCCAGATAATGTACAGATTGTCTTCCATGTAGGTTCGCCGTTATGTGTGATCACACCTTGTTCATTATCTGGTTTATACATTTTCCAGATACGTAATGTCTTATCATCTGAAGCGGAGACTAATTGTTCACCTTCAGCATCAAAATCCAAAGACCACACAGTGGATGTATGCCCTTCTAATGTATCTGCACAATACCAATCATCATCATCTTCCTTCCAAATCTTGATTGTATCATCATAACTAGCAGATGCTAATATTTCTAACTTTGGGTGCCATGCTACCATCTTGACATCTTGTGTATGTTCCTGTAACACACTAAGACATTCAAAATCATTATCCGACTCGACTTCCCAAATCCAAACGCTTTTATCTCTAGAACAAGTGGCTAAAAGTGCACCAGTAGAAGACCATGAGACTGACTTGATTTCGTTTTCATGGCCTTCCAAAGTAGCTACACACTCCCAATCGTTATCTCGAGGGTCGTTTTCCCAAATGCCTGTTGTTGCGTCAAAACTGGCAGTTGCTAATTCGTTACCGGTTGGGGACCAAGCAACACTACGAATGGTTCTTTTATGAGCGCCTTCTAATGTCTCTACACAGTGCCATTCAGTGAAGTTGTTGTGTGTTGCAGGTTTCCATAAACGCACAGTCTTGTCACCGGAACAAGTGGCTAATAAAGTCTTTGTGGGGTGCCAAGATGCTTGCCAAACGCGATCCTGATGACCTTTATATTAATGAATAAGAGATTTTGCAGAAGATGAGTGTAATTTTTACCTTCAAGAGTGGCTAATAGTTCTAAATGAGGCATAATAATGTCAGATAAGGATAAAGAAGCAATAAAAATAAATCTAAAAAAAAGATGGTTTTAGGTATGAAGAGATGATAAGCCACCCGGTGTGTGTGTGTTGGTGGGGGGAGAATTATGCAATGTGTGTATGCATGGAGACAAATAAAGAAAAAGCCCGCCAAAATACGATTGAGGTGATTTTAACAAAAAAGGAGAGCTTAAAGGAGTAAATAACATATAAAAAAAATGATACAACAACAAAAGGAGATATACGCGTCTAACATGCCCTTTCTTTTTAAATAATAAAATATAATGAAGGGCGTTATTTTGTAATAGTTTTTCATTCAACGGTTATTTCTCACACACCTCCTTACTTGTCTGTTTATATGTCTTTACATTCTCTTCCCCTTCTCCTTGAATTAAGGGGCATAGGGTTTTATAACAAGCTCTCTCTCTCTTTTTTTTTCTTTCTTTTTCTTTTCTTTTCTTCTTTTTTTAAAATTAAAATTACAAAATCATAAAAAATCACAGACATTCTTTTTCTAATACAATAATGACTGTCGTCTTGGGACAAGAATCGAATAGTTTCACTGTATGTATATTGTTTGTTATTTTCCACATATCACCCACCATTCATTATGTATATATATATATATAAATAATTAGATGGAGCCACTGTATGAAGGCCTGTTGCAACAAAAGTTTATGTCCAGCACGGAGGCTATAGAGTTTTGTCGCCAAAGTTGCCAGGAATATGGATTCACAATCAAACAAGAAGCTGGTGCCAATAAGGTATTTACAGAAAGAATAGTAAAAAGGGGTGCTGCTTATTTAATAATGTAATATATATATGTTACAGAACATCTACATTTATTGTTCACGTGAAGGTTTAGGTCAGCAAGCACAAAGAAAGCGACCTTTAAAGAACTGTGAGTGTAAATGGAGAGTGGTCTTATCCGAAGATGAATACTCACAGTGGACCTTTCGAAAGTCATTAAACCCCACCGCTTGCGAACATAACCATTCAATCGTCCAATGGCCTCAGGATATGGTCGATAAAATCATTCAATTAGCGCGTAAAAACTCAACGGACGATGAAATTCGTGCCGCTATAAAATCACAATTTCCAAACGTCAGCTGGGATGACCGTCTATTTTACAATCACCTAAATGAAGAACGTAAAAGAATGAAACAAAAAGAGGTGACGGATAGAGTGCAGAAATTAGTGATGGCTTCTACAAAACTATGTTCGGTTGTAGCTGCCAATGAGGATTGGGCTTCCTCTGTTGAATCTGACCTTACAAAGATGCTGGATGTCTATAGAGAAATGACAAAATTAACAAACCAGTCTCTAGATTCAATGGTTGATTTACAATTGGATATGATTCATTCAGAGATTGACAAGAGAAACAAGAGAGGCGAGTTAAAAAAGAGAAAAATAACTGCTGTACAAGGTGTTCAAGTCATGTCTATACCAAGCTGCACACTTTATATTCGTTCTCAGCCTCTACGTTCTTTATCAGAGACAAGACAGTCCTTTGATTCGCCTCCTCCACAGTTATTGAATCCATTCAATCTTACCTCCCCTTCCTCTTCGCCTTCTTCTACTTCATCCATACACCAAAGAATCGATTATGCTTACACTACCAATAGAAATAATGAAATACTGCAATCACCTCCAATGCCGGACAACACATCCATGATTATCACTCCCAATTTCAACAATAACAACCCTAATAACTATTTAGCTCCTTATACTAGTGATTTCCACTACAATCATCATCATAATAGCAACTATTATCCGCGTGAATCCTCTCCCAATACAAGTGGTACTTTACAGCAACGCATCATGTTGCAGCAGGAATATGAACAGCAACGACATTTGCAGCAGTCTACTACCTTGCCCATTATCAGGTCCACTGCTACCCCAATGATGCAGCAGCAGCAGCAGCAGCATCAGCAACACCACCAACAGCAACAACATCATCACCATCACCATCACCACCAACAGCAACAACAACAGCAACAACAGCAACAACAACAGCAACAGCAACATCAACATCAACATCAACATCAACATCAACAACAGCAACAGCAACAACAACAGCAACATTGGTCTTAAATCCTTTTCTCTATCTCTATCTCTATCTCTCTCTATCTCTCTCTATCTTTCTCTTTCTTTCTCTCTCTCTCTCTTTCTTTCTCTCTTTCTCTCTTTCTCTCTCTTTCTCTTTCTCTTTCTCTCTCTTATAATTTTTTTGTATAATTTAATCTTCTTTTTAATTAATAAATCCTGCGTCACATTTTTCAATTTCCAAACGAATGTATCTACACAATTCACCAGAACCGACTTCACGTTTCACAGTTAGCCAATGTTCTAAGAGATGAATCAACAGCTTCTTTTTAAAGGAGACATGATTTGATAATAGTTCACAGGTACGTTGTACGGCGCAATCAACATGACTATCACTCAAGATTTTACCTACAAATGCTGCACCCATTAGATCGAAGCAAGCAAATATACTATCTAGAGTTATGTTTGTATTTGTGGTGGAAGCCATAATTTTATAACCTGTATATTCCAAAAAGGCCTTTATATTATCCGCCAGTGTGTATGTGATTTCTCTACAATACGAAGGAAAGGCAACATCCAGTTTGGACAAGAGTCTGACCAGAATGGCAGCTAATGCACCTCCATCGTGTGACTTATGGATGGCAGATACAAAGACAGCGTGATGAAAGACAACATCCACCGCAGTTCTGATCCTATTACGAATATCGATATCTTCGATTAATACATACTTGTGTTTATAGGATGATATCCCTTGAATGATTTGTAGGTGTAACTGGCTCTCTCTGTTGATTAAATCACCAGCAGTACATGATGATCCTGTCAAAAAAAACACAATGTCATTTCCCATAGATTGTTGAGATGCCAGCACACCAAGTGATATTAAAGCAGTACGACACTGCATCTTCATTGTGATATCATTTCCTCGTCCATTCGTATCAATTTTCCATGTGCTTGCAATCACTGTCGATGAAAAAATTCGAAGCTCGCTATTGGTCTGATATAAACTCCACAGGTCTGCCAGGTCTAGAAAGTTTCGGAATAGGTAAAGCAGTAGTTCATTAGGCAACTGTAATAAACCCTTTGTCATTAGAAGGTATGTGTGTAATTATGTATAAATGAGTAACAGGAAAAAGAAAAAAAAAAGAAGAAAGAAAGAAAAATAAATATATATATAAATAATAATAATAAAAAAAAGGGGGGGAAGAGGAAAGGGGTGGGTGAGGGGTGGGTGAGGGGAGGGGCGCCGATAAACACTATCTCTCCTGGGAAAAAATAAATAACAAGGGGCACGCCAAAAGGTAATTTATTATACACAATGACTTTTTACTATGGTATAGGTACGCTTGAGTGATTCATTCTTGATCTCAAAATCACTAGCGTCAATTAAATTAATGACTTGTTTGCCAATAACCCAATCCTTCTTGCTTGAACATTCTTGCAAAATCAATCTCCAAGTGTCCTTTGTTGGGCTTAAATTACTGGATTTCATATGTTCTAAACAGGCATATGCATCATTTAATCGGTCAGCATTTAAAAATCCAACAATCATAAAGTTAAATGTCGCTCTATCAGGTTGAATACCACTGCGCATCAGCTTTTTATATGTTTCCATTGCCTTATTCAAATCATGCTCCTCTGTATATCCTTGAATCAAATTTGTAAATGTATGAACAGTAGGTTTAATGCCGTTCTTTATCATCAACCCAAGTGTGCTCTCTGCTTTTTCCATACACCGTTGTTTAATCCAATTATTCATTATCGCATTATACGTAAACACGTTGGGCTTAATCTTCATTTGGTCGATATACTGAAGAATTTCCTCTGTTGATTTCGGTTGTCTCGTCACAAACATTGAGTCAATCAAAATTGTATAAGTCACCGTATCCGGTTCCATGTTATATTTAAACATGTCTGATATAATCTTCATTGCTGACTCCATCTCATTAGCCTTAATGTATCCCTTCAACATGGTGTTGAATGTAATCATGTCTGGTTTGAACTGTGACTTGATCATGGAATCGTACAACAATCCTGCAATTCGCACTTCTCGATTAATTACTAATCCATCAATCATTGTGTTTAATATGACATCATTCACTTGTAAGTTCGGATTGTTCTGGACTTCTTGGAACGCTTGAAATGCTTTCTGTGGTTGTCTTGCTTTAAAGTACACTTTAATAAGTTGATTATATACTACTTCGTCCGCTTTATGTCCACCCAAAATTGTATTTCGCACCAATTCCTCAGCTGATACCACATCTCGTGTATGCGCAAATATACCCAGCATACTTGAACAAATATAATTATTAGGCTTCACATTCTGTCTCTTCATCTCGGTATATACTTCACTGGCATCACGTGTCAGTCGTGCATCGCAGTATCCCTTGATCAATATATTGTAGGTTGTAATGTCGAGTTTCTTATTTTTTTGTCCTTCCATGATCCACTTGATTTCGGACGATCGCTTCTCTTTAAACATATAAAGCAAATTCGTGTTCAGTACTTTTGTGCTGGAAAGTCCATATTGTTTAATCAATTCTTTGGCCTTGTTTACAACCACCGAATTCTTGGACATGCAACGATTCATGGTACGATCGAAATCACGAATGTTTGGTACAACGTCCCATTTACTGTTGGCTTCCTTGACGAATTGAATAGCTTGATCCAGTTGGCCCAACTGAACATGGGTGGCTAAAATCACATTGAAAGAGCCAACACTGAGTTTCAGGTGAGAAGAAACCAGATCAGTCTTGTAAAGTGACATAATGTCATTGTATTGTGCTTGAAAAAATTTGGCAATAAAATATTCATTGTATTCGGAAATGGTCCAAGCATGTCCCACCGACTTCATGTCTTCGAGTACTTGAATAATACGGTCTTCTGTTCCCCAATTCTCTTTTTTAAGGGACCATAAATTAGTACGAAGCTTCAAAAAATCTTCTCTGCTTAATTCTGTCATAAGTGTGTCAGTGCTCTTTAAATCTAGATAGGTCTGCCACGCTGCCTTTTCGTTTTTGGCAAGCTGTTGTTGGTATTTGGAGACAAGAGGGTTGATTGTAGCGGTTGTTAATCTGCGTTGAAACAGTCCATTACTTGAACAAGTCTTTAATAGACGAAGCATTTCTAGGAACAGCAAAAATAAATAAAAAGAAAGCTTAACGTTTTTTTAGGCCTTTAAACCAGGGCTGGGCCAGTCATTTTTTTTTTTCGGAGAGCGATGAATTAAAATCATAGACTTGCATTTACAGTTTTCTCACTAAAAAGGTGACATTTATGGATGCAATGAAACTTTTTCAGGTAAATCAGACAGAAAATAATTATAATCATATTAATGGTTTGATAACCAAGTTATTCAACATCAGCATTGAAACATTTTTACTTTTCCACAACTTGTCTCTGCTCTTACCTTCTTCTTCTTCTTCTTCTTCTTCTAGTGGTCTATTATTGCATTTCAGAGCTCCATTCACCAGAAATTCTAGAGCTTTTTGACCGTAACACAGTTTGAAAGGAAATTGCCCGATAGTGTAGTCATAGAAACCATACAATGTACGACAATGCTCAAAATGTTTATGCCACGTTTCAGCCATTACTGTCATGGGTGTTAGAACTTTGGATTGTATCTCCTCTAATCCATTTAGAGGCTTTAGCTGATACCTCACAACTTTTGTTAAACCTGTATAATAATAACATTTCTTAGTTGAACAACGTACGGTCTTTGTTAAGGCCACATGCTGTATTCTCTTTCGGGCCACAAATTTGGTTTTATTCAGGGCCAGTAAGTTTATAAGCAATTGTCAGGGTGCATCTGCATCTGTTAAAGTCATCCCTCCGAGAATTTTGACTACACAATCTTCTCCTTAGTGTTTCTAAGAAACTGGTCTCAAACCTCCTGTGTCATATCACCCGGATACTCTTGGAAATCATATAACATGACCAGGCAAACAATTTGACTACAGGTTACTATCGGAGTAAATGTCATTGTGTGATAAAAAAAAATGCGAGTCGCGTAAATATTACTCGCTTTTTTCTTTTTTTTAAAAAAACCACACGCTGTGTATTACTTGCTTTTTATTTTGAATTTGTATACTAGTGGATGTTTGTTACATATTTACAAGGATTGTCTCCATTCTACATAATCATCGAATAAGACGGGCCCTTAAGATCGTTTAGTATCTATGACCACACAATGACGATGTTTTGTAAGACTTACATGATGAAGTATTATCGTAATTTTGGAGGTTCTCTGGTACGGACTGGCAGAAATATAGCATATTTGACCATTGATCCTTATTAATCACTTTTACTGGGTGAGCTTCCTACAGAAAAGCATGTTATAGTCGTACTCATACACATCGTTGCTGTTAATATTACTTGAAGAAACTGAATAAATGATTTCACAATTGGGTATTTGTCTTGTAACATAATCTGCCAGAACGCAATTGCAGTCTATATTAACAAAAAAATGTTATCCCAACCGTATATGCAGACACACGCAGTATATGAATTACCTCTACATCCATACTCTTCTGTCCTGTTGTTTTTGCATAATTAAATGTAAATAAATAAAACTGCATGTATTCTTCTGGATCATTCAAGACTGACTCCTCCCACTGATCGACCACAGCCTTGAGTTTGCCATCATTTTCCATATTGCTTTTAAATAAATGTATGAGCATGACAATCAAGTCTATAAAAAGTGAAATTTAATATACCATATGTTCGGTTTTATTACGTCAAACCATTCGTCCCAGGTGATATAACCCATTCTACTCGATTTCATTTTGTAGCCAATGATAAGAGGCTGAATCTGTATACAAAAAAAATAAAAAAAATTGACACTATCAGATCATCATTTTTTCTTTCGTTGGTCATTGTATTATCGTACACTTTCCAACGATATACCAATATCCGAAAAGAAGGATTGACAGCCATCCGGTCCTATCAAGTCTCGATTGTCCTTATCTGCATATTTATCGAACCATTTTCTACACCCTTCGGCTTCATATTTTGACTGAAAATGTACAGCTATTTTGTTAGTCCAGTTAATTAGTCTGTTGAGCTATGTGTATATGTATACCTGTGCCGTACTAAAGAACATAACAGAGAATTAGCTTTGAAAAAAAAATGTCTCATTGCAAAAGGTTGTTGATATTTCACTTACGCCATCTTCTTTTTAGCACTTTTTATATGTCTTGGCACCAGAGTACTAGTAGTTAATGAAGCTGGTTGCTTCCGCTTTGGTGGCATTTTAATAAAGAGTAGACGAAAAAAAAAGAATACAGTTTGACCACACCAAAAAATGCAAAAGCCGAAGTAATCCAAGAGAACAGTCACCAAACAATCCAAAAAAAAAAAAAAAAAAAAAAAAAAAAAAATGAGTTTCAATAAAGTTTATTGTAAAATAAAATAGGAAAAGGGAGATGTACAGATGAGGGGGTTTGATTTAGAGAAAAGTAAATGTATGAGGTAAGGGAGGAATGCAGCGAATTAAGGTAAAGAGTAAGTAGTAAAAAGTAAGTGGAGGTGAATAAACAGTATAAAGGTTGAGATTAGTGTAGTTTCTTTAAGGCTTTGGCCTCGGCCTTTGCCTTCATTACTTGACTATATTCAGTATGTAAAAGGGTGTCCCAAAAAGTAAAGAAGGGTTGGGCGAAATTAGTTTTAATACCATGGGCTTGATGATGAAGATCATGACTGGAGGGAAAAATTAATTATCCGTTATTATGGTACTACCACGTACAAAACAGAATACTTACTAATTGACATTGTTTCCAAACATCACAGTTAATGGGTCCCAAGGGAACGAGTAACCACAATGATCATTTACTACATTAAAAAATAAACATATTGCTTAGCAACGAAATAACACACACATCCGATATAAACGATTACCTGTTTTAACAGTGGAAAATAAAAAGAAATACATGCCCAGACAAGGTGACATGGCTGTAACCTCAAATGCAATTGCAGCCCCACACGTGTCTAATAAAAACCCTTCTAAAGGATGATTGTACAGGGCACCGAATGCATAAGGTACATTAAGACGGTGATGGTGAGAATGCATATATTTGTATGCAAAAGAATAAGAGTGAGCTAAACGATGAAGAACATATTGATGTGTATCGACAATAACCCTGTACAATAAACATATTAGAAAACGACAATAACAATAACAATAACAAAAGACTTACATGGCGATAAAGAACTGGAGACAGGGTAAGACATAATTTTCATAATTTACAGCGATATAGTTTGCAATACGGAAAGCAGAGGTTTGAGGATAGCCCAAATTGATGAAAGCTAAAAGAATGGAGCTTGTATGTCTGTTGATGGCATTTTGATGTTTAATTTCACTGGCTAAAGGATCAATACTCTTCATTAAACCAAGTCCTAATACAATCTGAACCACATGCTGAAGTGCTACCATCACTAGTACTTTTCCAAATGCAACTCTGTTTCTTTTTTGTCGATCTTCTGGTGAGTGGATGCGATATTGTTCAAAAAATGGTATTTCAAGTCTCATTAAAATTTCATAAAAGCTACATTGGATCCAATATGTTGCAATAGGTAACCACAGCGCCAATAACTCATACGACCATGGATCAAAGGGAATCGAGTCTTGGAAGCTTGAGCTTTTTTTTACATGTGTTGAATTCATAGTATATTATTTTGTTATTGAAGAAGAAAGAGAAGAAAAAGAAACAAATAAAAAAAAAAATTATGGTCTCATAAAAACCCGGAATTCTCGGCAAAATTCCCATGCGGAAGGTAAAAAAAAAAATGTGATTTTTAATTTTACAGTTTTTCATTGTCAAACTAGGACATGAAAGAGCAATGACATGGCTTAATTTCATTCCACTTTGCGCAGCATGATGTAATGATGTTTTTACAGAAATCACAGAAAAGAAACAGAATAATGTCATTGTACTCTATTTTTTATCTGTATTACTTTTAGCCCAAAGATCATCCGACGGGAGTAGAAATACCCGGTCGACGAAAGCATTATTTCGGCTGATGGTTTTTACTTTTTGACATCTTACCACATTATAGCACATGAGAAACCTTTCGTTTTTATTATTTTTTGTGTTGGGTAAAACGGCCCGAGATGATGAATTTCATCAATGCGTACGTGATTGACCGGGGCTATTTTTATCTAAAAATGTCACCGAAAATAGTTACACAATGACATCACGCTCAAGGAAGGATATGGAAGTAAAAATCAAAACAAAACAAAAAAGCCTTTTCTTGCAGTGCCTTTAGTCACGAAATCAGACATTCTTTGAGCCTCGTGGTAATACTCTGAATATAAAAATGGCCATTCAAATTCAATCTTAATTCGGAACACTTTTTGAATCTCAGTTGAAACGCACCGTAAGCCCCAATCTACAATTAATCAATCTGTGGCTGAAAATTTCCTCTGTTTTAGAGGATTGGAGTACACTATTTTCAGAAATTATTTGCACAAGCTGGGGAAAAAATTGCCCACTTTTTTGACTTTCCACACACATTTTTTTTATTTTTGCATTTTTAAAATTAATTCAAGTGTCGAATAAATTCTACTAGAATTGCTTGAGACACTCGAATACAAAATAAGAAATATGATTGTGCATTATATCTTTATTTAAAGCCAGCGAAAAATACAAATAAAATTAAACCAATACTATCATGTAACAATTGATCTTCTTTTTCGCTCGGTCAGCACCGCAATTATGAGTTCCGAAGACTTAGCAGAGAATTATGCAACTAGAGCAATTGATAGCACAAGAACAACAGGCCCAATCTTCAACAGGGAGCTGGATAGTGTTGAGGAAATCATAGATATAATGATAAAGTTAATTGTCATATCACATTAAGGATGGATAGTAATATAAAAATTAATCATGAATCACACAGTACCCCGCTTGTTCTCATCCTACCGTTGAAGTCTGTACACAAGGCACAATCGAATAAGCCTGGACTATAGAATATTAATAGATCCTAAGCACAAATATTACTCTTGTCATTTGATGTTTTATTACTGTTGATCCCTCTGACTAATATTTATATACGTAGTCCGGTAGGGCCAAAGTTAAAAACATGTTGATTATTAGCTATTACCAGGTTATTACATCATGATCCAATAAGGCGCTTAATAATATCCCTAAAACTATCAAGTCCTTCATATAAATATCCATAGTCTTTTCTCACAGACCATCATACGTAATTTATTTTTTCGTCCATAATAAAGTGGTATCCAAGTTCTAGTAGTACCACTTTTGGTGTTACTTTATTTTTGTTCTCCATGCAAAACAACGACAATGCCCAGCAAATACTTATGTTGTAGTTGAAGTATAATATACATATACTTGGGACTTCTTTATTTGAAGTTCCGAGCCTGGTTTGAATATCAGGTTTTATCCTATTTTTAATAAAGTTCATCGTTTTTCTGTCTCGTATTGATACTTGTGCTAATCGACTATTTCAACTTACTGCAAAGGGCTTAAAAGTGTCATCATTTTAAGGTTCACAGTCACAATAAAAACTGACAAATGAGTTTAGAGAGGGGCTGTGAGTCCTGAACGGCAAAAAAACACACACCTTTGTTAGCATTTAATGATTTAACATACACTTGGGAGAGGGTGACTGTAAGTACCGAACGGCAAAAAAAAGAAAAACTAAATCACACGAGAGGGCCGCAGGGAAAATGTCTAGAACACCGTATTTTCTTCAAACGTATTTTTTAGAATCACGTGATGGTCTACACATAAGTCTTTACGTCGATCGACATGCTCGATTTCTGTTTTCTATAAAATCTGCTTCACTGTCATTACAAGCTACTACTGGAACGCATTTATATGACTACCATGTTCTAGCTTGCTTAGGGGATTTTGCCAATGTTTCTATTTTAAGTAAAGGCCCAAACATTATGGATGATGAAAAACATTCTGACATAAGCTCTTGTATATCAGTCTACAAATAAAGCTGGTTCCCGCACTTTATTCTTCTCCTTTTCTTTTCCCTTAACATATTTCTTCTATCGTATGAAATTATTGGATAACGTAAAAAGGTTAGTTAGTACTGACTCTAGTTTCTTTCAAAAGACGCTAAAATGAAAAAAGATATTATTGCGGTATTGTGGCCGCAGCTAGTCTGTGCTATAGGAGGGCGACCTCCTGGGTAGGGTTCTTGAGTTTTGGAACTCAAAGACTGTGAATTACAGGTGTTGCACTGTAAATATGTTTAATCATACTGGCCTGCTGGTCTTAGCCAGAATTGCTGTGAGTGGTATAAAAAAAATACGGTTAAAAAAAAATACGGAGGTCTAGACATGGTCCTGATCGGCAATCTCAATTTACAAACCTAAAACCATTAAAATTTAGAAACCTCAGTCGGTGTGTATCTGATGGTGGCTTGAGATATCTCTGGCATGAATTTTCTTGCCCAAAAAATCGTTCCCACAAAGTTTAGGGAATTTGGCTGGGAAGAAATTCCCGGGAATTTTTCTTAAAAATTAAGGAAATGATTTTTTTAATGTTTGGCACCCCTATTTACGTTTGTGGAAGGATCCAAAAGTGCTCTGTTACATGCCAATTTTGACAGTAATCAAGCCATGCAGTACGCCATGTTGGGAAAATGCCAACCTGTTAAGTTGGAATTTTTTAAGCAACAATCTGAAGATGTGGTTAATATAGACAGTGTCTATTTTCGAATGAAGCAGCTTTGAAGTTGTCAAGCTCCATTCCCTTCAAGTCTGATCTCGTTACTAGTGTAATCCCAAGCAGAATATCATTTAGCACTGAAGATACATCCAAGCTCCTCACAACCAACGACAACAGCAAGAACCAAGGTCAAAGTAACAATGAAGCGGTATTTCAAATGTCGATAAGGAACTCTGCTGTGTCAAGTTTATTAAACAAGTTGGGCCCACACAAGATGATAGGAAAGGATATTTTGAATGTTCTTAATTTTGACTACAGACAAAATCTTCAACTACTATCACTTGTACCTTCAATTTTTAACGGGGCAATAATCCAAGACAGCTATTTTACCCTTCTGACATGTGGTAACTTTTCTGGCACCTCTAGCCTCAAATCTTGAGATTCTAAAGGATCGATAGGCCACACTTTCAAGTTTTGTATTCACATCTGAAGTATATTCGCGCAGTAATAATGCTGATTCACACTCTGAATCATCAGAATTCTCTTTGCCGAACGAACCAGAGGAGATCAGTTGTAATATATATCTCAAGTCAGATGGGGGGCCGAGATTCCTTATTTGTGTAGACACTTTTTATGGTAATGCTTACTGTAACAAGGTGGATGTGTCTGGCGCAGCAAGTTTTGTTTATTTTACCGGGTTTGATATAACTTTGAGTATATGATATAAAGCTGATTATTGGTACTACTACCTTAAATTTGTTGATTGTTTCCTCCGTTGAAGTTGGTAACGTCGTTGAAGCTCATGCTGATACCGGTGTCAAATTTAGCAAGTATAAATTAAACTCCAGCATATGTCCTATACTGATCAGAACTGATCGCGAAGAAAAGGTTTTATAGCAGTTCGATAATGGTATTCAAGACAGAGCATATAAATTATTTTTTTAATTACAGATAACATTTATCGTTTTCTTCTTTTTATTATTATTTCTGTTAAAATTGGTTTATTATCATATATTGAATATAAGTATCATTAAAAGGGCTACGTAGAAAAATAATGATGAGATTTTGAAGTAAATAGTTTCTATCGAGTCGATTAGCGGAACATCAGACGCCAATAAATGAGATAGGTAAGGCAATATAAGAGTTATGAGATATAGTACATGTAATTATGTGATCAAATGGACTAAAGACATCATCTCTGACAGGTAAATTAGCAAAGAGAAACATATCACGTTTTTCCGCTTTAATTTTTGTTAAATATCTATTTTGTGTTTTCATTTATGTATCTTCAATACTTTCTTTAGAAGATCCACTGCTAAACATCTTTTCTCAAATAAAATGATAACTGAGTTGACCATTTAGTATTTATCTCTGAAGATGATACTAAGATTGTAAAACATAACCAGGATTTTAGTTAAAAAAAATATCAACCAATTTTTGGAAGAGTTCGATTAAGGACGTTAAGCGATTCCTACTGAAAAGAATTCGCATAAACATAAGTTATTCTAGTATCTGGATGATTTCTTATGAAAAAATTAAAGATTCAGTTATTTTATTCCGGTGCATATCACTGGTCTCAGCATCTGTATTTTTAAAAAAGAACAAAAAAAAAAAAAAACTGACCGATTGATAAACAGACTTGGAATATTTGTCAGAGGTACAGAAATGATTTAGTCTATACACAATGATGCAAACATTTTATACGCCTTAGCACATGTAAACCCACTCGAATCGGCAAATAAATAATGAACGTAACAAAAGCACGCCAATAATACGATAACCAAGAAAAAGTACACCAGCTTAAAAAAGTACACTCAGAGTACACCGGCTTAAAAAAGTGCACCAAGAGTCCACTAAAGCTTAGTTCTCGTGGTAGCTATCAATTTAGTGTGAGTTTTAATGCAACCGCTGCAGACATCAGCCACCTTAGCTGAAATGTTATCATGTACTCTACTCTATTTTACGATTGTGAGCACGTTGGCTGCAGTCATTAGTAGGTGTAATTTATGTAGTTATGTATTATGTACTTTGCCACACGAGTTAAAATTTGAGGACAAAGTATTCATTGACGACAGCATGTCATATTTAGGTACGATTCATACAAGATTAAAGAAGTAAGTCGTTTAAATTAGTAAATTATATAAAAAAAACTAACATTTAATGTTGCATATAAACACACATACACTGCTATACAACTTCTCCTACTATGAGTACATACTTTATTATATAAAATATTGCATGGTCAGCTAAATTATATATAAATGACAGATGTATGTGAGTTTATGTCTTAATTTAATGTAAGAAACCCCTTTCCTATCAAATCATGAATATAAGCAAGAGAAACTCAATATTAAGTGGTTCTCTTAATCGATTAGTTACCCATCGAGAGAATAACATAGCTATTATTGTAAATAGTTCACTTACATATATATTAATATAGTTATACGACTGATAAGTGTGTAATAAAAATAGTCTATACATTAATGGATACCTATTTGACTTGACATCAGACATCTGAGAAAACTATCCCTTCATTCAGCGTCCATTGCTTATTTGATATCTTATGCAACGACAGCTCCCTTTGAAGCCGCTGTGTCAAAAAATAGAATACACTGGTTGGTATCATTTATATTTAATTGTGATCTATACTATGTTAGGTAGTGCAACTTCAGCTAATTACGGCTTCAATATATTTAGTCAGACTATGTATGTAGCTGATATGATGATTTAGTCGCTTTTTGGTTTATGTCCAGGCTTTAAACCATCGATCCCATTTTTAACAAATTGATCCTATGGAGGAGATAGTGGTAGAAAGTAGGTTCATTTTGATGTATTGTATAAATACAAAAATAATTTCATTCATTAGGTTGGATAGGTCAATCTATCTTTGTTGATAAACGCACTTGATTGGATGGTACATAAAACTGAGTTTGTTGACGGTACCATGGGCTGGATAGAACGGGTTGCGCAGTATGAATACATAAGCAACGAAACCCTCTCGTTTTCAATCAATTGCTCGTTGGATACAGAAGCATTTTCTCATTTTAAACTGATTGAAAAACTTTCATACGACGTAAAGCTAGCTTCATATACTGATTAATGACTATCATTGACACGACTATCAAAGGTAACTAAGGTTGCAGCGGTAAGTCGAGGGAAAAGAGATGGTAAACCCAGTAACAATGATCCTCAAAGTGACTGTTTATGAGACTATATTGGTGTCCTTTTTTTTTTTTTTTTTTTTTTTTTGTTGAAAATAGTCTATCTTCTTTTTTTTTTTATTATTATTTAGAGGAAAAAAAAATAACCTTACATCTAAACCCGACTTTCACAAAAAAAAAGAAGAATAAACAAGATAATCAAAATAATAAATTAGTAAGTGACTTAACCTAGTGCATTAGGAATCAAAGAAAAGAATATATAAAAAAGATGAAGCACCCCTTGTGAAAAAAAAAAAAGATTTCGCTTTGGAAATGGCTTGTAACCCAAAAGATGATTCACTCAAGCCAAAGTCAACACTGCATCCAGAGGAAGAAAGCAAAGGAAAAGGACTATAGGTGAGCTCCCTTCTTTGTGACAACTTTTGTTTTGGCTTGTTCGTTTGGGGGCTCGAGATTAAAAAAACGAGATTGAAATATAATCGGAACCAACAGGTTGGGATTTCGATTTCCTTGCAAGTTGTTGAACAAGATGGATAGTCATCAAGACAGATTAGATAAATGAAGCAGTTTGGTCAGCAACGTAGACTCGACATTTTCCAAAAACGCGCTTTTTCTTTTTTTTTTTTTAGAGCAAGGGGGCAGTAAGACACAGTGTTTAATTTATTAATTATTTGAATAGAGTTATGGCTGATAATACCGAAGTTAATGTGGATTCAATTATTGAACGTTTGTTAGAAGGTAAGCTTATACAGTTTGATAAGAAGCAGCTGTAATCTTATGTATTTTTGATAACAGTCAGAGGAAATCGTCCTGGTAAGCAGGTTCAGTTGGGTGAACATGAAATTCGATACCTTTGTTTACATGCTCGTGAGATCTTTATGAGCCAACCTATCCTTTTGGACTTGGAAGCGCCTATTAAGATTTGTGGTGATATTCATGGTCAATACTATGATTTGTTAAGATTGTTTGAATACGGTGGATTTCCTCCCGAGTCGAATTATTTGTTCATGGGTGATTATGTTGATAGAGGAAAGCAATCATTAGAAACGATCTGTTTATTATTAGCTTACAAGATCAAGTATCCCGAAAATTTCTTTATTCTCCGTGGTAACCATGAATGTGCCAGTATTAACCGTATTTATGGTTTCTATGACGAATGTAAGAGAAGATACAACATCAAATTATGGAAGACTTTCACAGATTGTTTCAACTGTTTACCTATTGCTGCTTTGGTTGACGAAAAGATCTTTTGTATGCATGGTGGTCTTTCTCCTGATCTCCAAAGCTTTGAACAAATCCGCAGAGTTATGAGACCTACTGATGTACCTGACACTGGTCTTCTCTGTGATCTCTTATGGTCTGATCCAGATAAAGATATCAACGGCTGGAGTGAAAATGATCGTGGTGTCTCATTTACATTTGGCCCTGATATTGTATCCAGATTCTTACAAAAGCATGATATCGATCTTATCTGTAGAGCGCATCAAGTTGTTGAAGATGGTTATGAATTCTTTTCAAAGCGTCAATTAGTCACTATTTTCTCTGCTCCTAATTACTGTGGTGAATTCGATAATGCTGGTGCCATGATGAGTGTCGATGATTCTTTAATGTGCTCATTCCAGGTATTTTTACATGTTTCATTATGTTTTTTTCTTTGTTACTAACAAACTTGTAGATTCTTAAACCCGCAGAAAAAAGAGCAAAATACGGTAGTTATGCTGGCAACAAAAACGCACCAAGAGGAAAGAAGAAGAATGGTTCTTCATAATTCCCTTCTTTTTTTTTATTACATATTTTACACCCCCTCTCTCTATCACTCGTCTTTATTAAAGAACAAAAAAAAACATACAATCAATCATTGTTGCACAGAATTTAAACACAGAATTATTTACATAGTTTGCCACGTATTTCTTTTTCTTTTTTTTTGTGTTCCTTTTTTTTACACTTTCTTTTCATCATCATGAACTTTGACGCCATTGAAGAACAGGTAAAAAACTAGAAAGCAAATGGCATTAGTCGGTAGGTTTTCTAATGTCTTTTCCTCTTTGCAGGACGGTATTCGTTTCTCTTGGAACGCATGGCCTTCATCACGCATTGAGGCCAACAAGACGGTTGTACCCATCTCTTGTCTGTACACACCTTTGAAAGAACGTGAAGATTTCAATGTAAATCCTATCTGGTATGAACCCGTTCATTGTAAACCCCCTTGTCGTGCGGTCTTGAATCCTTACTGGTAAAACCTTAAAAAAAAAAAATTGACATTCATGCATTAACGATATAACAGTCAAACAGATGTACGTGCTAAACTTTGGATCTGTCCATTCTGTTTGCAGCGAAACCCTTTTCCACCTCATTATAAGGATATCTCCAACGAGAACTTGCCTTCCGAATTACTACCTAGATACACTACCATCGAATACAATTTAAACAGGGCTGCTCAAATTCCTCCTATCTTTTTATTTGTAGTCGACACTTGTCTTGAGGAAGAAGACTTGAAAGCATTGAAAGAAGCTTTGATTGTCAGTCTCAGTTTATTACCTGAGTATGCTTGGGTTGGGTTGATTACGTTTGGTACTATGGTAACAATGATATTTTGATTGTTTATTTATTTTTGATTATTCATTGTTTATTTATTTATAGACGCAAGTCCATGAGCTTGGTTTTGCTGACTGTCCAAAGTCATTTGTGTTTCGTGGTACAAAGGAATACAATGGTAAACAAATTCAAGAAATGCTGGGTTTAACTGCAAACGCTGTCAGACCCAACGGTGGTCCCACCATGGCTGCTAATCGTTTCTTATTGCCCGTCAAGGATTGTGAATTTGTCTTGACTTCTATATTGGAGAACCTTCAAAAAGATCCATGGCCTGTTGCTGATGATAAACGTCCCATTCGTTGCACCGGTGTTGCTACGAGCGTTGCTGTAGGCTTATTGGAGTCTGCTTTCCCTAATACAGGTGCTCGTATCATGTTATTCAGTGGTGGTGCTGCTACAGATGGTCCTGGTCAAATTGTCAGCAGTGAATTAAGAGAATCTATCCGTACTCATCATAACATTGAAAAGGAAACAGCTAAATGGTACAAGAAGGCTGTCAAGTTTTATGATGCTTTAGCTAAACGTGCTTCTACCAATGGTCATACTATTGATATCTTTGCTGGTTGTTTGGATCAAATTGGTCTATTAGAAATGAGATCTATGGTCAATCAAACCAATGGTGTGATGGTCTTGTCAGATTCATTTACGACTGCCATCTTCAAGCAAAGTTTCCATCACTTGTTCCAAAAGGACTCCAATGGTCACCTAATGATGGGCTTTAATGTGACGATCGATGTTCAAACTACAAGAGAGTTAAAGGTTTCTGGTATGATTGGACATGGTATCAGCAACAATAAAAAGTCAACCAATGTAGGTGACATAGAAATCGGTATTGGTGGTACCACCTCATGGAAGATGAGTACACTGACACCTCATAACACAAATGCCATTTATTTCGAGGTAGCTAACCAGCCTACACCTTTTACACCTGGATCCCGTGGTTTGATCCAATTCACTACACATTATCAACACTCAAGTGGACAATACAGACTTCGTGTGACGACTGTAGCTCGAAACTTTGCCGAAGGACAGAGTCCTGAAATTGCAAACTCTTTTGATCAAGAGACTGCAGCTGTATTGATGGCACGTATTGCAGTATTTAAGGGAGAGGTGGATGATGGACCTGATGTATTACGTTGGTTAGATCGCATGTTGATTCGATTATGTCAGCGATTCGCAGATTACCGTAAAGATGATGCACATTCATTACGTTTATCAGAAAACTTTTCAATTTATCCTCAATTTATGTTCCACTTAAGACGATCTCAGTTCTTGCAAGTGTTTAACAACTCACCCGATGAAACAGCATTCTATAGACATGTGTTAAACCGAGAAGGAGTGGATAATTCACTTATTATGATTCAGCCTACTTTGACCAGTTATGCCTTTGATTCAGAACCTCAACCAGTCTTGTTGGATTCAGTCTCGATCAAGCCTGACACTATATTATTACTAGACACCTTCTTCCATATCTTAATCTTCCACGGTGAGACAATTGCTCAGTGGCGTCAAGCAGGATACCAAGACCAAGAAGGTTATGAAAACTTCAAACAGTTATTAGAAACCCCTATATTAGATGCACAAGACCTGCTTATAGACAGATTCCCTGTACCTCGTTATATTGTATGTGATCAAGGTGGATCTCAAGCACGTTTCTTGCTTTCCAAGTTAAACCCTTCCACCACACACACCTCCGGCACTCAATACACTGCAGGTGGTGCTGTTGTACTTACCGATGACGTCAGTCTACAGGTCTTTATGGAACATTTGAAAAAGTAAGTAGTTCTTTTTTGTTATTGTTATGATTTATCTAACCCTTTTTTTGTCTTTCCTTTTTTAGGCTTGCCGTTACTGGTAGTTCATAAATCATCACATACACATTATTACTATTTTTTTTTTTCACTCCCGCTTAAAATAAAATATTTTTTTATCTCTTTGTTTGTTTCTTCCTCTTTCTTTTTTCTCTCTCTTTTTTTTTTTATAAAAAGAAAAGAAAAAATAAACCCAGAAAACCAGGACAGTAACAAACTTTGGAAAGTGGTTGATGCTTCCTAATGAATATAAACCTCGGCCTGTTAGGCCCATGTCAGAGATTATCAACCCAGGTCGTTTTATGAATGAAGGTAAATATATTTATATATTAAAGGCTTTGGCCTTCACACGATAACAAAAGGAGACTAGTGCACATACTAAAACTTTAAAATAAAAACTTTATAATAGCTGATATGGCCGGTAACTGGTATGAAGACTTGCAAAAATACGAAACCAATCTCGACGAGATGGCATCCGCTACTTTAGATCAGGTAAAAGACAAAGCAGAGTTTCAATAAAGAAACGCGTCATCTAATGAACTCGTTAGACCTTTAAAGACGAGATGCAACACGTAGACCAATGGTATTGCTATTTAACTGAAGCCGAAAGAACAGCTACCATGTACACTTTACTTCAACACTCCACTCAAGTACAAGCCAGATTCTTTATTAACTTGCTTCAGCAGATGGTAAAGAGAGATCCACTCTTTTCTCTATTAACACCCAACAATCCCGACGGAGGTAACTTACGATAGTAATTTTAATATTAATATATAGACTGAATTTATCACTTTTTATAGATATGCAGAGTCATTTAGCAGGTGCAATGGCTAAGGCGGAGCTTGAGGCTAGCCAACGTTTAATGTCAGTACTGCCTTACAAGACAGGTCAAGTGATGAGTAGACCTCAAAGTACGACCACCAACCGTCGGTCTGTGGATCGTCATTCTTTTGCACTCGGTGATACGGAAGAGTACACTCGATTATTTAATGGACGTAACGACTTGTTGAACAATAACCGATCCTTTGTCAATCCTTTATTAGACGACACTACCAACAGTAGAAGATTAGTCAACGGGAATAGAACAAGTACGTCTGGACGTACCATGTTTAACAACAGTGGTAGACCTCATTCTGTGATTGAAGGTGATACCAACTTACTCTTTCCAGCTTCATCCACCTCATCCAACTGGTCCAATAATAACAATGCCAACCGTCGTAGTGTTGGCCATATTGGTGATCGTACTAGTAAGATCGAAAGACCTAAATCTGCAGACATTAGCAACTGGTCCATCCCGCAAGACCGGTCTAACAATAATAATAATGGATTTCAGTCTGTTTGGAGCCAACAGCATCAAATTATACCTCCCGCCGCCGCCGCCACTACTAACACTAACAACACTGCTAACAACACGACTGTCAACACCACCAATGACAGTACTGCAATGGACAATGACCTGATTGACTTTACCAACGCCATGCAACAACAACAGCAACAACAGCCATTCCGAAGAAGGGCTAATCTTAACCGAATTCCTGTGGTGCCTGAAACTGATGAACTAATTCGAGCAACCCAAGATTTATTCTTGAATGATTTGGAGACTCCTTCATTCCGTAAACCAACTCCTCCCGGAATAGATCACTATGCTTATTTGATGAACACTCCTATTGTTGACAATAGTAGTAACACCACTGCGTTGGATGAACAAGAATATGCAAGTGATCACAGTGATGCATCCTACATGTCTCGTCGCCGATCCTCCATGACACCCAATTCAAGAGCTACCAAAGATAAAAAAGCTGTCGAAGTGATTGATATGGACTTATTGAAAGGTATAAATAAGCACAATGTCCTCCAGCAAACAAACTAACTGCAAAACACATAGATATACCTGCTTGGCTCAGGAGTCTACGCTTACATAAATATAATACTATTTTTAGTGATACCAACTGGCAAACCATCATTGTCATGAACGATGCTGATTTGATTGCAAAGGGGGTTGCTGCATTAGGTGCCAGACGTAAAATGCTCAAAGTTTTTGAAAACATTCGAGCTCACTGTGATGCCAACGTAAGTTCGATTTGTAGCTACTTCACGTATATCATTTACTCATTTTATTCTCCTTGCAGCATATTGCATACTAGATAACTTATAACTTACCAGACGATTCCCCCAACTCTTGCTGGGCAAAGTTGTTCTTTTTTTTTTTTTTTTTTTTTTTTTCGTCGTTTTTTTTTGCTCCCTTTTCTCTCACTAAATAAAAATACGTATACTTTAAACTGAGGGATTATATTTTGAATTTATTTTAATAGGTGTATTAAAAGAAAAGGAAAATGTGATGGTTCCCTATGCTTCAAAACAAGGAACTTGGTTTAGGCCTTGACAGCAGCAGCAAGAGCCTTTTGAGTACCCTTCTTGGCGAAACGTTGGTTACGGAGGAACTTAGCATCCAACTAAAAATCATAAGAGACATGTCAATCATCAATTTTTAACCCCAATGTACTTCGCATTAATCAACTTACACCCTTTTGAGTACCGTACTTGTGAGCAATAGGCTTCTTAAGACCGTTACGATGAGCCTTCTTGACTATAAATAAATGTTTAATACTCCATGTTTTCGATCCCTTCATCAATAAAAAAAAATCTTACTTTGGTTGTGGTTGGTGTGGTTCTTGGACTTGGACATTACGTTTCTATAGATACATCAATAATCGGTCGCGAGATGGATGGATGACATTTTTTCATGCAATTACCTAGGTCAAACAAGTAGTTGAAAAGAGGGATTTCTATGTGTGCCATGCTGCTTGTCTAGTTTGTTTCCCTTCAATCTGTCCCGTCCGGGCCCTCATCTCCCCCATACTTTCGCGAAGGAGATTGAAATTAGTTGTCCGGCCCGGATATTTCTTTGTTTTGTGCGGCATCTTGTTCATGCACTGCCAAGTAGCTTTTTGTATGGGGCACACTTAGTAAATCTATGATCTCCAATAGAGCGCTCAAAGGTTGTTTGTTTTTCAAACGGTTTAATTGGAGGCATAGAAATTGACATTTTTCTCATCATCGCACTAGCCCAGGGCAGGAAAAAACAAACGGTGTTTGAATTCGTCACAGTTATTGTGATTTTTCTGTTTTAAATTTTCTTCTTTTCTTTCTTTCTTATCAATTGTAGTATGACCGATTTAGAACATAATTACGTTACCTGGAGAAACAAGTGAGCTCTTAGAATTCTCTATAAACCATAATGTTTGTAGGCTAATAAGGAACATGTAGGTATTTGAGAGCATATGAGGATACCTTGTATGTTTATTACAAGGAAGAAAAGGAAGGATTAAAAGAAATGACTTGCTCAGAAGCCCATGGTAAGAATTATATGACATCATTATACTCTTGGTAAATTCAGTTTTTTTCCACTCTTTATTTAGGTTATGGCATGCTTATTTCCGTATCAAAGCGGAACCAACAAGATTTTGATGGTAACTTTAATTATTCACGCGATTATCACCAAATATTAAACGCAACAAAAGGTTTATACAGATATTTTGCTCGGTTTAAAAACAGAAAGGGATTGATGCAGTAAAGTGAAAAAGCTAAAATTAAAACCTATGCCATAATATCTAATTTCCATGAACAGGTGGCAGCAAAAGACAGACCATCACGGTAGATTTGTACCGGGCGATGAAGGAGGAGAAAATTGTGCTACCGACGGTGATGTGGATGTTTGTACTGCGTTATTTATAGCTGCCAAGACATGGGGCAGAGGAGGTCCCAGCGGTGAAATCGATTATAGACATGCTGCCACGGAATTAGCTGCCTCCATCTATCAGCATTGCATCAACCATCAAACACATATGCCATTGATTGGCGATTGGGCTGACCCTGGAGACGAAGCTTATTTGTTAACTAGACCTAGTGATTTCATCTTGAGCGGCTACCTTATATTTTACTACGTAAGTTTATTGAAAGAGTACACGGATAATAGGCATTAACAATCGTCTAAATAGGAGGATGCACAGCGCAAAGAGGAATGGGGTAAAGTGATTTCGGCCATTGTACATACCATCAGTGCTCAGCTGGCTTTGAACCCACAAACAGGCCTCATTGCAGATTTCTTGAAACTGGATCAACACAGTGGACAATATTACCCAGCAACAAAACAAGTATTGGAAAGTGAACACGATCCTCATTACAACTGGAATTCTTGTCGTGTACCATGGCGTATCGGCCATTATTATATGCTGACCCGCGATGAACGCGTGAGACCTATCTTGGAAACGCAAGCGCATTTCTTTGCGGGCCAATTAGCACGAGGCGGCGGCAACGGTGACTGTGGAATTAAAGCCGGTTATCGATTGGATGGTTCCTGTTATGTCGATTATACAGATATGGCCTTTGTGGCACCCGCCTGTTTCTTGTTCTGGCTCTTGGGTTGGCAAGCTCAGTTAGGCCAAATTCAGCAAGAGATGAAGCAAATGGAAGCTACCTATTTTGGTGAAAGTATCGCCATGCTATGTTTGTTAAATGCAAATGTTCCAATCTAAATATTTGTCAGTTGTCCGTAAGCAATTCTATTGATGTTACACTGTCCATCATAAAAATATATTTTTTTCATTGTATTTTTAGATTTTTCTTTTCTTTCTTTTTTAATATTATAAATTTTTCATTCATGGTTTCATTATCTATCTTGACCTTGTTTTGGGCAATAGCAACAGCTGTAAACGGACAAGATGTCATTCAAGTTGATGTCCCCAACAATAAACTCATCAGTAAAGATCTATTAAATATTACATACACCGTGATCGGTGGTGAAATAGGTACTTTTTGTTTTAAAGACTGCAAACAAAAACGAAAACCTAATCAAAAAGAGTTTTTTTTTTTCTTTTTTTCTTTTTTTTTTAGCTAACCCTAAGTTCAACGTCGAAACCACCTATCCAAACTCTCTCTCGATCGACTTTATTTGGTCTGACCATAACAACCCCAGCAATGTGCTATCATTGAATGTTGCTTCAGGCTTATTAACCGACCCTTACCCAGGTGGGCTCAAAAATGTCGAACATAAAGAATCTTGGAAAGCTCCCAACTGCCATTTCTTTAGTCGCTACCCACCTAGCAACTATGATTTTTCGCTCGTTTTTACACCTATATACCCCACAGTGGCCTTTGGATCAGCACCTAATGTAGGAACAGCTCAATCAGCCTTAACTGTACCCTTAGCTGTGATGGTAGATAACTCTACTTTCCCCAAATGTTAAACCATATTACTACTGTACAACTTTTTTTTTTTTTGCAAAAGTATAATAAAAGGCATCTGATCTAAAAATAACCAGTGTCATGAAACTCACCAATCAGTTTGATACTATCGACAACATGTTTTTATATAAAACAACAACAAAAATGTACAATGATGTGTATTTATAAACATAAATATATAAATATATAAATAAATAAAAGCAGTATATACTTCTATATTGCATTATCTAAATTTCGCTCAGGTTTTTTTCACCTGCAACTGCTAAACTATATCTTTTGCTGTCCTTTTCATTCTCCTCGTCTGCGTTGCCACCTTCTTTTTCACCCATCACTACCCATTCGACAGTACCGTTCAACAAGGCATCACTATAATCACTGGGGAAATGATCTGACAAAAAGAAAGGCAGCAGAACGCGGAATAAGATACGTGTAGGAGTTTCTGACCTGAGTCTACGAATGACTGACATATTTAAAAGTCCTGATAAATGAACAAAAGAGATGGGTCGCACTGGAATAGGTTCATGTGTCTTTGGGTTGGGTGGATAGATAGATATCTTGTAGGAAGCGTCTATAAAGACCAACGTACCGGGAGGTGCATTATACCAAAATGGGACGCGAGGTACAACATCTAGATGCATACGAAAAAAAAAAAGGTAAATAAAAGATTGAGTTTATAAAACTATGCACGAACCGTTGTTATATGTATGATTGAAAATCTTGCATGTGATTTCGGGACCGAAAGATTTTCCAAAATCTTCATCACCAATGTTGGGTTGGCCATACGTGTATAAGCCTGAAAAATAGTCAATCAAAGGACTGTCACATTGGATCATTTTGGCAACAAAAACGGTGGCTAGAGCACCACCTAAAGAATGACCAGTAACGTACAGCTTCTTGGTTTTACCCTTTTCCATGGCTGTGTCCTGAAAAATCTTGAGTATCAAGCCTTCTGCTTGCGTATACATACTTTGGTGTCGAACAACGGAAGAGTCGTTACCAGACCAGCTGGCATCAATCGGATCAATGACGTTGGCAAAAATATTAAAGGAAAGTAATTTCATGATGCGTGCAATGGCCAATACTGCGGTCGTAATGGATTGGTATAAAGAGGTACTGTTTATATCTACACGAATATCAGAAGATCTGTGTGTATCGAGTAAGTTGTCAGAAGAAGTAGTAGCACCCATAGCATCCCAAAACCCTTTATGCACTCTTCCCATATCTTCACGCGCGGATGAAATAGCAGTGAGGTCTGCATCAATGTTGGTAACATAGTTTTGAATATTTAAAGGATTTGTTCTAGTATATACATATAAGTGACTTTTGTTCTCTTTTTGTGACCCTATATGATTAATATTTTACCCTCTAAATACTAATAAAACATCATTCTCCTTTTCCACGATGTAAGCACAAACATTCTACAAACACGTATTTATTAATTTTTTCACGTGCTATGTAAACATATTTATTACTTGCCTTGTATCCAATTGGTCTAAAAGTTCCCTCGACATCAAAACCTGCTTGTTCCAACTCATACTTGACAACTGCCACATCTTCGTATGCTAACTTACTCGCCACAGATAGCGTGTGTGCAACTGACAACGAATACTGGGGCTTTTGGAAATCCACGTCCTTCTCATCCGCTGTTTGAATTGCTGGATATTGTTGCTGTTCCTGAATAGTGGCATCGAGTTCCTTTTGCGTGTTGAAAAATCTAGAATCACCCACATTGATTACAGCTATCATTACGTGTTAATTTTTTACAGGTACTTCCTTGATAATGTGACAAGCTTACATAAGTATCGGCTACTGGCATGCTGACCTGCAAATCGAGACAAGACAATTCGAATGACTTGGTCGCTCATTAACAGTGCCATGAACCATAGAAAGAATTGAGAACGTACAAAAATGACAATGAGAGGCCGCAAGATCTTGTTGTGCGAAATGTAGGAAGCAATAGGAGCTAAACGTTTATTCAGACGAGCCAAGATACGAACAATGACTGGCATACATTGTTGGATTGACTTGAAACTGATATAAATAAAGGCTGGCGTAACTAGTATAAAGACTGACAGCAAGTACCAAAATAGACTCCAAATCCATCTTCCCTTGTAATTAAAATAGTAGCCAACCAGGGCGGGTACAAGTGCTAACCCTAATGTAATTTCTGTGGCTAGTTGTAAGTTGTTTGTTTTCATTGCTAAAGAGATAAAATGATGAAAGAAAAATAAAGAAACAGCGTGATGATTTATAGACTGGGGATAAAAATTTAAAAGTTACATCAATCATGATGACATTCATGTGATTTTAGTGCCACCGGGACCTTAAAATACAAAAGCTTACAGTTTTTATACTTTAAATTCAGATGAATGAAAATTATTTTAGACAAACACAAAGAGGTTTTCAGACGTGTGAGTGTTTTTTTTTCAGACGAATCAAAATTAAATTTCAGACGTTTAGCTTACCTTTTTTGGATGAAGAAGAACTTTTAGTGAAAGAGAAAATTAGTCAAGACAATTGTATTATTATAATTCTGGATGTCTTACCCAAAACGTAACGAAAGTTTTATAGATTTATGGTCCATGGATGTTAGAAAATAAAGAATTAGTACATCTGTTAAATTAACAACATGTTGCAGCTTACCTGTAAGGTGTGTGAAGAAGTTATATCAATCACACATAATTGTGATAAAAAAAAAATTATATCGTTTGCTCTGGACGCTCAAATGCTGGAGGTCTTCGGTTATTATTGTGAGCGGCAAACATGAAAATATCAAAGATATTTTTCGCAGCATTGATATCACGATTCCAAACGATATTACAACTGTTATTGTTACACTTTAATACCGAATGTACTCTTCGTTTTGATTTTGCTGTCGAGACATTCTCTAAGGCCCTGTCCTTGCAGACATTGCATACTTGGCTTGTCAAATATTCATCAATAAAACAAATTTGGATGGTATCTCCACGCATTTGCTGAAGCTTCTTTTTTATTAACTTCACAGGCGCGGCTTTGTTTCCCGTAAAAAGTAGCGTCCCCAAATGCAGTTACAGTACTTGTAGGCGGGTTTTCTGCGTCTTGAGGTGCATTGGGATAATGAATGGAAGTGTTCTCCGTAGCAGTCTTGACCCCTGTTTTACTTCCTCGGCCGTACTTTTTGCTTTCAACAACCAAACGTTTACAAATTTCTTCTACTGCTTTTTGTTTCTTTATATAAGTTTTAAATTTTAACTTTGATGACCTATATCATAAAAGTATTACTACACTTGCTCATAAAAACATAGTGATTTGGATTACCAGTTATCATTGTTATAATAGTTGCATAAAATATCATATCTAGTCAACAAGCCGCTTTTTAGATGCGAGTAAGAAGTCATGAGAGTTTGTGGTTTTTAAGGAAGGCAATTGACTGATCAGCTGAAAAACTGATTCGTTTTGGCTTTGATGTTTATGTCTTTGAAAAGTAGTTTGGTTATATCCACAAAGATGATAATATTCGTCGAGACTAGTCGCCCTTTGCCGCTCCTTATCCCCAGAAGAGTCGACGGCTGTAATCAAGTCTATAATTCCTGGATCGACTCCCCAAACAGTACAGCCATTTTGAATGTCACTGATACAAAGTCTGTGGAGTTATTCTTTAAGGCTATTGACCTCTTTACTAAACGCGTGAAGAGGAATGAAACAGAATAGCCATCAGTAGTAATAACCTTGCTTGTTGTTAATTTTAGTTAGAGACTGGTTAATGTAACTATTACATTATTGAGTAGCCTACTTGAATGTTTTCTTTACTGTCGTTAGACTTTCTCTGGTACGGAACCCTAGTTTGGGGAAATTGAATAGCTGATGGTAAAAATCAGTTAAATCAGATTCACTTTTCGTCTGTTTCGGGTAGTTTGGTATTTCAGATTGCTTCACCAATCTCCAAAAAGCTTGAGCATCGATCTGTATGGATTTGGTACGAAATGAATATATGGGTGCAATCGAAAAAAAACGGTAACCTCTTTTGTCTGTGTATTAGGGAAGAGTAAATGATTCATCTCGAATCCTTGATTTAACCGTGTTAATAAACTTTTGAACTATTGATACTTGCTGAGGAAAAAGTTGTGAAAGCTTTCTTCCCTGAATAAATGCTTTGCTGGAGTTGATCGATTGCAGTGTTTCTTCCAACAAAGATGAGAATTTTCTTCTGTTCATACCAGCAGTAAAAGGAAGTTCTTTAAGCTTTCGATAAACATACCCTTTCGAAGCAAATTTTGACGATTTTTCCTCCATTACATAAATTTTTTATGGACTTCTTGTGACAGGAAACTAAACCACTTGAAAAAAAAGTGTGTCTTGAAGTAGAGGGTATTGGAATCGCATTTATCAGTTTGGTATTCGGACCACATACTCGCAATGTTTCTAACGATTTGTAAATAGAAGTTACTGTGCGGGACAGATGATGTCCAGGTTGGTCTTAAGCCCTGCTTCTGTTTGTAGATGAAATACGCCAATGATTTCCGTGAAGCAATAGAAAGATCCTTGCAAAAATTGTCTGAACTTTTGTCAGACATTGTCGTCAGAAAATACATGATTGATTTTTTTTCATGCATCTTGTGAATCTAGTTCCTGACCAAAACTTCGTACTGTTTTCCAGCAATAGTGAGAATGCTGGAGTATTTTTGGCTTTTTAACGACTCGTAGTTAAGAGTTGTAGACTCGCAGAAAAGAGTATAGTACTCCTTGAGATAATCTGGTACTTTTTTTCCATTCCCAGTCAATAGAGCGAACATGTTTGTAAACAAGCTTTGTTCAATAACTGGGATTGATTTATTTTCCTCAAGTAGTTTGATAAAGACAAAGTTGGCAAAAAGGGAGCCCACGAATAAAACTTTGGTTGTATAACGCGACAGCTTTCTTATATTTGCAATAAATTGTTCATTTTTACAAATATTGGATAAGGAAGCCTTGATCACAAAGTGTTCAGCTCTCTCATCATGGATGCGTACAGACTCTTTTACCTTCTTGTTTGGACACAAGTTACTTGTCTATCGTGCGTGCGTTTTCATTTTGCACGAGGGGCATTGTACTGCCTTGCCAGTTTTTTGCTCTTCTCTAAACTTTAAAAGGGCGTTTTTCTTGTTGATCTTTTCCTCTACTTTTTCGAATGCTTTGGTTTACTTTAGGAAGAAGAAGCACAATCCTGCTCTAATATATACTGCTTTAAAGTATCTTGCTCTACAGTGTCTTGCTCCACAGTGTCTTTCTCTACAGCGTCTTGCTCCACAGTGTCTTGCTCTACAGTGTCTTGCTCCACAGTGTCTTACTCTACAGTGTCTTGCTTTTCAGTATCTTGCTCTACAGTGTCTTGCTCTACAGTGTCTTGCTCTACAGTGTCTTGCTCTACAGTGTCGTGCTCTAAAGTATTATGCTCTGTTGTATCTCGCTTTACTATAATATCTATACACCAGAATCATGATAAGTATTATAAAGAAATACCAATAAATTACTGGATACTTTACTTTCTTTAAACTTTGGGTCTTTAGAAGGTCTTTCTGAGTTTGATGATGTAAAACGCCTTTTTATTTTGGGGTTAAAAGAGGAAAAAGAGTGAGAAAGATTTTTTTTTTTTTTTTTTTTAATAAATCAATAAATCAGTAGAACGGCTTATATAACATTTATAAAATGTAATGTCTCGGCCATCAGCTACTATGGCCAATCACACCAGGTTTTTTTTGTGTACTTCTGTCTTATAGAGCAATACCTTTACAGTAGAAAGAGTATTTGATTACGATTACCATTTAACACAAAAACCCGCTAGGAAGCAAAGTATTCGTATAAAAGCTATTATTGTTGTAATAATAATAGTTGTAATATATACTGTGTTATAACATACATACATACCATATAATAATATCAGTTTTAGGGTCTCGTTTCTCCGAAACAGGATCGGACTGAGGCGCCAGAGTAATTAGAAAAGTTAGGGAAAGATATCAGAAAAGAAATGTTATTCCAACAACAAAGTGGGGTGGAGGTGGTGTAATGATCTGGGGGTACTTTTACAAAGAGGGATTCGACTCTTTAACCATAATGGATGACACGGTAAATCAAGAGGATTATATGATTATTTTGGGTGATAATTTATATGCCTGGTTCAAGGAATTACTTAGAAAAGTAAGATAAAGACTTTATCTTACAAGAAGACGGGCTTCATGCCATACTAGGACCCACGCACAGTGGAGGAAACAGACCCATCAGATTGCGGGATTTGAGTACTGGCCTGCCCAAAGTCCAGACTTAAACCCACTTGAGCATCTCTGGTGGGCCTTAGAACGTCGGATTGCTGAAAGAAGATCCAAAGTAAAAAACGTGAAAGATTTGAGAGCTGTGATAGGGGAAGAATGGGAGCAAATGGACATTTCGCTTAGTGGAAAGTATGACGAGTCGATGTCAGGCTGTTGTTGCAGCAATAATAATGTGGCTTGTTGTTACACGGGATAGGATCTTTCCTATAAACACTCTTCTTTTTTCCAATTTCAATAAAGATTCTCCAGTTTTGTCTTCACCTAAATTTGGGATTTATCTAGTAATTGATACTAAGTAGTATTTCCTCCGCTTTTTGTTGCTGTTTGTTGTCCATTGTAAATTATGCAATCACATCATCTTCTTACATAAACCCGTCGTAAACTCTTTACTCTTTTACATCTAAGAACCATATTCTCTTCTCATCTCTCACTGTATTATTATCGATTTACATTTATATGTCTTATCCATATATTTTATCGTCTAAGATCACTTCAGAAATATTCTTAGTAAATAATAAAACTAAGTTGACAACTAAAAGTCTGGTGCTCACTATCACAATTGTTATATAATAATAATTGTCTCTTTTTTAAATCTAAATCCGTACCAGCGCTATATCACTGTCACTGATGCTCTAGGAGGCCCCACCAAATATTAAATAATTGTTTATTTTATTTTCGTATACCTCTTATGTTTATCTATTACTATTTAAATTTTGACATTGATTCCTTCAAATTTGATCGAGAATAATATCATTGAAAATAGAGTAATATTTTTGAAGAAAAATTTTAAACATTTTTTCCCAAAATCACTTGTGTGTGGCTGTATGGATGAGGGTGAACTTCAAGCATATGAAGAAGGCTCGTTCGGATCCATGTCGGACGACTTGGAAGATGATTCTGCTGCAGAAGACGAACTAGATTATTATGAATCAGGAGATAGAGAATCTAGCTACGATGATGAAGATACTCCAGTACCTACAACAGAACCAGTGGAGATTTGCTTATTGTACTCGGATTCCGAGTAAAAATAAAACATTTAGCATAATTTTTTCTAAACCTGGCTTGTAACAGTTGATGAACACTTTCAAAAGACTCATGAGATTAAAGCTCGTTAAACTCCTCAGTTATAAACTACTGAGCTTTTCTTTTTCTCTACAAGGATTCCAATTCATTAAAGAATTACGACGCTGTTTTTTGAATTGCGCATTATCATTTTAGCAGAAGGTGCACGAGACAAGAAGTATTGATAAAGAAGTTCTTAAGTTTACTTTATATCCATTATGAATATACCGCCTATATATTTTCTCGCTAGATCTACGATACAAGTTTTTTTCTTCTGCTTTTCATACTTTATAATTTAATTTTTCCACCTCTTGTCCACTCTTGTCCAGCTCTTGTTTAGATTACCTTCATTGTAAAAGTAAGTGTATGCAAGTAAACCCAAAAAGAGGGATATGAAAGTAGACCCGCCTTTACAAATTGAAGGAATACATCATCCGACCCGACGCTCTAACAATTACACTTTAAGCTGTCTGTGGATACTGAAAACGCTAATCTTCGATCAGAGAGAGACGCTTGGACACGTTACTTGAGCACCGTTCCCGAATTTAATCATCAAACACCCGGCACAATAGTCTACAACTTGACAAAGCAAGCAGACAAAGCAGACTATTCGCAGACAAAGCAGACTATTCGCAGACAAAAGTGACATTCTTGGAAAAAGAAATGCACGACAAAGCAGAGCTTGTACAATTGATGATGGACTACGTCCGTGATGTCAAAGTTGCAATTTTAAAGAAAGATCGGGAAAACGTCTTATACTGTGAACGAAACAAGTTAAACAGCGCGAGAGAGAGCATGCTTAAGGGACATATTGATATCTTTATATCTCAGTTACGTCTCTACGATGAAGCAGAAGTAGCCGAGTCTAAAACGACTTATGATGAAAAGAAGACGCTGCGTATTTCCCATCTCAAAGAACTTTTTCGTAACGTCCAGAATAAATTCGTTGAAGAGGGTAAACTTTACATTAAGGCTTTGTCAATGACTTTTTCTCTTCCCGTCGAAAACGGTCCTTATGGAAAGCTCACATCTGGCGCCAAAATCACCGAGTTCTTGGAAAACGTTTACGATGATAAGGAATCAGCTCTCGAAGGTATTTAGAAATCATATTTTATTCTATTATAGATGTATAAGTTAATTGGTATTATGATTAGATTTCACGGAATTTAAAAATGAAGTTAAGCAGCATTTCTCACTTTATTCTCGTATGAATACTCGGGAAGACGAAATCCCCATCAAACAGGAACCACTTCCATCGCCTGCACGAGAGTCATACCCATTCGTGGCACCTATTATCAAACGAGAGCAACCACCGTCACCATCACCCACACAGGATATACCCGCTAATACATGTGTGCATGAAGCCTCTGAGGATGTCAGTGAAAACGTTGATTCTGCAAACGAGCCGGAAGAGATGGAGGTCAACAGAGTGACCGAATATAATGATGAAGAAGAAGGATATGAAGAGCCAGATCATCATTTGGTTGATTTGGGCTACAAAAGCGCTCAACCTGAGGATACTACATATAAATACTGACAACCCATTGATCGTATTTTATGCCAACAGTAACATTAATAAAAATTATTTAATACAGTTCTTAGGTATTTGGGGGTGAATAATATAAATATACCAAGAAAAACAGGTCTTACGCAATGTTGACTCCATCTAATAAGTTTGCAACCCACGAATTGAAGACGTTAATAAGTAGAGCATTGATCGGCGACATGCTGTACATAAAATAGAAGCGATAAGCCATATTCCATCCAAACACATGTAAAATCACATCTCATCTTATATCTTGCACCAAAACTACCAGTGTAATTTTTCAAGAGTTGAGTCAAGGCTCGAATTTAATTGGCTAAATGTCCTAATTTATTATAAAAAACTGTACCACCAAGTTCAAAGAATGTTTTATTTGAGAGGGCACTATATTGTATGTACACGGTCTTTTTTTATAAGGTGCCAGATGCACGTCGTAATTTCTTGGAAAGATCACCATCAATCTCTAAATCGAATAAACGCCAAATGCCACTTTCATCTTGGAAGTCGTTGTGAACGATATTAACCAAGTACCAGTTGTTGTAAATACCCACAATCACTTCGGCAGCTAAACTCTGACGATCGTACATACGAGCCCATTCGTTCCATAAGCCAAAAGCTTCATCTTTCCATGCCATAAATGCAATAGGTTCTACAATAGTGGGTTGCACAATTTCCTTACCAGGGAAGACACCCCAAGTAACAGCATTGGGTTCATCATCAATCGTATTTGTTTTTAAATCACCCTACAAAACAATTCGTATTGTTTAGTTGTCTGATATCGTTAGTGTTTGTGGCGCACTTACATCCTTGTTGACAGCGAAATAAGTTACTTCGGGGTCATTACCAATCTTTGATATTAATTCATCCAACTTTTGTTGAGGAATAAAGAACTCGAGGTAGGCCTTTTGGTATACATATCCGTTCTTTGGGCCCCAACCGTAGACATGATCAGAACTCTTTGCACCATTGACTGCAGGTTGTGAATTAATGGTTAAATAACCAAGTAAATTGATTGCAGCCAAGCGTTGCTTGATGGTGTCTGTCTCTGGTTCTAATTTCTGTGCACTCCAGGGAAGACCTTCTAATTTACCCTTACAATACCTTGCAAACAAAAGTGCAATATCATCTGGTGATTGAGGTTCACCCCACATACTTTTACGTTTCTCGATGGGATATTTGATCGAAACACCCCATCTATCAAACTCACCAAATGCAGGTGAGCGCGCATCTCCCCAACGACCGTTAGGAAATTCATCCCATGATTCGGTTCTTTGAATATAACTTTGTGCGCGATTTTTCCAAAAAATAGGACGAACAGTCTCCTTCGTACGTTTGGGACCCAGTGACTATTGTTTTTCGTTATTTAAGTTTAAAGAAAACCCCTACCAATGTCTAATTCCACTTACTTGGTTCCAAGGTAATGGCTTGACATGTTCTTGTTCTGGAACCAAACCCAACTTTTCCAGAATTAAACGAGACGATCTTTCAAGGTTAAATGTGTAGATGTGAAATCCAATAATACCAGTTTCTTCTTTGATTTTTTGGATATATTTGACAGCTAAATCGATACCATAATCTTTTACGGCCTGATCATCTTCTTTGATAGGCTCCAAGTCGTCCCATATGTGTTGAGGAACATGGTTGTTATTAAATGAAATAACACGGCTTAAGCCTGCATAACTTTGAATGGGGAAAATACCAGGCAAGATTGGACATGTGATACCAATATCACGACAACGTTTCACAAACTGAATAAAAACATCAACGTCAAAAAACAATTGGGTGACAATCAAGTCTGCACCAGCATCTACTTTTTCTTTCAATCTCAGAAGATCGTCTTCCTTATTCTGGTTATCAATATGTCCCTCAGGATGGCCTAATTACTCACTAGTTAGTTTGCCCCCTCCTCGTTTGTTATGAAACGCTAAAATAATTTACCAGCAACAGCAATACAGAAATAATCCCCATACTTTTCCTTGATATAACGAACCAAGTCGATAGCATAATTAAACCCATTTTCACACGACTCCCAGTTAAGTTGACCCTTGGGAGGATCTCCACGTAAAGCCAAAATATTTTGACAGCCACAAGCTTTAGCGTTCTACAAAGAAAATAGTTTAACCAAATAAGATAGAAGGTATATGAATGTAGCTTATATGTATATACCTTTAAAGCAGTGTCAATTTTCTCAACAGGCATATTTGTACACGTCAAGTGCATCATAGTTTCTAATCCATATACAGATTGTGAAGTCGCAACGATGTCCATAGTCAAATCGGCCGAGGTACCACCTGCACCCCAAGTAACATCGACAAACTCTGGTCCAAAACGCTGCATTCTCTCCATACGATCATACAAGTTTTGAACACCCTATTAGGAGAAAGATGAGATGATTCATGCATACCAAAATAAAAGTTTTCTTTCTTACCATCTCTGTCTTTGGAGGAAAGTATTCGAAGGACCAAAATGTACGTCCTTCTTCTTCAGCTTTGTGTATCTTGTCAATCACTTTCATGTTTAAGGTATCTATTATGGAGGAAAGAAGAAAAGATTGGATAATCTGGCTTTTTTTTTTTTTTAAGAGATGGTCGGGGAAATTAAAAAGACAATCTGGCCCACCGTTTTTCTGTCCGGTCAAATAATAAATCCCGAGCCGGGTTAATTTTTCTTGCGCGCCCCAGTTTTTATTTCGCGCACCATTACCATTTGCATGAACATACCAATTAAATTTTTGCTCTGTTTTGAAATTTTACAATATGAGGTTCAATTTATATGATTGAAGAAGTAAATAAATTAACCCCACTTGTGAAGAAACGTCAAATTCTACAGTCAATCCGTAATAGTTTTCCATATCATATAAACCAATCCTTATTTGATTTCAATCTAAAAAACATCAGGATATTTAATGAAGGTGGAATCCGGAGGATTGGAGAAAGGGGAACATCATATATTTAACATGATATGCTGGCGGGAGGTACTTGACTTAAAGTCATAACTTGAATTGAGTCTACAATGTATTATTCTAATCTACGCTAGTCCTACTGCTTGATGCCCAATATCGGGTTGAGAACAACGCATTTGTAAAAAAGACTTCTTACATCACCATTAGCAACTATAACAGCTGTCAAAAGTAAATGCAAAGGTAAATAAAATCGAAATTTAAGCTTTTGTTGGATAAAATCTATTATTTTAAAGACTGTCTATTTATTAAGGGGAGTAGTAAATCAAGGTACATTTACAGTTGAATACTGACAAGATTAAGCAGTGTTTGAGCGTACATATGTAGATCTGATTCCAAAAAGAAATGAGAATTACTTATAAAGCTGTCTGTGTTTATTGCTACTATTTCTACACTATTTCAAAGCAGTAGAAGAAGACTGTGTATTAAGAGAGAATGCGACTGATTTGAAGCGTGAACTCGCGTTTAAATAATCGGAAATGCTTACGAGGATAAAATCTATCCATAGGATTAAAAAAGTGCGCGTCTATTCACGTGCCATACAAGTTGGCGATAATGAACAGAGATTATATCTTTTTAGTTGAGTGTCGTCATTGACCAGGCATTGGATGAAGATTGAGTCAGTCTTGGATAACTCTTCAAATAGACTGCGAATAGCAAGGATCGCACTGTAAATAGCTGGACTCAGACAGTAAATAGCTCAAGTTATTATAAATAGCTGAAAAACAAGAAGGTGTAGGAGAAAGAAAAGGGCAAAAAAGGAAAACTCTAAGATGCTCCAGCGAATCTCATCAATAATGGTCAGATGTCAAAATACAGTGCAGCAGATTATGGCTATTATGATATAGCTGCCGATCCAAATGAAGGGAAGGGTAAAAAAAAGCAAAAAGTTCAGATCAGAAAAAAAAGAGCGAGATGAGAGTTCTGCTGGCCATAAAGATTTAGATGACAACGTTGAAGATGACAGAGGTCATGGAAAAATAATTTCTTTCCAGACTCTGAGGAGATTCAAGGTATGATATGGTTAAAATTGAATGCCACGGCTTTTAACAAGCTTTAGACCTGTCATTTATGACCATTAGTTCTGGAGGCACATATTAGGAACCAGATTACTCAGAGGGTAGCCCGAATATCGTGTATGTTACTGGCTTGGACAAACTATTGTCATTATCATCAAGAGACCTTGGTGAAATTCAGTGTATACCGGAAAACGAATCCGTGACTGATAGGCTGTAAAGAATAATCTGACGCATGACACCAATTTTGTCGAGTAAGTGGTATTTGAATTTTAAGATAATAAAACTAATTTCTTATGAATGTTTATGGTAGTAACTAATAGCTTAAAAGTGGATGGGCAGGATATTCTACCAATTAATTAATATTTACATCGGTAGCTATATGAATGTACTTGATTGTATTGGTGAAATGTGAAATCACATCTAAATTTGTGCCAGAATTACATAATTTATACAATCAATAACTCTTTATTTAATACAACTATTTAGTTCTTTTTCAAAGTTCGTTGTTTTTCAGCGTGTTCGACTAATTTCTTTTCAACAAACATACCCTACAATAAACATGACGGCATATTAGTATTGCAGATATAATTACAGCCGTATTTGGTTTTTACCTTTCTCTTTCTAACGGTATCCATGTACTTTTTGGCTAAATTCTCTTTATCTGCCTTTTCTCCTAAATCCTCCAATTCTTCTTCTGTAGTGGGTACCCAGAAAGGATCTTCATCCAGCATCTCAAAGCCGCTAAAAACTAACTGGGGACTAGCAACACCAGAAGTTCTTTTACGAATCTCTACCAGAAAGTCATAAAATCAATATAATACATTCAGTACAATATATAAATTACATACCATCGGAGAAGCCAAAACTTTCAATGACAGGTAACAGGGCGTTGATTTGCCAGAATGAGGTGCCATCCTTTAAATCTTCAGATACAATCTTACCCTTACGTTTTGAAATGACAGCATAGACACGACCCAAAACCTCAGCATTAGCTTGGATATCACAAGTGTACATGGCTAATAATAAACGAGGAGACCAGTCTAAGAAGCCATGGCGACAAGCTTCTTTTGTAGCAGCAATGACTTGACCTTGAATGATGTGAAGTCTAGAACGGACTATTGATAATTAAATGTGTTAGTTGTGTATAGCTTTTTTTTTTTCTTTTTCTCTTTTTTTTTTACCATCGATGGCCTCACCGTTGGCGGCCACTAATTCTTCTGGATGGACCTCAACACCTTCTACAATGTAACATACACCAGTAACAGGTTCAGCGCACAAAGGACCGGTTAAAGTAGATAGCTGGAAGCCAGTATGAATGTGAAAATCAACATCGAGAATGGAAAGAGCACTGGTATCAACATCGACCTTAATGACTTCGTCAGCATGATCCAATGATACTTCTGTGCTCTTTTTTGAATCCACCTGGAAAAATGGTTTTCTGACATAACCTGGGATGCGATTAACCAACAAATTAGAGCCGATACGACGAGGGCCAAAGGCCCAAATTTGATCTACGATATTGTCCCATAAATGAACAAAAGGTCCGCCGGCTTTCTTGACTTGCTCAAATTCTTTTCTGAGTAAGGATTCGAGTTCCGTAGCAGAAAGAAGATTGCTACCGCCGAGATTATCTGCATTGCCTGTGGATGCCTCTTCGTCTTCTAGCTTGTTACTCTTCTTGGCCAACTTTTCTTCGACAATAGCCTTGATGGAGGCAGCGTTTTTGGTCAAAAATTCGGTGATACGAGATGGTAAAGGCACAGTTTGAACCTTCAGTGTTAAGAACTTGGAATTAATCTTGATTTCGGATTCACCACGAGACACCATTACACCTTCAACCTCCTTATTAGTTGACAGGTCAGCGCGTACAATAGTTTCTCTAAAAGGAACAATGGGTTCAGAAGCATGGATTTCGATCTTTGCAAAACGTTCCTTAAGATCACGCAAACATCTTTCCAAATGAAGTTCACCTGCAGTCAAAATAACGTGCTCACCGGTTTCTTGAAGCATGACCTCAACGCAAGGATCTGCTTGGTTTAAAAGACGGAGACCTTCAACGAGCTTATCCATTTCAGTAGGATCCTCAGGTTCAAGAGCAACACGGACAATAGGGGAGCTTTGCATCTGAACACCTGCCATGTTTCTAACATTCTCAGTAGTACTGGCCAACGTACCGTTCTTGAGGACATGTCCTTCCAAACCACCAATACCAAAGACATTGCCTGCACATACTTCATCTAGCATTTCTAAATCGCGACCCATAATCAGGTAGAGACTCTTCACTTCAATCTCTGAGATATGTTTCTTGGGGTATTTAGGATCGTATTTAGGACCCATGACGTATAACTTTTGACCAACACGAATTTTACCACTATAGATACGAGCAAAACCAATGAGGCTTTCGCCTTTCAAAACCTCTTCAGCCTCCTTTTCTGCGATTTCTGCTTCTTCAGTAAGAGCAGCTACTTGTTCAGGTGTTAATGGAACACCTTCGCCAGATTGATCTAACAAAGCATGAGCAGCACGAAGCTCTCTTTGTTGTTGACCTCGTTCGCGCATTTCTTCTGCTGTCATTTGCTTACGTCTGTTTTCAGGCAAAAATTCGACTGGGACAGCAAACATTTTGCTAACATAGGCAACCACAGGTGCTTCATCCGATGTATCACATGAATATAAAGCCTTCTCAACATCATTAGTGGGTTCCAAAGGTTCGCTATCCTTACGATGAATGTTAGGGTAAAGCATCTTGGGAAGACGAATACGCTGAGCGTCTTTAGGAGGAGGTAATTGACCAATAATTGCCAATAAGACACATGTAGACAGTGGAAGCCACTGAGAGAAAATAGCCGAAAGCAAAATATTGGGATCGCGAGAACGCAAATCTCTGGGCAAGATCTTAATTTTTAAAGCACCCACAATCTTTTCAACACGTTCACGATCACTATACAAAAAAGATGAGAAAATCTAATATATGCACAGTAAATACTTTACTTACGGTTCAATGACAACACTGCCATATACGGCCCAGATATTGTCTAATACGAACTGGACAAACATAGGCTTTAAATTTCTTCCCTTCAAGTGCTTGGGCTGGATAACGCGTTTAGCTTTAGGATCAAAGTAGTACTCACCCCATAGACACTTCTGTAAGACTTGTTCTTTAAATCCAAGCTTCTTGGCGTAAAGTGAAGCAAATTGTTGTACTCTAATAGATCGTACTGTAAGTATAAAAAATATATCTACGTATAAATAGATATGTATTACCTGAAGGCCCAGCCATCGACAGCACTGGAGAAAATAACATTTCCTCGAGCAGGATCGAAATAAATATCGGAATCATCGCGATCCTCCACACTCCAATCATAAATTTTATTGGCATCGAATTCTTCTTCTTCTTGGTTCTCCTTCTTTTCATCCGTCATTTTCCGAGCTTCACTTTCCATCAAATCACCTGTGAAAAAGGTGGCCATGACAGCATTGACTTGTTCCAAAATTTTGTTAATATGAATATAAGCCTCATGAGGTGTCATTTGTAATTCAACTATTAAACGATCCATCTTATTAAACACAAGTACAGGTCTAACTTTGTCGATCCATGCTTGACTTAAAACTGAAATCGTCTTTTTTTAAAACTTGCATTAATTCTATCTCCATTTTCATTCATTGTTTACTTTTGTTTTACCTGCGTACAAACACCTTCAACCACATCGATTAGAACAAGTCCACCGTCACATAAACGAGAAGCAGTTGATACTTCAGACGAGAAATCGACATGGCCGGGAGAATCGATCAAATTGATGAGATATTCATTTTCGACGGTTTTAGTTTGTGCGTCTACGATATACAAGTCAGAAAAATAACTTTAGTAATCAGGCTGTGAATCATACCTTCGGTGTCCACTGTTTTAACCAGTTTAAAGTATAAACTAATTGCGCTTGATTCCATGGTAATTCCTCTTTCTTGTTCATCTTCGCGAGAATCAAGGTATCGCACTTTACCTGCCATTTTGGAGGAAATAATACCGTTGGTGGCTAAGAGTGAATCGGACAACGTCGTCTTGCCATGATCCACATGGGCAAGAATACAGATATTTCTGATGTTTTTTGTATTGTGTTGAAGAACCGAAAGTTGTGCGGGTGTTATTGCAGGCATAGTATATCTCTATAATTTAAAACAGAAAGATTTTTTTTTACTTTCAGAGAAGTGCCTATTTATATGTTTACTTGACTGACTTTGAATATCAACTTGACTTTGACTGCGTCGTATTTCCACAGGTTTTTCTTTTTTTTCTTTATGCTATTTAAAATTTATGTTATTTAGGAAGACTTTTAACATGTCAACCCATCACCTAATACTAATAATTACATATCCTGAAACCAATCAAGCAGATCTTTATACAGGCTTTATTAATTACCTGGTAGACATAAATACATATCTGCAATAGTGGTCGCACAAGCACTTTCTGACAGCTCAACTTGATCCTGCTAGAATGTGGATGTTCATGAATTATCACTTATCTAGATATTTACGCATCAGGAACGTCAGTAAAGTATGGAAAATGCCTGTTACTTCCTTAAGATTACAGGTTTTGTGACGTGCTTTTTTGTTCCGCAGCTGGAAGAGTTAGCCTTGTCAGAATAGTTAGAACAACAAGTTGAGTAACCATGTACTTTGGGACTTGTAGCTCTATTTTGGTATTTGCAGGAAGAGGAAAATTTACAGCAAAACTTCTTCCAGCTTAGGACAACGATTTAAAAACAAACTTAAAGTACACGTTATAATACATGCGTTTATTATATATGATGACAGTAAGTGATGTGGAATTACGAAGAATATCTGCTGGAAGAAAAAGATAAAGACGATTTAATTGTACAGTCCATCTGAACATTTACATCTTTAAAAGGAAATAAGGCAGCTATCACGCTCTTTTCACTCAGCAAGGAATAATTTTTTTATCGGGATGTAGAATATGGACAGAAGGTCGATGGTAACTGTTGTTTCCATATCTCTCCTGCTTTATTTTTTACAAATTTAAACTTCAATCGCCCTCATAATAAACAGCAGGTGATGATAGTAATGTGAAGATGAGCACATCCCAAATTACGAGACATGTAATGAGTTGTCAAGTGCAGTAATATGATCAATTTTCTTTGTAGCGTGACTACGAAGCTTGTGCGACTATAAGACAGTAAAATGAAGCTTGTGAAAAAAAGGCAAATGCAAATGTCGCACACAAAGCTCTTCTAGTTCTATATTTATCAACGTCACATGAGTATATTTAAATAATTACCTCTTTTTGAAGTCTGAAGGTGTTTCTTTTTGTTCAGTAAAAAACTTTTTTTTTTCGTAACTTGCACGCAATGTCTACCATGAGTCAACCTGGTTCACCGTTAATTGAATTTGCGTTGGAAAAATCCAGGTCAGCAGTGAACCGAGATTCTGGTGTTGGTGATAAAACATCTTTGAAAATGTATAAAGAGGCCGTGGATGCACTACAAAATGTTTTAGACGATGACGCAGATGTTACGAACAACAAATCAAGACTTAAAACAATTGTAAAGTATTTCCCCATGGCGGGCAGAAATAGGAGGCCTTTTTTAAAAAAAACGGGAGATAATGGTGTCAGAAAATAAGCATTTAACAGGTTTTTTTTTTTATGTTTAACAGCAGGAATCTTATTTAAAAAGAATCGAATTCCTTTCTTCGTCTTTGCAGATGAAAACCAGTAAACGGATTAATGCTTCAGCCCCAACCACATCAATTATGATTTCTATCAATAAACGCATGCCGAAGAAAGAACCTAAATTGGACTTAAAACCTTCCATGAGCACACCAACTAGTACAACCATGTTAATCAAACAGAAGAAGAAGAAAATTGGTATTCATAATTTCATTTTTTTCTTTGGGATAAATTCTAAAACTTTTATAATAGGAAATACAAACAAAAACAGATATTCTTCAGATTTTTCAAGCACTGGCACACCACAAATATTATCGAGGAATCAGTCCTCACCAACCCTACATTCGTTTGAACATGTTGACATTGAGCAGGATTGCTTTGATCTACAGGCCTTAACTGACAACATGTCGACAGAAAAACAAGACGAATGTAAAAGACAATCTGCCGATTCACAAAGTACCATAGTGACTAATGTCACTACAACTCCGCCGACAGAACTAAGTTTATCGAGCAGCGATTCCACTTTGCATGAAGACAGTAATTCGCTTCGAAAAACATTTTCTGCACGTGTTATTCATAAAAAATCATCGACTGTTGTCACGGAGCCCTTTCAACCTCAAATGGAACGAAGTGTAAGCACTTCAAGCTTCCAAACACTTTTGGGAAGAAGAAAAAGTTCAAAGAAACAACTCAAGTCTGATTCAAAATTAACTTCAACTGTTGAAGAAACCTCAAAAACCTCATTTGCTGCTTTACTACAAAATACAACAAAGCTTAATAAAAGAACTACAACTCCCTCTGTAGATTTAGGCCGATCCAAGAGCAAAAAAAAATGGTCCATCATTGGTAAAATACCACCCTCCTTTTTGGATCCTACCGCGTTTATAGCTGGACCACCTAAAGATGAGGAGCATGTGCGTGCAATTAATAACGACGCATTAGTGTCATTGGATCTCATGAACAAATTGCTCCAAAGTATGCTACACGGTGGTTATATCACACCGAATTTATATATACCAATGGATTTATGGTAATTACAAACATGTGAATTACCCAGATTTTGTATCTTCATAATCTAACTTTTTTTGTAGGTATCAGCCCAATGTACGATTGCCTACAACAGATGGAAAAATTGCTGCTTGTGAATTGCTTTTAATTGCGCTTGAAAGAATGGATAAAAGAAAAAACTTTAGTGATTCCTCCACGGTGGAGACAGATCTAAAAGTTCTGGAGCAAACATTAAATCGGATTAAATATACGCTGATTAAAAAATTGGGATATTTAATTTCCCCCGGCGGTGAAAACGATCCATCTTCCTTAGTAGATCATCATCATCATGGCCAATCCTCTTCGAGATATTCGAGTTACATGAGTTCATTGATAGGCGGATCCTCTGGGGTTAAAACTTCACAGGTACAATAGCAAATTTATAAAAAAAAACAGATATTAAATTTATGGTCTATTCTTAGACACTCTCGGCTTGGAGTTCAAAACTCTCGAAATCTGTTGAAAGAATGAAATTTGAAGCTTCTAAAGCCATTCCGTAAGAAAGAAAGAAAAATTCTAAAGTGTGGGATGACTGCTGCTAATAGAAAAATATAGTACGGGAGAGCACAATAATGATATCTACATCAAGACATTAATTCGACTGTTTACGGTGGTTAAAGTCTTGGGTAGGACAAGAGCAGATAAACTTTTTTTTAGTGTTAACCTTTTTTATCTACAATAGAGCGTTGGAATACAAAGCTGACTCTTTTAATTGAAAATGAATCATCGCAAAAATCATCTTCCTATAAACGTGCACGAAATACTAACGAAGCTTGTATCAATTTGCTACGATCCACCATTTGTGAATTCGTTTTAAAAGATTACGAAGTTTTGCTAGATAGATGGCTAAGACGAAGCTCGGATTGGATCTTTGATTAACTGTTCAATGTACCATGTTAAATTATACCATTTACAGCCTAATAAAATAATATTACTCCATTCTGCGCTAATGCAGGGTTAAAACTTTTAATTATTTTGCATGAAAATACCCAGATTTCCTTAGCTTGTCACATGCTGGGCGTCTCAGCCTTGGCTTTTAAAATGAAATATTCGGGCTGAATACAAGTAATGATTTAATAGAAAACAGACTTTATTAAATAAATAATAAAAGGGAAATATGGTATAGATTGTCAAAAAAGTAAGCGACCTATCCGTAGTTCACACCAGTAACTCTCATAGTGTGATCAACACGAACATTTAAACGTTCAGGTCTAAAATCCATAGTCACCATAGAACCAGGAGGAACCACTCTGTTGGGCTGAGGTAAATCCTTTCTACGAATACACTACAGCAAAGAGTTAGACATCATTTCAAATATAAAAGAAACGTTTAGATATTCTTACCTCGTTTTCTTCAAGTGTAGTTACTTCATCGTCATTTAATACAACTTTACCGACTAGCTTATCACGCCAACCGTTGCAATCATCTGAGTTTTGTTTACCAAAAGAAAAAGTTCCAGTCATTTTTTGTAAGAAATAGGTAAAAGAAGAACAGTTCAGTTGTTCATTTTTCCGTTCATTTTAAAGAAAAAAAAAAAAAAAAAAAAAAAAAAAAAAAAAGTGTAACGTGTGCGTCATCTTTTGATTTTTAGTTAGCTGTATTCAAGCTTTTTCTAAGCCATCAGTGGCAAAGTTACAAATAAACGGTGAGAACAAAAATGTTCGTCTCGTATATTAATAAAAAAGCACTTTTAATAATGGATTTTTAAGATCGAATCTGGTGCAATATGTGATCTTTACAAGAAAACGCGGGTAATTAAAATACGTACATACATATAGACCTTACTGTAAACTCATTAATAAAAACTTTCAACCCAATATTGTCTGGTTTATTTGACTTGAACATATATAAAAGGATATCAAATGTTACTTTGATGGTGCATTCATGCACATCATACAAGTTTCGCGCTCACAAAGTGCGTGTAGTTTGAATTATACCAAACATATAAAAGTAACCCCCCCCCATTTTTTTTTTTTTTTTTTTTTTTTTTTGCAAAAGAAGCACAAATATTGATATCGATGAGCAGTATTACTGCGTTACTTATACTTTTCCGAACTTGCTAAAAAAAACGTACGACACCGCTGGAGCAGACAAAGGTGAGTTGCGATTTACGCTGAGCTTAAACTAATGGTGATGACATAGCCAGTGATATTTTTACAAAGAAACTCCACGCCAAAAAATGGATATTTTTTGTTTTTCATTACAGGGTCCCTACAAGTACAGCACATATTGAAGTATGTCGATCAGACATTTTCCTCTCTCCAGGTCTGTCATTGCAAATGTACTGTATGCAATTGTTTCCAGGCCAATATATAACAATACGATTCGTCCTTTATCTACCAAATGCCTTTTACATCAACAACCCCTGACATCCATGTTTGCAAAAGCCAACCACTGTGGCGTACAAAGGCTACCTTATTCAACTCAAGCCTCACCTTTAGAATTGGATGACGGTGTGACTGATGTCCATGCATCGACGGCCGAAAAAAAAACCAAAAAACGCTACGACAAATTTAAATCCGTGACGAAAAAAACGGTTGACGGTAAAAAGAAAGTTTATAATGCCTTGACACAAAAAACAAAGAAGGTGAAACCAACTACTGTGTCCGAATATAACCAGCTTATTATTTATACCGTCATGGAGGATAGAGTAAATAAGGCCATTCTTTATCTTCGTGAAATGGAAAGAAGTGGGTTGAAACCTGATATCCTGACATACACCATGATTATCAACGAGTACAGCAAACAATCCGATATGACTAGAGCCAGAAAATGGGTGACTCGCATGTTAAAAAATGGAGTTGAACCAGACGCCTATATTTATACCAGTCTCATTGACGGTTACATGCGTGAAGCTAATTTGGACAATGCAGAAGCCATGTTTCGAATCATGATGAAGAAAAAGATTAAACCGACCTTAGTTACTTACAATATACTAATGCACCATTCGGTACGTCAATTAAACATGGAATCAGCATTAAAGTTTTGGGGTAATTTGCTTGAAGCAGGCTTAAAATCCGATGTATACACCTTTGCCATCATCTTGCATGGGTTAGGAGACGAAGGTCGTGTTGACGAAGCTTGGAGAATTTTTAAGACAATGGAACAAGAAAAGGTGGACGTTAATGAAGTTGTAGCAACAACGTTAATGGGCATGCATGTCCAACAACATGACAATGAATATGCTGTCCAGTTATTTAATCAATTCTTCACGAGCGAGACTGGCAGAAAACCGTTACCTGTCACCGACCATACACGCAATGTCTTGTTAAATGCCGTTGTAGGCCAGGCAGATTCAGAGACGATCAATAGATACTATGAGCTTTACAAGAACACTCAAATTGATAAAAATGCACCCATCTCCCCTTTATTTGTCGGTGCAAATGTTTATACCTATACCACTTTTATGCGTGCTTTCCTTCGTCGTGATAATCTTCCAATGGTTAGCCAAGTTTACGCAGATATGGTTGCACGGCATATCCAGCCGTCATTAGTTACTTATTCTACACTGATGCTTGCTCATGCCTATGTCCCTGATCCCGAATCTTGTGTTCGGATTTTGAATGAACTGAAAAAAGGTGACGTTGAACTCAATGCTGTAGTATATACCATTGTCATGAGAGCTTGGGCAAAAGCTGGCAAATGGGAAAAAGTGAAGAGTACTTATGAAATGATGAAGCAAGACAATATCCAACCTACAAAATTAACAATGGAAGTACTTCGTTATGGAGGCTCTAAAAGTGGCGAAACATAATTTTTATTCCCACAAACACTTGTACATATAAAATTAAAATAAAATAAAAAGTAATTTTAGATATTTCAATGTATATTTAATGACTGTTAATATATATTTATTTGGGAGATTGGAAAAGTGCAGACTCTCGTCTTTTGTTATCATGAAGTGCAATACAGCAACGTCCAATCTATAAACTTTATAATAAATACTTTGGTAATAATATACAAACACACTAAGCTAGATTAATGCTTTCCCTTTACATATAAGGATTTAATAACTTAATGTTTGTATCTTCTGTAGGCACAACATCTCATTTTTAAGGTAATTGTTTCTAAAATCATGCAAATAAATTGGTTAACTTCTCCAGGAAGCTGTTGATTTATCCCGCCCCATCATAAGCAAGACTAAAACGATTTTTTATTATCAATGCGAATCATTAAGCTTAATATAGTGGTATATCTTTCCCATTCAATACGTTGCTCTGCAAAACAAGCACTGAATTTGCAAAGGAGATATTGCGTGCAAACACATGTATTTGGCGAAGCACGTTCGTTTGGACCAAAAAAAATTCGAGGTAAACACACTTACTATTGAGATTGCACAGTCTTTTTTTCTTCTAAATCTAGAGTTAATAATCTCAACAATCTCTTGAAAGTCATATTTTAACAACTCTTTTTTCGCGGGATTGAAAAATCTAAACGCCATAATAAACATATTTATCTCCAGCGCAGAAGTTGAAGTTGAAGAAGTCGCTAACTTCAATAAGTGGCATAAGAATCGAAATAACTCTTCCGATCCATATTTCACAACCCATGAGGAAAGAAGATGTCTGCCTCTCACTCCACGCTTTCGAGAAATGTATCTATAAAATCGAAAATTGTGGTGCTAATAAAAACTAAGTGTTACGTCATCGATTTGGTTATCCAATCAGAGGTTGTTAAGTGAATGAAGCAAACTAAAAAAATCACAAATATACATGAATTTGTAATGAAATAGGTTAAGCCAATCTACCTCTATATATGTGTGTGCACGCATAAAAGCGCGGGGTAGCAAGAGTATCACTGTATATGTAACTGATAATTATAAAAAAGAGTGCACGAAGCAACCGGCAAAATGTGACGACTACATTTCACCCTGGCCCACGCTTTAATATGCGTATTGAGTCTCAAAAGAAAGTTTTATTATTCTAAACTTGGTCTCTTTTTCTTTTTCTAAAAGGAATTTGTAAAAAGTAATAATGGCTATCATTCGTGCTCTTGCATCGGGCTCTCGTAGCGCCCTTCGTGCTCAAAATATTACTGCTTCTACTCTTGCTCAAGCTGCTGTGAAGCCTGCTGCCTTCAAGGGTTAGTACCAATTTTTTTTTTACAAGTAGTGGGACGTAACCAGTAACATTTTATTTTATTGTAAACAGTTCGTAACTATGCCACCGAAGCCGCTTCTGCTGGTCAAATTCGGTAAGTACAACACAGAAAAAAATAATATATCTTGACATATCGCCTAACTTTCTGCAAAACTAAATAGTTCCGTTATTGGTGCTGTTGTTGATGTTCAATTTGAACAAGATAACTTACCTGCTATTTTGAACGCTCTTGAAGTTCAAGATCACTCTGGTGGACGTCTTGTTCTTGAAGTCTCTCAACATTTGGGTGAGAACACTGTCCGTACCATTGCTATGGATGGTACTGAAGGTATGACACCCCCACCCTAGATAATTTATGGCCTGTGTTTTAAATTAAAATTTAATTAGGTCTTGTCCGTGGTCAAAAGGTCATTGATACTGGTGCCCCCATCACTATCCCCGTTGGTAAGGAAGTCCTTGGTCGTATTATTAACGTCATTGGTGAACCTATCGATGAGCGTGGTCCTATCGCTGCCAAGACTCATCGTCCCATTCACGCTGAAGCTCCCGAATTCGTTGATCAATCTCCTACTCCCGAAATTCTCGAGACTGGTATCAAGGTTGTCGATTTGTTGGCTCCTTATGCTCGTGGTGGTAAGATTGGTCTTTTCGGTGGTGCTGGTGTTGGTAAGACTGTCTTGATTCAAGAGTTGATTAACAACATTGCTAAGGCCCATGGTGGTTACTCCATTTTCTGTGGTGTCGGTGAACGTACTCGTGAAGGTAACGATCTTTACCATGAAATGATTGAAACCGGTGTCATCCAACTCGAGGGTGAGTCCAAGTGTGCTCTTGTCTTCGGTCAAATGAACGAACCCCCAGGAGCTCGTGCTCGTGTTGCCTTGACTGGTTTGACCATTGCTGAATATTTCCGTGATGATGAGGGTCAAGATGTCTTGCTTTTCATTGATAACATTTTCAGATTCACTCAAGCTGGTTCTGAGGTCTCTGCCCTTTTGGGTCGTATTCCCTCTGCTGTCGGTTACCAACCTACTCTTTCCACTGATATGGGTGGTATGCAAGAACGTATCACTACTACCAAGAACGGTTCCATTACCTCCGTCCAAGCTGTCTATGTCCCTGCTGATGATTTGACCGATCCTGCTCCTGCTACCACCTTCGCACATTTGGATGCTACCACTGTCTTGTCTCGTTCCATTGCTGAGTTGGGTATTTACCCCGCTGTCGATCCTCTTGATTCCAAGTCTCGTATCCTCGATCCCCGTATTGTCGGTGATGAGCATTACAAGGTTGCCACTCAAGTTCAACAAATCCTCCAAAACTATAAGTCTCTCCAAGATATTATTGCCATTTTGGGTATGGATGAATTGTCCGAAGAAGATAAACTTGTTGTCGAACGTGCCCGTAAGATCCAACGTTTCTTGTCTCAACCTTTCGCTGTTGCCCAAGTCTTCACTGGTTATGAAGGTCGTCTCGTCCCTCTTGCTGATACCATCCGTTCTTTCCAAGAAATCTTGGGTGGTAAGCACGATAACTTGCCCGAATCTGCTTTCTACATGCAAGGTGATATTAACGATGTCCAAAAGCGTGCTGAAGAACTCGCCAAGGAAATCGGTTCTCAATAATTTAACAAAAAATCATTTATAAACAATAAAAATAAACAATCTTTAGAAATTTTCCACTTTGCACCATGTTAACATGACGTTTACTGTCATACAATAGCGTTTTTTTTTTTTTTTTTTAGAAAAAAAGGAGTGACTTGTTTGTCCGATATGTGTGCATTGGCCCCACATCCTTTATTATTGGACTTTTTGGCTATTTATTTCTGTTTATTTTTAATCATTTGCCTTTTTGCTTTTTATATATATATATATATATCCAATTTCTTTTTTCCCTATTATAATTTTTTAATTACGCCAGATCCGAAAAGAAGATAACCTTATTATTATTGTGAAGAAATGCTAAAAATATTTGGAACTGGAAAGAAGAAGAAAAGCACTGTTAAGCCTGGCCATTTAAAGATCCCAATTCCCATGATAAGTGGAGTTCAATATGCAGATATGACAGAATCTCAAATATCGACACTTATTGGAGGTGGGAACAGAGGTGATCAACCATCGAAAAAATCGGTACCATCCATCTCTAGTCAAAAAACAGAAAAAGTGTCGGGTGTTGCAGCTCCAGGTCGATCAATTAGCTCACCTCCAAACCTATTGATGCCCAAACCGGTATATAGTTTACCGCCTACTCGATTTTTGTTCAAAAGTCATGAATACGAAAAGACCCAAGTAGAAAGCAGTGAAGATGAAGAAAGCTTTTCGGGAGATTCAAGCGACGAAAGTGATATTATTGAGTTATTCCCAAGCAATGTAATTGCTGCAGATCACACCGTGACTAAAGAAGTAAATCATAAGAAGCTTAGTCCCATTGAAGAAAGCGAAAAAAGTCCTATTGAATCCTTGTTTACTAATGAAGGAGGTAAGTTTTATTAGGTTTCTTGTCTCACAATCAAAAAAAAAATCAACTGATGACAACAATAGTAATTGGAAAACTCGAATCACAAAGACAAGAAAGTGATAATAACAACCACCAATCACTCGGCTCCGTCACAAGGACGAGCGATGATTCAATTAGACACTATACTTCCGCGTCTGAGTCTCCCTTTTTTACCACTTCTTCTGTTTCATGTTCGAGTAACAATCTGATAAACGATACGCCAGCATTTCCCTCTTTTTCGGCCAACTCATTTTTACCGATACAACCCTCTTCAAATAATATTGATATCGCTCCTAATAACAACCCCACGTCTTCCGTATCAGTCCATCAATCTGATACGAAAATCATCAAAAGTTCAACCCAAATGAATACATATTCTACACCTCAAGATTTAGTGGAATCCGCCAAACACACCAAGGAAAACGCAACTTTTAATTTTCAAAATACAGAGCCTAATAAGTCACCATCATTGCCGTCTGAAGAAGTTATTCAAAATCCCACAAGTCTTCGAAATAATAAACGAGAAAAAACGCCGTTACGATTTAGTGACGCATCTTCTATATCACCGCACCCCACAGGTACAAGTCAGACTAAAGTCACCCGGCCGAGCTCATCCTCTGCATCTTCAGCCACCATCGGACTGGCTGTTACACCTATATCCCAAAGTAGAATTACAAATAACAGTGATAAACCACCTGGGAATCAATCACAAACCTCCGAACCATCCGCTTTTGTTGCTTTTCAAAACAATAACAATAACAAAAATATATTCATGCCGCTCGAAAATACTAGCCGAAACCATTCTCTTGCTATTTCAGATATACAACACAATATGAAAAAAATGGCACTCAATGAGGATCTAGAAGAGCTGAAACGTGCTGTTGATCGTATGCAGCAGCAGCGTGTTTCTGACCGTGAAGAACACTTGAATAGAGTCAAGGAACAAAAACTACGAGAGAAAGAAATCTTGGATCAAATCAATTTGACTAAACAACGCTTGGAAATGGCTATCGCTGGTAAATTTTTTATGGACGATCTTAATAACACTAACGACGCTGATAACAATGCTATCACGGCCACTATAGGTCAACATCAGGCAAGTTTTGAGGATTTGCAACCACCCATCAAGAGCTTAAATGGACCTACCATCGAAGAAGAATATATCACCAAGACAAACCCGATGATGAAACCATCCACATCCGCCTCTTCATCAAGAAGCAAAACTCGAGCTAACCTAGCAGAGGCCCCCAAATCATTGGAAAACCGACAATCAGACAGCGGTCGTCCCAAAGGACTTCGTAAACAGCTGAATTCAAGTAATCGTTACAGTTACCATCAGGAATCACCTTCAGAAAGCTATTTCCCTGATGCCAGCAAAACAGACTTTGAGTATTTGAACAACCCACATGGCCTTCCTCCTCAACCTTCTTTTGCGTCCAACAAGTTTAGATATGGGAACGTAAGAAATTATCATCCTGAGATGGAATACATGGAAGGTAGAAATCGCTATGATCTTTTCGATCCTCCTAGAGTTCGAAATATTCGTAATTTTCCCCAGCAGCAACGACGTCAGCGCTCAAAATCTGTTGAGTCACAGTGGCTACCACCACAGGAGTTTATAGATCAACAGCAACATATACATCGTTTACAACAGCAGCAGCATGAGCTTTCTTATAGCCCCGCTGAAATGGGGGATAACAATCGATTTATTCCTCCTGGTCGTATTCGTTCGCGAAAGTCTTCTACGCATAGTGCTAAAAGTAACCCTTCAGAAGGCACAGGGAACGGTCAGGATCTGCAGAACGGATACCATTCCGCAGCTGAAAAAGATGATGACGATGGCGATGGCGAAGATGATGAAATGGAGAATGATACCAATCGACATGATCCGCCCGAGGTAAACATTCGATATAATCCAGATGGAGACTTTCCACAACAATTTCATGATGATCCTCGTCTTTCCCGTAATAATTCGGGTAACAGATACCGTCGAAGACCGCCACCGCATTCGAATAATGGGCCTATGCCGCCTTCCATGATGTACCATAACCAAGCTTTCGGACCCCCACCACATATGTCCCATATGGGGATGATGAGTGATAGAGATCGGCTCAAGATGAGACCACCCCCACCCCTACCTTATGGATACAATAATATGCCGCCTCCTGGTAGTGAATATTACCCTTATATTCCTCAAAGAGTTTCTCCAAGAATGATGGCTGCGTTCAATGAAGATCAGCAATGGAATCCTCCACCACCCCACCATCCACAATGGGGACCTGTTAACCAAAACATGTATGGGGCTCCTCCACCTCCACCTGAAAATATTGGTAGCGGTACAGCAGCAAATAGCGGTGGTGCTGTGAATGGTGGTGTCAATGGACATCATTTGCAGGATACTCCTAACGAGAATAATTTTGGAAGAAGATACCCTCCTACCCAGACTGTACCTTTACAACAAACACCTCAACAATCTCAACATGGATATATGGGGATGTACCCTGATACTTCTCATAGATTGTACATTTAATATAACATCCAGTTAGTCTGTTAATATTTAATAAATGTGATGTTATCAATCTTTAAACTTCATCCAGTCTTTCTTGCCGCTTTTTTAGTATTAGGATAACTCATCATAGTATTTTCTATCAAATGAGGCTTCTTCTTTGTTTTTGTCATCCTTAACCACATGGATTTTTAATTATCCCGTTGCTAATCGTGTTTTATCTATTACTTTTGCATTGTATCTTCTCTTTTTATAATATTATTATGTAGACTTAATATGAAATTTCCTGTTTTTCGTTTGCTAGGTCCGCTCAGATGTATTAAAAAGCTAAACTGCTTTATAAACTAAGCACTCAGTACATTTTTTCTAAATGTCTCATAATCACTTGAAGATATTTTATTTATTTTTAATATATATAAATATCTGTGCCTAATAGTATCCACGTCCACCTTCTCGACCTCTGTTATTTCCGTATCCTCCTCCTCTATTTCCTCCACGTCCACCTCTATTGTTGTTACCGTAGCCATTACCACCTTGCTGATTATTATAATAAGGCTGTTGCTGACCATATCCACCCCCACCACCTTGGTGTTGATTGTATCCTTGACCATAACCACCACCACCACTACCGTACTGTGGCTGTTGGTTATAGCCACTATTTTGTTGCCCATAGCCACTATTTTGGTAGCCGCCACCGCCTTGGTTATAACCACCCTGTTGGGAATAGTCGCGTCTTTGATTTCCACCGTACTGTTGAGTACCGGGGAATCTTGAACCATCATCATAGCCATGGTTATAACCACCACCGTATCCACGAGAAGGGTCATTGCGATGATTGTTATTTCCGCCACGGCCTCTACCACGGTTGTTATACTCGCGATAATCTTCCATGTGATTCACTTGTGCAGTCCAGCCACGGTTGTTATTGTAACGTTGACGATTATCGATCTTTTCAAAAGTTGCTAATTGAATATCCTCATACCCCAAAGAGTTGTCTAATTTGAGTCCTTTTAATAATTGTGAAGAGAATTGTGTTCCTTCAGTATTCGGTAAGAAATAAGACACGCTATAAAAAGAGGATAGATATATGAGTAAACTATTTCCGCGACCTTTGCCTTATTCACACACTGTACCTGATGGATTTATCATTAGCAATATCCGGTAAATCAAAGTCGGGTAAAGGAGTACGGAAGGTGCTTCTAGGAATACACTCTGGGTCCTTATCGATTTCACCAGTTAAACCGTCGCTCAGTCGAGCGTCCAAAATCATTCTTTCATTTGTTGCTCTCTTTGTGTATACGTTACTGATAGAATTGTATGCTTTGTGAAGTTCGCTGACATATAAGACACTTGGACCTTCTGAGTTTCTTTGTCTCTCTTCTTCATTCAGTTGATCGTATACAGTATCCATTGCCTTTAAAAGACGTTTTGTATCAATAAACGGTAACTTCACAACACCTTGCCATTCCCATTTTTTACCATCCATATCAACATCAAATTCTGTGGGATAGAAATCAATAATAGGAGATTCACCTTCAGTCATCAATTTATGGAATGCCTTAGGTAAATGCATTTTACTGAATAAAAATGATTAGTCATATGTGCTTATATTTATTACTCTATCTTACCTTGCGGCGGGCAATACACCCATCAATTGTTCAAATGGTTTTAAGGGTGCATTTAAATCAAACTTGATATCAAATGTATCAATATTGACAAAGTCGGACGCCATAGGTGCATAATGGTAAGGATAATACCAAGACCATGAAACACAGCCTTGATAATAATATTTAAAAACCCAGACAAGACCCTCACAGTAGGATTTAACAATCTCTCTGATGGCATCTCGTTCTTGCAAAGTAATACCAAATTTAGACTTGTAGTATCTTTCCTTCCAACCGGCTTCCCAAAGACGGACTTCATCATCCGGCTCGCGCTGACGGGCGGCCTCATCCTTTGCTTTCTTCTCGTCCTCAACTCTCTTTAAAATTGCTTTAGCAGTAGTTTCGGCGTCTTCAACAGGCTCGTCATCTTTCTCGATAATGTCCGATACAACATCTTCCATCTCACCAGCATCCTCAATTTCTTCAACCTTTCTCTTAACGCCAGCAATTTCAGACGCTTCTTCTGTAATAGCAACAGGAGGTGGTGCGCCTGATAATTCAGCCTTTAATGCAGCAGCAGCATTAATATTGGCTATACGAATAGCAGCTCTATTTGCGACAACATCTCTGTTTGACATCACAGCGTTAGGATCATTAACAGGGGCTGCGGTCATATCGCCAAAGTTAGGACCTCTGGGATCAAAAGTCTTGGTTTCACGGGCACGTCTATCGTTTTCTAATCTTCTTCTCTTAGCACCTTGAGCACGTTTTTCTTCCGCTAGTTTCAACAATATCAGTTAACAGTGTTTTTTAATGTGTGTGGTATACAACTTACTCCTCTTTCTTTCGGAAAAGATTTCGTCTTCCATTTTACCCAACTCTGTGACTAAAACTTGAACACGTTTAAGATCGACATCGCCATTGTGAGTCATGTAGCCACCTATCATAGGCATAGTACTCTTCCACAACAAACTCAAAGTACTGATAGCACCTTCTCTAATTTCAAGGGAGGGAAGATGAGGCAAAAAATCGTTACCAACAAAGAAACACATAAAAACCCAATCGTCAATAGCTCTTTCCAAATCCCAGGGAATTCCAGGTATATTAAATTTAAGTGCGTGCTCCAAATACTCTCTCAAAACATTCACGTGAAGCAGAACATATGGTTTAGGTACTGCAAGTTTGGCTTCCTCTCTCTTCATTTCAGCAATAGCCTCGTCAGATACTATATTCATGCATTAGTTTCACGGTGACAAAAATAATAATCCTCAATTACCTTTGCACTGGTTCGCAGCATGTCCAGGTTGCTTACATTTAAAGCAACTATTTCTATTTTTATTGTCAACAAAGACATCTTCACGTAATACTTTAAAATGAGGTTCATGTGTTCCCAAGGCGAGCATAATAAGATCAGCATCTAAACCATACATGACATGCTTGGTATTGGGATTGTGTTCAGGCCGAGATCTCTCAACGCGAATAAATTCCATGACCTTATGTTCACCTTCTCCAGGAACGGTCGCATCTGAAAGAATGACTTTAAGCTAAAAACAAAAGAAAATAGCGTGATTAGATACAGAATGGCGGAACTTCGAACATCATAAAAATTTACATTTTTCCATAGGGGATCAGAGTTTTGTTTAGCTGCGATATGATAGCGGAGACAGGTTGCTAAATGAGCCATGAAAGGGGTACCAGGTGTGATACAATTAGAGTCGAAGTGCTCCTTCTTTTCCGGTAATTGATGAGATTGACCGATAGCTTTGACAAAAAAATTAATTCTGATGTTCCTTTTCTCATAAAAAAAATTGGCAAACCTGATAATTCATTAGCAATTCTGTCAGCTGCTTCGTGTTCAATCTGAGCCAACTGGGAGGCACGGAAACGACGTGCGCGCTGTTGATTCATTTTAGCACGAGGAGCAACGCCATCTATTAAAGGTTAGTGCCGTAATGAAAAATAGAAAAAATTAGTTTAGTTACCAATAGCCATGTAAAGAAGTTTACGAGGGCGAATCATGTCAACAACACGATCCATGTACTCAAAGATTGCGATCATCATGTCGTCTTCAGTAGCAGGAGCAGGCTAATACATAAGCGTCAATAAGTTTAGAGAACTTATACTTTAGATTCGAACGTCGTTATATTTACCTTGTTTTCAGGGTGACAACAGGGATGAATAATACCATTCATGTCTAAATAAAGATTATCAAATTCTTCGTTATTGGGGTTAGGCTTGGTTGTATCTACAGGTATAACGACTCCATTCACTGTCTTAGGATGTTCTTCAATTACGGTCGTAATAACTTTTGGGAATTTATCCGAAAGCCACCTAGTAATACCAGGTTAGTTTCGTGAACACATGATATTAGCGATCGAGTATTCACATACCTAAAGAATGCGGGAACTCCCATATTTATAACTTAATGTTTAAATAAAAAAAGGTGGAAAAGGACTTAGGGTAAAAAAGTTGCTAAAGCAGGACAATGGGTGAGGAGTGGACCGTCACATAACCGTCACGATCTCAAAAAGGCAAGCCCCATCTGTAATGGACGTCAGTAAAGCATACACAAGGATAGCTGAAGAATGAATATAGGTTGCATGACACATAACTGCCGTTGGGAATAAATATTTATTAAATTTGATAGTACTGTTGATTTTCAGAACTGCTTTGGGCAAACCATAATATTGCCGTGCTAACATGATAACATTAGATATTTGCCATTTGGTCGTCTATTTTAGTTACCTAATCATGATCAATGAGCACTGAACTACATCTGTGATCCCCAAGTAAGTATTCAATAGATCGAGATCGTTATCATTATAAATGTATTTTGTTACTAGTACAGCCTAAATAAACAATTAAAATCATGGAAAATTAATCATAACCTAAAACTAACCACTGAACCCGACAGTCCTCCGGCCATCATAGCGAACCCCTATAAGATTTAAATAAATTTGGCATCTAATTTGCTACTATTTTCTACTATACCAAAAATAAGAACAAACGAGCTCTCCAAGTAAATTCTTCGTCATACCCATTTCCTTTCAATGTTTCCTTATCAATCAAGTTGACTCTAAAAAAAATCAAGTCAGCAAAACTGGGCCAATAATGTCTTTTGTTCCATACTTACATGATCATGCCAAAGGTCGTAACAATTCCAGGAGCCCAATCTTCTATTCCTGGCGCAATGAGACGATCTTGTAAATTCCACAGTATAGTTAAACCGTCGATGAAAGTCCACCAACCCAAGGCAAACTATTGTTTATTTCAATATTCCTGTAACTATCCTAAGTGCTTTGTTTTACCAGTATGCCCGCAAAATACACTCCAAACTGTTTGCCTTTATTGCCTAATGAAAAGCAACAAAATATTTTTCCACAGATGAACACGTTATTATTCTCGTCATTGAAACTCATTTTAATATGTGGAAAGATAAAAGTCCAAAAAATTCAGTTCCCGTTTCTGTAACAAATTTAAGCAGCACATGCCTCAAAATTTATATTTATAAGACCTGATCTAGTTCGACCGTGCCAACCAAATGTTTATTCTTTTGTGTCAGTTAGTTTTAACAATATTTTTGCTCCCGCGACTTTATTTCGATTAACAAATGTTATGTTTTTTGGTAAGGCTTTTATTTACAAAAAAGTAGCCAATTCCACACAGATAGGGTATAACCAAGTTACTTAGAAGCCCCATTATTAAGAAATATCAGTTTGTATTCATCTTGAGATATGGAATATACGTGAAGCACCAATAAAGTTATACAGACAAAACAAAAATTACACTGCACAGAATGATACTAATAGAAGCAAGTTATTATACATTAAGAATACGTTACCCGTACTTAGCTTTAAAATCTCGTGATTTTCAAATAACTACTTTACGTAACCAGATATTTTCACTTCTTCACGGCAAAAGATTCTGGTTTCTTCGAGATAAGTTTTATGCTATACTATCCATCAGATATAATAAAATGTCTAACTGCGACCAGTGACAAAACAAACTACAAATCGGTTTTATCAGAAAAGTTATAACCGTGTAATTTTTGGAAACTTAATTCAGTCCTTATAAATTACGATTTAGTAAATTGTTTCTGGGATTTATATTATCTATCTAACGGAAAGGGGCTGAGATTAATGTGGAAGCAACTTTCAAATTCAAAAGAATAACAAGGGCAAAGGACAGAAATATGTTATTTGCATGAAGTTTTTTAACAAATGTTATTGGATATTGCGAGTAATTGAGACTTTAGCCACAGAAGACGAGAAATAAACAGAGTCAAAGAAAAGCACCAAATGGTTATAAATCTGTCACAGCATTATTCATAATAAGCAGACTAATACTCATCAAGGTTTAAATTTTGCAGCAGTTTTACCGGCCCTACTGATGATACTTCTATGGAGCCAGATGTTAAGCATAGTGCTTAAATAGCTGGAAAAAAGTCTGATTTTTATGGTTTTGGAATAACAATTCATGATAAATAGATTATTTGTAAGTAACATAAATAATGCTTCCGGTTACAGAGTTTCAGGCCAAGGTATGTCTTGTTGCAAGCAAATACGGTGAAAACAACATAGCTAACTACTTAAAAGGATAATAGAGTTTAATTATAAAATTTACAAATTGGAACTGGTTTATCCTTTAACTAGTCTATTTACTTGTAAAAATATAAATGCCTTTTTCATCCCACGTAACGTCTTCAACTACTCACCTTCGTTCTACAATTAATTTTCTGCTTGATTTTCACTATCTTTAATCACAAAACGTTTATAGCAAAATGACGTTAAATAGGTCGAAACTTCCCGATCCAAAAACTTTCATGCTCCTTTGAGCACCATTTCAGCTCTTTTACAATTGAAAGAACTTGTTTTGAAGCAAGTAACTAACTGAGACACGAAAAAAAATCTCGTTACAGACAAATACAAATGGATGAAAGATCCATCTATTATGTATAAACAAAAAATCGCAAGTCATAAGTATAAGTAACGAGCAAATTTATAACAGAATACCAAATCTAGACTACTTAAATTTCACGTTTAAACTGCTAAAAGTGTATAAAATAATCAGAACGTAAGTAATCACCTTTCACATATACTATCAGGCTGTCTCAAACAGCTAAAACTTTATTAGCAAGGAAACTTATTATAGACGTATTAAACATAATAACTACATATAAAAATTGTAACTCACAGTTAGTAATCGATAACGGAAAATAAATCAATAGTATGAGCCATTGTAACAAAATGCAAAATATACTCGTTTTCATCTAATAAGCATAGTAAAAAGCAATATATTACATATGTGTCAGGAACTACTCCTTGCTATATGTAATACCAGACTTTGGAGTACCACCTAATTAATCCCGACTAAATTTATTTAACTATATTCATCAATTAGTCTATTGCTGTAGCAATTCGTTTATTTAGTAAAGCCGAATCATGCGTCCCAGCAGAAACGATATTTAGAAAGAAACGACATATCGCGATTGTTGAGCTGTATCCAGGGTGGTGCTTAATATGATTCACACGTCATTGGCGTCCTTTATTATATTTGGATTCGAGTGAAAAGGATGACCAATGGTACGCGTAAAATTACGTGTGTAAAACTTTATTAAACAAGTCATTGATGAACGTCGATTCATTGAATCAATGTCCGTACTTTAGAGAGCTATTTCCTATCCACAAGTAAGAAAATTAGCTCACCTCTTTTATTCACGGAGAAGAAGCGATCTACTCCCTTTACTCTGACATAAATTTTTAAGGAGGTTTGGCTACTCGATGAATTCTATTCCTGTAAACAACAAGCCACAAAAAGGCCGTCTAATTAGGTAATGATCAGTTAGACACGTTTTGTGCGCAGCCCAGCCTTAATAATATTTTGTTAGAAAGTAAAATGATGTAATAATATCTCATAGTACACTGACAAAAGTTCAATTAGTACAAATTAGTCATTAAAAATTACACAAGCGAATCGAAAGTCTAGGGAAAGGGGGCTAGCGAAATGGTCATTGTTGCACGTTGACGTAAAAACAGTATTTTCTTGGTTAGAAATTAATCATAACCCCTATCCTATGCAATTTAATTCTTTTTTCGGCTAGATAAACGACAACATAATAGCTGGTGATTGAAAGGGGTTATCTAAATTGACATCCTGAAAAAAAGGGTCTAGATTTTAACAGTAATCGGTAGTGCATGTATGCAAGCATTACATTGTGACTCAGTACGTTGTTTATCAAAGTCCGTTCTTGATATAGGTTGTAAACAAATACCGTAAACTATGCATGCTTGGGTTTAAAAGAATTACTTCTTAGGATATAATCACAAGGTTTAATACCTCTTAACTGTCTCGGCCTCGAATTTTCTTTATTTTTCAAGTTTATCTTTTCCTTTCATGCAGTATAATCCGTCAAGTTTTCTAGGACAATGAACTAGTATTTTCCAACTGAGTACCTTTTTTATTCACTTGGAATGCAGTATACAGTCCTCTTAATTAAAAGTTTCCCACTTAATATCATTTCCACGTTAAGACGGCCTTTTCGAAATAAAAAGTTAAAATATGCTGATCGAAATCTGGTAGACGCAATATTATTCTTTACTTTTCGTTGACTTATAAGCAGAACAGATATTCTCCCATCCACAGTTTTATAGTGAATTAAAAACCCCATTAAATTAGCTAACTACATTTCTGATTATAGACTACTTCAGTATTCTTCTTAATTCAAGCATTAACTAATTGTGGAATATAGACAAGCTATTGTCTAATTAATTATCCAATGGAATCAATGTAATGTTACAATTTATCGTTTAGTTGAAATAAACCATTAAGATTGGTATCCTCTAAATACAACAGGGGGGGGGGGGGATAACAAAGTGAATTATGTATATGTAAACCAGCACTTCAATTCTGCCAACGATCACTTTTTTCGAATTGACAACATTTACCCGTTGAAAGGGATACAGATATAAATAAAAGAAGCGAATATATTTACAAACAAATAATAACAAAATATATATATATATACATATAATTTATGAAGACATACGGTGCTTGCTAGGAGGGAAAAGCAATGGTGTTCTTTCCGTTTGTTCTATCAACACTGCAAACATTGGAGTGGAAAAGTAAGGTGCTTTTTCGATAGAAGTTTTCATTGGCTGATGGTAAAGCATTAAAACCGGCTTTTTAGTTTCTTCATTATTTGTTGTTGAATTCACAGATAATTCTTGCACTTTAAGAATTGTATCAGTTAGCCAAAATTGGATTGCATTCATGATTATTGGAAATCTATTTTAATAGTTAGTATAAATATATTTAAATAACTTATACGACCCATTACATTAACATGACAAAGACCACCTGAGATTTTTCATTGCCTTGGGTCCAACCAATACAGATTTCACCCAACCAAAATAACCAAGGCGAACTAATTAGAATAGTGTAAAGACAACATTTTGCTAATATCCCAGACAGTAGGAATACGGACATTTGTCTAATCCAAGGTACAATCATATTAGACAATGGAGGTGGGCCATATTCGCCAGTTTGAAATCCGTCCTTTACATTTAACATATCCAATATTGTTAATATAAAGTTAAACCAACACCATAAAATAAGTACGCCTAAGGTTGTATCCAGTGCAACATTTAAAAAATACCAAGTGCAAAGATTGGTGGCTGGTCCATGCTCCTGTTTACTTGCGGAATAACTTATACATATGTTTATACAATGAATCATGCCAGCACCAACAAATTGTTTGCTGGCATCCAAAGCCCTATTGGAATAGACATAAGTTATTTGTTGCTCACTACGTCATTTTTTTTTCTATAGCTACCATATTTGAATTGGTCTTTGTGGTGATTCAGTTGATCGTTTATAAATTAATGTCAATAAAGCTGTAAAGCATAAACTAAATTGTATGAAGATGGCAAATCCATCCATCAATTTACAGCTGCTTTCATTGTTATAGTTTTCTAACTCGTTATTTGAGAGAGTCGCCTGATTAAAGTTGGGCAAGATAAGCATTGCAGGAGTAAAATGAGTAAAAGAAAGGAAGAAAAAGGATCACTGTTTGTTTCGTCTTTTATGATAACAAAAAAGAAGGTCACGAGGAATACTTTAACGCAATAATGATGGTATCCGTTTTTGATTTTGCACTAAACTGTACCCCCTTTTTTATTTATAATCAGCAATAATTAAACAAATACAATATCTGAGGAACGCTTTGAAGAAGCTTTCTGTTGCTCAAATTCATCCAGCGATAATTTCGATAATCTGAAATCAAATAAGGATGAACTTGAAGGGGTGGTGTCACTAAGATACGATGATTCATCATCAACATCGGATTCATCCTCTTCTTTAACCGCAGCTAAGCCATTTGATAAGCTATTTCTTGGTGTTGGTATATATTGCTGTCTTTCGGCTACTGGTTTACCGATGGCCCTGTAACAAAAATCTGCAAATGTTTGATCTGCTCTTGCTATTGTTGTTTTGTCTTTGACGACTTCTCTTACACAAAACCAGTCATGCACATTATCCTCAATAACCGTTTGCCAAGCGACACCATCTTGTTCAGCTTTTAAAGCTAATTGTAATGCGTCGTCTCTCAAAACTTCCAAATTTCCAATATACATCAACACTTGAGGTGACATAAATGCTGAAAATCCTGTCTGTAATTTGGCTATTCCTAAAATCTGATTGACTTTATCTTCATCATCTTCGTCCTCTTTTGTCGGCTCAAAATAATCCCGCTTTATCACTTTAGCTGTATAATTTGTAATGTAGTCATATTTTTGATTGACTCTCCAAGATTCTGAAGTGGTTTCGTCGGTGACCAAAGGGGATATTAAAACCGTACCAGCAGGTCTGGGTAATTCGGTTAATACAGGTTGTGTGCTGCTGCTATTATTATCGTCGACCTCAATTTCAAACATGCTTGGATCATGTGTAATAAATAGCATTTCGAGGGCCAAAGCAGCGCCTGCTGAATCACCAATTACAATAATCTTTTCACTATGAACCGATAGTTTTTGAACTAAATGCTCATAAGCGCGAACCACATCTTCAACTGGACTAGGGTAACGGTGTTCTGGAGCCAATCTAAGAAGCAGTTTAAGTTAAATCAGACGATTACTTCATATTATCTTATACTAACCTATAGTCAACTGACATGATCATACATTTCAATCCGTATTTCTCTTTAAGGACTTTAATCCAAGCAATGTTTGTATCCATGTACATTGTACAGCTGCCAATACGAAATCCGCCACCTTTGTTTGTTACACAGTCAATAACAATTTAACACCAAAAATAATTTACATACCATGAACATAAAATAGGACAATATCTGCCTCATATACTCTCTTCATAAGTCCCTCATGATTTAAATCATGAATGTTTTCACCAATCCAACAGCCAGACCAATCTTGAGCCTGGTTGGGGTTTAATTTCACTTTATGAATCCAAGGTCGATGAGATTTTCTTGCTCTTGTGACATCATTTAAAATAAGTCTAGCTGCCGGCGCTGGCAATGAAAACACCTTTTTTAAAATCTTGATGCTTGCGGAAGGTGGTAATTTACGAATCGATGCTCTGACACTGTTCATAATAAGAATGATAATAAAAAATCAAGTTGGCGGAAGAAGAGAGAATGGAAGAACTAGTGGGAAAAAAATTATAAGTTTTTATTATATGTTGCACCAAGAAAACCCGAGTAAAAAATCCACAAAAAACTCTCATCAGCTTTCAGGAACTGCAATTTTCAGGACACTCACATAGCTTTTTTAGTTAATGTTACACTCAAATATTCATGTATCTGGGTTTAATGTTTTAGTGTCAAAGTGGGGTAATCAGCAGCATGTGAATGTTTTTTTTTTCTTTTGTTGAAAAAGTGCTTCGATTGCAAGCGACAACAAATAGTATATTGAAATTAAGCTTATTTACTCCCATTACGCGAAATATTTTTATAACCTGACAACAATTTTTTGTCTTGGGCCCCTCCATGGTCTTAATTACCATAACAAATTAAAGTTTGGAGAACAAACTTTCAAGTCAAGTGAGCGGAACACAAGAACAGTCCTGACAATTATTTTTAATTTTGCATTGATCATAGCTGACCTACCTTCTGTTTCATGTGAATATTACAACATCTGGTCCTTTCTATTGAGCTACCGTGAGCAAAAACTCATGTTTTAAATATATGAGAATATTACTTAAACACTTCTTCACAAGTTGAAATTACCAATTATATATCAGTTCAAAATTTCGTGTTTATGCCGAATGGTTCTTATTTGAACATGTATTCTCTTGGGATAGAACTATCAATGAAATTCATATTTACCCCTTATAATCAAGACAGAGAACATTGTGAGAGACATTTTTTTAAAATGAACTAGTTGAAGAGCGTTGGAATTCTTAATAATTTACCCTAAGTCAATCTGGTGGAGAACAAAGTAGTGCTAAAACCACAAAATGTTATAATATTACTAAATTAGTTACGTACTCTCTAAAGTGAGGGAATAATGCGAAGCTCGTAGTGGTGAGGCTTAACTTTTTTTTTGCTTTTTTTTGTGGCATGAGATCATTGATTATTTGTGCGTGTACGACTTGAATTTATATTGCTGTTAACTGAATAGAAAAAAAGGGTAGTATATGATAAATTCAACTGTTGAAAAATTTTTAACACTTAGTAGAGAAAGTTAATGAAAACGGCGTTTATGTCCTGCTTTTCTCTTGTCATATAAAAAAAATATTAATTCCTACTGATTGATAAAACAGATACCTTTTTTGGACAGCCAATATCGTACATAATGCATTTTGGTATTTGTCGATCTAAAAGTTTATTAATAGCAAATATTACAGGAAACTGTATTACGGGGAGATATCCCTATAATCATGGATGTAGAACACAAATTGTAGACCTCTGGAAAGATGTCTTTGTCCTAGAATGTTACGTAATCAAACAGATCTTAAATAATGCGCACGACCCCTTTCAGGCAAATAGTATCCGATTTGGAATCTTGTTTCGAAGTACATTCTTCGATAGTTTCCGAAACTTAGGCATCCATTATTAGGTTGCGACTTGTCTGTGTAGATTTATTGAGCAGCTGTTAATTTTTAGGCGGTTGTTAAAACACCGTAAATTAAACAAGGACTTATTAACTGATTTTGCTTACTTTATTGGGACTAAGTTTGTAGTGCCATAGTTCACGTACCAACACGATTTTGAATATTTACTATTTTTTAGCCAGTCTAAATGGGCAGATAGTGATCAATCGGCGTGAGTATCTTTATAGAAACAAGGACGTTATCGGACTGCACAATAGACACATAGTTCGTGTTGTGATGACTATAATGGAAAGCAATGACAATTAATTATCTAAATTGCAGAAAAAAAAAATACCCAACATAAAAGAGTATATTTATACTTACTATTTTTCGGCTCTCCTCGTTACCATTAGAAGAAAACATTAGGTAAGCAGTACTGATATCTTTCCATTTATCAATATGCCTGTCATCTTCCGAATAATAGTTAGTATAATATGAATCACATTCTTATATTATTCGGTGTACTTGGATACATGTAAGTGAATTATGTGCAAATACATATGTACATATTAAACTTATCCTATTAGGTATCATCAACATGATTAAATATGCTTCAATATAAGACTTATAGACTCGTTTGCGTAGAATTCCCATTTTCTTTTAGGCTCAATGTGTTAAGTATAAACAACTGTATGAAACAAGGCAGCAAATTTGTTATTTCTTAAATTTATGCATGCGCCAGCAGAGTAAACTCGAGGAAGCTAAATCAATGCTAAATCAATAGTATTTTAACAAACTTTCTTTTCGACAAACGTTATTTATACCATACATTAGTTTAGCTAAATAAAAACATTAAGTCTTTTGCCTCAAATTCTTTTCATGTTAATATATACCCTTTACTTTGTAGATCATGCCTGTCAATTGACAAATGTACAAAAAGGCTCAAGAAAATAGAAGCCTACTTAAACACAACAAGTTCAGTAAGCAGCATGATCTAAAAAACAATAATGTTACCTTTCTCTTGCCAATCGTTTTGAGCCTTAGACGCACGCATGGAAATTATACTGCTTTAAGCTGGGAAAAATTCACCAATAGCCCTTTGTCGACTTGAGTTTAAAAAGTTGTCATTCATATATGTATTAAAGCTTATTATGCTGTGCGAATGCACGAAATTTAGCGAATATTAATCACCAGGGTTCATGAAACTTTTAAGTGTTACAGATCACGTGTTTTGAAAGAACCAGGTAAGTTAAAGGGAAACGTCCTTGGGTGTAGACATGTTATTTTAAAAACGCATGCGTAGACATTACCTGTGTAAGGATTACCATATTCTAAGCAAGCGACGTGTTTTCTAAAAATATGACTATAGTTTCTAGGGATGTGATTGGCTTGTAACCGTATGTTTAATTGACAAGTAACATTGATTTTGATTGGCTTTAATAAGGCTAGCTTGGAAGCACTGTACATGGATCTAAAATTAGCACCATAATTTTACGTATCACACGTTCTATAGTTAGTATAGCCCGATGAGGGGGAGTGCGAAATATTAATAAAATAAAATAAAGGTAAAAATGCTAGTCAAAACCTTGTTTTTTTAGTCAGGAACAAATTCTACAAGTTAAGGTAGAGTGCGCGTGTCCATATTAAGAAAAAAAAAATACAAGCTGAGAATGCTTGGCCTGACTGACACACCAGCTGTTTTGTTACTGAATGCAGTACAAATAACTGTTGTCCTCAACAAGTGATTTGCATTACTTTATTGGGACATGATTTAAAATTTTAAAATGTTTTAATGTCATACAAATTATTGTCATACAAATTTATTCCTCTCTTTATCTTTGTTTAAGCTTTCATGTACATAAAGCCATTTGCCCTCCGCTCAGTTCCATAGTCTAATATTTTTCGTGGTTTCTTTTTCATTCTTTTTTCTTCATTCTTTCATCAAAATACACATATATTATATTAATGTCTACAGAAGAAATTATTGTTCCTACCTGTCAGGGATGCTCAACATCAATAGAAGAAGGCGCTGTCGTTGCCTTTGGGGATTCCTTATTTCATGTCAAATGGTAGCAAAAAACAAAACAAAAAAAACCTCTCATCCGTGGTTTCGCACTAACATTTATTCCTTTTAATAAGCTTTATTTGCGCAAAATGTCAGCAATGCGTAGACAGTAAAACTAATTTATTACTGCTAGACGATGGCAGACCAGTTTGTGACAATTGCTCTTACAATTGTGTAGCATGTCAAACGGTTATTAGAGATGAAGCTATTATGACAGGTAATAATAAACAAAGCACGTCATTCAGAAATTTGTGCTCTAATTTTTTTTTTTTTTTTTTTTTGGATATCTGTATCTAGGCGACAAAGCATATCATTCCAATTGTTTCAAGTGTATTGCTTGTAAGAAGACAATAGAAGATTTAATATTTACCCAAACTACCAAGGTCCGCAACTATTTTAACCCATATTTTCATCCATATGGTTAACTAATCTTCTTCATTTTTTATATATATAATCATACAGGGTATTTATTGTACTGTATGTCATGATTTACGGAAGGCAGAAAAAGCTCGAAGAAAAAATAAAGTATGTATCGTATGCTTCGTTTGTTTCCAGTTATATGTAACATTTAATTGCAGCAAACTACTACTGCCGCAACGCCAGCACCACCAGCACCAGCGCATTCTCAGATCCAACCTGAAACCTCGACATTGCCATCACCTGTGCGTTCTCGTAACAATTCTTTAATAAGCAACAGTCCACCAGTTAATGAAACACTTAAAAACGACGAATCTTTTTTAACCGGATTTTCACCGTTTACGCTTTCCTTTTTCGATTCTGACTCTAGTGAATTAGCAAACCTTTCAAATTCCTTGGGCGCCAACTTATCCCTCACAGCCGATTCAAAATCAATAAATGCTACACAGTCTCGCATCAATCGGGCCTCCGAGATTTTAGAGTCTTCACTAAGAAGCTCTTCATTAAAGCCTTCCGGATTCACTAACGAACAAGAGTCAAACACTTCAGATGTAAAGAAACTTAAACTCGAACTCTTGGAAGCTCGTTCGAGGATAAAAGAAGTCGAGGCTAATTATAACACATTGCAGGTAATTTTTTTTTCCCAAAAGCAAAAAAAAAAAAAAAAAAAAAATATGAGTATGCAACTACTAAACAACTAGGTGACGAAATTTAGGATGCTAGTCAACAAGCACTGAACGAGTTTACTAAACTCAAAGAAGATTTTGCTCGTGAATCCAATACCCAAAAGAAATTAGAGCTTGTTATTGTTTCGTTGCTAAAAAAGAACGGCGGCATTTTATCACGAAAAGAAATAGACAGATCAGCTCAGCTACGTGTTGAACTTGAACGCACTTGCAAAGAAATGATCAATTACCGTGATAAAATCGGGGTTACATTGGACGAAAATGCCGACAAGCAAAAAATAAGGTAATCCTAAACAATAGTGACATTATTTATTATGCTAATACTTTCCTATTTAGTGCCTTCTATACTAGTTACCAAAAAAGCCTTCAGACGCAAACCAAATCTCTTATTTCTGAACGAGATTTACTAAAGCATGAGACAAAATCATTAAGAAAGATTCGTGACGATATTGTGCATGAAATGGTTTTACTAAATACGAAAAATGATGAATTAACCACTATAAACAACGACCTTTCCAGAAGAGCCATCCAACAAGAGGAAATTTCTGTACCAATACTCACTCGCCATACACCTCCCCCACTTTCTCCATCACAATCCACTGATTCGTCCAACTTATCTGTCGTCTGTAGAACCCGTAAACCTTCCGATGCAAGCTCGGTGGTTTGTAATGTCTCTTCCAGAAATAGTTTTATTAAAGATCAGACACCAAAACTTTTTCGTATCAAAAAGAAAAAAAGCACCATGTTCGGTTTATTAGGAGGCAGTAGCAGCAGTGTCAGTCTTGCCAAACCAATTAAACCTGAGCCTTCACTTTCGTCCTCATCGTCAAAATCTACATATGGATCCAGTAAACCCGGTATTTATAGCAGCAAGAATCTCAATAATAGCTCTCAAAGTTTGCATCCTGTCGACTCTAGATCTATATCTAAAAACAAGGCCTTTATGGATTCTACTGCCTCATTACAAATAACTCATTCTCATCATGGAGGTACTAGTAGTCATTCTTTTCAGCCGATGTCATTTTTGCGACCGGTCAAATGTGGTGCCTGTGGCGATAAGATTTGGGGTAGATCCGAATATCGCTGTGATCACTGTGGGTTTTCCTCTCACTCTCGCTGTTTAAGCAAAGTACCCCAAAATTGTTACTCATCTACAAGTAGTACTTTGGACTTGACTAGTGAATTCTATGGAAGCACAGTCAATTTGTCGACCATTAGTCATTCCTCACCACCCTCCAAAAAATCAGTGTCTGATGGCAGTATGTTTGGTTTTGATTTATCGGAACGTGTTCTAATCGAAAACAGGGATGTGCCGCTCATTGTTAATGAATGTATTAAGGCGGTCGAAGCAAGGGGTTTGGAGTATGAAGGCATTTATCGAAAATCTGGCGGGGCTGCTCAAATGCGTGCAATTCAGCTTGCTTTTGATCAGGGAGACAAAATTAATCTTTGCGATGAGGAAGAATATAACGATTTTTGCGCCGTCACTAGTGTATTAAAGCAGTACTTCAGGGAACTTCCTAACCCTTTATTCACATTTGAACTCTATGATACGTTTATCAACATATCTTGTAAGTTTTTTTTTTTTTTTTTTTTTTTTTTTTTTTTGTCAAACATACTAAAATAATCTTTTGCTGCTTTCTCTAGCCATGAATGCCGATAACAAGAAGTTATCAGCCTTTACTGAGGCACTATCCCAGCTTCCCAAGGCTCATTTGGATACCATTGTCCTTTTATTTAGACATCTTGAGAAAGTCCAGAAATTAAGCGACGAAAATAGAATGACCATAAAGAATCTGTCGATGGTTTTTGCGCCTACATTGATGCGCCACAGTGATCCATCAAGGGATTTCTTAGATATTAGTTACAAGAACGCAACGATTGAATACGTATTGTTACATACATCCGAATTGTTTCCTTTGTAATTCTATATAACCCCAAACTTCACTCTTTGTATAAACTCTTTTCTGTAATTTTACTTGTGTACATTATTTCTCTATTTTATTTCTCTATTTATTAAACTGATTTTTTTCTTTAAGAATTTACATATCAGCAAAGAAAGCCGTACTTCTAATACCCTTCTTCTTCTCAGCTTTTGTGTTCTTCTTTTGCGTCTTCTTTCTCTTCTTCTTATCTTTTTCGTCGTCTGAGTCGGTACCCCATCCATCATCCGACTCTTCCTTTTTTTCTTCTACCACGGATTCTTCTTTCACTTCTTGTTCGTGAGCTTTTTCTTCCAGCTTGTCCTCATCCACAAATTCGGCCTCCTCGTCGAAAAGATGAGCAACATCCCAAAATTGTAATTTATCATCATGACCACTGGATACTAAGTACTTTTTATCATGACTCAAACGTAAGTTTTCAATGGGCATATCTTCGCCGTGATCACCCAAAACACCCTGGAATTCATTAGGCAATACGGTCACCAAACGAATAATACCATCACTACTACCTGTAGCAAGTGTGTCTTCATCCAGCTTGCAGAGGGCTTCAATAGAATTAGGGTGACCCATGATACGATCATTATAATCACCCCAGTCGCCCCAAGACCATAAACTCAAAACACCATCTTGTGTACCAACTACTGCCTTTTTACCATTCTTACAAAGTTCGATTGATAATAATTCATCTTCGATTTGATCTGACATGGCTGCTACGTCGGGTTTACGAATATCCCATGTTGAAAGATAACCATCACCGCCCACGGCTAATAATGTCTTGTGTTGTGCACTGTATGTCATGTCAGAGATATAATCCTCATGTTCAGAATAAGTCATCACGGCTTCTTCTTTACGGCTATCCCAAATCTGTTTACTTTTAAGTTAATCATTCTCTACATATTCACATTATTTCACAATAATAATAATAAAAAAGTACCTTGATAACGCCTTGATCATCACCAGTTGCCAACATACGCTCGTCGATAACAAAAAGCGAATTGATAGGCGAGCTGTCAATGTAATGTAAGTAATAGGTATTTAAAATTGAAAACTGCATCTCTTACTCATGGGTAGTTTCTCTGACTCGAATTACTTCTCCGGTTTCCGTGTCCAGAAGTTGAATAGATCTATCACGGGAAATACCCCAAATGTCTAAGAGGTAAAAAAAAAAAAAAAAAAAAAAAAAATTGGTATATGTTCGATGGCTATTAAAACTATGCTTTACTTGAACCATCGGGTGTAAAGGATACACCTCTGCACGATTTTTTGAAGGCCTTCGCAGTCCACAAATGTTCATGGTTTTCTAAACCATAACGATGACTGACATGTAAATGTTAATTATGCATTATTTTAAGCCGGGTGTAGCTTTATAAAGAGAGTTACCATTGAATGCGGCCGTTAATCATACCCGTAGCTACAATATCATTACTGGGATGAAGATCAACGTGAAAGATGTTATCATCAAATTGCAAAGGAGCAGGTTTGTTTTCACCGGGATTCATTTTGTTTATTTCTAAAGAAAAAGACAATTCCCATTTGCATTGATTTCCAGTTGTACCTGAAAGAAACACCGTCACATAGAGGCTTGTGAAATGCCCACGAAATCCAATGCAAAATAGAGGCTGGGTAACTCAGTTACAGGTTCACCACCATGAATACAAATATAATTAATATAATTGTCAGTTAAGCTATCAAGATTTATTGCCCATTTTTTAAATAACAGTGATAAATATGAGGCTATGTTGATTATCTTCTCGGTCTTTGTTACTGGCTAGTGGTATCGTTGCCTGGTTTTTGTTCAAAGTGACACAAAAATAGTTGACTATGATTGGTGGTTCTGTCGCCAAAAATCAATGCAAAATACATTTGAATGATGATGATCCTATCTTTAAACCCCTCTGGGTAAAATAGAAACTACATCTCCTTAAATCAGAAGGTTTGTATCTCAATTCTATGTACGCAAGCATCACATGATCGTGTTAGATCCTCTTACTAAAGAAAAGATGTATTGTTTGTATGTACTAGTATGAGTAGCAAGGTGTATATATACACATCGTGGAAAAAATGCTGCTTCTAAAAAGACAATTACTCTTTTCTTTCTACACATACATCAAAAGAATGGGCCAAGACGCTTTAAGGTCAATGACGACATCCGTTACTTCTAACTCAGTCGCGGTGTTTATAATGCTGCTGAAAAGGCATGTTCCTTTATTGACCTTTTACCAACATAACCATCCCAAAACAAAGATGTCACAAGAAGAACAAGTGGATACTATTAGTAATAATAGCACCGCAGTAGATGTTACCACAAAAGAGTTTCAATCTTCTGTTGAAGACCGCAAGAACTCAGTGCATTCATTTCGAGTTATCGAATCACAACAGGACTCAGAATCAGATAAAGATTTGATCATTCATTCCTTGCACGAGTCGTTGCATATTCACAAAGAAATATTAGAACGCATCCAAAATGAAAAGGAGGCTTACCAGAAACAAATTGAGCAGGAAAGACTCAAAGAAAAGGAAAATATTGAAAATTGGAAAGAGACGTCGGAACGCGTGTTACAGGAACAAAGTCAACAATGTCAAGAAATGGAAATGAATATTTTGAAGCTTAAACAAGAACTGGAAACAAAGAAAGAAGAGTACTCTAAATTAGAAGTAAATTTCTATTCGTATGTAAAAACAATTCGAGTCACCGATGATGATTTATCCACCATTCAACCTGAAATATCACATTTATTAAGCCAGTTGAATAACACTTGTATGGGATTAAAATCAAAAATGAATCGTCAAGGTGGAACCGACTTTGTGTTTGAACATTGGAGTGATAAAGTTGATTTAATCAAGAAATATATGTTACCAAAGGACAGTAATGATGGTCTATTGGATACATCTTATATTACTTTGTTTGTTGAAAAATACCTCATCAATACATTGTTAACAAACGTCTTGGATGTACCTATTCATCTCGGCATATCAATCAACGATGCATTTAAAGAATTGGATGATTGGATGTCCATACGAAACAAGGAATGGTCAAATAGATTAAGACAGCAAATATGCTCTCTTGTAGTTCAACAACCAGGTGATGAGGAAGAGCAAATTCAGAAAGCAAAAGATACACTGATCGCTCAAATTGTTTCTGTCTTGGAGTCTGTTTATCCACCCTTAAAGAACGATCCCAAAAAGATTGAGAATTTGATTCAAAGGGCATCCAAATTGAACTTGGCTGTGAAGGGTCAAGAAATTAAGATTGAGCGTATGCCAATCGAGGAAGGCCTCACCATTTTTGATGCTGAAACAATGAAAGCCACTGCCAAGGGTAAACCAAATGGAATTGTTTTTTTAGCAATTACTCCTACATTTATCGCAAGAGATGAATTAGATAATGAACATGGTTTTACCGTACCCGGCAAAGTCTTCTGTATTGAAGACACAAACGAATCAAGTCAGACACCAACAGAAGTTGCATTTACCATAGATGAAGATACCCCCATGGATGATGTTGCTACCAGCGTTTCTTTTGATGATGCTGTAGCACCTCAAACTGATGAAACAACAGTCGCTGATGAAACTACAGTCTCTGATAATACGACTTCCATAAATAACGATAATATATCTGCAGATGTAGAAACTAACGATAAAGCCATTAAAGATACCGTTACTAAAGCTTAACTTTATAAATAAATCAAGTTTTTTCTTTGATTCCCGTTTTTTTGTTTTTGCAGACGAATCACCGCATTATCATCGGTCCTTATTTGATAAGCGTCATTTTTTATGTACAAGCTACGCTAAAAATGATTTTTTCTCTTTTCTCAGTACAAGTAATTATCTTCATTAAATGAGTGAAAGGATGAATCAGCGGATATGATATATTTCAACAGGCTTACATTGGTAACTGCTCACCATGACGACTGAGAATGTTCCAAAAGAAGAATTGAAAATGACAAGTTACTATTAGTAACCATGTAGAATGAAGGTGGATATATCGTAATGTAACTTAATTTCGGGCACTTTGTCTGATAGAGTGAAAATTGGGGTGGAGGCACTGCACTTAAACAGGACTGGTGTGACAGCCAATAATTATGGGATGCACTGAACGAACGCAAGTAGCGTCTGCCCCCTTCTTTTCTCAATTACTTCTTTTTTTTTTTTTTTTTTTTTTTTTTTTTTTTTTAAAAAAAAATATAATTTATCATATATTTGGCTCAAAGAAGAAAATACTTATTAAACAGAAAAAAGAGAAATGTCTATACCCTTACAACCCTCATCGCCTTCAGCTAGACAATTGAGACAACCTTCACCTACATCTCCTTCTTATGCTGAACATCAATATAAAAGAAACTTGTTGGACGATGTAAAGCTTTGGCCAGAAAGTAAAGTTACTGACTGGCTTTGTAACCAATCACTTGGAAGGTTCAGTCAAAAGTTTATAGGTATTTTCCAAGGATAAAGCGAACAACTTAAAAAAGTACTAACTGGACCCCCCAATGTAGAACACAACATCACAGGTTCCGTGTTACTTGATTTAGATTACGAAGCCATTAAAGCCATGGATATAAAAACTGTAGGCGAGAGAGTTAGGCTGTTGGTTGCTATCAAATCGCTTCGCCAGGAATGTTATCTTGCTGCTTCGTTAGCTGCAAGAACACCCACGAGAGTAAGGGAAGGCCTTTGAAAAGAGTATTTTAGTTTCCTAACTCCTCTTTTTGTAGTTACATCACAATTTAGACTCCAGCATGCGACAAGGATTCATGACTCCTACCAATGATTCCAAACATGAAGGTTTTAATGTCACGACAGAGAAAATTTCTAAATCGTCAGAAACCAGCAGTGCTAAAAGTTTACTGAATCGATCGAATTCATTTTCAAGATTCCTTGGAAGATCTGAATCCAAACGATCTCAGCGAAAGGAAGCCAGCCAACAACAACAATTAAATAATACAAGTGTTTCTAACCTACAAAGCGGACCACCACAACAAAACTCAGACATATATTCGCTAAACCCGTCCAGTCCCAAAATGATGCAAAAGGTACCCAAAAACAGATTTTTTATTTTCCTTAATCGGGAGCGGGAAGACCTATTTTAACTTTTTGAAAAACAGCGAAATTCATTGGAGGGGGGTATTATGTCTATGGAAAAGGTAAAGCAAACATGTGTAAAAGTATTTGGCGAGGATGGACAAACGCGGATCGTGAATGTACATACAGCGAGTGAAGCCAAAGCCATCATGGCTAAAGTTCTGCATAAATTTGGTATTGACGAATCGAGTGCCGATAGTTATTGTATTTTTGTCGGTTCGAGTACAAATGGTGAAGCACGCGCTTTATCAGATCAAGAATTAATTGATATATGTAGATCCACAGACCGACCCGAAAAAGAGCGTTTAATTTTGAGGAAAAGACACTTATATCCTACACACGAAGAATTCAAAAGAAAGGGCACGATCAATGCCAATCGAAGACAACAGTATCAACAAAAAGATGATATAGCAGGTAGTAAACCTTCTTCCCCGCTTTATAACGGAGGTTGGTCTCAACAGAGTCTGTCTACACTCAATAAACCAGATTATATATCCAATAGATCAAGCCACGTTGGCTCCTTTCGCTCTCAAAATACCACCACACTCAGTAGTAGTAACAGCACAAGAGGACGTCGAAGATTCTTTGGCGAACGTCCTCCTTCTGAAGTCATCTCTTCCAACCTGCAATCATTTTTTCCCAATCATAATCCCGAAATTTTAGAAACTGCGGGTATTAAAGCACAGCGATTATCCATGACACGACGAAATTCTGCACTAAGCAGAATGGAACCCAGAAACTATAGAAACAGCGTGCTTCCCGAACTAGTGTCGGTTCTAGGTGTAGATTTGGATAAGTTTTTGGAAGAAGAAGAGGAGGAGCATGATGATGATGATTATGATAGTTTCTTGAGTAGCATCAGTAGTGATGATAGTGACGAAGAAGAGGAAGTGGCTGTAGAAACAAAACAAATCAATGATACCCCAACAACTCATCTAGATTTGGTAGATGACGATGTACCTGTTCATCCTGCAGAGCTATCTGCTGTTTTACCGTCCTCAAATCATCTCGATATGACTGTACCTTCAGTCAACCAAAGAAGGTCGTCAAGTTTATTCTATTTAAATGAATACAAGTCATACAAACCAGCCATTGAAGATAGTATGTATCATTTATTGTAATACATATGTTCATGTTTATATTTATGTATATTTAATAACACACTGGACAATTAGCAAAAGAAATATCTGAAGAAGAACCAACCACACCTAAAAAACTTGAAACTCCAGAATCTGCTGTCATCACATCTCCAGCCATTCCAGTAATTCCAGTAATTCGTGAACCAGCTGTCACTACCCCAACCACTATCCGACCCAAGCACCCTCCAGAAACATGGATGAAAGGATCTTTGATTGGAAGAGGTACCTTTGGCGATGTGTACTTGGGATTAAATCCAATCAGTGGCGAATTGATGGCTGTGAAACAAGTGGAACTGCCTGTGGAAAACTCTGCTACGGAAGAGCGTAAAAAATTGATGGTAGAGGCATTGCGCCGAGAAATTGGATTATTACGTGAACTGGAACACGAGAATATTGTTCAATATTTAGGATCACAAACAGATGATTGTTACTTTAGTATATTTCTAGAGTATGTACCGGGTGGATCTGTTGCAGGATTATTATCGAGTTATGGCGCGTTTCAAGAACCTCTAGTGAAGAGTTTTGTGCGACAGATCTTGAAGGGGTTAAACTATTTACATGAAAAAGATATTGTGCATCGCGACATTAAGGGTGCTAATGTGTTGGTAGATAATAAGGGAGGCGTGAAAATCACAGATTTCGGTATCTCGAAAAAAGTGGAGGAGAATATTATACTTCAGGGACAAACAGCCAATGCTGCGCATAGACCAAGTTTACAAGGAAGTATATATTGGATGGCCCCGGAAGTCGTAAAACAAACCCAATATACACGTAAAGCAGATATCTGGTCATTAGGTTGTATGGTGGTTGAAATGTTTACAGGTGACCATCCATTCCCAGAGTTCTCCCAAATGCAGGCAATTTTTCAGATTGGCTGTTATACCGCACCTAATATCCCTACTAATTTAAGTAAAGATGCTCAAGACTTTCTAAGATGCACTTTCCAGTTGTAAGTGGTCCCCTTAGGAGTAGTTTATGCTGTTCATTATTAACACATTTTCTCTTAGAAAACATGAAGAAAGACCCTCAGCGAAAGAACTTTTAAAGCATCCCTTTTTATTTGAAGAGCCACTATTCGAAGAAGAATTGGATCCTTGAATTAAGCACTATTTATTTACCCAAACACGAAAATAAAATACAATTAAAACGTGATTTTTCGAATAAGCATTACTTGATCATTGTAGTTTCTGCAAATTAAGACGATGACAGCAATATATATATATATAAAAATCAAGAAAAAAAAAAAGATAGTAAAAGTTTATGGAAAGAAGAATACAGAGTAGAAAACAGTAAGGAAAGAAAAGAAAAATTATTTATACATATCCCTTCTTTTGAAGAATAGATCTAGTCTCGGGTGAAATAGAGTTCCACAATTGGTTACGTGTGTTTTCATCAAGACCACCCAAGATAATCTTCAAGTTGTTAACCATGCGAGCAGAGATCTCAGCAGGAAGAATGTCAGCAGCTAAAACTTCGCTAAAGATCTTGACGATGTGAGGAATATTAGCATTGTTAGGACCTAAAATGCTGGGATGGTTTTGTTCTAACAAATCCAAAAGGTAGGTATAGACAATAGGAGCCTCTTGGTCATCATTCACAATAGGTAAGGTGTTGAGCCATGCTGATAAGACAGGGTCCAAGTTAAATTTGGAGCTATTGAATTTACAGATCTTGGCAATAGCAGAGATAGCATTTTCTGTGACATAAACAGTACCATCTTCGCGGGAATCAGGTGCATTGATTAAAGCAAACAAATGCTCCAAAGCAGCAGCACAAGCGTCAGCATATTGAGGACCACCAAATTGACCCATCACACCAACACCATAAGCAGAGGCTTGACGAACTTCGGTAGCCTTGTCAGCGACACCAGCAACCATTGCCTGCAAGAAGTAGTTGGAGTAATTGAAAGAAGCAGGTCCTGTGAACTCAACAACGTCATCGAAAACACAGATGGCCCATTGACGAGCAGCGTTATTAGGATGAGCCAAGAATTGAACAACAAGGGGAAGCATTTTATCGAAATAAGGTAAGAAGCTAGGACCCAAAGCCTTAAAGAGGGATTGCATAGCACGAGCTAATTCGCTCAAGGCATCTTCTTCAGTAGCTTCTTCATCAGCCATTTGTTCCTCATCGTCAGCATCATATTCACCAGCCTCTTTTTCTTGTTCACGTTCAGTCAAACGTTCGAGGAACTTCTTTAATTGTTCATCAGTTCCCTTGACGAAACTTTCGATTTGGGCAGGTTGAAGACAATGTTCACCCAAGACATCAAGACACTCAGAGAAAGTAGAGTAGGTTTGAGCCAAAAAGGTGATATCGTCTTCGATTGTCATGATCTTGACAAGTTTCTCGAAAATAGTATTCCACATGTTGGCTAATTCAGCGGGGGCAACGTTGGCATCCTTAGCATCCTTGAGGAGAACAGGGATAAGAGCAGCGGCAGCGTGTCTAACACCATCATGGAAGTAAAACTTGAGCAAAGGTAAGGCAAGTTCAAGCACTTCACCAACATAAGGCAAGAAGCCAGCTCCCAAGTCACGAGCATAACTGACAAGCATTTCGATGGCAGTATGCTTTTCCTCCAAAACAGAAGTCTTGATACCAATTTGTTGACCATTGATGCCAACAAACTCCCATCCATCATCAGTAGGGTACTTGGAATCAACATCTTCTTCCTCAGGATCAACAAAGGTGAACTCGGGTGTAAGCTTAGCAGATGCCAAAAGAGGAGGCATGATGTTGGGAAGATAAGGTAAGAAGTCTTGACCCATCATCTTACACATACGAGCCCAGGCAGCTAAAAGGTAAGTGGTTTGGACATCATCAGCTTCGGTCACAGATTGTTGAATTTCAGCCAAGATGTTAATGAAACTGATAGTATAGGGAGCAAAGACATCCTTTCCGATAGCGAGACCAATGAGAGAGGCACACTCAATAGCTCTTGAACGCAAAAGACGGTATTGCTTATCGCTAGCTTGACGAAGAATATCGAGCAAAAGAGGCATGATAACGCTGTGATACTTGTTGAATCTATCTTCAGCACAATCAGCGACGGTAGCAATGGTGGTAATGGCTTGCTCCTGGACGTAAGTCTTGGAAGTTTTGAGAAGGATCAAAAGACGTTCAAAAATAGCATCAAGGTAAGGATCGAGAATCTTCTTGTCAGCTTCCTCACAGAAGTTAACCATAGCAGCGGCAGCATGAGCTTGAATACGAGGTTGAGGATCTTCCATGACGGGTAAAAGAGAAGAAACAATGATTTCGTGGAAATGCTTTTGGATATAAGGAGAGAAATCAGTGGATAATTGACCCAAAGCGTTACAGGCAGCATAACGAACACGAGGATGAGCATCCTTGAAAGAAGGTAAAATCATGTTAATGATGTTGCTCAATTCGGGCTTCATAATCTTGATGGATCCTTCAGCAATAGATGAAATGGCCATAAGAGCAGCACGACGCTGTTGCCATTCTCCAGATTGAAGCATTTGGGGGATATATCCGAAAGCAACAGGAACAACGGTCTTACCACCGAGTGTGCGGGCAACTCTATCCAAGGTACTCTCACCCATAACATAATTTTCCTCGTTGTCATCTTCTTCCAACTATTTGATACACATATCATTAAATATCATCTTACTCGAGATATAAAAAGATCAAAACTTACATCTTCGGTGGTGTACCAAGACTCGTCATCTTCAATATCTGTAATCATTTCCATTGCAACGGGAATAATTTCTTGAGCAAAGTTAGGAAGCTTACGGATCATGGGAGGAGCAGCTTCGGATAATGTCAACAATAATTCTAATGCAGTTTGACGGGTACGATCATCAAAAGACTTATCCTTGGCAATGTTAACCATAACACTGAGAACCTCGTTGAGAAGAGGGCGGAAAAGTTTGGGTGAGCTATCGGCTAATTCAATTAATACGACGAGACCATCAACAAGAGTTTGATCATCACGACTGGCAATAACAGGTGCCAAAGGCTATAAAAATAATCCACTGTCAACCAGCTGTTCTTTGATTGAATTTTTTATTTTATCTGTTACCTCGAGCATATGGGGCATTAAAGCAGCTAAACTCTTTTGGGTGGATTCGTCGGCTTGGATAATATAAGCGGCGGCGGCTTTCATAGCTTCCAAACGAACCTATATGTATATGACTGTCAGCTATTCGACTCTGTAAATATCAACAATACAATAAATCCTTACAGCTTGAGACTCGGGATCAGTCAAACTACTCATGAAAACATTCTTGACGGCATCTGTTGGTTGACCAGCAATAAGCTCGGGAACGGAAGCAAAAATACGGAAAGCAGATTCTCTGTGAGCGGCATTAGGAGATTGAGTGCACTCGAATAAAGCTTTCAACAAAGTCTCCCATTTACCTGTTTAACCCAACCACAAATATTAGTATTTGTTTATTTCGACACCATTTATATCAGCTCACCTCCTTCGTTTAAATCAGATCTGGCAACTTCAGCAATAGTATCAGAGATCTTGTGTCTAGTACTTTGATCAGATTCGTTAGCAAGGGCAACTAATAAAAGGTCCTTAACACCTTGACGGGTGGTTTCTTGAACCATATCCCAAAGACGTGTATCAGGATTAGCACTGGATGTAAATTGCTTGTAGGCTAAACGACGGAGCAAAACACTGCAGTGAGAACGAAGCTGTAAAAAAGTCAATATTATACATCATATAAAAAGGGCTTTATTATCTTACTTGAACTTCGGTATTAGTTGCGACAAACTGAGAAAGACCCAAGAGTAAGAGATCAGGTTGTTGAGCAACCCAGTGATCGTTTAATTGGGATTCGGCAGCAGTTCTACAAGACAAAAAAAAAAGAGATGAAAGCTGTTAGTTCTCGGAAAAACTCTATTTTTTTTTTTTGCTAAACATTTTGCATACCTTTGATTATTATCGGTAGATAAAAGGCTGGTAAGAACTGGAGCAAGTTGCTGAAGAACGTCAGCAGAAACAGGTGCTTGTGCCATTGTGCCTGTTGGATAAATAATTCTTAATAAAAAGAAGAGCTGGTAAAAAAAAAGGGAAAAAACAAATTAAAACCAAAAAAAAAAAAAAAAAAAAAAAATTGGAACACAAAAACCGTGACTTGTTTTCTTTTTTCCTTCTACTTCCTTGCTGTCAGTGCACTCTTTCATCGCCACTCTATCACTCCACTCCTACCCGCCCGCGAGTGTGGTACTGTAATTACTGGTAGTCTGGTAAATTATAATTACCTCAGTTAACTTTGACTGATTATCTATATAAGTTACTGCTCTCTCATCTGTAGATATATAACTTTAATATCAACAAGAAAACTCACTACTTCAGAAACTGACCACTTTAGTCGTTAAAACTCTTATGAAATGTCACATAATGGGGATAATGTACGTGGGTGATATCGCAGCGAAATTTTAATATTCCAGTACGAAATTGGAATACATTCAAGTATGTACAATTTGAGAATTGCGGCAGATATTCTGATGATAATGAAGCTACACACTTTTATTTTAGCATTAAGATTCGATATATTAAAATATTTATTTATCTAACGAGTAGACAGGTTCATATAGCCTTCTCCCACTTGCTGAATTTGTTGCAAAAACGTTCTTGAATTATGCACACAATTTCCACCGAGGACAATTCGAATGCCAGGAGTGGACGCATTTAGTTGTGCGATATATTTGGCTTCTTCAAACGTTGTACCACCCACCATAAATACAATAATGTCTTGTGGTCTTTCTCGAGCATATTGTGCATTTTCTGTCACAAAAGGGTAATCTGTATCCTTAAGTCGAGCCTTGATGAGCAAATCCAATGTATCAGCTAATAAAGGTGTATGTTGCGTATATACATTCTCAACACCCTTTAATCCTTTCAATGCACTTTTTCCTCTGGATAGGAATGACTGATTTGAGAACAGGTCATCCTGTCTTTGCTGATATCCGGCATAAAACAATAAAGCAGGTACTAACTAATAACACAAATATTGATTTTTAGAAAGCTTTTTTTTCCCGCAATTTTTAAAAAGAAACTTACTGCACTCTTTCTCTCGCTAATGCCTACTCGGTCCAATAGATCAATCAAAGATTTGACAGAATTGTTTGCTAATCTTTCGTATCTCAATGCATACAATAAGACCAATCTTACTTTGGCATCTTCTGAGATATTTGGTGACTCTATCAATTTTTGAATGCCCTTTAAATCCGAATTGTGATTCTCATTACAAGCTAAACCTTGTTCCAATTCACTAATTTCCAAGAGATGGTCTTGGGCCACACGTCTACTTAACTCACTCACCAGTGCTACATGTTTGGAAACATTACCAGATAGCTTTCTAAATTCAGGGTACTCCTCAACAAATCGTTTCATGTCGGCAATCGATTCAATATTCATGTTGGATTTGGTCTTGCTTTGGTATTCATCCACGTATTGTTTAATAGTGGCACCCAGATCACCCAGATTGAAATACATTGATTTTTTGAAAAATGGATCTTGATCAGGGGATAGAACAATTTCCTAAGATTTTGTCTTAGCATTCAGCATCTTTGTCTCAATGCAATTTCCCTTTACCTTTAATTCACTTTTTACTTCAGGTACATTGGTCATATCAACTCGTCCATGATGAATTCCAATCAATTCATGCACCATAGCCTGATACGTCCACTGTGTTAAAAGAGGAGTAACTGGATCATTTCTTCTATCCAAAATTAAGAGGATGGGTGGTGTATCAGTTCTTCTAAAATCAAACAGTTGACCTTCTGCCATAATCGTATTTTGTATTTCGCAGGCTAATTTCTTAGCCATGGCACTTGCTCTTTCAAAACGAATGATGGGTTTCTTTTTCAAACTGAGAAGAACAGCAGACACACCGCGTACGGTTTGCTCAAAAGTATCAGGATCCCAACTATTCACACTATTTCCAAAGAAATGACGTGAGTCTTGACCCAATGAAAATAAATCGGGATTGATAGCAAGATAATCGCCGTAATATTCTTGTACTTCACGAATAACTTCATTCTCGTCCACCTCTGCCAACTGTTCGATATCCGACTTACGTAATGAATTACTAAAGTCTGCAATGAAAAAAAAGATGGTCAGCTTACGACATTCAGTTTGCACAGTTTTCGTTATTTTTACATAAGTAATAGTCTCCATAGGCGGGTTCTTTCAATTCAGCAATAAGATACTGAAGAGTCTCGCGCGTAGGTCTCAAGAAACAAATGCATTTTAAATGCTTCATCTTGTCTCTGTTTCGGTTATCTATTCTGTCGATTAAGTAACATTCTTTGGTGAGTAATGTGGATTGAGTTGTCACGAGTGATATGATGGGTGTCTACAGTAAAAAGCACAATTAGCACAGAGGAGCCGGAAACAAAAACAAAAGAAGTGTAGTGTGCCTTACAGTTTCTGTATCTAGCAATAGGGCTTTCATACCCGGCACATCATTGATCATTTTGTCCGCATAATGCTGAATTGCCTTGATGACATCCATTGTTTTATGTTAAAGAAAATGCGGTGATACGAAAAAGAGAAAGAATAAGTGTACAGTCGTTCCAGCAACAAAGGGCGACTTTTTGAAACCTTATTGGACGCTTTTTGAAATTCATTTGGGCATTTTTTGTAAGATATATTTGGTCATTGCTGTACAATGGTTTGGCAATTATTCTTGAAACTGTCTTAAATGGTTTAATGACAACATAGCTAATATGTTATCCTTGTCATGAAAGCTTTGTTATTGAGTATCTTGCATTCCTTTGTTTAAATTCTATCGAAGTCCTAAAATGATTGTTATCATTGGTTAGTTTTAGAAGTCGCACAGCATTTTTTTTTTTTTTTTTTTTTTTTTTTTTGTTACCAATATATGGTGTTCAGCATTTGGTCAATAACAACATTTGACACCGAGATAAAGCTAAAAGGCTATGACCTTTGAGAAGAATCAGATATGTGTCAGATTAGAAATATATACAAATTACCTTGGTGTTTCCAAAAAGTAAGTAAGCAATAAGCTACATACCTTGCCCAAGACAGCATGTACAAGATAACAGAAATACTGGCTTAAATAATGCTGACGAGGTATTACCAGATCAGTGATCTTTGACATATTTAACATACTGATTGTATAAGTAAATTAGAACATCAATCAAGCTGCGGGTGTGGATCTTGATGTTGATTTCACCGAAGATAGTGACGATATTGATGAAACTCAACTTCGTGATGAGCTCACAGAGGAGTAATTTAATGCTCTTGAAAATAACATGTCCAATATATCTGAGAAAGAATTGCCTGATAATTATCCTGGAGATATACAAGACAATCTCGAAAGTGGAAATGTACCAAGATGGTATATGTATTAATGGCACATTTTGGATCAACCTTTTAAGCGTTTCTTTAACTTTGAAGCAAAAAATTAATCGCGAGCTGCGTTACAGCCCAAGAGTATTTGTATGGCTCTCTCAATTTTTGACAAAGGCTTTTTTGCACTGTCCAACATGCTCAAAATTACTGCTAGCAAAAGAGGGGCCCAGAAAACAAAGGATCGAATAATAGTTGATCTGGATGAGTAAGTTACATAGTTGGTTTGGGACTATATAGTGCAGACTAAAAATAAACATTTTATCTAGTTGTTTCTATCTTTTGAGTGTTCGATTTAAATGTACAAGCAAAAAACCGTTCATATGTTTATGGAATATACATTTTCAATTATTTGACAATTGCGATCAAGGGCTCAGACTGATTTTCCAGCTGTGTATACGCATCATTCTGGCACAATCTCAAAATGTTGCTGGTCCTCATAGAATGCACCAAGTATTAAGAAAAAATCACACGGAAAAGTTCGATTCCATTCAATTCCAATACCCATCGATGTTTTTTATTGGCCGGCCACTTTGATGATGAACAGACCGCAAACTCATAAAAATAGCTTATGTTTTAAATCCCATTTATAGGATAATGCAGATTTTTTTTTATTTCGTTAAAGAGATTTAGTTGAGGTAAGTGCTGTTCTAGAAGCGATGGGTATCATGGAAGACATTTGGCTACCGCCACGTTGGGGTTTGAATGCTTTTGTGAGGGTTATATTTGAATTGATATATGCAGTGGTGGAGTAAAGATCATCATTTGTCAAGTCCGTAGTATTAGGTGTGTTATCAGGCGTATTGCTATTTTTCCTTGAAGAAGAGGATTTTTTTTGTAACTGTTGTTGCTTTTTACTTAGGGGCATAGATTGTGATGGTTTGATCTTTTTAGGCATGTTGTTATTACTGGTCGTGATAATGGCTGAGACGGCCCGTGATTTTAATTGTGGTTTTTTGTTTTGTACAACGATTGAGCCAATGCTTCCAACAGATGCGGGTCTGTTTTTCATGCGCTTGGAGACGGGTCGATCCACTGGTTCGGAACTAAGAAAACCGAAGAAAGTCTGATTTGCTTCTCTATCTGCAATTTCATCCAACTATATATAGAAATAGAACATGGTCAGTACACAAATATATCCAATTATCATTGTTTTTTTTTCTTTTTGTTACCAAGGTATCAAGGTATCGACGCTCTCCAATCATAACTGGCTTACCAGCCAATTTTTCGAACTCTCCAATAGCTTTAATCAAGGCACGGTCCAATTGTAACAAGCGAGGTAAACATGTATTACGCCATTTTTCTTCTTCAATTAAACGAAATGACGCCTGAAAGAGACGTTTGGGATCAGAGGCAGTTTTTTCAAAGTCAATCATTTTCTAATCATGAATCGTTTAATATAAACAAAATATAAATCTTTGCATGAAAGTTTTTTTTTTTACCTGTATTAAATCCTTCCGTTCTTTCATCAGGGCTTTTAAGGCTTGTCCCTCATAGTGAATACTTTTTAAATAGGTCATGTGATTATCCACTTCGGCCTTGATTTCCAATTTTGTATCTAGAAAAAAAAATGAGTAAATCTGTTTTGGGTTGTTTACTGTATACATACTTTTATCATAAAGGGATGTTATGAATTCCTTTCGTTCTATTTCTGATAGGAGACAAGCATCCCATAAGGGTATTAATTGGTCCTTGAACTAAATAACAAGTTTTTTTTTCAGCATTTAGGAGTTTTATAACTGAATATTGATGTTGGTTACCTGTTGGATGTATTTATCGAACACACTTTTTACTAACGGTTCGATACTATCGACAATATTTTTAAGCTTTTTCAGGATTAAATTAGTTGCATATCGATTATTAGAAATAAACATATAATACTTTACTGTTTGCATATCTTTGTTACTTAGGGATGTTGGTATCGTGGGTCGTTCTAATATTGGAATATTGAATTCTTCCCAGACAGCCTTTACTTTGATTACAGACTTGTGATATAACTGATATCTTTGATCAAATATTGACTTTAATGCTTCGTTTTTGGTATAAAGAATGTCCAATGTATCCTGGGATAATTTTAATTCGTTCGTAGGATGTTCGTAATATGAAAATGCAGCATCTTGCGTTGTGATGTTATAAATGTCGATATCTAATGGAAAGTTCTCAAATAAGGCAGCTAATGACACTTCAATAGGGTCCAGGTTAGTCTTCTCATAGTTCAAAATATGCCAGTAATAATGAATTGTCTTGACAAGCATATCAAATTTTACTAGTCTTGAACTCTATTATGATATTAAATGTTGATACATTTTACATCCAACGATATACACATGCAAAGAAAAAAACGTGGTGTATTTTTGGGTACTTACTCTTGTTTCCTGCAAGTCACGTACTTCGCAACTAATCTATTAAATAATACAATGAGTAAAAATAGTATAAAGCAGGGTGTTGTGCGAAATAAGGGTTATAGATACGCCGAATATCAAGGGATTAGCTACTTACTAATTGTATGGTTGCCCAAGAAAGATCTTGATTGAGATACTCCTATATAAAAATGGGATATTGAGTTAAAAAAGAATAACAAACTACTTTAACTTACCTCAGTTTCCTTGAATTTAAATGGGATTACCAGTTCTTTACATAATTTCTGAATTAGCGATAACCAGTCTGTTACATGTAACTGTCGAATCGATATTTCCTATAAATAACATTTAATACTAAAATGTAAAACTTATAAACATTCCATACATGACTCAGTCTAGAGTCCAACTCGATTAAAGCTCTCTCTTTAGGATAAGTCGGATTTAAACTGTTGTAAATGGTCAACATATCTGGAGAGAGAGTAAAGTTATCATCCACGATACTCGTATTTAACATGTTCTCAAGTGAGACTCCTAATAAGTTGGATGCATATTCGATATTTGCCTAAATACTTTTTGTTATGCAAAAATAAAAAAAAAAAAAAAAAAAAAATAAAATAAAAAATTATTACCAAGACGTCTTCAATATTTGCCGATAATAGAGTCTTTTCTTTTCGTTCTTGTGAAATTAAGCTTTCTAGTTCTGCAATGACAGACTGTTGGAAGAAGGTTAGTTAGCAATGTCCCATTAAGAATAAGAATGGTAACCAACTTCGAGTTTTTTATTTATTGTACAAGCATCAACATCAAGAGAGGTCCATAATGAAAATAAAGTCGAAAGGTGAGGGTAAAGTACATTCATGTGTGTGATAGTTTAGTAGAGAAGAAAGAGAAGTGGAGTAAAGAGGGAAAAAAAAAGAGGAATTATATTCGTTGTGACTTATAATTTATATGTAGAACACGAATTTAACTGTGTTAAGCCCCTTTTTTTTTCCTTCTTCTTTGCACCACTGCTAAATATAACCAAGGATAACGTGATAATAAATGAAACACTTGTTGAATTTATGCATCTTTTCGTAAATATTTGTGTTTTTATTTTTTTTTCAAGCAACCAAAGTATTTATAAACTGTTCAATGTCCACCACTTTAAATTCTGTTGTCGGTAACCCATCCACAACTCTTTGTTTGGAAAAGTTGTTTAATTGTTGGAATGATTTTAATAGATCACCATCCAAATAATTACTGTCTTGTTCCGTATTATAATGAATCGTTGGTTTGAAATTCCTCCATAACGTATGATCCAGTCCACCAATATTATTGAATTCTTTTAATATACAATCTTGAATTTGCTTGAAAAAAAGGTACGAATCCTCGGATATAGTCTTAACCGTTCCAATAGATCCGTGAATTGTCGCAAAAGTAAATGGGCTATACGTTGCTGTGATTCGTGATCGAGTGGCATTTGTATCTTCTTGTTTCGTCAGATTAGATAATACATCCATTAAAATATCTTGTCTACAACAATTAATTAGTGATCCAATGTGAAATCCACCTTCCAAAGTCAATCGCTTGACTTCTCCAATAGGCATTGTATAGCTGCTGGAAGAAGATTTGGGAATAGGTTGTCGGGTCATATCCACAGTTAATGTAAAGAGGTTGTTTTTATCATCGGCTGCGATATACACGCTTTCGCTGATAAATTTGACAGCTGTCAACCACGCTGGTTTGGTGTCATTAGCGTACAATTTTAATGACAAAGGATCCTTTTCCGTCATTTCCAATACCGATACAGATTGCATTAAATCTCCAACCAATACGCGATTACCAAATGTATCTAGATTTAATGCTATCACATTATTATGAAGATTGGATTTAAATTCGATTCTTTCGCCCATGGGTAAGTCCGGCTGAAACTTTTGCAGTGTATAAATCTAAAAAAGAAAGATGGAGCTTAATTTTCTCCTGACACTACTTTATATTCTTTGTTGCTATACTTACAGATCCGTTCACTGACGCAACCATGGAATTTTGGAATGCTTTCATGCTATACACAACACCAGGTACTGATACTTGATCAAGTAACTCACACTGACTATTCTCTTTAAAATCAAATACAAGAATTCGACCAGTATCATGATCCGGGTCATCTTCTTTTTCGATGATGGTTCCGACAAACAAATACTCTTGATTTGGGTAAGCACTGAATTTAGCTACAGCCAGACTTTGGACAACTTCATTTGTTGGTAGACTGTAACTGTCTATAGCTATAAAAAAAAATACATACACACACGTAAACAATTCGTCAAGGAATGAACACTTGCATAAACCAAAAGTCGTACTAACCTTTAAATGTCTGTGCGTCAAGAATTTGGATTTTTCCAATACGCTTAACATACTCATTATTCACATCTTTTTGGCTAGTGACAGTACCTACAGCTAAAAATTTAGACACGGGGAAATATTCGATATTGGTGGGCATTTCTCCGTCAAGTTCAATTTTTGTATGATGGAGTTTTTGACCGGAATCCGTTTGACCAAATAACAGGCCTTTATCAGTCATCAATATAAGCATATTGTCAAAAGGAGCTAGTGCATAAACATTCTGTGTAGATGTACACCGAAAACGTAAGTAAAGAGTAAATACAAGTAGTCTCGTGACTTTTTCTTACCTTTAAATTGACAATAGAAAAGAATAGAGTTCCATGCCAACTGCTGACGATGGTAGGTCGAATACCTGCAACAAAGATCTTTTGCTGTCCATCTTGAATAAAGGGGTACATTGCATTGCTGTAGGTTCCGACCATTGTTTGTCTCTGATCAGCCAACGTTGCGGCTGAGTCATTTTTTAATGTTATTTTGTAACTTAATAAAGTTCCGTCGCCTATATATTGATTGTCAATTAGAGTTTATGTTTGTTATTTGTAATTTTAATTTTGTATTCATACCTAATAGTATCATAAAGTATTGGACTCCTTCTAATCTAGTCAGAAGAACATCCTTTATTACGGGTATATGATCCAATGCAAGTTCAAGCACAGGGTTCAAATAGGGCAGCTGCATAATTCGGACTAAAGGCGTGGAGCACATACCAATTGTAACATAGTCTTTATCTGTACCATTCTCGTGTTTAAGGCTTAAATTTATGCATGCAATATCTGGAAATTGTTTGACACTATATACAGAAAGAAAACGGCGAGCTTAATGTAACTACATAGATATATATGTATATATTCTTACCTTGTTGGAATCAGTGCATTATCTGCAATTTCCAAATAAACAAGCATTCCTGTTCCATAACAGAGTACACATTGAGTTGCAGTTACTTTAGCCATCACAATCTTTTCCTGATAAGGTGGTTGCCATTCTGCTAATAATTGCACAGCTTCATGAGACACAAGACGAACGGATGATGGAGTGACTTGAATAATATTATTTCCTGGGGTCAATGCAGTAGCCAGCGTAATTTCATTTAACACTAATGCTCCAGTCGATTGATATTCTACCATTTCAAAGGGGTTTATTGGCTTTAAAAACATGGTTTCAAAAGCTGTTGAAACAACCAACAATTTCCCACCCAATGTCCAAATATCACTTGTTAATGGAATGTCCAAGATAAAATTTTCTGTAAATCCCACGCCATTTTCTACAATACGAAGACTACCATTTTTATCGACGCCCGAACAGCATACCATCGTTTGCTCTCCCTGTCCATCATAATCAAATAAACAGAAATCAACAATAGGTCCCAAATTCGAAAAGGTGCGAATGACTTCCACTGTATATTTTCTTAGGGTATTTGGAACAAGTTTTACAATACACGAGTCTGCTTGGCATGATCCAATATAAAGCAAATTGTTTCCTAAGTCGATAATCGTGTTTGGTAATGAAGCTTGACCGATAAGGGTACTAACTATTCCAGTCACCTTCATATTACTGATTTCCAACGTAAGCAAGTATAAATAGCCTTCTGAATCCCCTAAAATACACTGGTTGAAACTATCATGCAAAAACGTATGCCTAATACAAAAAATAAAGAGAGAGAGAGATAGGTGAGTTTACACTATGTCTCGATGCTCCTCTCTTTCATCCTCCTTACGCAGTGACTGTCACCAGATCAATACTTAATTCTTTGGTTCCTCCCGAGGTAAAATTGAGATCATGATATGAAATGATATATTCTCCAATAGCTAATATACCACCAATAGGTTCTGGTACAGAAACCAATGTATGCGTAGTAGCTTCGACTTTGCATGTCAATTTTTCATCGTTGATAATTTCGTTTGATCCAGGTTTGTACTTGAAAGCCTTGATATATTTTAACTCGCTTATTTCGCCTGACAAGGTGGCAATCGCTGAATGTTGAATTCCTTTAAGCGACACCATAGATGTTATATCAAATTCGTGCGTTCGAATCGGCATAGGTTTGAACGATTCTGTAGATGACTTTGGTGGTGTCACAGCGAATAAAATTCCTGTGAATGCACTGATAAAAACAGTGTTGGTTTCTTTGTCGACCGCGGTGCTAATAGGTTGATCAGATACACGTGCGTTTGTTTCCTCTAAAATGCCATGTCCTTCAGTAATAATCGACTGGGTAAGCGGACTGTAAGTCAAAACTGTAAAGTAATGTTGATCGGTCACCAAGAATAAAGAGCATGTGTTGCGAGACTAAGGCACAGAAAAAGAAAAAGGAGATCAGTCCGTGTTAAAAAAAAAAAAAAAAAAAAAAAAAATAGGAAGCAGTGTCAAGACTGAATCTTACTGTCAATTGCAAAACTTGAATGGAGCTGATCACACCAAAAATGTTGAACTTTGTAAATGTTTTTATGCCATTGAGCAGGACCTCATAAATTTCGATCGTAGATCCTTTGCTAAAACTGAGCATTAATAATTTTCTAATCAATACTGACTTCTTTTTTTTTTTACCAAATAATCAGGTTGTCTTCATTTGCATTGATGAATTTTCCTTTGGCTGCACAAGTAACTGCAGTTTCTGGGTTTATTGTTGTTACAACGTGGTGTTTATGCATGGCAGTTTCGAAAAGAAAGAGTGGGTATTTATTTATCAAGGTGGTAAAAAAAAAAAAAAGTGTTTCCACACAGTCTGAGTCTGTCGCGTCCAAAAACAGGTCACACGCGAAAGTCTCTTTACTGTCTGTTTGATAGAGTTCACATCTACAAGTTCATTTTAGATATTCAACAAGATAACCAGATAATACAAAGTATTTATCTTTACTATTGCGGTAAGAAGAGACGTTGAAAAAGAAAGGGTTGGGTTTTATTTTTTGAAATAATTTAACTCTTTATTTCATTAGAGAGATCTGTCATTTGCTTTTATATCTATATGCATCGTATTTGCCCTTTAGCCATGCTTCTCACTACATGGCTAATGAAAAATGAAAGTGTTCATTTCAAGTGTATATAAGAATCACCGCAAAAAGAAAGAGCACCAAACAAAGTTATGGGATAAAACTCGTTTCGTAACAGAATGGTTATATCTCCTTCTATGTTTGGCACATGTATGTCTCTCTTTTTCGCTCAAATCCAAGTTTTAATCATTACACTTTCACTTTTTTGTTTGTTTATAAAGTAACAAAAGATCAAAATAGCCCCATGTCTACTGTTATTTTTAACTGTTTTTCATTTTTCCTAGTCACGATCTTTATTCATACCCAGTTTCCCTCTGACGTTTTTGATGTTACAGTTCAGTGCTTTTATTGCAATGGGTTGTATTACAGAATTATCACGTTAAATTCAGACAAGCGAAAATTATTTTCAGACAAGCTCAAAAAAAAATCCAGGCTAAAATATATATTTTCAGACAAACGTAAAAAATTATTCAGACAAACGTAAAAATTGTTCAGACAAGTAAAAGTTTATACTAATTTAGATTCTTTATCAAGGCATTTATCCCAGTAAGTTTCAGAGTGTCGTATCCAACCAATGGAATCTTCTGTGGTGATAGTCTCACAGGTTGTTTTAATTCTAGGAGTTAAAGTGTCTAAAGTGGAAAGCAGATTTCTTTTGATGTGCTTCTTGATCTTGGACCAGCACTTCTCAATAGGATTCAAAAATGGTGAATATGGGGGCATATATAAAGGCTTATATCCCCTACTTTGGATTGCATCAACGACACAATGGATATAGTGAATTCGGCAATTATCAATGACGATATAAAAGCCATACTTATTGTGTCTGTCCAGGACATCCATGACTTTCATTTCACTGTTTCAATATTTCATAAGTATCAATCATCTCTAAAAGAAAAAGCTGAATTTATAATTCAGAATAAGAAAGAAGAGTCATTTAGAAGACACATTGTAAAGAGCCTGGATGCATTTGTTTAAATCGATAAAAACTAAAAGTAAGCTTTTGAAGATGTAATTTTTTCAGTAATTAGCAGAGCTATCGAAGCTTACACGCTTCTGAAAATATTTCTAGAAAGTCCATTCTTATAGAATATTAAGCAGGACGTTTTTGCATCTTTTCTTTTTTTAAGAGAAAATGTATATACCACCCCTCTTTTTCCAAATATAGTAATTACCACCCCTGTTCGGTCACGCCGGACAGTAAATGTCCGGTGGAAGTGGATCACTTTATACGCATTTATTAGGCTCAATTGTGGATCACTTTATACGCATTTATTAGGCTCATTTGTGGATCACTTTATACGCATTTTTTAGGCTCATTGTTGGATCACTTAATACTAATTTTTTAGGCTCATGTATAGTGTATTTTTGGATCACTTAATACTTAGTTTTTAGGCTCATGTACAGTGTATTTTTGGATCACTTAATACCTATTTTTTAGGCCTATGAACCAGGTCCGAATAATTGTTTGAGGAGGGGCGGGGGGGGATTTAGGTACCATTTTGCTTTTTTCATTTTACAATTTACAACGATTATATAAATAAACAATCAAGAAAGTATTGCTGAAGGCGAGAGTCTTATTGTTCCTAAAAGAGTAGAAGTAGCCCCAAGAATAATCCTTTAATCGAGATACTCTTCATAAAATTGAACCAGTCAAAGAATGAAGTATCACTTGAGGAAGTTGATGTCGAAGATGTTGATGACACATTAATTAAAGACAAGTTGACATGTGGTAAGTGCCATAAGACGTTCAACTCGAGATCATCCCTGATCAAGCACTTGAAGGTCAAACACCATGTTGTAATCGTTGGTGTCAAGCATGGGCGTCCTGACCAAGGTGGAAGGCTTGCATACTGTATCCGCCAGCAGCAAAAGAAGGCCGATAGAAATTCCGTTTTGAGAGTCGACAAAAAAAAACTTAAGAAGCAAATAAGGAAACAAATCAGTTATGAGGCGGTAAAAGCCAAGAAGAGAGCTGAGTGGGCTATGTTGGAGAGTAAGGACCTTCTTGAAAACCTTAAGGTTTTATGGGATACGTCTTGTGATGATCTGGCTTACTTCTAATAAAATCATCATCATAAAAATAACATCAGATACACTTACATCATACATTCTACACTAAAATATAAATATCTCAGCATCCATACTTGATAAAGAAAATACACTTCTTTAGTCTCTACACGTCTTTAACTAAAATAGTGCAAGAAGACACTGTACTAAAATAGTGTACTTCCATTATGCAATAATTTTATAATTTGAATTCAGACATCTTATATATATCCTTTATTCTTTGACCTTGATAATCCCCAATTCTCTTTTAACTAAATAAAACATATCAACAGTCTCAAAGTATTCCTACTTTTGTTTTATTTCCTTTCTGTCTGAATTTTTATTATCCCAAAACACCACACGTCTGATGGTGTATGAAGACCAGATTTTGCCTATGTACAATATATTGAAGATGTCTCTCCCATTTACCAATATCTCATCACCAAACTATGTTTGGAAGATTCATATGTATGAAAATATAGTGAGCCTAAAACATAGGTATTAAGTGATCCAAAAATACACTGTACACGAGCCTAAAACATAGGTATTAAGTGATCCAAAAATACACTGTACATGAGCCTAAAAACTAAGTATTAAGTGATCCAAAAATACACTATACATGAGCCTAAAAAATAAGTATTAAGTGATCCAACAATGAGCCTAAAAAATTCGTATAAAGTGATCCACAAATGAGCCTAATAAATGCGTATAAAGTAATCCACAATTGAGCCTAATAAATGCGTATAAAGTGATCCACAATTGAGCCTAATAAATGCGTATTAAGTGATCCACTTCCACCGGACATCTACTGTCCGGTGCGACCGAACAGGGGTGGTAATTACTATATTTGGAAAAAGAGGGGTGGTATATACAGGCTCTCTTTTTTAATTATTATGATCAAATACATTAATTAATCATTGCTCTGCTGAATTTAACAGTCCTCTGCATCGACAACATAAATCAATTCAACAAAAGTTTTGTAATAACATCCTCATTTCTTTCCGTATATTAATTATATGCGTATCCCAATTTTTCCAGATACTGAAGGCTTCATAAAGCTAAAAAAGCAACATTAAGTTATATGAAAAGCTACAGCAGCAAGAAGAAGAAGGGACAGCAGTACACGATAATTTCAAAGGCCAAGCTAAAGAAAAAAAAGGTAATATCTATGAAATATGTATAAATAACGAAACAGAAAAACTTAAGTCTTTAAAAGGTATAAAACGGAAGGATACTGCAGAAGAAAAATACAACAAAAGCGCAGCAAAACGGGCACGCAATTCCAATCTTGTAATAGCAGCAGCTATATCCTGCAAATCTTGTGGTGAAAGCGGACACTCATCTGCGAGAAGTAAGCAATGCAGCCATCATAATTTCACAATACAAGAAACTATCGAAAACAAAATTGGCCTTAATCATCAAAGATACACAATGTCTATACCACTTCGATCATTTTCCCCCACATCTGATGATGATACGTTTGATAACACCCTCAACAATATCAAGAGTTTATCTATGTTTCTGAGAAATATGATTTATAAAGCACAGCTTTTTGTAAATTACTATATTCTTAGGTACCCAGCTGACTTGCCAAACGACTTTTTCCAACAAAACTTTTGGTATTCTTTATGTCGGCTTATAAATGAGAATATGTCAATTGAAAGCTTTAAGCAGAAGTACATTTCGCATATTCCTCACCTGGAAGAAATATGGACGGAATTCAGCGGCCTTGAAGGTGTAAGCATGTTTGTCCAAAAAGAAGGTCTTACCAACTATGGTCAAGTACTAGCGTCCGCGTGTGAAAATGTTGCAACTTGCTACAACAACTTTTACATAGAAAATTTTGAAAACATTGTCAGTTACTATTTCATATATATGATCCGTGCTGAATTTCAGGTAAAAGAAAACTTTATATTGTGCCTTTAAAAGGTTGTTATTAAGAATACATAGGACTTGAGAATGCCTTATATCAAATCTATTGTGTACGGTCATATATTAGAAATATTGTTTAACGTGCAACCATCAACTTTGCCGGAAAACATTGGGAGTTCTGTGAATAAAGAAACGCAACACAAAATTCGAACAATTCTAAACCCGCTGATTGTAGAAATCAAAAATCGCTTACCACCAGCTCTTATCACAAAAGCGACATTAAATAAGGCCCCTTTCGATATAATGCCAGTTTTTAGACATATATTGTCTAAATACGAATCAATGATTGAAGCGAAACAGGAAGTAACAACATCGATACAACTACCATTAACTTTACCACAACAGTCCGATTTATTGCAACAAACTGAAGATTCAAATCAGTCACGGAAAAGGCCTAAAAAGAAGGAATCATCAATAAAGAATAAGATCTCAAATGCGCATAAAGATAAAGAGAAACGATTACAACCACCAAGGCTGTTCAGTTTATTTCCGAATCCAAGCTTAAAATGGCGATTTATCAAAATTGATAATCAAAACCTACATGCGAAGTCTTTAAGGCCAAGCAAACTTGCATTCAATTGGTCTATGAAAGAGAACCCGACCACCGAATCGCTAAGCACGAATCACCATGTTAATCTAGCTCGATGAGCCACTTCAGTCTACTTTTACAAGAAAAGCATTGCTTGATAAGCAGAACAGAGTAGGTGGCTTAAACCTGAAGACAGAGAGAGTAAAGAACCATATGTATATATATATATATATTGGTGAAAACACTGTATCCGAGTGCCACACCAGGCATTTCTATTTGATGGATTTTTTTAACACCAGCAAAATCCAGTCAGTGACACAAAGCGATATGAAATAAATAGCTCTCATTAATTCTTTTTCCTCTTTTTTTGTTTTCTCCTACCAAAACAATAATGCCTCGTTTCAGTATTACAGCCCTTATTGTAACTGTGCTTCTTGCACTTACAACCTTCAACTACGTTTCTGCCGCTGTTGGTCCTCTTATCACCGATAAAGGTAATATATATAAATCTGAATATTATAAACGCGTCCTGTTACTAAAAATTCTTCCCCAAATATAAGTCTTTTTTGACATTAAGCAAGGTGATGAGGATCTTGGTCGTATTGTTATTGGTTTGTACGGTAAGACCGTCCCTGAAACTGCCGAAAACTTCAAGAAGTTGGCTACTGGTGAAAAGGGTTTCGGTTACAAAGGTTCTGCTTTCCATCGTGTCATTGACAACTTCATGATTCAAGGTGGTGATTTCACCAACGGTGATGGTACTGGTGGAAAGTCCATCTATGGTGGCAAGTTCAAGGATGAAAACTTCAAGTTGAGACACACTGGTCCCGTAAGTTAAACACACATCAATTTATACATGGTCAACTCATTTGACAAAATACGATAGGGTGTTCTTTCTATGGCTAACTCTGGTCCCAACTCCAACGGTTCTCAATTCTTCATTACCACTGTCAAGACTGCTTGGTTAGATGGCAAGCACGTTGTTTTTGGTAAGGTTATTGAAGGTATGGATGTCGTTAGCAAGATCGAAAAGACTCCCAAGGGGTAAGTTAGATACACAAAAAGAACCTTCATTAATTGATATAATTTAACCTTTCTTCTTTTACAGCTTCAGAGATAGACCCAAGGTTGAAATCGTCATTGCTGATTCTGGTGCTTTACCCGTTGATGTTATTGAACACGCTGAATTGTAAAGCTAAACCTTGTAAAATAAAAATAAAATGCTATTTAGCACATACACGCTTCTTAAAGTTATTGGCTCCTGTGGCCCTTAAAGAGTCTATGTACACTACTTGAGGGAGAATGACGTAAAAAAAAAAATGCTGATAAACTTTTTTTTTTTTTTGTTCTTTTGATTTCTTTTCTTTCTACTTTGTTATAAAGATATAAAAACGATAAACATGTCTAGCATGAACATAGATTCTGAACAAACTATTGACGAGGGCTTGTACTCTCGTCAACTGTAAGTGTCACATTTTATACATAAAGATTAAGCATCTCACGCGTTCCTTTAACTCTTTACTTTTTGGTGATAACTAGTTACGTATTAGGCCACGATGCCATGAAAAAGATGAGTAACGCTCATGTTCTAGTTATTGGTTTAAAGGGTCTTGGTGTTGAAATTGGTATAAAAAGAAAAAGAATGCTTTGCATCATGAGTCATGCTTAATAATACATTTTACTTGTAGCCAAAAATGTTGTATTGGCTGGTGTCAAGAGTGTTACCCTTTGGGATCCTACACCTGCTAAGATTTCTGATTTATCCGCACAGGTAAACAATATGCACTTTTTAAAACAATGAAATTTCAAGATATTCATTGTCTATTTTTAATTTTTTTTAGTTTTACTTGACAGAGAACGATATTGGACAATCTCGTGCCAAGGTCACCCAACCCAAACTTGCAGAATTAAATCAATATGTTCCTGTAAATCTTTTGGAAGGCGAATTGACCGAGGAAGTGTTGAAAAAGTACAAGGTTGTCGTTATCACTGAAATGGCTTTATCCAAGCAATTAGCTCTTTCCGAAATTTGTCATGCCAACAATATCCACTTTATCTCTACTGAGGTGCGCGGTCTATTTGGGTAAGTAGAAACGAACGTGTATTTGTATACTTGTATCATTATGCTCATTTCTATATATGTAGTCGTATCTTTAATGATTTCGGATCCAAGTTTGAGATTATTGATACCACTGGCGAGGAGCCTTTACACGGTATGATTGCCAATGTTTCCAAGGTAAAGCAAAGATATATAATAAAACATGATCTAATACTAATCTATGAACCATAAACACACACACACACACACACACACATACATACACATATAGGAAGCAGAAGGTATTGTTACTTGTTTAGATGAAGTTCGTCACGGTTTAGAGGATGGCGATTATGTGACATTCAAGGAAATCCAAGGCATGACTGAATTAAATGATATCGAGCCCCGCAAAATCAAAGTGTTCGGACCTTATAGTTTCAGTATTGGTGACACTTCCAACTTTGGTGAGTACACCAACGGTGGTCTTTTCACTCAAGTCAAGATGCCCAAGTATGTTGATTTCAAGTCCTTGAATGAATCCTTGACCCATCCCGAATTCTTGGTCTCTGATTTCGCTAAATTTGACCGTCCCATGCAATTGCATCTTGCTTTCCAAGCTTTATCCAACTTTGTCGAAAAGCATGATCGTTACCCTAAGCCTAGAAACGAAGCTGATGCTTTAGAGGTGCTTGAGCAAACCAAGGCTTTGGTTGCTTCTGTAGATGATAAGCCTGAATTGGATGAAAAATTGATCAAGGAAGTAGCTTATCAATCTTCTGGTGAGTTAGCTCCCATGGTGGCTGTCTTCGGTGGTTTAGCCGCCCAAGAAGTCTTGAAGGCTGTCAGTGGTAAGTTCTGTCCTATTCAACAATACATGTATTTCGATGCCCTTGAGGCTCTCCCCCAAAGTGTCCCCTTGACGGAAGAATTATGTGCTCCTACTGGATCTCGTTATGATGGTCAAGTTGCTGTCTTTGGTAAAGCTTTCCAAGAAAAGATTGCCAACACCAACGAGTTCCTTGTCGGTGCTGGTGCTATTGGTTGTGAAATGCTCAAGAATTGGGCCATGATGGGTTTGGGTACAGGCCCCAAGGGTCATTTAACCATTACTGATATGGATACTATCGAAAAGAGTAACTTGAACAGACAATTTTTGTTCAGACCCACTGACGTTGGTGTAAGTAAAAAAGATATACACACATAATATTTAAATTGTTACACATATTCATGCATCTGTAAAAAAAACTTTAGAAATTGAAATCTGAGTGTGCTTCTACTGCTGTGACCAAGATGAACCCTGATTTAGCAAATCATATCACCATTCATCAAGATCGTGTTGGCCCTGAGACCGAAAATGTCTACGACGATGATTTCTTTGAGTCATTGGACGGTGTTACCAACGCTCTTGATAATGTGGAAGCACGTAAATACATGGATAGAAGATGTGTTTATTATCGTAAACCACTTTTGGAGTCAGGTACACTTGGTACTAAGGGTAACACACAAGTGATCCTTCCCTTCTTGACCGAATCCTACTCTTCTTCTCAAGATCCTCCCGAGAAGTCTATTCCTATTTGTACTCTCAAGAATTTCCCTAATGCCATTGAACATACAATCCAATGGGCCCGTGATTTATTCGAAGGTTACTTTAAGCAACCTGCTGATAATGTCAATTTGTACTTGACTCAACCCAATTTTATTGAGGCTACCTTGAAGCAAGGTGGTACTGCTAAGGATACGATTGAAACCGTCTCCAACTATTTGACAACAGATAAGCCAAGTGATTTTGCAGATTGTGTTGCTTGGGCTCGTCTCAAGTTTGAAGATTTATTCAGTAACACGATTCGTCAATTACTATTCAATTTCCCTCCTGATGCTGTTACTTCTACCGGCCAACTCTTCTGGTCCGGACCTAAGCGTGCTCCTACTCCTCTTACATTTGATGTCAATAACCGTGCTCATCTTGATTTTATTATTGATGCTGCTAATTTGCATGCTTATAATTATGGCATCCGTGGTGAAGAAGATGACGCTTACTTCCGTGAGCAACTTCAAAACATTATTGTGCCTGAATTTAAGCCCAAGGAAGGTGTCAAGATTCAAGTACAAGAAAACGAGACTGTTGATAATGATTCAGGAGCAGATTCATTGGACGAGGTGATTGCTAAATTACCTGAGCCTGCCAGCTTGGGTAACTTCCGTTTGTTACCTGCTGAGTTTGAAAAGGATGATGACTCTAACCATCACATTGATTTCATTACGGCTGCCTCCAACTTGCGTGCCATGAATTATGGTATTGCTCCTGCTGATCGCTACAAGACTAAGTTCATTGCTGGTAAGATTATTCCTGCTATTGCTACTACAACCTCCATGGTGACTGGACTTGTCTGTCTCGAGCTTTACAAGATTATTGATGGAAAGAAGGATTTGGAGCAATACAAGAACGGATTTGTTAACTTGGCATTACCTTTCTTTGGTTTCTCTGAACCTATTGCAATGCCCACACTTGAATATAATGGTATCAAGTTTAGTTTATGGGATAGATTTGACATTAATGAGGATATTACCTTGCAAGAGTTCATTGATTACTTCCAAAATGAACACAAGTTGGAAGTGACCATGATCTCCTCTGGTGTGTCTATGCTCTATTCCTTCTTTATGAACAAGAAGAAGGCTGCCGAAAGATTAAATATGAAGTTATCCAAGGTCGTTGAAACTGTTTCAAAGAAGCCTATTCCTTCCTATGTCAAGTCTTTGATCTTTGAAATCTGTGTGAATGACGCTGATGACGAGGATGTTGATGTTCCTTACGTTAGAGTCAAGATCAGACAATAAATTATCTCTCCGCTATTTTTGGAACTTATAAAATAAACCTTTTTTTTTATTTTTATTGTTACATGTAAACCTTTTTTTATTTTTACTTCTCATATTTTTAAACTATATCATGTCGACACAGGGAGGTGGATTTTCGTTGTTTCCTTATCGATATGTGAGTTCTCGGGTGATAACAGCTGCAGCAGCAGTGGCGACAACTGCTTCATCGCCATCTTCTTTAGTTCAATCCCCTTCCTACTTTGGGACAATTGTCGTTCAGTTTACGAGACAGGTCATGAAACCCAAAGTAGTTTTACCCATGCTTTTTGTCATTGTTCTCTTATTCGATTTAGACAATGCTTTTGATTTGGACGACGAATTCTTTCTTGAAGACAATGATCAAGATCAATAAAAAATCATTTTATCTTTCTCTGCATAATATAACTAGTCCGGGGATTTGTTTTTTTTTTTGTGTGTGTATGTATATGATCTGTGGCAGTGTCCGGGTTCTGTTGCTGTCACGGCCACTTATTGAGTAACACAAGCTCACTCGGCCACACCATTAAAGTTTAAGCTCTGTCCTCACTTGCACACCACTGGCTGTGATCAGTCATTCAACACACACTACTGACACTTTTGCAGTTTTTTTTAAAAAAAAGTGTTGGACTGCTTTCAATTGTAGTAGTCGACTAACGACACCTCAAAAAGACGTTATTTGGGCGGTACTTAAAAAGCATACTAGCTTATAAAATAAAATAAAAAAACCTTTCTTCTTCCATTTTGTTGTTTACGCCTAGATATATACACAAAAAGAAAAAGAAATGAGTGCAGAAGAAATTGAGTCTTACAAGTTTCAATTAGAACAAGTGGAACTTGCTTTAGCGTCTGATCCCGAGAATGAAGAGTTGACCAAGTTGCAACATGATTTAAAAGAATTGATTCAAATGTTTGAAGCAGCTCACGCCATGTCTCAACAAGAACAGGAACAACAACAAAAACCCGCTGTGCCTCGTTCTGTGCCCAGTACAGCATTAAAGAACCATGAATTTGCAGTAGATCAAGAAGTGATGGCGCGTTATTCGGGTGATGGTCAGTTCTACAAGGCCACCATTACAGCTATCGGAGGTGCCGATCAAGTCTTTTCTGTAAAATTCAAGGGTTATTCGGAATCGGAATTTGTCAATGCCGACGACATTAAACCCATCACGGATAAAAAGCGAGTCGGTATTTTTGAGAATGTGGAAGGAGCCAACAATGGCAATAAAAACAAAAAGAGAAAGGAGAGTGCAGTCACTGGTAGTAAGGACGCCAGTGTGCCTAATGCACCCAAGAAGAAAAAGGCAGTTGAATTTGAGAATAAGAAGAATGCCTGGTTAAATTTCGCTACTGGCAGCAGCAAAAAGAAGAAGACCACACCCATCAACAAAAAGAGCATATTCAAGACACCCGACAACCCTGAGGGCAAAGGTAATTTAGAGAGAGAGAGAGAGAGAGTGTGTGTGTGTGTGTGTGTATGTGCATTACTAACACTCTATACATTTACAGTCGGTGTTGTGGGAAGTGGCAAGGGAATGACAACGTATCAACAGCGAGGAAAGCATATTTATTCTGCCTCGAGTACAGAAGAAAGTTAACGTGTGTAACGATAAATAAAAATTTAAAAAGGGACTTGGTTTTTTTTTGTGGGGGGAGGGGGAAAAAATAAATCTCCACACACAAATAATTTCTTTTTTTTTTTTTTTCTCTCTCCTCCTTCTCTCATTTTTTTGTATGTTGCCTCAGTTTGGGTTTATTGTTGCACAGGCAGGTGCGGATTCTTTACATCCCAACCCTATAAATAATATGTCTTCATCCCAAGCAACGCAATCAAGTAAAGCATACCCACCCACTTCCACGGTTACTACGACAACCACCAATAATAATAACAGCAACAACCATAGCAATGAGCAAGCACCTTATTATTATACGCGACACCCTTCTCCTCCTACCTGCTCTACTCCTATGTTACCTCCCCCACTTCCTTATATGTATAATGCAATGCCCTCCATGGGGAGAGACGATTATTATGCTAATAAATATTATCCACCTTCCGTACCACCACCAGTGGCAGCACAAACATCATATGATCAGCATCACTATAGACCACTTCAACCACTGCCTCCTCCACCCAGTAATAGTAATAATAATCATCATGGCTGGCATTCTACTGACAGTCCCTACCCTCCTCCTCCTCTTCCTCCGCCAGTTCAACCAGCTCAACCAGCGTCTCTTCCTCCTCCTCCTCCCTCGTCTATACATCATCATCATCATCAGCAACACCAGCAGCAGCAACAACAACAAGGCTGGCATCAAACTCCGTCACCTTACCATCACCCGCCTCCACCACCACCACCACCTCCTCCTGTCCAGAATCATCCAATGATTGTAAATACCCCTTCTGTAACTCACCACAATGATTATTATGATTACAACAATAGATGGCAAGGTAAGACAAAGAATACATATACAAAAAAAAACAAAAAAAATTTATACACATAAAAAAGAACCAATAGAATTAAATGAGAACAAAATGTTACGTCGGATACGGGAATTCAATGATTTGATGTCATGGATGGATAGTGAATTCTGGGAACAATGCGATGAGTAAATATAACATTTTTAATATTGAAAATTATCTCTCTAACGTAATCGATGTTTATATAGAATATATCGGGAGAAGTTACAATCATTGCACGATGAAATACAAACCATTCAACAAGGTAACATGCACACCAGACATTTTAATATGCGACACATTAAAAACTTTTTTTTTTAATAGGCACGCATTCAGCATTCACTGATTCACTGTCGGACATTGAAATACGTCGCGAACAGACAATCGAATATGCAGAGTATTTTAAAGACTATGAATTATCATTGGCCAACCATCAATACGATCAAGACAAATCCATTTTGCAAGAAGAATACGAGGTAAACCATTCATACACATATAGATTTAAAGGACACATTAACATATATATATAAAAAGAACGAAAGGCACAATTTGCATGATATGGTATTACAGTCGATTGATGATAGAAGAAAACAAATCAAGGAAGATAAGGACGATAGTGAATTTGATATCGGTGATTTGTTTCGTGATGCTTATTCTAAAGTGAATAACAAGCGTAGTTTACGTAAAAGAGCTGCATTAGAAAGAACAAATAGTGCATCGCCGTCTCGTCAAGAGAGAAGAAGAACGAGTGAGTTTTGATTTTTCTAGGAACATTATGTTATATACTGATTTTTTTAAAAGACCGACAAGCCACTCCTTATAATATTAATTCTGCACCGCTTGCAGCAGAAGAAGAAGAATTAGAATCTGAATATATAAACATGAAGGTAAATTTAAATGTATATAAAAGACGCGTTTCAATAAACATTTGTATATAAAAAAAAAATAAAAAAAATAGGGTGGACTACCACCAAGAAGATCTGGTGCTACAACTCAAACTAGACGATAGAATTACGCGACATACACAATCAACAATAATACACATCTCTCACTCACTCACACTCTCTCACTTTTTTTTTTTTTTTTTTTTTTTTTTTTAATTTCCTATACTAATAATAATGGCGTGTTTTCAGTTGCTTGGTATTTTCGTTTACATATATCATATTTACAAATCGGACACTATAAGATAGTTATTAAACAAGAACAAGTAAACAAAAGAAAAGGTCACATACAAACTTTTTTCGGGTAAGTAACCAAAGGTCAACACAACTACAGTGAAATTCATGTTTACACGGTAAAGTTCTGATCTTATCGCCTTCCTGGTATTCTTCCAAACAAATAATACATTCATCAATGGGTATATCTTTTTCGCGTCGAAATGAATGGATTGGTAAACTTGTCACAACATCAGTAGGAGCCACTTCCTTTTGTAGATGCTGTTGCCGTACTCGCCATGTCAAGTACAAAGCGTACAATATACTTGACGGTAACAACACTGCAAAAAACAGCAGTAAATCAGAGTATGACCATGAAAACAGTTCGTTTTCTGTGATTCTGATGAGTACAGACTCTTCTTCTTCCAGATGCTGTAACAGAGATAAGAACTGGTATTGGGCTACATACACACTAGGAATGCGGATATCAGAGGAATCGCCTAGATATATATATACATGTAATTAAAAGTGTTATCAACAAGAGAAATAACGGCACACTTCATCATTTACATTTACTTTACCATTGGCGTACATTGTAATCCAACCATTGTAATGCCTATCACCGATAATCACGGCTTTTGCACCGCTTGATTGAAGAGTGCGCACTTTATCAACAAAGGAACAACCTCCTCGCTCCACAATAGCAATCCAGTTCTCACAAGGCGGCAGATCAATGCGAACACAACCTTGATGACTTTCTTTAGGTGGCTGGAGCATATTACCCACCATTCCTTCCTTGCTTAATTGTGGCCCAAAAGCTGCTGCCTTATCAATATGCGTATCATTATTGCTCTAGTTGTTTGTTGTTAGTTTTTGTTTAATTTATTCCAAAAAATCTCTCCTATTTACCATAATAATAATGTGTCCACTTATTAAACTAGCAAAACTAGACAACAGTAGTAATCTGGTAATTTGCATCTTTGTCAATGGAACAAAAAAAAAAAAATAACCCGAGAATGAAGAAAAAAAAGGAAAAAAGAAAAATTTTCACGACTTGTCATTTAAATTTTTTTTCTATCAAATAGAGTATACCCACAGCTTTGTTAGTGTTGTCGTCACTTGACTTATAGGGTAATTTTTTTTATTATTTTTTCATATCATGCATTTGATGCACTTGTCATGCTTGTCTACTTTTTTTTTAAACAACGGTCTCTAGCAAAAAGAAATGGTATTTTAAAAGTCAGATAAGAGCGATCTTTGTTTTTATTTTATTTTACACTGTGAGGTTTAATTATCCATGGACGGAACTATGCCGTTGCATTGTCAAACGCACACGGATCCGTTCCTTTTTTTTTTCATTTGGACATAAACAAACAAAAACAAAAAAAAGTTTTTTTAGATACGTCATTGGCAGACTCTTGTCCTTTATTATACTTCTGCTTTACTGGTTAGGAGGTAAAACAAAAAACTTAAATTGTAAAAATATATTTTTAAGAAACGGTTGCTATTGGTAACAAAGACACACATTCTTTGATCCGTAAAAAAAGCCGCAGAATTTACGATTACTTTATAAAAGGGACTTAAATCAACACCAGCGACTTACATTAAACTCTGTCACTCTGGAAGACTTTATCATGAATAACTTTTTGCAAAATAAATCTAATGCTGTCTGATTTTAAAGTGTCAAAACTTTAAATGACTCCATTTATGCTGATGTGCGCGCTTATCTCACAAGGCTTTATATCAATCTTTAAGAAACTGATATTGCGATAGTACTTAGTATTTATTGTGTACCTTAGATTTATATGTTTTACATCTGCTCGTTGTCTGGTGAAGCAATAAAATGTAAATAATCATATTAGTTTATGCTTTAGGCTTACTGCTATATCCTCAAATATTATGAAAAATTAAGATAAATATCCTCGGCAAACTCATAATATCACTTATAAGTGTATCTCAGGCTAGAAATTGCTTCATAACAAAGGTGGAGTATAAGAGTTTTCCTAGAACATACACTTTAAGTTAATATAGTATACATGTAGTACTATGATATGATCATCTTGCAATAGACATGTCATCAATATACTTTGAGACTTCTTCTCGTGCCAATACAAGAGTTATACTTTCAGCGTGTGAGACTCTTTGCCATCTAATGTATATCTTACAAGAGATACAATGTGTCAACTTTCCAGCTGGTTCCAGGTACGTCTATCAATTCAACTGTAATATTTTGTTGTAACAGAGATGTCAAAATCTCCAAAAATATGCTTCGGGTCATTATATCCAATTTAAGCAATAATTGTTAATCCGATGGCTGTTAAATAACCAAGTGCAGCGATAGACGTGGGTGTTGCAGGCAAAACAATAACTTAACATTGATTGATCCCCAGACCCGAATTTAAGGTACGAAAACCGTGGTGTGTACAGCCTCTGTCACCAATTCAACAAAAATAAAAACATAAAAAAAAAACACCCCGCCCCCAAATTGCCCATACTCTCTTAATTTTTCCAAAAATAACAAATGCTTCGACGTACAGTTGGCATGGCCTTGCGGTCAGCACGCCTTTTACCCCGCCATTACACCACAAAACCTACTTTCACCACCATTGACAAGGCCGAAGTTCAAAAGTTTAGTGACAAGGCAGCCGAATGGTGGGATCCCAAAGGTGAATTTGCCATGTTGCAGTTACTGAATCCTCCTCGCGTCTCCTATGTACGTGATCAACTTGTAGGTGCAGCCAGCGATGCTGCTCAGAGTGGTAAACCTTTTGCTGGTATTAAAATGTTGGATATTGGCTGTGGTGGTGGACTTTTATCCGAGGTAAAGGGTAAAAAAACAAGTATCGTTGACATGACTATTAAATATACAGAAAAATATAGTCCCTTGTGCGATTGGGTGGCGATGTGGTGGGTGCAGATGCATCCTATGATAATATCCAAATGGCCAAATTACATGCACGTAAAGATCCTAGTTTATGGCGAGGACCTGGCAAACTCGAATATCGCAACACCACTGCAGGTAACAACGCATTTATGTATTTACGATTGAATGTATACATGTACTGACACACAGACATGAAGAGGATATTATGGAAAAGGGAGAAAAGTTTGATGTAGTGTTGGCTATGGAAATCATTGAACATGTCAACCAACCACTTGACTTTTTAAGAACAGTGGCTGGCCTGGTTCGACCTGGCGGAGATTTGTTTATTTCCACCATGTCACGTACACCAGCTGCCTATGCCTTGACTGTGTTTCTAGCTGAAAAGGTACTGGGGATGGTGCATGAGGGTACACACGATTGGAGTAAATATATCAAGAGTAAAGAATTGATCAATGCAATTCAATCGTTTGGTGAGGAATGGGATGTCAAGGATGTTCGTGGTATTTCTTGGGATCCAATCAACCGCAAATGGAAAGTGACTGAACAGAATGGATTAGTGGGTTATGGCGGTTTAGAGTCTCTCGAAATCAATTATATTTTAAGAGCTTCCAAGAAATTGGCACAATAAAAAATAAAAAGTAAAATGTATTCAGGATAATAATAATAATAATTATAATTATAAGGCAGCGACAGCAACGGCAGGTTTATCTGCTGTTGTTGCTGGTGCCGGTGCTGCAGCTGCTGCTAAGACTGGAACGAGCTCTGGTGCTGCATGTTGCTCTTTATGATGATGATGAGCTCTTAATTTAGCATTTCCAAGCGCTTTTGAAAAAGCCATGGCTGCGCTCTTTTTCTCTCCATGGGCGGGTGGTACAGCAGCAGCAGCCACCTTTAATCGGTTCATGGCTTGAACTGCACTGACTGCGCTTTTTAAGGTTCGGCGCGGATTAAAGTTTTCGCGAACGGTTTCCAGAATATCAATGTCATTGATATCATTACTTGTCATCCATATGTGTTTCTTGGCTTGTGTTGCAGTCAATCGCGCATTCACATCCAATGTTAAAAGACATCGAATAAAATCCTTGGCTAATGTTTACGTGTTACTATGGTTTTGATACATGTGTTGTATTATTTAATATTACACAAGCCAATTTACCTTCAAGAGAGATATTTCTCCAGTATCTTTCGTGGAAATCGTAACGTGCGTTTGTGATTTCATCTACAAGTTCTACTTGGTCTTCTGCTTGGAATGGTTGATAACCGCATAGTAATGTATAAGTAATAACACCCACGGCCCACATGTCAATGGCTGAGCCATACCCCTTTTGAAGTAGTACTTCCGGTGCTACATTGTTGCAATAGATAGATTAGTAAATAAATAAATAAAAAAATAAAAAAAAACTTGGTTGTTATTCTTACCAACATAACCAGGTGAACCACACACAGTCTCCAATGCGGAAGTTTGTGCATTTGTTTTAGCGATTCTGAGAATTAAAAATAAAAAGGGTAGGTGTTAATCGACAATGGTGTTTACCAGCCACAACATGTGCTAAACCAAAGAGAAAAATGTTACCCAAAATCGCAAATCACCAAGTCGGCATTTGATTCAGGTGTTTTAAACAAGAGATTTTCGGGCTTCATATCTATTATAGAGTATAATTAAAATGTGAGGCAAAACAAACGTGCACTAGATTGTTTACCTCGGTGCACAATATCATGCTCATGCAAATATTCAAGGCCGTTCAAGACGGATTTAATGACTTGCACAGCATCTTTTTCAGAAAATTTGCCTCGTTCAAACAAACGCTCGAATAACTCACCACCAGTGGCACTATAGAATAATAAATAAGTTTAATATAGGTACATGTAGTACAAACACGCGCTTACAGTTCAAAAACAAGATAAAATTTGTCTCTATAATAAAAATGGATGATCAATTCCCTGGTTTTGTTTTTATGTAATTCTCTATTTATGTATTTTACCTTGACTCAAAGCTATCATAAAAGCCAATGACATTGGGATGGTCCAAACGACCAAGAACGCTCACTTCATCTTTGACCATATCAAAATGATTCTTCACTGTACGTTTAGGAATAATTTTAATAGCAACCTCTTTTCCATCGCTCAGCCTAATTGCTTTTTTTACAGAGCCAAAGGAGCCGCTACCTACACATTTTTTTTTTCGTCATGAGTATATATTATGAAATAAAAATAAAAGGTCATTACCAAGGACTTCGGCAAAGGTATAATTCTTCTTTTTATCGTAAGATTCAGGCTGTTGTACACCACCGTGAACAATAGCGTCGAGTGCTTTAAAAAGACCCATAAGAGTTTATAAAATAAAGGAGAGAGAGAGAGAGAGAGAGAGAGAGAGAGAGAGAGAGAGAGAGAGAAAGGTCTGCATCGTGAAACTAAACACTATTATAAGCCTCACTCACACAGAAGGCTCAAAATGGAAATAGCCAATCAATGACCGCCTTAAGTGCCGCCCCTTATTTGTGTGTGTGTGTGTGTGCATCTTTTTTAATCCAACTTCTCTCTCCCAAATATGACACAAGAACTGTAAGTAAAAATAGAATGGGAATTTCCGCCCTAATAAAACGACTAATGACATGAATAGAAAACGACAACAAATCAATTCCCTGTTAGCACATAATCCAACCACGATAGCAGTAGTGGATGGACAGATTTACGAAGTCCCGCTCCATCAAGAAGATAACACTTTCCTACTAATTAATCTGCCAAGTCATTTCCCTGAAGAGCCACCTGTGATTACGCTTTCACCTACAGGCCTGCGTCATCCTTGGGTTGAAGGAGACGTTATTATGCATGACGCTTTACCCAGTTGGCAACCACAACAGTCCAACTTGGGTTTCTTGGTCAAGGAAATTCGCGAAGAATTTATGGCAAGACCACCTGCAAGAAAGACGAACGAACAACAGAACGAAGGGTGAGTGCTATTGTTTGTTATACGCACGATGGACCATTAACCCCTATCTCTTCCCCTTGATAGATATAATTCACGCCCACCACCACCCATTCCTGCAACTGTACCATCTGTTCCCGAATATAATGCGATTGCCAAGCTAAGGTAAACCTCACCTTATTTTTATTATCGAATATTAAACTCATTTATTCTATCTTTCCGTAGTCCAGAAGAGATGGAAGAGTTGCTTCAAAACGAAACAGCATTTGATATATTTTTCGAGACGTTGGACAGAGTAAAGAACCTAAAGACGTTTCAGGAGGAGCTTCGAAGTGGTAACGAATTACTAGCACGTAAGTCTATCTTGTATGTGTAGTTTATGTGTATACTCATGGTTGACGGGGGTATTAGATAAGAATTTGGGTAGAGAGGACCAGTTGTTAAAATTACGGTCAGAAGTCGAGCACCTAGATACGATTTTCAAGCAAGAAAAATTGGAATTTGAAAAGAAAGAGAAAATACAAAACGAAGCATTTAACGTAAATTACATAAATATGCATAAATATCTTTTCTCGACTAACAAAAAAAATGTAGAGGTTTTCCTCGTCTACCGTATTGACAAGACTAAAAGGAGGAGTATACGAACAAGATGAATTATCCGAGAAAGTAGCACAAAGCTTTTTAGAAGGCAACCTTGACAACGAAACCTTTGTTAAACAATTTAGAGAATTTCGAAAGGTTTATCATTTACGAGAAAGTAAATTGGAAAGAGTTCAGAAGGATAATCTTTTTGTGTCATCTTATTAAAAAATCATGCATTCACCTGATCTTCCCCCTCTCTTATTAAATTCTCTCTTTTTGTTTTTTAATTGCAACCCTTTTTTACATATATATCGTAAACAATGAGAATTATTTTAGCGGAAACTGGAAAAGAGTTTGAGTTAGATAATGGCATGTTGCTTTCGAAATCGCCATTGGACAATGAGTAAAAAATACATAAACTTCCAACAACGCACTGCTAAGCTTTTCTTTTCAAATAGGCTGTCCGTTATAAAAACTCAAGTGGAAAAGAAAATAGGATTGAAGTATCGTGATCAAATCTTGATTTCCTCTACTGGAATACAGCTAAAAGAATCCGATACAAATATTACAGATATTCATGCCATCCTCGTCCTATTTAATCGCCGGCTACTGCAGGATCCTGCTTGCATTCAACAATTGGCTAGTGCCATACCACAAGCAACACAAAGTTTAATCGATACTGACGCCATTCCTAGCCTAAAAAAATTGGAATCTTGTATGGACCAGTACGAGTCGCAAGATAATCAGACTGCCTTGTTTGATATGCTCCATCATATATTACAGGTAAAAGAGAAGATCTGACATATCTAATTAAAAAAAAAATTAATTGTGATTTTTTTTTTCGTAGGTGTGTGTGGAGGCTTCAAATGAAAGACTGATTGTCATTGATACACTTGTATCTGAATTGAATGCACAGGCGATAGCCCTAAACGCTGCATTAAATAACTCTGAATCCCATGTTCGGTATGTTATATCCAGAAAAATATCAGAAAGAAAAAACTAAATGAAGTAGATCCGCGCAAGAAAATATTGGTAAATTTGATAGGATAGCGCAGCGAGAATTTTCTAAGCAGGTAATAGCTATTGTCGGTATCGATTTCGACATTAAGTTGTTACAAAATATTCGATTACACGCTCGCGTCAACGACACGAGATTGTTAAGCGAATGTGTACCGCTAGAAGAGCTTGAAAATTGCAAACAAGGTATCCTGAAAAACTACGATGGACTTGTGAGCGCAACACTTGAGCAAAAAAACAAGGTGACTTATCTGTATCAGCAGACATCTACTCTGGCTACGCAAAAAGCTAATTGGGAAATTGTACTACAACGAGTTCAAAAAATGAAAAACCAGGTTTATCGTTTTTCACAGTTGGTTCTGGAGATTCAAACAGAGGTGTTGCAAGAGTTGAAAAGGAGACGAAGAAAGAGCAGGAAACTAGCATTGCTTTATCTCAACTTGGATACACCACCCAATTCTGATATCAGCACAACAACAGAAAAAAGAAACGGAAAACTGTTGAATGCAATGAGGTCACTTTATTCGCATGAGACATTTATTCATTTGGCAGAAAAACTAGTCATTGATGAAAAACAAACTTCGCTCACTAGCTTTATTCATTGTATGCAGTCCATCAGTCAAGTTGAAGAGTCTGTGACCAAAATTTACCCGAGATTAGCCGAGCTGGAAAAGGAGATAAAGTTACTAAGGCAAGACATTGAAAAAGGAAAAGGTGCAACTGCAAGAAGAGTCATTGTTGGCTATGTAAATGCGTTTTATTATAATTATTGAGATTCTTCTAAACTCTTTAGAAAATAGGGTATGCTGTTAATCGAGCTATGGCGAAGAGATAAATATACGGAGGTAAGAAAGCTTATTATAAAGTCATTCTACTACAAGCTCCTTATTTAGCAGCGTGATCAATTTTATATAATAGATTGTAAACGGAAATGCAAGCTTACTGCAAAACTTATTTGGTGAATTTGGAGAGCTGGAACAGGCCTACCGTAAAAATTTTGAAAGTGAAATTATCTGTCTTGACAAAAGCCATATTCTATCCGTCGTGGGAAATGAGGAGCAAGCTATTTTACCATTTCAAATGGAAAGTTAGTTTTTCTTTATTGTCATCGGGTGGGTCTATTGTTTATTAAATATGTGGTTTAATTATAGATATTGATGATCCACCTATCGTGTGCAATGCTTCCAGTAATTATCAAGCAGACATTGTTGATATTGTGACTAGAGGAGACGTTCAAGGTAAATTAATATTTATTCATCTCCTCCCTCATTAAGCTCTTATTGTGTATTCTTATAGAGTATATCCAAATGATCCAGTCATTTTATGCGGATAATATGCCTGTGAATAATGAAAAAAGATCGCGGTCTATGACTCGTGATATATCCTCTCTTTTATCTCGCAAGTTAGAAAGAGAAGAGAAAAGAATTCGAACAGGTTTACTAAAATTAGGTATAAAAAGATATTAAATCACAAATTTCGGCCGTTTTATTTTATGTTAATCCTTTTAGAAAAAGGATTGCCCGGTGTAAGCCCAAATGGAAATACAACTCCGCACCGAAAATATTCGACACTTTTCACAAAAATTTGAGTTCCTTTAGTCATGCATTTTTTTAAAACCAAAAACTTGTTAATAAAAGGTATCTCAAATTCTACCAAACTTGACAAAATAGCAATATATATATATATTTTGTAAAAAGAAACTTTTTTATTTACGTTAATAAGTGGTATTTGAGCCACGAGCTTTTTTTACTGCCCGGCATCTATCGGGCATACTTTCTACAAGCTTATGACACACTTCATCCCCCAACAACTTCCATTCCTGATGAAGTGCAACCTCCAATTCATTAAGATTTTGAAGCTGGGCTCTTCTTTTAGCAATCCTTTGTCCCAGGAGGCGCCAAAGGTTCTCAATCGGATTCAAATCGGGACTTTGAGCGGGCCATCGCTCAAAGCCTGCAATCCCAGCCTTCTCTTTCCACCACCTCGTATATCCTCCTGTATGGCATGGGGCACCGTCTTCTTGGAAAATAAAGTCATGACCATATTTCTCTGTCAATTGTTCAAGCCAAGGGAGAAAGTTTTGACTTAAACAATTGACATATTTTTCTTGATCGACAGACCCTTTTAGTGTCACCAAAGGGCCCAAACCGCCTGCCCAAAAACATCCCCATACCATCACTGATCCCTTACCAAATTTAAATGTTGGTAAAACAAATCTATCCATATACCTTTCACCCTTCTTTCTAATAACTCTCACACCACCGTCGTTGTGCCTGAGTGCGAATCGCGACTCATCGGACCAGATTACCTTCTTCCAGTCATCTAATGTCCAATTCATCTTGTCGTCGACCCATTCTCTTCGCGTTTTTTTATGTCTAAGACTCAAAAACGGTTTTTTGGAAGGTCTGCAAGAATAAAAACCGTTTTTGCGAAGTGCATTCCTCAATGTCGTCAGGCTGATTGGATCGGTAGCCTTCGCAAGATTTTGCATATGAACACTTAAAGGTTCAAAGGAGTCCCTTCGAACTAAAAGCGTCAGGTGATGCTCAGCTCTTGCTGTCAGCTTTGCTGGTCTTCCTGGACGAGGTTGGACAGTCGTGATCCCTTCAGTTCGATACTTTTTTATAATCGTAACAACGGTTGTTCTAGGAACGCCCAATTCTTTGCTGATTTGGGTACCTGTCCATTTGGCATGCTCTGCCAAACCGCAAATGACTCCACGATCGAAATCTGAAAGTTCCTTGCTTTTTCTAGAGACTTTGTTAGTAATGTCAGTAAGTGGCATGATAAATTGTGTAATAAAATATGAAAGAATCGTTGAACGAAGAAAGAGTAGGTTTATTTATTTTTTTGGCTCAAAACGGAAGTGTCGAATATTTTATGTGCGGAGTTGTATGTCATCATTGGCTGAAACCAATCAAGAAAGAAACGCCAAGGTAAAGATAGAAAGAGAGCAAAAAATGCGCCACTATCCTATTTTGGATAAAGGCAGGACAAGGGAGAAACCCTAAACTGGGGACAAATTTTGCATGACCTTTTAACCGAAAATGATTGTTATTATTTTGATTATAAAATAGGATTTTTCTCCTCTTTCTCTTCCTTTTCATCATTTTACATCACCTCTAGAAATGAAAGTGGCTACTCCCTTACCGAATTCTGAACATCATTTATCCACTATGGCTTCGACATATCAACAACAAAAAGACTGGGAGCTGGAAAAATCATCAGTAAGTTTATTATGATTCTATGGTATAATATGCATACTTATGTCACTAAAACACAACAGCTGTTACGCCAGACACAAGAGTATAGAAAATTTATTGATGATATAAAAATAAGGCATGACCAGGATAAAACAAAATACGAAAAGGACAAGCAAAGTGTAAATAAATCATGTTATTTTATCATGGTTAAAGCTTTTTTAAGTATTAACATTTGACGTAGTTATTACGTAAATTAAATTTACAAGAAAAGCGGATTGAAGAATTGAAAAGAAACTACACCAATCAAGTAAGTAGAATTTTTATATATCATCATCATCATCATCATCATTTACTAATAAAATCTTCTCAGATTCAGGAATTCCAAATAGAGATTCAAAATGCAGCAAAAGATCACGAAAACAAGGAGAAAGAATGGAAAAAACAATATGAAACTACTTTACAAACAGAACATGAGAAATACGACCGAAGATTATCGGGATTTTATGAACGCATGCAGGCCAAAGATGAAGAGTTTGCAAAGCTGGAAGAATCCTTACGAGAGACAAAAAGTGCCCCCACTTCTCCTACCTCGTCTACATTCATGGTAAACCGCAGCAATACCACCCGTCATCGCTTCCGGAATCAATCGCCACCACCTGTCGTGTCTCAGGAGCAATATGATCGGGATGTCCGAGACCTGAAAAAAAAATTATCCGACCTGGTTTTAGATCACCAATCACACATTGAGCAATTACAGCACACCCAAAAACTGGAACTGGAACAACTCAAAGTCACTTTACAAGACGAACATACAGCACAGTTAAAACAAGTAGCAGATGCTTTACAATCCGAGCATAAGGGCAGAAACGAAGGCTTTTTAACATTGATTAACGCACTTGAATCTGAAAAGAAATCATACGTAGAGAAATTGGCACATTTCGATACTTTAAAAGAGCGAATGGATCTTGACAGGGTCCGAGAATTTGAGTTGCATCAGTCCGTCATGAACGACTTGCGACAGGAAATAGCAGAACTTAAAGAAAAACATCGAAGCAAGATACTACAAATGAATGAAAAGTTCAGCAGCAGCGAATCCAGATTAAAATCCTTGTTTATGAATGAAAACCAACAAATCACAATGCGTTATGAGGCAAGCGTTGAAAACCTCGTAGCAGAAAACAACAATGCCATGCAGGAATTGAGGGACGCCATGGAAAACGAAAAAGAGGTGATCCAAATCAAGTATCAAACCGCCTCTGAAGAGAATAACCGATTATTTTCTATTGAAAGAGATAGCTGGACTGAGCAAAAGGAAGCCTTGGCACGAGAAAACGGTTTATTGACTCAGGCTGTGGATCAAACAAATGCCCAAAAAGAAAAGTTATTTGCAGACTATACTAAATTTAAAAAGGAAAATCTTTTCAAAATCAGGGAACTGGCTAGTGTAAAGAGATATAGTTTGTCTTTTTTTATTATTATTGCATACAAACTAACTCACATGATTTTCTGTTATTAGTTACAGCATGAACACAAAGCTGCAAAACGGGTTGCAATAGATATTCTGTCGGTAACTTCCTCTGAAAATATTGCACAGAATGCTCCACTTGTGGATATTTTAAGAAGAACTCTCTCGAACGTTTCAAGCCTTAAAACACGTAGCAGTATTATGGAACAGGTAACTAAACAAAAGAGATAAGATATGCTGCCCCTGCTGATCTAATATATATTTATAGTCTATCGAGTCACCCTATATGATAGGAATGTCCTCCTATGGATATTAAATTTATCCTGAAGTCCTCACCCGCATCAAACATGCATGTAATATTTTTTATCCCCCCCCCTCACCGCGCTAATTGCCTTCTACATATAACCTTTGCTATCTATTGTAATAAAAATATAAATACAAATCATCAAACTTTCTTACTTTAGACATCATCACATTTATTTTATCATGAGAGGGTATATCGTTCAATAAAATGCAACATAATCGTAATGTTCTGTGTCTTGTATTGGTGGTGATAGTAAAAGCCAGGGCAATCAAAATTGTGAGCTCATTTGGGTTTGTGTCTGGAACTAACTGAGTAATTTAATGTGTAAAGTAATTGTTAGCTACCGTACAAATTATGCTTAAAAAGTAGGGTGTGTTCCTCATCTAGTTCTGATACATTTAGCCAGCACGTTTTGGAGGAGCAAGGCCGGCATATGGACTTTTTTAAAAGCAGATATTCAAAAGAGGTGGTTTCTTTTACTAGAATTGATAAAAGGAGTCAGCCCTCATTCGGTGTATATAGCCTTATTTTTGTTATTGATACTATCATGTACATAAAACTGTTGATTCTATATTCATTTTAACTTTTTTTATACGCATGTGTGGACTTTACCCGGTAATGCGTAACCATTGGGCGCATGCCCTTGTCTCTGTTCTTTTCATGTCTTCTGCGGTAAGATCCTCAATTACTCGCGAAAGAGAATTAAGTTATTTGTATGAATTTTATTTGACAAATGCTTGGGTATTGCCCTTGTTATTCTTCCGAATCTGAAAGTCTTGCTTTCACGATAATTTCTACATAGCTTTTATGTCTCAACTTTATAGATCATAAGAAATAAAATTGGTGGTTCAAAACGAGAATTAAGTTAGGAAACTAATGTAAATACCAACCATACATTTATATATTGTTTCTGTCAATAACTGTAGTTATTTGTAATGAGTAAGATTTGTATTTATTCATTTCATTTGTATCGACCCAAATGGGCCGTTTTAAATAGTACTTGTTAATAAAGGAAGCAAGTCAGCAAAAGAAGCTTAGATGGGAGCACCTTCATAGCCCTTCACCTTTTCTTTCAAAAGATTCTCAGTAAAATTCCATAACTCCAAAGGGGTATCATCTTGAGAAGCCACACCGTTAGGGAGTTGAACATTGGCGAATGGAACGTAGTATTTTCCCTTGATTTTCTCATTTTCTACATCGGGACTGGTGGCTAAATAAAGTTGCGTAAGGGCCCCGTCTTCTGCTGAGATACACAGAAGTTTGTTATAAAGGTATGAGCCTAAAGAGTTGATGCCTACGATATGACGCGAGAGATCGCTGGCAACAATGCCTGGGTGATTGGCATTGACAAAAACATTTGATCCTTTAGCCTCTAAACGCTTGGTAAGCTCTCTTGTAAATAAAATATTACAGGTCTGAACAATAAGTTAATTTCATGTTGCAGATAGTTATTAGAAAACCAAAAATCTTGTTACCTTAGATTTTGCGTAATGGATAGTTCTGTTGTACTTTTTAGGATCGCTGATAGTCTCCAAATTTAATTTCTTAAAATGAATATTGTGAGCCATTGAACTGACATTGACGATACGACTGGGAGTAGAACATTCTAAAACAGGTAATAACAGCATGGTTAAATAGTAATGAGCAACATGGTTTGTAGCAAATTGGCTTTCGATTCCTTTTAGATAAATGTCAATTAGAGGCTGCCTTTTCATGTATCTTTTATACGTACCATCTTCGGATAAAGCAAATGGACTCATCATAACACCCGCATTGTTCAGCAAAATGTGAAGGTGTGTATAACGGGATTTGAACTCTTGGGCAAACTTGGTTACTGAATCCAGTTTGAGCAAGTCAAGCTGGATGAAGTCAACATTTTGATTTCCTGTCTCCGCTTTAATTTCTTCAACCACTGTCTTTGTTTTTTCTTGATTACGACAAGCAAGAACTCTGTTGTCAGGGAAAAAAAAAATTAAGACAACAGAATTTAAAAAATAAAAATAGAAAAAAAATGAGAGTATAACTTACACTGTACACCCTTTTCTGGCCATTTCCAAGGCACAGACTTTACCGATCTACATAATGACCTGACATGAGTAAACTTTTGTGAAAAAAAAAGTACAAATATTTACTTACACCAGTACTACTGCCAGTGATGATAGCGATTTTACCTGTTAAATCAGGAATTTGTTCAATTGAGAAATTTCTTTTAGCAAAATAATCCAACATTTTTTCTTTTTTATTATTGAGGAAAAGAGAAAAGGCTATACAGATGAAAAAAGTAGTAATTTAAATAAGAGCGGGCAGTAGATTTCATTGTTCTTTCTCTTTCCACTTGATTGGGCCGAATTTTATTTTCGGGCTTTTTACTCTATTTATCGCTATAAAACACATGCCAACAGAGGGGTTATACACATAAAAGCTTCCATAGAAAGTGTTACGCTATATAGTATTTATAATTCCTAATTATTAGAGGTATTTCTCTTTTTATTTTCTTCTTTAAAGTTTGAAACTTTATAGTATGGTGTCACTTTTGGAATATCTTAAACACGATGTAAAAAAATAAATTATGGATGTGTATCACTTTATGTAGATTATAGTAACATAATGAACCAATGACGATTCGACGTTTTTTATGTCGCATATGATTCTCTCACTTTGTGAAAAAGTCGTAAGCTTCTAAAGTTCACCATAACGTGCAAAAATGTACAATATCGATGTTTTTCATGCGTTTGGATATAACTATTCTGGCACACGTCCTACAAAAAAAGAACAATAAGTGTATACCGCAATCATATTACAAGTATATTTTAAATGAAGATAGGTTTAAATTTTTATTTTATATAGAAATGAGAATCCAAATGAGGGTATAATGTACAGTTAATATAAGTCTTTACTCGAGACACAAAGTCCAAAAGTCGGGTATCATACAGAAATACAAATCAATAGCAGATCTGAATCGTCTTCGATACATTTTTGGGGAAACAATGGTAGGGTCTTTTTTACCCCCGCCTAGCATACCGGATTCTTTCACCCAACTCTCCAGCTTTTTGTCCCATGTAAATGTTCGAATAAAATCTTTAAAGAAAAAAAAAGTTGGTGTTAATTGTCATTTCCTTGGATACCGCCATTGTATTTATACTTTACCAACTATGCCAACAATAATCTGGTTTGTTTCCTCGTCAAAACCTACCAAGAGAGAATAATCCATCACATCCAAATTCAATAAGAACTGTGTATCATTAAACAGTGAATCCGATAAATTGCATTTGGTGTCTACTCTCATGTAAAGTGGTGTTTTGCTGATGACTATAACAAAAAAAAAAAAAAATTAAAAAAAAACTAATCGTTTTCGATACCACTTCACATTGGATTTTTACCTTCAACTAAATTTTCATCCAAAAACACCTCAACATCTTTCCCAGACTTCTCAGCGTATCTGTTTCTCATGGATCCTTTTAAATCAAACACCTTTAGAAAAACAGAACAAATCAGTATATACATAATGAATGAAACCGATGACAATCTTACCATTTTAACAGAAGTTTCATAGAACAAATTTTCCATGACTAAAATATCCATCTTCATGGATTTTCCACTCACATTATTGTAAAAACCAATTCGATACAGGCCAAATATTTTACACAATACGGTGGGGATCTTTAAGATATTAGTTTCTCATCTTCTTTCAATGTTGATATATACTCACTCCTTTGTCAAAACTTCATTAAACATGTACAAGAAATACTTGTTTGCAGAACCCAAAAATGCGTCCATTTCATACTTTGATATTTGCTTGATCAAAAATCTTTCATCTAATAATAAGAAAAAAGAATGAGTGTGGATTCCATAAGATTATGTCTTTTTTACCTTTTGTTTTCAAAAAAATGGATCCGGATTTACCACCATCTGTATCCCATGTTGTACACCTTGCCAATGAAGAAATAAATATTTCATCACAGCCACAACTCTTTCGAAGCATATCAAATTGTTCGGCAAAATAGATTTTGCAGGTAAAACTAGTGGATCCACCTTTGAATGCTAAAAAAAACAACAGAAAAAACAATAATTACAACTAAAGCCCGTTAACATGTCTCATAGTCAACTTACAAAACTTCCAAGGTCTTTCTCTTTCGTCAGTCTCAGGAAACATCTCCAAGAAAAACGGTTTTGTCTCTTGCTGTTGATTGCCGTGTTCATTTGTACTAGCCTCAGACTTTTCCTTCTCTCCGCCACCTGTGAAAATATTGGATGTGGAAACGCCAGCAGCGTTAGACATTCTCAATTCTCTTCTCCTGTGTAACTTCTCGTTATAGAATGTACTTCCAAGCATATAAGATATAATACTACTCGGCTCATCTTCTCTGACCAAAATGTTGGAATCACCAAAAATATGTTCCGTAGGAGAACTATTATAAAGTTAGACACAAAAATTGTAGTAAATATTAAAAAAAACATACAAGGGATATTCCAATGGCAATAAATTACTGATACTCTTTTCTGCTAATACATAGGTAATTGCCTTCATGATTGAATTCTTTCCGCTTACACCAGGAGACCAATCCAAGTTAGAAGAGACCGAGTTATTATCTAAGAGACAAGGATTAGAATACGGAAAGTTTATGTTGTAGTTCAATGGTTTGTTTTTACCCAAGCTCATGGATGAATTGTTCGAGGATCTCAAGACGGCTTCCATGATTGCATTACGACTTAACGTTTTTGACATTTGATGATCACTAAACGAGCCTTCATCATGGGTTAATTTTCGATGCGGTGCTACAATACCCGAATCCACACTGAGATATGGCAACGTATTTCGTGTCATTTGTAACTGATGCTCACGATTAAATTGTTGTAGCTCCAAAATACTAGGGACTAACTCACGGCCCAAGGATTCATCATATTCATCTGTATACGTCAATGAAAACGTCTTGTGTTGGAAGGGCAATAACTCATCACCGTCTTCGGAAGAAGAAGAAATGCCTTCGATATCATCATCGTCTGCGTCACCCTCATCGTCTTCATCATCATCCGAAATACCTTCATCTTCTGAAGAGGAAGAAGATTCATCATGGGTTGCAATAATTTCTTTAATTTTGGTGTATGGCTCCAGCGATGCTTTACTTGGCAATCGCTGACGAATGTTTCGAATCTTTCCTTCCGATAGTTTTCGACCATGATGATGATAGTGATGGTGGATTGGAATTGGTAGATGAGATTGATGCCCACTAGTTGTTACGGTATTGGAGAATTTGATTGATGGCACTTGCAATTTTTCACTTGATGCCGAGGAAGAAGCGTTCATAAAGTTGGATGAAGGTACGGGAATACGGCCTCCCCCCATCATACGATTGGGGCTGGACACCTTCATGTTTTGTTGATGATATGTCAATAAATTACCGGTCGAGGTACCAGCTACAATAGCCATTGTTCGTGATCGTGGGCGTACTACGGACGCATCTTGAGTAACGGAAATAGCTTGTTGAGATGCTTTTACGGGTAATGTAGACGCCGCCGAAGAGAATTGAATTAATGCCATGCTGTTGCTATTACTGACCTTAACAGAATTGTTATTGTGGGTGTTCAATCCCAACTTTTTGTCAATTACAGGTAAAATAGGTGGTGTGTTATTGCTAGGAGGACCCATAAAGCCATATCTGTAAGCAATAGATGATCGATCTTGTAGCTTGGATGCGTATGGAGATCCACGATAAAAATTGATCTTCGGTGTTGCATGAGGGGGAGGTGGAGGTGGAGGGGGTGCAGGTGCTTCAGATGAAGATGGGCCGTCCAAAAAAAAGTTGGAAGAAGCCTCATAGAATTGTGACTTACGATTAGTGGCCTTGTTATTGTTCATCTCAATGAGCTTTTGATAAGGTGAAATCGGCTTCGGCTTGTCTAGATTATTTCCAGGGGAAGGTGTGCTTTTTGATTTACCGACCATGGGATCAGGTAAAAGACCTGCTATACGTTTATATGCCGTTGAAGACAACATAGGTAAGTTAACAGCATGACGAATTAGTCGAGACGAATTGTGTTGATTATTATTGTCGGCAGTCTCCGCTGGTTTTTCTCTTGGAGTCATTGGATGAAGCATTTGTGCCGCAGAAGGAGGAACAATCAAAGCTGTAGAAGAAGACATGGGAGAAGGAGGTGGAGGTGATGGCGTTTTTCTACCTTCAACAATATGCGACTGCTCAAGATACTTTTGTTGCTGTTCTTGTTCCAGAAGTTGTTGCTGTTGCTGTAACTGCATTTGTTGCTTTTTGTCCTCGGCTTGTTCTTTTTTCTTTTTAGGGGCGTCTTTCATTAATTCGAGCGACAAACGTCTTGCTACACTTGGATCTAAATCTCGTGATTCTTCTTCTTCGACCGAATTTTGACGGTTACTGCTCTTCATATTAACAGCGCCAGGTGATGAAGGACTAGACCCCATCAAATCAATATCGCCGCTGAATTTCTTTTTGTTGGCACTTCCAACGCTAGTGCTAAAATTATTAGGATCTTCGGTCTTGTTGTCCTGCATAAACATTTGATCAAAGCGTTTGAGTTCATCAAACCAGGGATATGATTCCGTTGGCGATTCACCTAATCCAGGCTGTTCTTTGAGAGTCATGTCTACAAAGGATACATCTTCAGATGTATTGACAGAATTGGAAACACCGTAGGAAGATGCAGAGGGGGTATCATCTAGGCCTACATCCAGTAAAGGTAGGTCTGCTGCCTCGATCGCTCTTTTTGTACGCAAGTTTAAGTTGGAAACAACAGGTGTAGCGTTACTATTGTTATTATACAAACTTTCGGCAGGAAACATTCTTCGCAAATGGTTGGTAGTCAATCGTCTTAATTCGCGTTCGGGTCGAACAAATCTTCGTGCAAAATCAATATACTTGAGATCCCAATTGACGGCGTGATTTTGCAAATCAGCAAGTACGTTGTTCAATTGTAGAGTATCCGTAGGCGCACTGGTGGCATATTCTGATTGAAGCTTTTGTAATAAGCTCTTTTTGTTTTTAAGCGCTTCTTGTGACATTTCTTGTAAGTGTTCTTTACATGTTTCAATCATGTTGGGTTGAACGATATCGTATGAGAAGGCCTTGTTTCTTTCAATGATTGAGTCAAAGAACTTTGCAATTTTAGATCGTGTAGAATCCAGAGAAGCATCTTTGATAGCCATTTGCTGTTTCGGACTGAATCTTAAATGAAGAGGAGGGGGATGTACTTCAACTACTCTGACCTTGGCATGTGTAAAATTGACTGACAAGTTTTGAATTCGGAAAGAAATTGTATGGTCGCGATATAAACCGTGAGGGCATCCATTATCTCCTCCTTCATCTGCAAAATAACCGTTTGCACTACCAGATTCACTTTCGTTGTCATAAATCGGGATGGGTTCGGATTGATAAAATAAAAGCTCCAAGAATTTACCAAACGAATAACGCTGAAGCAAATCAGACATAGGCTTCCAACTATGTAAGACCTTGCAAATATTACATCTTGTACGAATAAAGATATGAATCTTGCGCAAGTATTCGTCTCGACTAATATCAATTCTTTCTTCAAACGGTTCTTCATCGCCATTGTCATCCTCAGAAAACACTTGCATTTTGATTTGAGCATTACCGTGCGAATATGTCTTGTCGTGGTTGATCAAGGACGCTTCACACATTTTGTTACCACATATCGTGTAGGCCTCCTTGGTTGCATTCAGAATATATTGTCCAAGCGTGTAGTCACTGGTAGGATCGTAATAATTGTAAGGTTCCAAAACTGCCTTTTCACATGGAATAGTATGGTTATTCATTGGATTTGTTGTACGATGCACAAGAATTTCCTGATGATGAACCGGTGACAGAGATTGATGAATCCCATTAATATACTTTTTGAATATGTACCATGCTTGCACATGTAAATCTTGATAATGTCGGTACTCAAGATCGTGTTCCAAATAAACATCGAAAGCCTTCAGATAAAACGGCATATACATCAAGTCTGTAGGAATAGGTGGGATGACAGGAGGTGTATACTTACTACCATCTGGAGCCTTTTCATTGTTAGCATCTGAAGGCACTGTTGGTATTTCTTCTGGAGCTGTATTAGCCAATACATTTCCCATAATGGAAGGACCCAACCTTTCCCTAATTAATCCAATCAACTTCTTTTGAGCATCACGAAGCTTTAGCAAGATATGAGGCACGGGTAAAGTTACACCGGGAGAAATTGAAAGCATTGTATTTTGATATTGTTTCAAAACAGTATTGATAGCTGTGAGACAGATATCATCATCTTCAACAATAATAGTATCGTGGTGATATTGCTGTTGTGATTTTTTCTTTGCTGCTGCTACATCCATAGTATTTACAGTCATTTGCGACTCAGCAACAGACAAAGCAGAAATACTTTGCGTGTCGACCTGCAACATATCAACTGATGATCCCTCAATGAATGAAGATCCTGTATTTGGTCTTCCTACACTCCCTTTCGAATACTGCAATAAAGTGGATGAATCATCTTCGTGACTATTTTCGAGTTCATCATCAAATGACGCATCGTCATAAATCGGTAAATTCCATCTACGTAACTCGATAAAATCCTTTCGCAATTGAGCTTCCAAATTGATATTGTTGACAACGGTTACCATGAAGTTCATAATAAACTTAATGATGCAGAGCGTATTTAAATCACTGCCTCTTAAAACCACAGTTGCCCCTCTTTCCTTTGGACATTGGCTGAACATCAAGAATGTTTTGCGTCGATGATGAAGATATTCGTGCATAATTGTAAGTGTTTCAAACATACCGCATCTACCAGGTGTTATGGCCTTTGCAGCCCATAACTCACTCTTATAGCTAAATACCGTAGCATCTGCACAGCGAGCGATTGCATCTAATTTTTGCTTTTTGATGTTGTACGCTACCACTATTTTTACCTTGTTTAATCGTTCGATGACGGTACGAGGAACATCGGCTGCAATTAATACAATAGACGGTTTCAACAAAATGAGCTTATCCACCAAATCATTCATATGATTCCGTTCCCAAGCTAAGAGACTATCAAACTTCAAGTATTCCTGTCTGGGAACACCTGTATTATTTTCTCCGACGTTTTGGCCATTGTTAGCGGTTACTGTTGATGTGCTATTGCTGGTGCTACTGAATCCGTTTAAATCAAAATTCAAAATAATGATTCGAGGATTTTCAATTTTACGAATCATATCCTTATGCACAAGACTTTTTGATAATACGACACCACTTACGGAAAAACTATCCTTTGGTAATCCACCAGGTACTTTCTTTATCTTAACATAATGATTCATATTGAATGTATCTTTCACCCGAATATTAGGTTGAACTTCGTCGGCGATTACCAATAAAAGTCGCATCATCATGTCCTCCCAAGCTTGATGAGTCGTTATAGCAACTCCGCATTCCTCCAATAAATGTCGAAGGATATTTCGCATAAGGTAGAGATATGACTCGTCCCATTGTTCATGTGTAGCAATGGATGCTGGATGTGCTGTTGTTTGAGCTGTCATCGATAAAATTTGAGTACGGACGTGTTCCAGATCGGGTGTAGTGCAACGTGCAGAAGGTATAGCGTTATTTACACCAACAGCATTGCTATTACTATTGCTGCTGCTACCATATTGATGAGGTTGTAAAGAAGGGCTTGTTCCGTAGTTCATTGTGGTGCTACCTCCGCTTTCATTCCCACTACTTGAGCTTTGGTTGGCTGACTCCATCATAATGCTCGCTGTTGTGATCGGCGTATTTCTCATCAAACTCTTAGTTCTCACACGAATATGTCTCGTGGAAGAATTTGTGGTGGTTGCTGTGTTTCCGCTTCCCAGACTACTAAAGTTGCCAGTATTGGTGTTACTACCTATCCCGTTTGAGTTATTCTCGGTCAAGCTTAATCTTCTTCGGATGATGCTGTTAGATCTATCGTTACCAGAATTTGGTCTCATATACCAAGAAGCTTTTGTTGTACTAGTGCTTGTACTTGTACTTGCCACCGGGGTTGCTGATCCAGTTGGTGAGTCTGGATAATCATCAAAGAAGGGAGGGATGTTATTGAATATACCGGAACTAGGCCTTTCTCCAGTGCCACCGCCACCGCCCAAGAAATTCAGCAAGTTTCTAGGGTTTTTATCCCATCTCCTCAAATCATCATCCTCTTCATAATATTCAACATTTTGTATAGCTGCATTGTTTCCATTTACTCCATTATGATTCACGTGACTATTGTGATTGTTGCTGTGGCTATTAGAATTGTGCTGGTTGCTATTATTATGCGGATGAGCCGATGACCCGGAGGCAATAAAAGAGTTTCGTCGAAAAGGCATCGGAGAGTTCAATTGCTGTTGTTGGCGACCTTCCAAAGCAGCCAAACTAGTGTCAATACCTAAAGAGTTCATTGTACTTGTTCGGGATCTTGGAGTCGTCCTCAGGAATGTATTTGTAAGCAATTTTTTGATACCAACGTCGGGATCACCTGTAGTATGATGAGATGATGTGGATTGAGAAAAATGAAGATCAATGTTAGGCCGTTGAATCTCCAGACTGTTTGTAGATCTTTCAAATTCATCGTCACTGCTATCATCCTCATTGTTGTTGGGTAATAGAAACGTCTTTTGTTGATGTTGTTGTTGCTGTAGTTGAGGCGATAAATCTACAGTGGTGGATGATGCATAACCATAGCCATCTTGGATAGACAATGTATCATCTGCTTTTTGTAGCTCGTATTTAATGAAGCATTCGTTACATACACGTACTGAATGACTCGTATGGATGCTATTCCCAAGACACTTTGAACAGAAAATTCTACCTACATTATTAAGGTTTAGAATCATATGATGATGATGTTCATACAAAGCCTCTTACCACAAGTTCTACAATGATGTTTTCTCCTAAAGATGTTGAACGGAGCATTGCAATCAAAGCATTCTCTACACTGTTCATCCGGCATCCAAAAATCCTTATTACTATCCATTGATTCTCCTCGTAGTCGATTCAATATCCGACTAAGAGAGTTTGTGTTAGAAACCGAAAAGGTTGTCATCACAGATTGAGTATCGCTATCACATGAAGATGTTTTAGTTAAGGGTATAAGCATGGGAGGTGGATATAATATTTCTTGTTGTTGATTTTGGTCTTCATCGATAACAATATGCTTAATAGTTGATTTTGAAGACGAACTGGTGGGTGCAGTAGAAGGCGCTTTTGTGATAATAACAGGTGTCGTGACATTTTTTACGTTAACTTCTGAGGCAGTGACGATGGATTGTGGTCGTTTGTCTATAGTATGTGTTGCTGTAGTGGAAGATTTGATAGAAGAAGCCGAAGTAGGTGCGATAGATTCCCCTGATATTGTATGAGTCAATTTTTGATTTTCCGCAATGTTGTTCACATCTTCGAGAATCATTCCACTTTCATTGGAAAGAACGATTGATATTGTACGTGTCGAGGAAGATGGTGATGTCGATTGCTGAGGTCCAGAAACTGCGGTTTTGAATTTGGAGAATATCTTGGATATGAGACCTTCTCCATCACCTTCGACAATAATATTGAAGGTTGTCAATGAAGAAGCGTCATCATGATCTAATCTAGACGGTTTTTCCATTTACTCTCTGGATCACAAAGAAATACAGAGAAAAAGTCAAGTTAATATTATGGAAAGGGGGGTAAGTTTATTTAAGTTGGTATTTGGAATCCAGATGGTTTATTTGTTTATATGGGATAAAGGTACACAGGATATGACACTGGACGAGCCGGGCTTTATCAAGAGAGCAGCACCCGTAGCATAGATAAAGCTTTGTATGTTACTGCTTTATCTGATACTCACAATGTTATAGGCATTGTCAGTCATTAGGATAACGATGGGGATTACAACAAATAGACTCAAACAAAAGAAAACCATGTATAAAAGGGTTTTCTGGCAAGAACATTGGTCTTTGGACATTTTAAAAAGTGTCCATAATTCCACAGCTGCTTATTAGTTGAGGTCCTTTATTGAGACTAAAAGAATACCAAAAGGTTGCACAAACCTTAACGGCATCAGGCATTAAAAGTATTGTCTAAGGAACGCCAACAGTAAATCGTACGTCTTCTATACTAATACATCTCTTTTCTTTCCCTACTTGGAAATAATAATTGATTGATATATCATTAGAAGTACCGAAAAGACGGAAGGATAATAAATAAAGTCGATTTTTTTTCTGTTGTCCTTATTCGGCAACACAAAGTTTTGGGATGAGTCAGCAATCAGGTTGCTGCTGGGAGGAAGGATCTGTTCGCCACTTACATTAGAGTAAAGTTTCTTGCTCGACATTCAGGGCAGTGTGGAAAATTTGTTATTTCCGAATCTTTGACAAAGATCTTTGGGGTCGATTATTTTTGTGTTTGTTCATTATCTGTAGTTTCATAGGATTCTGTCTAGGACTTGGATTGAAGTAATTACTTACAGACCGTCGATATATACGTACATACATGGAAGTAACTTGAAGTAGAAATCCCGATGTGGCTTTGTCTAAATCAAACTTCGTCATTTATAAAAGACCTATTTATCTTGTTTTGGTATTATCATTATTTTACGTAATACCATTTACCGTTTTTTATTTTCAAGATCTCACTTGTAAGTATCATGCACCGGATTTTTTCTAAAGTTTATCCGGGCACCCAACGGATATTGTTTCCCAACTTTTATTTGACGTTTTCTCTCAGCCCCTCCCTGCCCCTTAGTGAATCTTGGTAATGCAGAAACTCCAGTTTATACAAACACTTAATAAACTATGCTTATTCCTATAATTTTCTAAAGAAACATCATACATTTTCACTTTCCACTCTGACTAGATGACTTGAGTGTCTCTTGTTCACCACCCCCGCTCAACTAAAAACAAAAATTAACTATCTCATCAAATATCCGTTACTATTAATTTGGTAACCTTAATGATAATGTAGCATTATTCTTCACCCAGACTTTATGTCTGCGAATACAGTATCGTGTCTTGTATATCCACTGCCAAAGACACCACGAACAGGATAGATAGCCGAGGTGCAATTATGGTGCACCAACCTCAGAATGTACGGGGTTCCTCTACTGTAGCCTTCTTAACGGTTGGGCTCTTAAGGTGGTGGTATTTTTGCACCGGATATTCAGACGGCTCAACCATGTAAATGTACAAAGGGATGTTATTGGAGCATTTTATCAGCAGAGATAAAATGTCCTGCATGGTATATAAGATAATATAACAATACCTGATTTGCCTTCATGATGTACCTTCTCAGTTCCCGTAACCTAGGCTTCATATTTAATGGGTATTTTGACTCTTCCAACTCTTTGGGCGCTTCTTCCTCTTTTTACAATAATATATACAGGAGTAAGGAAATCAATTCACCTGAGAAAAAATCAAAATCCAGCCACCTCCGCCCAGTAAAGAAAACACTTCATCACATTTTCTTTTGTTTGATCCTTCCAAATTTAAAACTCAATACGTGCAACAATAAAAATATCATTTAAAAAAAACAGGTAATAATTTTATTCTTCTTTTCTTTACAACACTTATTTATTAAACCATACAAAAATGGCCACGTAAGATATATGTTTTGGTAGACTATACACAGTATTTAATTTATTTAAAAATAGTCAACCTCCCCAATCTACCCCTATCACTGTCTCTGAACTCGCCAAATATAATGGCTCTGACCCTTCTCTCCCCATTTACGTGGCTATCAAGGGTGATGTTTTTGATGTCTCAAAGAACACCAGTTCCTATGGTCCTGGTGCTGGCTACAGTGTGTTCACCGGTAAAGATTCTTCAAAGGTATTGTGCTTTTTTTTTTTTTTTTTTTTTTTTGTGAGAGTCGTGTTAAGATTCGGGATTCTTACTTTGTAATTTAAAGGCTCTTGGAAAGTCATCATTAAAGCCTGAAGAATGTATTGCTGATTACAGTGATCTCACTGAAAAGGAATTAGAAACCTTGGAACAATGGCACGCTTTTTTCTCTAAAAGATATAACATTGTCGGAAAAGTTGTCCCCGATAATTAAATAAAATAAAAATAAAAACATACGCCCATACATTTTTGACGAATTGAATTAAGCGTGAAAACTGTTCCCTGCCTGTCTGGATTTAAAGTCTTAAACTGTGCGAGTTCCTCCCCTCCCCTTCTGACCAATATATTTCTCTTTGTTTTCAATTCATATCATACAAATGGCAACTATAGCAAATTCGTCTGCTTCACAGCATTGGAACTACTTTTTAAATGGTCTTGAACAAGCGTCAAACTGGCCAAAGACTTTTATATTATTTTACACGTAAATTGAACTAAACCTTTCACCCTTATGAAACTCATTTATCAAAAATTAGTTCATCGAGCATTCAAAAGGCCATGTTGACTACCTTTCTCTTAAATGGTGTCATCTTTTTAGGCGGTCAAGTCTTTTTGGAGACTTTATATCCTCAATCCTCGTTATTTGGATGTTCTTATGTTGTTCGTATTCTCATGCGAAACTCATTATTCGGTTGAACTCACTCTTTTTTCATACAGTCTTTACTTGGTTTCCCAGCATATATCGCTTTGCTCGTGATTAACGGCAAGTTCTTTTCCAAAGTAGCCGAGAAATCCTATCAAATACAATCCAGTCAACAGAAACAGAAGAATACAACCAGCGTTGTTGAAACCATGGCATCTACCATTTTTACTATCATTTTATATATTAACTCTGGAATCTTTGCTGCTCTCTTGGTAAAAATCCCTTTTATTGGTTTAATTTTATCATTCCTGATGAATTGTATCATCACCTCATATTATTGTTTCGAGTAAGTCACCGTGTCAATGTAGATTAGGATCATTTTATTAATTTTACTTTTAGATATCAATGGATTTATAAAGGCTGGAATATTGAAAAACGTTTAGCATACATGGAAAAGCATTGGGCATACTTTGTTGGATTTGGTAAACAATAGAGAGAGTAATTAAATATGTGGCAATAATATTAATGAATGCATTTTAGGATTACCTGTTACTGTTGTCACTTTCTTCCTCTCCTTCCTTCGTTCGGGTGCCGTATTCTCTCTTATTTATCCCTGTGTAAGTAGTGACATTTGCCTTATTAATACATGGTCATACTCATCCATTTATAGTTCATCATCATGTCCATGATGGCTGCTCCTAAGGCCACTACCACTTATAGTCAAACATTGGCCTCAGGTGCCAACGCCCAATCTGAATGGAGTTTACCTAACAGTATTCCCTTTTTCTATCCAGTTAGAAAAATGAATGACTTTGTCATTCTGGTGGTACGCTTGCTTGGTGGTGTCCATGCTGATTCTATCGTTTCAGAAAAGAAATTAGCTAGTTTAAAGCAAGAATAAGTTATAATCAAATATCTCAAGACACTCATAATCGCATAGTTTAAACCTTTTCGACATCTCGGTATCTAAATATGCGTTTACCCTATCAAATAAAGAAATAATGCTATGCATTAATGTACTGAAATATAAAGTTTTTTTTTATCTTATATTTGGTTGACTTTCATCGGCTATTTTTTTAGGCATAGGGTTTTGGTAGTAATCATCTCAATTGTAAGGAGGTCAGATATGATATGAATACTAAGTAGCGAAAAGAATACAGGAGAAAACCCGCAAACATAAAAGGCAATATACTCACTAAGTAGCAAAAGACTTTAACTTTCGGCTGAATAGTTCAAATCAACTCAGAGTGGAACACGTTTTGGAAAACGAAATGAGGGTTATGTTAGATCTGTAAATAAGCTTGACGGACATTTACTCACAAGGATACATGTGCTATGCCAAATTGGGTTTTTCTATATGTGTACTATTGACCGTAAAGTGTAAAACTTGTCGCCTAACTACATATGCAATATTTTCAAAATTTTATATGCTTGGAACAGTCGTAAATGATGATGCTAAATGATATAAATACCAGAACAATTTATGTAGTTAATAAATTGAGAACATCTTATTATTGGAATTACTGTGATTGATTTATGGGTGCCCCTCCCTCGTATACACTCTTACACACTTCAAATGATGGGGGTATATTATTTAATGAAAGACTGTAGGGAACATTAATTATATCTTTTCCGGGATTAGGATCATGTAGAATTGCTTATTCATAAGACAGAGAGCCTTATACATAGAAACTGGCAGCTCTTAACTAGTGTGATAACGCGTGATTTATGGTTATATTTTAATTATTTGTTGTTATGTAATGTGATGACTCTTTTATTATCATGAGCAATGGTATCCTCAACAAGAGTTTGTTTCGAATATTTTTGTAGCTTTGAATTTAAACCTTCCCATTCAAAAAAAAGTTTTTTTTTGAACTACCATTGGATATTCATGCAAAACAAGTTGGAGCATGTAAATTAAACATTTCAACACGTTAACGCACACCTAAATCAATTTCCTTTTTTGGGGTATGCAATTCTGTCCTTCTGATTGGCTCTTTTACAGCATTTTTGGTCTCGTGATTGGTTCTGTTACAGTGGCTCTAATGATCTGATAGACTGGAAGTCCCCTTACTACAGGCGCAGCGCTTGAACACCCAATGCAATAAGCACATGTGTGATGATACAATATACAGCATCCTGTGAAAAAGAAAAAGACTAATATTAGTGCTACTTAATCCGGACTATTCATTGGCTAGTGTTGGTAGACATTAACGAGACTTGAATAGTCTCTGTGAGTCAAATGTGGTAATATTATTGTAGGAAAGTGTTTGGTTTCCTAATATGAGACAAATCTAGTTGTAATTAGAATTGTGAAGCATAAGATAATCGTATATTTGCTTATTTAATTCCCATTAGGGAGAATGCCGGAATCTGTCACATGAAAAATGGAAACTCAGTTATAGCTTCCGCCCTAAACTTAATTGGTATTTAAACATCATCCAAAAAAAATCTCTTTCTACCTCTTTTCTCTCTTGTTTCAAAATGACGGCAGTGGCATCATCATCAAAAGGAAGTTTTCCATTCTCGCACGGAAAAAATTCATTAAAGTTTGACAAATTTGTATCAGAAATACCACTCTTCTATTCCTCACCCGCAGTCATTGAATCAAATAATCCCACATTCCGAACCACAGCATCCTTAGCATCGTACGTTAATGACCCAGAGCTGTATATGGGAGAAAATTGTGATGCAGGATATGAACATATGTTGATGAATTCAGATTTGTGTCAATTATTAGACAATGATATTGATGGCTTTTCAAAAACAAATCAAAACTTGGATGTAGATATGTTTAGCTCACCAGAGAAACGCAGAGCTCAAAAAAGATTACAAATGTTATTAACCCATGTCAATCACTCTTTCCTTAAAGATACCACAAACAACACCAAAGGAAAAGGGAAAGAAAAAATAGTATAGATGATGTAACTTATTTATACGCTCTTGTACATATATGAAATAAATTGTTTTTTACATCTGTTTGTCATGGCGCATGATGGATGAACGGGTTTTTAAAATTCTGGAAATAACGCTAAAAAAAAAGGGCCATTTTATTGCATTAAAGGGATTAGAATAAACATGCAACAGCAAAAACGATGAGCATATATATGAAACATTTTATCATATTAATATGGGACGCCATTGACGCTACTTTTTGTGGATGTGCCGAAGCTCTTGGGGGAGGGACATTATATGGGCTGTTGTGATTTGGTTGATCAGTTGACGTTAAGTAGCTTTCAAATACCGTATTCTCATCTTTTAAGGTCGTCACGATTTCTGTGCAGAAAATTGTTTATAATGCAGTTTACAGAACTATGATCTACATACTTACTTTCTATATCACAGGTACCATTTACATTGATGCACTTTGGCGCGGACATCAATGAATCTGAAGAGTTAAAAAACAGTGTCATATTTTTTATGTTTACAAAAGCGTTTTCTTTGACTGGCCCTTGACTAAAGTTTTGATTACCATCGGTCCAATGATTGAACATTAGTCTACTTGGCTTCGTAAGGATATTAGTAGTCATGCGATATGATTCAATACCGTCGATAAAAAAAATTGTCAAATCTGGATACCAATCAAAACGATATTCATGATATTCCTGTACGCACATAAATGAAGATTTAGAGGTTTATAGTTGCTGCTTTTTATTATTTGTACTTACTTCAGTTGGATCATAATCAAATATGTAATTCCCATGGGTTAATGCCGACGCTTTTCCATTATCCGTTAATCCAGGGTGCATTGCAAAGTATGCTTGTGAGGGTTGTACGGAACCCAACATTTCAATATCGATCTCTCCCTCAGGATGAAAAATAAACATGCCAGTAACCGTTCCTTCAACTTTGGTAGTACGAATAAAACTACGGAACGATCCATATAAAAAATCTTGTCTCGTCGTGCCAATACCACCGCAATGTATTGGGTTGCCTGTGCCATTATAAAGAGGATCAATGGTGACCCCTATTTCCAAAGACTCGTCCCTTATTACAACATTCTCTTTACGAAACACTCTTGAATACGGATCATTGAATTTGGCTGCAATTTCGTAGTTTGAAAAGAATAAATCTTTATGAGAATAAAGATACTGATTCCCACCTCCAAAATTCGTTTTTTCTTCAAAGCTCATATGCCACATTTCGTTCCAGTTAGAATTAAACGAAGGATCATTGTAGCCACAATCACAGTTTGAGGATATAGAAATATCTGCTGCGTTTGCTAATGATAGTATTGCGATTCCTGCAATTGCAAAAAAACGCACCATTTTTGTTTTGTTTTTGATTTTTGTCGAAAGCAATTAACTAGAAGAGAAAGCACGTCGTCGAAAAAAAATAATTTGCGATGCCTATATGTATATTCCGAAATTGTAAGTTTTAAGATTAGAATAAATTAGCGCAGATAACAATTGCGTTTATTTGCATATATTTGCATTAACAATTTTCTTTTTTTTTTTGCATAAATCATTTGTATAGATTATAATTTTGTAAAGATTATAACATGCTATATATGTAAGATATATTCTTTGACATATCAAATCTTTTAATCCGTGTCTGTATCGACAGTACATCTTTAGTAAGCTACCTGGTATTTATAATAAACTTTAAATATCAAGGATTATTAAGGCTTGTAATCAAAGAGCCCTTACTTAATTCGATCGTAAAATTGATAAATTGGGCCACATTTTACGCATTGTACCTTCTTTACAAAACTATATTCTGATCTCAAAAGACATAACCTAAATTTAAAATTGCCAGCCTTATAATTTTGTTGGGACAAAAAGTTATTTATTGATGTAATCCAAAAACATCGACATCCCATGAATAATACGGATCACCCAGTCTGTGTTGTTCTTTTCCTTCTATCAATTTGTTAACCGCACTAAAATCATCGTCATCAAGCTTTACATTATGGAAGTTGGAGATGATACGGGATGGTGTGACTGATTTAGGAACTACAGAATATCCTCGTTTGATTCCCCACGATATCAAAATCTGTGCAGGTGTCGCATTGTTTTTTTTGGCGATCTCAATCTAAACCCATGGACCATCAGTATAACTTCTAAATTTGTGAAAAATGACTTACAATTGTGGCATCCTTCATCAAAGGGGAATCGCTACTACCGAGGGGAGAATAAGCAGTTACTGTAAGATATAAATATTTAGCTACAAGGTAATGTGATCATGGGCACCTCATTACCCAAAATATTATGGTCTTGACAATATTTGACTAACTCGAATTGGGGTAAAAATGGATGGATTTCGATTTGATTGACAGCTGGGGGGATCTTTTGAGTTTTGGAAAGTTTTTCAAAATTTTCGATACTGAAATTACTGACACCGATAGTGCGAACTTTTTCACCGACTAATTCTTCCATCGCCTACAGAAAGAAATAATCAGTCATCGGTATATAGCGTTCAAGGTTAGGCTATGGTAACCTACAGCGTATGTTACGGTAAAATCGGTATCGTCCAATAATATACGACCATCAGCGTCTCTTGGCTGCTTAACGTCAGATGGTTGGAAAGAAACAGGCCTAAATACTAGTCAATAAAAATAGTTTGGGGGTGTGTATCTAAAATGAGTAAACATACCAATGCATGAGATAGAGATCGAGATAGTCTAACTGGAGATTGGCAAGTGAAACCTCCAAAGCTGGCTTGACAAGTTCGGGTCTATGGCACGTATTCCATAATTTAGTTGTAATAAAAAGTTCATTACGCGGTATACCACTATCTTTAATAGCTTGACCGACCTCCTTTTCATTACCGTCTGATTTAGCAAAATAAAAATAAAAAATAAAAAGTTTGTACTTGTTCAAATAAGTAATTTAAAGAATAACTTACAAACAAAAGCCGTATCAATGTGTCTGTAGCTTTAATATATGGAGAATCTAAAGTTAAGAATAAATTGCTTTCGTAGATGTAGTTTTGTCTAGTTACCCAGCTTTGATAGCGGTTATGACGGCATCGTATACTTCTGAAGGCTTGGATTTCCAACTTCCAAGACCTATTGCAGGAATTTCTCTTCCATCATTCCTAAAAAAAAATACTGTTATTATCTATCTGGTTTGCGGGTAAACATCATCTTTTACAATTTAAAGACTTGGCCAGACATTGGAAAAAGGGAAAATGCGCTATAATAAAATCACAAATGGGAACTTTATTGTTTTTTCAATCGGAGATCAGCATCGATTATGTAATAAACCATTTTAATACCCGAAACCTTCTTACTCTGAAATTATGCCTTGAAGCTGAAGTACAGTAAAGGTTTAATAAGCATATTGTCATCAAAGAAAGAGAAGTCACTTTGTTTTTAACTATTTATTACTTTTACTTGTTTGAAAGGATTTCTTGCTATTTATTTTCTAGAATGAATAGTCATTGTTACCCAAATGATGTGCTTCGTCAGTGGTACAAAAAGTTCGTATCTTCGTATCTGGAACAGACACGCCTTTACGTAAAGATTAACTAGCTATGTAGAAAACTAGAAACTGTAATTTCTTTTATCGAACTACAGCGTTTATCGCTGCCTATACTAAAAAAGGTATTAAAAGCATCGATTGCTATGTTGATTAGTCTAGTGCTTGTCTTGGTCAATAAGACAAGATTGATGATTGGTCCAGCCAGTACACTTGCTACACTAGGCGTGTTGTTATATTTTCCTACAAGACCTGTTGGTATGTATTTTATAAAACTGAATTATACTTATATTAACTGTGAAATTACATTAACAGGCGTACAAATCAAGGTAACACAAAAGTAAAACATCAACAACCATAAGAACCAAGAGTAATATTTCGTAAAGGTAACAATTCAAGGCACATTAAGCGCACTAACTGGTTCAGCCTGGTGCTACTTGGGTATGTTACAATATGTTCACATAGAATGGTAACTAAAGATTCTGCAGGAAATTATGTTGCCGATCTTGCTCGGGATCCGGTGGAAGATTCCCCTGTGCAGCCACTATCAAGCGTTATTTCTGCTATCTTTTGCGTGATCCTAATATTTGTTTTAGGTTACGTGCGAGCAAAATATCCTCAAGGTAATTTAAGTCACGATAGTTCTTTGTGTTTGTGTTATACTCACAGCCTCCTTTTTTTCATTAGCTGACTTTGCGACGGTTTTTGCCAGTATGATTGCATCAGTAAGTTTGGATTAATCATGTGTTTACATTTATAATTTATTCTATTTCAATAGTTTGCATTAACACAGAATGCGGCAGTTCCAGGATTTCACCCAGATTTAACGGTTAGTACTAATTTTGACAAGCAAACGTTTGTGATGCTGACTTTAAATACAAGTTCACTTTTCTAAAGCCGATTCTTTTTGCATCTGTAATTACTTTGATTACGAATCTTGTCTTATGGCCAGAAGATAGTGTTTCCGAATACCTGGACGTTCTTACAAACGTCCTTGACCAATACAGAATGTTTTTCAATGAAAACACTACTATTTTCGTGTCAGGTAATGGGATAGTTAACAATACTAGCAAATCATCGCTGGAAGTGTTACGCTCTCAACTACAATCCACCTTTATTAAGCTAGTAGATGCCCAGCACAACATAGAATATGTTACATTATATCACCAATTTTCACACAACAATATATCCGATATTACACAACATGTAAAGACTTTGTACACTCCATTGCATGGAATTGGGCTAAGTGTCATATGCAAGTATAAAGAACGATGTGTACGAGAATACAATGATGAAGGAAAAGACAAAGTATTCCGCATTGAATTAGATAGCGAGCAGACAACACAAGAACTTATTAAAATATGTACGGAAGTTTTAGAAGAAATTTGTAAATGGGTTTCCAGTTATAAAGAGCCATCTTATTCAGTATGGAGCACCTTTATATGGCCATTTCCAAGGATCAACAGACAGAAGCATTTGCCACCATTGTCAGCTATTTACTCAAAAAAATTGGAAAGTGCTATTTCCAAGCAAATAGAAGCTACAAAATATAAAGGATTTGGTAGCAGCTTGCATGGTTTAAAAGACGGACAGCAGCAGCAGTTATTGCATCTATTTCAGTTTAATCTTGTTGGATACGCTAAAAGTCTTCACTCGTTAGCTTGTTTCTTTGAACAACTCCATAATCCAGAAACTAAAAAGATATGGCTACCTCAAGTTCCTCTCAAGCATTGGTTTAGACCTTCTTCAAGTGATTCAGCAACCATGATTGGAGGGCAGGTTACAACAAGTAGATCATTGTCGGAAAGTTCTACTAGGGGGGATAATGATAACTTAACTCTCAACAAAAATAGTTCATTGGACTTGGAGGAAGCGGAAAATCAAGAGGAATTCGAAAATAATAGAGAAATTTACGCATGCCCTTCAAACCGTAATAACAAACCATGTCCACGGGATCCCGACTTTGACGTACCTTCTTCAAGACTTGAACGTTGCTTTAGTCGCATAAGTAATATTCTTGATTGGACCTATAGTATGGAAACCCTATTTGCATTTAAAACAGCTGCAGGATTTATACTTTTATCGTTACCCGCTTATCTTTCTCAGAGCGTAGGGTGGTTTACTGGATGGGGAGGTCAATGGGTTGCTAATGCCCTGATTATGTGGATTTTTCCTATGGCAGGCATGTTCAATTTCACGTAAGTTATTCCCACGTAGACGTTCTTAACAATGTCTTATTTTATTCACTTTTTGTTTTTTGCAGGGTTATTCTAGGATTATTGGGAACAGTTATTGGTGCTCTTTTAAGTATCATTGTATGGGAGATTGTTCGAGGAAATCCTTATGGAATTGGAATTCTATCATTTATTATGGTTTTTGTGCCGTTTCAGTACATGCTCCTGACAAGCCGGATTTATAGCTTTTTGGCAATCATGACTTTATTTGCTTACTTAATGGTAAGCTGAAAAAATAAAAATAAAAAGTACTTACTGAAATATAAATTAGGTTATTACTACGGGTTATCAAGAGGCAGTCGGGGGAGCTCTTAAACATGACTCTATTGAAATGGCAGCAGGAAAGGTATTATAACACAAGTTTTTGTAAGAAACTTGTATATTAACATGAATATACAGCGATTGCTATTTGTTCTGTTGGGCATACTTGGTGCTACTATAGTAAATTGGTTTCCTCGTCCGGTTACTGGTCGTGTTGAGCTTCGTAAACGGATTTCTAAAACTTTTTACGATCTCAGCATGTTATACGGAATTATATTTGCCGATATTCTTATTTCTAAAAGAGTACCTTTAGACCAGGTTAAAGCATTCAAAAAATTAACCGTACGTATACAAAGGCAGCTTAAAGACGAGGGGACGTATTTGAATCTATCCAAATTAGAACCTTCACTTAAAGGCAAATTCCCTTTTGAAACGTACTATAAACTGCTAATAAGATTAAACAATATGGCGGACTTGGTCGAGGGCATTGCTTATGCATCATCCTCAATGGATAAAACATGGAGACTCGGCCTTATTCAAGTGTTGGATGAGGAACAATTTGATTATGTAAGCATATATAGCATAAAATAGTTACAAAGTCTCATTCATAATGCATTAGGTCGCATATATCTTACACATTATGAGATCCCTTTCAACAACGCTGGTGACAAAAATGCCCTTGCCGCCATATATGATGTCATTGAAGAGCCTAAATGATAAACTCGATGCCAAACTGTGTGCAGCCTTGCAGAAGCATCCGGAGCAACTCTACAACGAGACATTTCCCAGTTACTGTGCATATTCAATAGCATCTTCAAACTTCACTGAGGAGCTTATTGCTGCTTCAGAGTGTGTCGAGGAGTTAGTTGGAGTCGAGAATCCAGAGAAGTGGCTCAACATAAATTCTTTTTAGTTCATTTTCGTCTGGATGTTTCATTAAATCACTGATATATTCCAAATAAAGAATATGATAATTAATTCAGTCCTCGAATTTGAACAAATAGAACTGCGGGAGACAGTCCCTTTATTAGGATAATTTGGTTCTCAAAGTTTAGAAGTTTCACAGCCAACCAAGTTGTAGATGTCATAAAGATGCAAACAGGTGATGACAGAACAGATCAGGAACATCTGCTCCGTAGCAGTTCTCCTGATGAGACAAGAGAGGCCAAAACTGTGTCGAGATCAGACGAACAATCTATGTCCAACACAGGGAGTAACAGACAGCAATCTCGTTATCGAAGTAACCAAGCATGGGTTTCACTTTCCGTTCTTGTTGATGAGAGAAGAAACGATGGTCGTCTAATGACGAATTTCGATGAAGATGAACCCCATACACCTTTCGATGCTGCAAATAGAAACGCTGTAGCCGCAGAAGGTATCACCCATGATTTAAAAAGACAATTGTATCTGTTAATGGAAGATCCTTCTAGTAGTCGTGCTGCTTTTTGGGCCAATGTAGTGGTATCAGTATTGATTGTTTTTAGTGCCATTATGACTACAGTCGAAACTATACCTGCATTTCGATCCGCTGAGAGCAATAAAGTGTGGTATGTTTCATATTCTTTACTATCCTTGTGAAGTACTGAAATATTGCAATAGGTTCCATCTAGAAACCGTCATGGTGTCTATATTCTCTTTAGAATATCTATTGAGAATGTTTGCGCACTCTGATTCAATTTCGATGCTTGGAAATTTTTTTATATGTAAGTATTGTTTTTAGTCATTTAGTCAACATGCTACTAACAGTGATTATAGCACCACTTTCTATAATCGACTTTATATCGATCGTACCCTTTTACATTGAACTTATAGCCAAACGAGATACCGTATGTTCATTTCATCATGCAGACTATTTACATGTATTAATCGTAATGACAGACATACGAATTTAGATATTTGATATTACGACTATTTCGATTGCTCCGTCTATTTAAATCTTACAAGTACACAAATACTATTGTTATGACCATTGAGGTCATGGTGATTGCATTTCGTCGCTCACGCGATGCGTTGTACGCATTGTTCTTCTTCTTAATCACCTGTGTCGTATTGTTCTCAACATTATTGTATTTTGCCGAAAGGGGTACATGGGACGATAATCTCCAAACTTTTATTGACCCCAGCGGAAATCCAAGGTAGTGATGCACATCCATTCGTGTATAACATATTTATAACAGTTTTCGGGAAAAAGTTATTTTGATAGTATTCCTGCAACATTTTGGTTCGTCATTGTTACCATCACCACCACTGGTTATGGCGATATTGTTCCAGCAACCTTTATTGGGAAATTAGTTACGTTCCCGGCTATGGTTTTTGGGGTTCTGGTAAAAAAAAAAAAAAAAAAAGAAAAAAAAAAGATAACGTAAGATATATTTTCTCACGCTAGATTTACACAGTTAATTGCCTTGCCCTCCATCATCATGGGAAGACATTTTACGATTGTCTGGGAAGCAATGAGAAGACGTCAATATCATAATTCAAACAGCGAAGTTGGTGGTATGTACGACAAATAATCTGGTTCAGAAAAATGTTAAATAATACGTTATGTTAGATTTTCAAAATAGTGTTTTTCCTGACCAAACAATTGGCCAACAAGACCCAGTGAATCATACCATCTTAATGGAGCTCGAAAGAATCATGAATATTGCGATTAATACAAAAAAAAAATTACGAGAATTGGAATTAAAATATGATATTGCTCAGCAGTAGCTTACAAAGTAACACGATCTAAAATTAGAGTTTGTAAATAGAGAAATTAGCCGAAAGTGACACTTTTTACGAAGAACTGGAGCAAAGAGAATGTCTTTCACTTCTTATATTTCTTTTGTTTATCAATCATGTATTGGATTTGAACCATGTTATGGGTTTTTAAATTTGCGGTATTTAAATGGGGCTTATGATGCACCCATATCAAGTTATTTGCGGGAAAATGGAAGAAAATATTAGCCTTTTTATCAAAAGGTCATGTGTTTATTTAAAATGGATACATTTGAAGTAAAATCCGGGGGGAAAGTATAACTAGGAACATAATAGCCAGTAAAATTTGAATAACTTTATCATGTTTATTTTGATTGCAGAAAAAAAAAAAGGGAAAAGAAAAAGGAATCTATGTTTGAATGAGAGCGGGAAAAAATAATTATAATATTACAAGTAGATAAAGGAAAAGAAATATAATACAAAGAATAAGGACACAGAAGATTTCTATTTTGATGGTACATAATGAGTGTGGTTGTAACCGTTCGAGAGTTTACCGTCCTTGCAAACTTCAAAATCTGACATCCATGGACACTGCAAAGCTTGGTCGATAGTCCAACGGGTTTCTGGATTAGGATCCATCATTCCAGCAAGACATTCACGTTCAGATTGAGTGAAATTTTTGAATAAGTCGCAATCACTAGGATCTAACTTTTGGCGTTGTTCGACATATCTCTTGTAATCGAAATCACCGCCATCTTCAGCTTGAGCAGCTACAGCAGCAGGTGAGCCTGGCATGGCACCTTTAGGTGGTGAACCCCCAGGACGGCCAGTATAGAAGGTAGCACCGAATGGTAATTGTTGAAAGCGCATACAGAAATAAGTGGTAGCGGCACTCCAGACATCAAGTGCTCTACCATCGTAAGGACAGTTATCATCTTTAATCTTCCACATTTCAGGTGACCAGAAGGGTTCAGAACCACACCACTTTTTACAGGAGTGGGATTCTTTTTCAAAGCAAGATTGAACGACGTCAGCAACTCCAAAATCAGCAATTTTAAGTGTACCGGTTGAGGTTAGTACTAAGTTTTCAGGCTTGATATCACGATGGGCAATGCCGAGTTGATGAAGGTGTTGTAAACCTAGTAAGAGCTGCTTGAACAAACAGGCTATATCGTCGGGTGCCATGTTAGGTTTTTCATGTAACAAATTGAACACATCTCCTCCTGCACACTATTATATATGTATAAGTTAGATAGATAATTACGAGATAAGATAAAAGAAAATCTTACATATTCCATAACGACACACCAACGGCTTTTTTCGTCTTTCACAAGATCTAGTGTATCCACAATGTGAGGGTTATTTGAGGCAGATTTGCTGATGCAATATTCATTTAACATGCGTTTTTGATATTCACGTTCAGGTTCAGACTTGTCACGTTTCTTGAATTCCTTCACAGCTAAAATCCGGCCACCTGTTCTTTGTTGTACCAAACGAATCACAGCAGTTGCACCACTAGCAATATTCTTTTTGGATGTCGACCCCATTCCTTTAGTGGAACGATTCTCAGGCTTAACATATTCACCATATTTCTGAGACAGTAAGGGAACAACGCCGAATGACCCACATGTCATATCTTGGGGAGATTTTTTGAAAGGAGACGAACTCAGCATTTTAGAAAATGATTTGCCGATCTTACTGGCAGTGCTACTGACTGAACTAGAACTATGAATAGATGCACCACTAAAACGTCTGCTAATACTGCCTTCAAGTGATGAGGAAACGGAAGACCCGTTAGGAGAGGCGGATGTCATTTTCAGACTACCAAAAAATCCGTTGCTTAATGCGTTGCTAAGACGTTTGGTTGGTTTTTTGACTGGAATAGGTTTAGCCAATTTGATTTCGGCGGGCACCGGTGTAGAAGGCGCTGATGATGGAGTTGTAATACAGGATGATGCGATTGATGAGACTGTATCATTTGATCCTCGACCATGTTTACTAAGAGACGGGCAATCATTGTCATGGGGGTGTGTAGTATTGAGTTCCATGCAGTCAGGTGAAACTGATCTGGGAATAGGCTCATCAACGAAGTATGGGCCAGATGAAAGATATCCACTATTTTCAAAATAGCAATCATCCTTGTTATCAACTGTTACAGAGGTCATATTGTTGAATTTGCAGGTGTTGTGGTTTTATTTATGGGTATTGAGAATAACAGTGTGAAAAAGAAATAGTGGAATAATAACAATTAAGAAAAAAAAATTAGTGAAAAAAAAGGTTTGTATTTATAGCAGAATAAAAAATTTGTGTTACCGGGTTCTGGCGGGTTAGTCGGATTGGATGAGATAAGTCGGATATGAGTTGAGGACCAATGTTCATACTTGATGTTTCGGATTTTATTACTGGTGGATTGGATTATATATTTCCCTTTTAGTCTTATTCCATTACACATAACAGACCTGTGATTTCCATATAAATATACACTACACTAATTTTAGTTTTTAGAGACTCAAATTATAATTCCATGCGCGCCTTTTCGTATGCCCTTTGTCAGTGCTCCTTCTCCGGAAAAAGTTTTCAGAACTAGTGTATCAGTCATGATTATTACAATTAGCCTTATTAGCCAGAGTGCTCATTATTTAGCTACCTACGATTCTTCTCAAAGGACATTGGTGAGAAAAAGAAAATTTTCTTTATTGTTCGTGACCAATCGAATAGATGCAATGGAGCACTCGATAGCCGCACGCGAGATCACCCAAAACAAGCTGCAGCGCAACTCTAATTGTTTACAAAGAGCGCTGCGACCAATAGTGACACCTACTCATTGTGGTGGCTTCTGGCATGACGAAATTAAATCTCAATGATTTTTTTTTATTATTTTAGACCCTTAAGGATGTACGAGGTCTCTAGCCATATTCAGGTAAACAGTTAAAAAACAGGTGCTTGGAAGAAAACAAATAAATAATCATTTAATTATATCACAGGTACATGGTTCATACCGGATATTTTTAATTGGATCGATAAGTATGCTTAAACTGGCCGTGCATATGCACATTTTCCTTTATCCCCGTTCTCAAATTTCACATAAAACACCTAATTGTTACATACATATTACTAAACAGTGCTGCATTTACAAAATTGTAAATAAAAGTTTCACATTGAGTATCGTTTACGTATTATATTTAAGGTTTTTTTGTGACATGCGCACCTGCTTCGATAAGGTAAAGATGCACTGGTTCCCCAGTTACAGTCATGAAAATGAAACGAAAAAAAAAGACGGACCCCATTTCCCACAATGGTTGATACGAAAATGATTCTTTTTCTAATTTCGGGCCCCGTAATGTCCTTTGTTACATTTCAAGAGCATATCAGATCAAAAGTTTGAGTTTCTCAAAAAAAAAAAAAAAAAAAAAAAAAAAAAAAAAGATTCACCTTTTTTTTCTATCACTATTATTAGAAAGTATGAAGGGCAAGTTCTTTACTGTTTTTAAATTAGATTGTCTGACGCCATTTAACCCTATGCATTGGATCTGCGTTGGATATCAAAAGAGCAATTTTTCTCTGTATATGGTCTTTGTTTGGCTGGCCATATATAAATGTTGTCACAGCGGTACAGTATAATGCACTCCAGTTGGGTACAATAGAACTATTGAAATTAACTGAGATTAGCGCGAAGATTTCATTTCGGCATACTAATTATTGTTTGGGAGGTCTGAGGGCTTATATTAAACTTTATAAGGGAAATACATGCGAACCAGGCCTAGACATGTCATTAGCAAATTAGTGACATTCATGTTTTTGTGTCATTGGGCTCTAATATTGATGTAAATCTTTTTTTTTCCAACAACGTTACAAATCCGGGGATGATTTCATGTGGAGATCGAAATTCTCATGATGACTACATCATCGCTATAAAACACACTATTACAACTTGGCTGTAGCTTGTATGCAACCAATTGAATAGCTTGGTTATGTTCACAATAGAATTATGGCTATATTCTAAGCCCAATAATAAGATTATCTTAACTTAATAATGCATGTGTAACTACTGATATTTTGCTTTTACTTGGCATGCCAATGAAACATAGCCATGGGTAATTTTTATATTCTGCATCTTGTTTCTGAAGACATTTCATAATTAAAATGGATTGAATTGATTGATTTCAGCTTATGCAGGTAGTGACAAGTTTTGTGCTACTGTTTGTTGCGCGTGTTTGAAAAAAAAAAAATTAAGATTTGCTTTTCTTGTAAGGAATGACCAGAAAGACGATCTAAGGGATCCATTACAAACCCAAGTTTTGTATTAGTTCATATACTTGCATGACGATCCTAATGAAGTTTGGTTAATGGTAACAAGATGTAAATACATGACAGCAACTGCTAAATGGTTGGTATCGCAATCTTATGTCTGTTTATTAAACAATTAAATATTTCGTCATTTCACCACGTTATATGTTTATTTCTTCGATGTGCGAGGAAAACCGGGCAGGGGGTAATATTTGGCCCAATATTTGATCATGAAAAATCCAACAGTGAGTTCTGAAACTTTTCAGTGAAATAGTGTGCGGATAAACGTTTCATTACATGCGCTACAACAAATATCCGGTTAACGGTAAGCTTATACAATGAAGGACAACTCCTCCCTTGATTGACCACATCATGATGACTACAGAACCAAAGCGTATAAAATATAGCTGGATCTTATTAATCCATCCTAAAGTGGGTGTGTGAAAATTATTAAAAAATATATTTTTCTCTCCTTTTTTTTTAACTTATCTAATTATAAGTATTGTAAAGCTAAATTAGTACGTTAAGGTTTTTTATTGTATTGCATACTTTAATTAGTCGTAGCTGGATCATGGTAAAGAAAAATCTAACAATGATAGAAGAAACAATCACTACCACTATGGAACCCCTGAAAAACGACATGCTCTTGATTAAATAAATACAATCCCAGCCTCTAAATTAATCACATCAAAGCTTAAAGAAGGCAGTAAGCTTCATGTTAGTTCAACATTGCACCAGCGAAACGTTTTCTATTGCTTCTTTTTCTTTCCCAGAGGTAAAATAAAGTTTCCATTTGTAACTGTTGCTTTTGGGATTCAAAGACTTATTACATAAGTTCTAAAGTCTTAAAGTAGAGCATAGATAGACTTAGCAAATAGTGCAAATAAAATCATTACTTAACGATTGTAAAAAATGCCGTCATTAGGCGAGGCTTCTGACTAGGAAAGTCGTAATAAATACTCAATAATAATAACTCGCCTGTTCCCATCATCTCAAAAATGAATACCCCAAATCTCTCAATCTCCGAGACCATTTTGTCAGTCGGTCAGGGTTTCTCTGCAGATTTGAGATCTGTAATCATTAACTAAAAAACTCGAGTTAATATACCCAAAGCCAGTATAAGCCGGTGTAACAGTATTTATCACAGGAACATCCTCTAATGGCGATATGGATTTTAGTAGCAATGTGGACAATAACTATTGTGGAATTATTTGGTGAGGTGCATGTAGATGAGTGATAATAATCAATTTCCCCACAAAAATAAAGCTTCAACCAACTTTGGTTTAGGTAAAGTTGTAGGTGCATTAATGGTTTTATTTCTACGATATGCTGTGTCTTAAAAAATCGTGTTTATCTAAGCTAAGGTGATGTAGTTTCAGCAAAGAATCTAAAAAAATAATAATAATAATAAAAGGACTAATAAAGGAACCGCGGCTATATAAATCTAAAATACAGTCATGAAACTAAATGAATGTTTGTGATCATTTGTAAATCATGCCTTTGCGCCAAATTCTGGCATGCGATACTATAAGCAAGCTATCATGGTTTAATGTACTTCGAAAAGGTGATGACACTGATCTAGTAACAAATAACATAATAGTACCTTTGTGTTTACGCTAGTCAGAACCGTGTTTTTTGATTCACAGATAAAACTTTGGCTCTAGAACGGCTTGATTAAACATTCCATAGCGAAATAATCACAGCTTTTGAGACGAAGACTCAATCTAGTAGAACACCAGTATTAGTTGTCTTGTTACTGACAATACATCGTACAAGTTAATCAAGCAACACGGTTGGCGGTGAGTAACATGAACACATTTAAACTTCGGCATGTTTGTTTTTCAAAAACGTTTGCGATCTTCTGACTACGCCTTATGTTACCTCATACTAAATGCGGACGTAACGGTAAAGCACAATGATGGATTGGGTTTTGTTTGTTTGTTTGGCTATCGTAGCTTTTCTAGAATGTTATCGGCTGATTTTATTTTTAAAAAATAGAGTTATTTGATGCAATGCTTAGCTGCCCCTGTTGATCGACCCGAAAGCTAAGCACTATACTCGAGAAACCCAGGGAACGGTCACAAAACTATTTTAAAAAAAAAATTGTACAAAACGTGGCTAAGATCACCAAATTGTATAGTACTGATTATCAACAAAAACATAAGGCAGAAGACATAGTGATTATAACATAAAAAATAATTTTTATTTATTAAAAAATTGAAACAAATATCCTGAAGGAAGTTGGGTAATCTGAAAAATGAAAGGTATTAGTTTCAAGTTATTTAAATATGAAGTTGCTAAAGTAGTTTCAACAAGTTAAGATATAAAGTTTTCAGAAATTTGGGTATAGCTAATTAGTCTTCATGATTTTCAGACTGACGTGCAAAATGTCTTCAAGAGTATCATCTTTAGCTTTATATCTCTCCCCGAATAACTACTTCCATGCAGTTACAATTCAAGTACATTACCTTTTAATAAACAAGTTGGTTAAAGAAAAGAAAGACTTTCATTCAACTCGTTTGAGTACACCTTTTATACTCGTTAAATTTCGCAGAAAATTTTTTATCTTTAATAGCAGTCATTAAAAATCGTGACCTTTTTAGTGGAGTTGGAGCATTGAAAATCGTAAAAAGCAGTCAGAAACTGATAAATTTATCAAGAGTCCTTAAGCTACACTGGACTTCAAGCGAGAACCCTAACCCAAAAACAAATCCTTATATATATATTATATTAAAAAACTTGGGGGCCATAAATGATCCCCCATATAGATATACATATTATCATATATAAAGTGTAACTGTAAAATACGAATATTTGTGGACATTCCTATGTGATGACTGTTGTTGTAATAGGTCATCAGATATGATCTGTATCAGGAACATGGTTATATACGGACATCAATACATTTTTCGTTTGTTAAGCCATGTGAAGTATTAAGGAGATGTAAATATAAATATCTTTGCCTTTTCTTCTTTCTATGAAGCTTAAGAGCGAACGTTAATTGGGTACTAGCGTTATAATATTTGTGTTGGGCCAGCATTGCCGTAAAAAACAGCTTAACTGTGATTGATGGGTTAAAAAAGAGAAACACATAAAAACATGGCAGGAAAACTATAGTCATTTTCAAAAATGCGAGTGGTATCAAATTGACTTTTGTCTTTCAAAATGTTAAATCGAAACCGCTTTTCAAAAAACACGCAAATACACACACACACACACGATTGAAGTATACTTTATATATATTAAGCATTAGCTATCCCGCCTATTTTTATTTATTTATGAAGCAAAAAAGAAAAGGGCGATGTAAAAAGTGCGGCTTCAGTTTGAATCATATTTGGCTTTGGCCCATTGCACCATACATTCAGCAATCCCAAATTCCGCGTGATGAAAGTAAAACGGGATAGAAAGATCTGGTTGCTGTTGTGGCATGTATCTAGTGACAGGTGTAGAATTGGGGTCGATCTGACCATTTGACAATACCAATGCTTGGCTGACGGAATTTTGTTGCACTGATTCAACATCAGTGATAAAATAATTGGTAACACGAGTAAAAGCATTACTTGCCTTGTTGTTCTGACTTGATCATCATTCTGTTTTTGTTACCACCTTTTGCTCTTCGATTTTGGAACCTAGTATATCTATTATATAAAAGTGTCTGTTTCTTTTTACAATGATGAACTTGCCAAAAATGAACGTTTTTTGGTCCCATATTGACAACACCAGCAATCATTTCCTTCTGTTTGTAATCCGGGTTAGGGTTCTTGCTGTAAAAGTCTTCGAGGATGGCGGCTTCTTCGCGCGTAGTACGCCTACGTCTTCTTGCCTTGGTGCTTAAAGAATCAATATCAATCGGAGTAACAGTACTTGTATCCATCTGTTATTGTTAGTGAGTATAAGAAGAAAATGAAGAAAATGAAGAAAAAGAAAAAGAAAGAGAAAGAGAAAGAGAAAAAGAAAAAGAAAAAGGAAAAACCTTGATATATTTGTAGTCAAAACATTTTTTTTTTCAACGGAGTATATATGCCCGTGTTATAAAATGTTAAACATATTATTTAAAAGTTGGTAATGCATCTTTATCTTTAGGTTGGCCCGTTTTATATAATTTTATATTATTAAACTAGTATATGATATATAATAACAGATGATGAAACATCCATGTCCATTAAAGAGGGAAATACTCGACATATATTTTGGTCTTCTGTAAGATGTAAATTATGGCTCTAAATCATACAAACGTATTTTATTGTAATCAGAATACTCAGGGAAGAGTTTGCCGATTAAACAAAACACTCTGTCGTTGTTTTGCTTTGCTTTATGATAACACCTCTGATTGCGAAGTTGAGTCGCCGTCAAATCAGATTCTTGATTTGACAAAACCCTTGCAACGTTCCTTCTCATAGTACCTGAAGTTGCCATTACAACATTGTCACCTATGAAGTCACAACCCTTAATAGTCTTTATTTGTGTCCGGTGATTTTGGGCCATATGTTTGTACATGCTTTGTGGCTAAAGGTGACTGGATAGCCACGGCTTTGAGTTTCTCCAGATTTGAAGCTGTCTTGATGTACTTTCAGCATTATGCTAGAAAGTTGTGCTTGAATTCTTATAGAAGTCTAGGTCCTAGCAATCTGATCTTTTAATAGATTTTTTTTTAGTCTGTGAGGCAAATGAATGCCGTTGCCACCAATTTAGACGATGTTATCTGACATGTTTAACTAGGCTATTAAAAGAAGAAATGTTTTTTTTTTAAAAAAAATTAGCACTATAAAACCTAAACTGATAAACGAGTTATTCAATATTTATAATTACAGTATTAGCACTTTAAATTCAGACAAGGAAAACTTATTTTCAGATAAACCTAAAAATGTTTTCAGATGAACAAAAATATATTTCAGACAGAAGTAAAAAAATGATTCAGACTAACGTAATATATATATATACAAATAGAATAAAAAAAAATTCCAGACAAAGGCTATCAAAGGATGTATCCTATGAATTTTACAGTTTTCATATTCTGCATTGATAGTTCATAATGTATTTAAAGGTGTATTTTTATGAGCTCTTTTTACACAAATCCTCAGTTAATACGTTATAACAGTAAAAAAGGGGGAGAAACGGAATTTCAATTACTTTAGATGACGTTGACTTTGAGCATTATAATGTAACTTGATTTAATTGACAATACATCAAACAGTGCTTCTTTCACAAAAAAAAAAAAAAAATATGAGACCTCGTATTTACCCAGATACAGAAGATTTTATAAATGCCAAAATAACAGCTAAACTTGCTAAGATGGGGGACGAAACGAGTACCGGCACAATGAATCAACCTGCTGGTGGAAACAGAGGTAAAAATGCACTGTATATGTTCAGGTATATAGCCAAACATAATAACTCATAAAATAAATCAGGCCTAAAGAGAAAGGAAACACATGAAGCGAAAAAAGAAAAGAGTGTGGCTAAAAGAAACAGGACCACTGCGTCTTCAAGCTCATCGACCCTGATTTGCAAGTCTTGTGATACAAGTGGTCATTCTTCTGCGAGAAGTAAATTGTGCCCTAACCATAACTATACCTTACAAGAATTGATCGAAAAGGATCTTGGTGCTAAAAATCAAAGATATACTATATCTCTTCCATTAAAGGGCTTTTTAAATGAAACAGATGATGATGATGACCGATTACAGAAGGCCGTAAACAAGATCCAGGATCTATCTAGTTTCTTACGTTTTGTTTTGTTTAAAGCTCAAATCTTTGTCAATGACTACATTTTACAATACCCCAATAATTTGTCCAATGAATTTTTTCAGCAAAATTTCTGGTATTCATTGTGTAGAGTGATTTGTAAACAGCTGTCGATCAAAGACTTTCAGTTAAAGTATGCCAAAATTCACCACTTGGAAGACGTATGGATGGAGCTTAATAATCTAGAGGGAGTAAACTTAAACGTAGAAAAAGATGGGCTGAAAAATTATGGTCAAGTGCTTGCGACTGCATGTGAAACTACTACTACGTGTTATAATAACTATTACATTGAGAATTTTCAGAACATTATCTGCAACTACTTCATTTATATGATTTGTAAAGAATTTCCTGTAAGTTACTAGCAGGAAGCGCTAACTTACAAGTTATTAACAAACTTAACTTAGGACGTTAAAAAATCTGTCATAAGGAAACTTGTATATGAACATGTTTTAGATCAAGTACTATCATCTGATCCTGTTACCGTTCTAAATGATGATATCCTCCCACCATTAAGCCAAGAAACAAAAAATGGTTTACATGCATTTATAAACCCTTTAATTGTGGAGCTCAAGAACCGCTTGCCATCGTTCACAATTACAAAGGCAACTCAGAATACTGCCCCTTTTGGTATTTTACCGGCATTAAGACACATTCTATCCAAGTATGAATCAATCATTGCGGAAAATTCTACTTTACAGAAGCATGACTCAGAACCAGGAAAACCTCAAGATACGGTTCAATCTGGTGAAAAAAAGAAGGAAGATGATATTGTAAAGCATTTTGTACTGCCTAGAGTATTTAGCCTGTTTCCCAATCCAGGTTTGCAGTGGCGCTTTATCAAAATCGATAGTCAAAACGTTACTGGTATATTCCCTGGCTCAAAGTTACAGAAAGAAAAGGACGAGACTTTATTTAGCTTCACACAAAAGTACTTTTACGATTGTTTTAACTTTGCCAAGTTAAAAATTAGAAGGTACATAAGAAAGAAAGAGCATTGAGAACCTTCTTCATATAATATTAATAATAAACATTTTGTCTATTATTATTAGCCTTAAAGATATGAAGGAGCTGCCTACAACCAACGGCAAGATGTTTTTGAACGGGATGTACACCGATGGTTATACTTGCCGCTTACTATTCTGTCGTCGTACTGAGCCATCTTCGTCAACTAAAAGCATTGCCCTAGAACTCGATGACTTTAACACTGAAGAGGTAAATACTTATTTTAGGCCATGTACAGTTGATCCCGGAAGGAAGGATGTGTTTGTATCCTACCATGGAGACAATGATGTGAGACGTCTTTCTTCAAAAGAATACTACAATATGGGCGGTGTTACGCAAAGACATAAAGAGGAACAAGAACTCAAGAAAAGCTTGGGTATTGATCAAATTGAGACCAATATCCCCTCACCTAAAACCACGTCTCATGATACCTATATACTGTATATTACGTATATTCTCCAACATATTGATACACTTTTTAATTTCTACGGGTTTAGAACTACCAATAGTAGATGGTGTAATTATATCGCATCACAAAAGAGTATAGAGGACGCCGTTAATATCCTTTTAAATGGATCAACAAAGTACAACAAGAAAAGAAGGAAAACTAAGAAGAAGAGTAAAAGAGAAGGATATCTAAAATAGTTGACTCTTTAAAATCTAAACCGAAAATTATCAAAAGGTAAGCGTACTAACAAACCATGATATGACTGTATTTTAATAATGAAACTTGCATGAAGAGAACATAAAGAGAAATTCGAAGAAGGGGATCGTAATAAAATGCCTTTAATCATCTTTGGCGATGGACTCAAGAACAAAAGCCAAACAAAGTTTAAGGGTTTGCGCCCCGGTGTAACGGACAAGCTTTATCGACAATTGAAAAGAAGAGAGAAGCTTGGAGAGTTACTTCTTGTTGATATTAACGAGTTTAAAACATCAAAGGTTAGTATATTAATGTATATCAATACCTTCGACTAAAGTAATAGTTTTATAGACATGCAATTCTTGTTTTAGTAATGATTTAAAAAACATGAGGTGCGTTACTGACGAAAAATCCTCACACATCCATCAAATATTGATTTGTAAACGATGCAATATTTTTTGGAATCGTGATGTGATGGCTGCGAAAAATATGCTTGCTATATCTCAATCCATTTGGGATGGCCAAGGCCGACCAACTGTCTTTAAAAGACTAAACGCCACCTCCAATGTGGTTACCTCGTCTCACTCAAGTGAGGAGAAGGTTTAAAGATTTTACAGGTAAACCTTATAGTAACTTATCAAATCATCCTAAAACTAAATTTCATTTGTCTGATTTTTTATTTATTTTGTCCAAAAAAGGTAAGTCAATGTCTGAAAGTAAATTTTGATTCGTCTGAAAAAAAAATTAACATTTTTTGAATTAAAAGTGTGAAAACTGTAAGAGAAGGGGAACAAAAGAAGTTATTCAATTTATTTCAGAATCCGACCAAAACTTTCAAAGATGGTGTGTGGTATAGGCTAACATTTATTCTTGGCATCATTGTCCTTATTTTTTGAAGAGTATTAAAGGAAAAAGAAAATAATATTAACAATAGCTCAACTTACTTCTAAAGAGAGAGTAGCTATGATGTGCTCATCATCTTGAATATACAACTGCTCACTTTCATCAATGGAGTCTGCGATAGGTGTGGTACTCATATCTTTAAAAATTTGGGATCGAATATCCTCTATACACCCGGATCAATCGGGATTAGTACAAAAAAAAAAAAAAAAAAAAACTTAATAAATATGCTCTTTACCGTACTTTCCCTCACTGATGGGAGAGAACTTAATCATGTTATCGTCTGGAAAATGATCAAACAAGTAGGATTCTGTGATTGACAATTGTGCACATTGCTGTGCTAATTTTCCAAATATGTTTGTGTCCGTTCGATACCTAATTACGTGTGTTACGATCATGACGTGCATTTAAAAATAGAGCAAAGTTACACTTACAATCGATAGGCCTCTTTGTTATGACAATGTTTATCTACCAGTCTATCCAAGACAGCCTTCTTAAATATATTCTTGATGTAGTGCAACACATGGAATATGTAATCTTCATAGGGTCTCCAGGTTGGAAATTGTTGCGATATAGACAGATTTCCACCACCATCAACCAGTGGATGGAACATGTCACTCATGAATGTTACAGCCGGTGGGTATTCTGGGTAACTTTCTGGAATAGCCACTCTAAATTTAAACGCCCCTGATCTGTAATATCCCTGATGTACAAACAGCACACCGTACCAAACTTTTGCAAAATGGTAAGTCAAGGGTTCATTTTTCTTCTTCTTATTTCTATGTACCATTCAAGTTTTCTGAGGAAGGCATGATATAAATACCCAATGGACAATGATTGGGATTTTTCAGATTGATACTATTATTATTATTATTATTATTGAAAGTGTGAACACACAGTTCCTCACTGAATTTAAATTTGCTTACAATTCTGTCATGAGTTCGTATTTTTTGAAATACTCGGATATCAAGTGGGGTGCATAAGTTTCACCTACGTCTTCCTCATCCCAATCTTCAGAAGAAGCGAATCTCTGTAAGCGATGGTGATGAGATAAAGAAGCGGTACTGTTTTTTCGCACACGAGAAAACACGTTACTGACGTTGGGTGATCGTGTCGAGCTGGCTAACGCACCTACTTTCCTTGCTCCTGTGGAAGGTGAAACATAAGGTCCCTACAGCAATTATATATCAGACTTGTTAAAAAATGATTGCATACAGAGTTAAAAGTAGAATTCTTATTTATTTATTTTTTACTTTGCTCATAGTGTCAAAAAAAAAAAAAAAGAGAGAGAGAAAAGGAAAGACACAAGAATAAAAAAAAAAAATCTTGGTGACACGCTTCACAGCGGACTTTTTTTTATTTAAGGGGTGTTGTGTTGTTTCCCTACATGACACTGCATGAAGACTTTTCCTGACTCTCCAAAATCTCTAGTTGAATAGTAATGGTTGCGTCTTTTGCAATAGTTGACCGATCAAAGGTGTGGTACAGCGTTTGCTTTTCTTCGTTATATTCGCATTCACCCAAATTAGCTTGGATCTTTAAGGCCTTACCACCGTAATGAAAGTAAGGTACAAAAATTTCAGTCGTACATGCCATTTTATCTGATACATCATATCCCTCTTCTTGTAATTTATCCTGTTGCTCTTGTGTAAAGGGTGTGAATGAAAAGGTGTATTGAGTTTTATCTAAATCAAATTCGGATCCAGTTGGTGTACCAGCAATTTTGGAAGCATAAGGACGCTTTACATTCATAAAAAAATAATTAAGTATTACAGCTGGATGAAAGTTGGCTATCTATAATTTACCAGAACAGCCTCTAATACTCTTCCACCATCATACAAATGCTTTTTGGATAATTTACTGTTGCCATCATCATGCTCCATATAATCCTCTTTTTGCTTTTTAACCGAATAAACCGAAAAGTTTTCGCCGTTCCAATGATCTCCAAACTCATGATCATTGCATACATCGTAATTCCAGAGCGTAAAATTGATTAAATTGGTTTCCAAAGCGTAAATTACTGCATCCAAAAAATTCACATGGCTGGTATAATCATCATCCTCAAACGCCATTTTATCATTTAGATCCATAGGAATACCAACCTCACCAAGAATACATGGCTTCTCTCCCATATCTCGTAATCCATCTTGCTTAATGTTTTGAATTTGTCCACGATAATTCTTCTTTGCTCCATTGCGGCCAAAGTATGTAGCAGTTAATACATTACCACCCTATATGAATATATTAGTATGAATACCATCTTCATGTTTTTATAATATACTGTACACGTTGAAGGCATTGAACATCATGTGTAATCTTTCCATTGAACTTTTTGTAAAAGACACAATTAAGGTCATACCAGTGAGGAGAGAATACCACATTGTGGTGATGATCATCCTTCTTGTAGACAGGTGCTCTCTGTTTATACACGATGATTTAATTAAAGTGCATACTATATGTGACCAAATATGACAATCTTACCTCATTCGCGAGTGGCTCTACCAAACAATACCAATCATTCTTTACGCTCTGAATGGCTTTTACATATCTATTTACCAAAGGCACATAAAAGTCATCATAGAACGAAATCTTTTGACCTGTCACTGGATGAACCGAGAAATAATCAGAGTTGAGCAAGACGGGTTCATTTGTAACCTCGTCAGTTTTCCAGACACCATGTTCTTTCCAGATACATTTGTTATCCAACCATGCAGAGGTTTTGGATCCATTGATCACACGGTCGTGCGACTTTTTGGTGGGGAATGGCCATGACTTTATGTAAACACCTACCGTTTGTGGAATACCATCGCCTAAAGCAAAGGATTGTAAAGGACTGGGAGAATCACCAAAGATCAAATTGACAATAGGATCAAATTCAGCTAATTGGTTCAAACCAATGTAACCTGGATGAGGCTCATTCATAAACTCAAAACCCATAACAGCGTCTAAATCTACCAATCGTGTGGCTAGGTGCTGATAGGCATTGACAAAACTATCATTCAAGAATTGCTGAATAGACTTTCCTTGGTATTTTCTGTTGGGTGCAAATGTATCACCTGCAAAAAAGAGTGTGAACATGGTGCATGAAGCAAGTTTTGTATAGTTGGTAGGCCAGACCTAGTGCAGAAGTTAATACATGTCAATGTCATTTTTTTATATTATACATTTTACCATGGGAAGAGGATCTCCCGGTACAGCATTTGTATTATGAACATAGGCAGCACCTGTTTCTTTAAATGCCTTGATATCAAGACCTGCTACTTCAAATGTCCAGCCTGGAGCTCCTGAGCCACCCGAAAATCTAGACCACTATACATAAATGTGTAAATGAGTGAGTGACAGTCAAAACAAGTTATTGTGAAATTAGCATACGGTATCTTGATGAGGATCAATCACACATTTTAATCCATATTTAGGCATGATTTCGATTAATGAGCGTAAATAAGTGATATACTCTTCGTCATATGAGCCTGGGCCTGAATGTTCAATGCTCTCCCAAGGCACCAAGAAGCGAATTAAAGTCAAACCCCAGGCACGCAACCGACTAAAATGTTCGTGAGCTTCTTCCAAAGGAAAAGGTCTTCCGACAAAACTGACATTACGATGATCCCAAAACAAGACCTCGTCGTATAGATGAGTGGAACCAGCATAAGGGCTAGTAGGTAACTTGGAAGAGCCACCAACGTTAATACCTCTCATGAGCAAAGTTCGACCCAAACTGTCTTTGAACCACTGGCCTGAATGAGTAATGGGAGTGTTCCAGTCCTGAGCAATGTCGGAATATTTGGTGTCAACCGAGTCTATATTTGATAGTTTTGACATTCTTTTTATTTGTTAAGAAAAAAAAAAAGAAAAAAGAAAAAGAAAAGGGTGATGGGGTGGAGTTGGGTGAGTGTTTATATAGTGATGGTTGTCATTCAAGTTCCGAATGACAAGTGTAAATGTGGGTATGTTCATTCTTTCTTTTTTACTTTCTTTCTGTCTACATGATTTCATTGTTATATGGATCTCGCATGTATTTACCTGCTTCAATATCCGACAACAAATCCTTGTAGAATAGTCTTATTTCGTCTCTTTGACACAGGTCCTTATCAACCTTTGATACAGTGTGTTAGTGTTGGTGCATGTTACACAATGCCAAATGGTAACTAACCTGGTGCCTTTTCTCCAACAAGATTTTCTGCGACTCAGCCAAATCCAATTGATATGTTCTCAGCAAATAACACATTGCCATGGCAGCACTTCTACCTCTACCAGCTGTATAACAAGTATATTATTATTGTTGTTATTATCATTTTATTAAAGAAACAATAAAATAAATAAATAAAAAATAAAAATAAGCTTACCTTTGCAGTGTAAATATATGTTGCTCTTTGGCATTCTCTGTTTTAGTTTGACTATTTCATTAATACCGTCTTGGATGGAATCCAGCGAAGGAACACAGAAATCAGGCGTTTCCAACCTTATTTGAATAATGTCCAAGTCTTTATAAAGTTTCTCATAGCCAGGAAATTCAGAACACATATTGATGACAATATCGACGTTTTCATTTTTATGCAGCTGTTTGATTTGCGATGGCGTGGGTAAAGCGCCGAGAATAATGAAATCATCCACTCTAAAGAACAATGACTTTAATAAACCTTTGGAGTACCTGAAAATGACGTCATGTTGTACCTTTAATTACCTGTTAAACCATGTCCAACCTGTTAAGAATCCAAACATATTAACAGCCAACTAGTAAGAGAGGAGTATTTTTTTGGTTTAATATAACAACTGATGTATACAGGTCTTTTTTTTTTTTTCTTTTCTTTCTTTACTTTGTTGTAATACAAGGAAATGATAAATCGTGTCCAAGTAAAGATATTATCACCTTTTCCTGGTACCTTTTTAAAGTTATCGTCTGTTAAAGACCTTCTTTGTCGATTATTTACCGCGTCAGCTTCTTGCAGCATACGGACCTCTTCGTTCAGAGCTTTACTGATTCCCAAAGAAGAATGTTGTTGTTCCGGATGTAGTCTTTGCATGCTTATAAAAAGTGTATTAGGAGAGAAAGAAAGAGTGTGTCAACTTAAAATATGTTGTGGGAAGCCCAGTCGCGATCCATATTTTCATTTAGGTGTGTGTGTGTGTGAGAGAGGGGGACAAAAAAAGAAGGAGTTGCAGTGGCTTGCGTTTCAGTCACGTCGATATTTCCAGACCCGTTTCTTTATATAACAGCCTGATAAATTTTTACCTGTATTTTTTTGTGTTTCTTCTACATTAATAAAAACATAAATGGAAAAAGACATCGTAGAGACCGTTCCCAAGGAAGAGGAGGAATATGAAGTAGAAAAAATTCTCGCTCACAAAATAGTGAGAATCAAGAACTTAAAGGTAGCTCTTGTTTCTTTTGTTGTTAACACGCATACTCATCAAACAAACCTTCCATAGACAATCAAGTACTTTATCAAGTGGTTAAACTACGATGAAGCAGACAACACTTGGGAAAAACAAGAAAACGTGTACGTGTTTACTCAATAAAAAAAGAAAAGCAATACTTGCAAACAAATAACTTTTACTGAACAGATACGCTATCGACATGATTGTCCAGTACTGGACCAACATTCCTAAAACCGACAAGGATCGCATGCTTTTCGAGTCTTTGCAAGCAAAGAAGGAAAACCCCATTATTATACCTTCACCTGTAAAAGTAGCCAAAGTCATTACAGCCTCTCCTTCACCTCCTTCTTCACCCGTCTTACAACCCACACTCACAGAAAAACCCTCCATCGCTTCCTTCTTTACTCCAAAGAAACAAGAGGAACGCGCTCCTATTGCATCCTCTTCTTCCTCAGCTGCTGATAAATTAACACCAGCAAAGGAGAAACCTCAAACCACCATCGATACTTTTACATTATCTCCCACACCACCACCGCCAACACCAGCAGCAACAGCAACACAAGCAACACCAGCGAGTGTGAGTGTGAAAGGCAAGGAGAAGGAAGGAACGATAGTCTTGGAAAAACCCACCGTGATTGAGGTCCTTTCTACGACCTCTTCTGAGAATGGAATCGACGACGTCGCCGCAGAAATGGATAAAGCTGCGGAAGAATATAAAATCGCAACCGCTTCTTCCGAAGACGATAACAATGGGGATGAACATGATGATTCCGTCTTTAATAACAGCAAAAAGCGTACTCGCAGCACTTACACAGATTACTTTACCGAACAATACAAAAAGAAGAAGAGAATTGGGAAAGCACCTGTTCGTCAGACTGAAGAGGAAATCGAGTCTAGTGCAAGTGACAGCCCAAAGGAACAGGATACAATCATTTTCGATCAGGCATTCACTACTGACCCTGTACGTGATTGGAGTGAATTAGCTGTCAAAATTGAATACATAGGCAAGGAAGTCGATGGGGGTCCTATCTACTGCGCTGTAAAATGGCAAGTTATTTTTCCTCTTTCTATTTTTATAGTCAAACCTTATTAGTGCTCATCTTTTCTTTTATTTTTATAGGAAGGATCACGCGGTATCCCTTCACAGTCTGGATTTGGTCAGAACAAAGAGACCTGATTTGGTAAAACAAGAATAGGACATGTTTGTTTATTCTAACCCGTCACTAACACCTCTCTTCTTTCTTTTAGGTTATAGATGCTTTTGTCAAATCCGTCTTCAATGAATAAACTTGCCTTTTTTGAAACAATATGAATTACGCGCAACCTTCATTTAAGACTGCGCCCACAAATCTGATAAACATTTTTTTTTTTTCATTTTCTTTTTCTTGCTTTTTCTTTCCTTTTTCTGTTTTCCCAGACATATATCTATATAACCATGGATTACAACAATTTATTTAACGTGCAAGGAAAGGTATGCATATACATATAGTCTATATACATATAGAAAGATACCGGATATTAAAGACAATGTAGGTTGTTTTAGTGACTGGAGGTTCTCGAGGTATTGGAGAAATGATTGCCACTGTATGCTGAATAAAATGACAGAAATAGAGACACCTACTTAGTTCTATCATGTAGGGATTCGTCTCTGCTGGTGCCAGGGTTTATATTTCTAGTCGATCCATCAAAGCCTGTGAAAAAGTCGCCACTGAATTAAATCAGAAAGGTCCTGGCCAGTGTTTTGCCATACCAGCCGACCTTGCCAAACTAGATGAAGTACATCGATTAGTAGCCGAGTTACAAAAGAGAGAAACACGTAACGCGTTTTATCGGGAGGATGCATGAAATTGTACATATATATTGATTGATATTATGGTTTTTAGATTTGGATGTGTTGGTAAATAACGCAGGTGCGACTTGGGGTGAGAGCTTTCAAGAGTATCCAGATGAAGCATTTGACAAGGTCCTCACCTTAAATTTGAAAAGAGTCTTTTCTTTGACTCAAGCGTAAGTAGCATCAGTGTCTTTCTTTTTCTTCTTCTCTGATTAGTGTTGGTTATTAAAATCTCGCCTAGATGTTATGAATTATTGACTGCAAAGGCCTCTACTTCCAACCCATCTAGTGTGATTAATATTGGATCTGTTGATGGACTTAGAGTAAAATATATCGATCGTCTGTTATTTTCAGTTGTTTAACTATCCCTTTTTAATATTCAGCCTCCTCCTCAAGAAACATATGCTTATTCTGCCTCTAAAGCGGGTCTCCATCAATTAACTCGTCATTTGGCCGGTAAATTAGGTGAGGATGGTATCCTGGTGAATACAATTGCACCAGGGGCTTTCCCATCCAAAATGATGAAGGCTACTTTAGATGCGTTTGGAGATATTATCGTTGCCAAGGTACCCGTTGGACGAATTGGATCTCCTGAAGATATTGCTGGTACCTGTATCTATCTTTCTTCTCGTGCTGGACAATATACTAACGGAGCTTTGATTACTGTGGATGGTGGTGTTACTGTCAATACTCTCTCAAAGATATAAAGAACATGTGCATACGATTTTTTTTTTTTTATAAACCTTTATTTACTTTTTTTTTTACTACCATTGACTGTTATCTGTGACGAAATCCCATCCGTTACATTTCATGACATCTTCCAAATACTTGATTCGTTTTTTATATTCATTTTCTTTTGCGTTCAAGCTTCTCTTTTCAGCTTCCAATACAGCATTATTGAGTGTCAGTTTTGCATTTTCTGCCTGCAAATTGGTGACTCTGCTTTCCAACTGGTCTACCTTCATAAATTTTTTCATACGAGACCTCCTTGCGGCATCCGTGTTCTTTTCAATTTGGATTATGTAAGCCGGACTCAAGAAACTAGGTTTTCCTATTACTATTTTTTTACCTTTCTTCTCTTTAATGTATATTCGTCGATTGTACCGTCTTCCGATGGTTCTGGTTCAGGTAACTTTCGAATACCACGTGGTTTGGGTAAAGGTCGGGATAGTTTGGGAAGTTGTTCTGTTTCCTCTGGGTGAAGCTCTGTAGGTGGTTTATCGTCACCACCCCAGGATATATTAAATGCTGTAGAGTCCTCTGCCGCTTTTTCAGGTGCAGTGTACATGGCAGAATATTCTGTATTAGGCGGTGAGCCTGACGATTCTGATTCATTCATCCCAAACCCATTGGGGTTCCACAATAAACGGTTATCCGAACTGTTGCTTTCGTTCAACGGTGGAAATAAACAAGACGACTTGCTGGTAGGTGTGAATCCACTATTATTCATTTCATGGTTTTTATACAAAAAAAAAAAAAAAAAAAAAAAAAGCAAAAGGGAAAAAAAAACATGACACAAAATATATAGTCACGGAATTTGAAATTGGGGAGAGTTCCAAAGGTTCATTTTTTATCATAATGCAAGCATAAAGCCTTTTCATTATCTCTCCAATTTGTGCTCAATCCTTATCAAATATCTTGTTCAGCGTGCCCGACTCTAAAGTATTAAATATTTGACAAAAGAGTGGAGTTGCTGTATGTACTTTTAAAGGTATTTTTATTAAAGTCGTTGACCTCTGACTTTTAACATTTTGAAATAGCTTGCATTCTATCTATGTGATAAAACATGTGTCACATGTTAGAATGCTAAACATTGATAAAGCTTAAAACAGATAGAGAAGGCTATCAATCCTGACACTACACCTAAAAACGTGCATGCCCGTTATTTTGACAGTCAAAAAAACATCATTCTGACATAAGCTCTTGTTTATCAGCCCTAAAATAAAAGCTGGTTCACACACTTTATTCTTCCCCGCCCTTTTCTTTTCCTTTAACATTTTTCTATCGAATGAAAGTAACTGATAATGTACAAAGGTGAGTTAGTAATGACACTTCTGTTTCTTTCAAAAGACGTTAAAATCGAAAAAAGATACATTGCGGCTGCGGCTAGTCTTTGCTATAGGAGGGCGACATCCTATAGCAGGGTTCTTGGAAACTCTGGGGCTGTGAATGGCTGTAATTGCACTGTAAATAGTTTTATTTATACTGGCCTTCTGGTCTTAGCCAGAATTACTGTAAGTGATATAAAAAAAAATACGTTTGAAAAAAAATACGGAGGTCTAGACATTTCCCTAATTTGGCTGAGAATATTGTCATGTCCTTACCCAATCATCAAAATAACATCAAACAACTGAAAGAACAAGGATACGAAATTGTTGGTTATGCGAGGAAGTCACCTGGGGATCAACGAAACCGATTAGCAAATTTGACAGCCATGGTGAATAGACTGAAGGAACGATCTTTAGTAGATAAATGCTTTGTATCCAGAGTTTGCAATGCTTCTGACAAGCTAGGAGAACGAGACTTGCGTGACACATCAAGTTCAAGCATAGAAGGAACCCAAGGAAACACCCAAGGTATGTTGTGCATTATTATATTTATAAATTGAGATAATTATATACCTAACCCTCCTACTTTTTAGACATGATCGGTTACATTGCTTCTAGCAATATTTTCAGAAGAGTGTAAGCTTCGATAGCTCTGCCAATTACTGAAAAAATAACATTCTCGAAAGCTTGCTTTTAGTTTTTATCGATTTAAACAGATCCATCCAAGCTCTTTACAATGTATTTTCTAAATGACCCTTCTTTCTTATTCTGAATTATAAATTCAACCTTTTCTTTCAGAGATGATTGATACTTATGAATTATTGAAACAGTGGAATGAAAGTCATGTAACTGTTATTCATATAAGGGGGGGGGGGGCAAAACGAGCAAACAACTGTAAGATCACACCAGTTTCTCGCAGAGTTGATGGACAAAAAAGGCTAAAACCGATGACACTAAAACAGAAAAGCCCAAAAAAGGTACAACTGCTTGTCATTTGTAACCTTTGTTCGAAATGTCATGGATGTCCTGGACAGACACAATAAGCATGGCTTTTATATCGTCATGGATAATTGCCGAATTCACTATATCCATTGTATCGTTGATGCAATCCAAAGTAGGGGATATAAGCCTTTATATATGCCCCCATATTCACCATTTTTGAATCCTATTGAGAAGTGCTGGTCAAAGATCAAGAAGCACATCAAAAGAAATCTGCTTTCCACTTTAGACACTTTAACTCCTAGAATTAAAACAACCTGTGAGACTATCACCACAGAAGATTCCATTGGTTGGATACGTCACTCTGAAACTTACTGGGATAAATGCCTTGATAAAGAATCAAAATTAGTATAAACTTTTACTTGTCTGAACAATTTTTACGTTTGTCTGAATAATTTTTTACGTTTGTCTGAAAGTATATATTTTAGCCTGAATTTTTTTTTTGAGCTTGTCTGAAAATAATTTTCGCTTGTCTGAATTTAGCGTGATAATACTGTAACGGTATAATCATTTCAATCTCAGGTCATCATCTAGTTTGTAACGATTGGCTGAATAAATTATTTCAAATGCTTATTCAGTTATTAATCATCCAATTTCATGTAAATAATGCAGTCCCCCACCCATTTTCGCGTATAAACCTATATAATCGACTCTTTTTTCTACTTCTTTTTTTTTTGCATGTATTTGTTTTCCAAAGTTTTTACTTTTAAACACACCTTTTCCAAACAAGTATCAACAACAACTTTTAGTCTATTTAAACACACCATGTCTACTACTGCTTCTTCTGATAACAAGCCTGCTATTCTTAACTGGGCATCCAAGGATGGTGAATTCAGACGCCAACAATCCACTTTCCGTGATACTATTGTAGATGATGCATCTGCACAATTTGCTGCTGAACCGTAAGTGTGTGAGAAAAAAAAAAAGAAGAGAGAGAGAGATAGAGAATACTTGAATTGAGGCGTTTTTTTTTTTCTTTCTGAAAATAGTGATCGTTACCATCTTTATATTTCTTGGGCCTGTCCTTGGGTAAAAAAAAAATTGCATTCTTTTATTCAATCACTGGTATTGTTACTAACTTTTAGGGGTTAGGCACATCGTACTGCTCTTGTGCGTAAACTCAAGGGTTTGGATAGCTTAATTGGTCTTTCTGTAGTGGATTACTTGATGTTGGACAAAGGATGGAAGTTTTCCAGCTCAGAAGAGTGTCCTGGTGCTATTCCCGATACCGTGAATGGAGCTCAACATGTACGCGATCTTTACTTTAAGGTGAACCCCAACTACGAAGGTCGATTCACTGTTCCCCTCTTGTGGGACAAGAAGACCGAAACCATTGTGAATAACGAGAGTTCGGAAATCATTCGCATGTTTAATACTGCTTTTAACAAGTACTTGACAAAGGAGCAAGCAGCTATCAACTATTATCCTGAAGACTTGCGTGAAGAGATTGACGAAAAGAATGAATGGATCTATGATACCATTAACAATGGTGTATACAAGTCTGGTTTTGCTACCACACAAGAAGCATGTAAGTTTTTTTTTTTGATTTGTTTGTATCTTTTAAACATCCCCCAGTGACTAACTTGTATAAAAAAAAGACGAAAAGAACGTGTACCCATTATTCAAATCTTTGGACCGTGTGGAGAAATTACTCGAGGGTAAGAAATACTTGGTGCAAGACACTTTCACCGAGGCAGATATCCGTTTGTTTACGACTATTGTGCGATTTGACCCTGTTTACTTTGGTCACTTCAAATGTAACTTGAAATCCATTGAGTTTGGTTACCCCAATATTTTGGAATGGACCCGTCGTATTTATCAAAAGGCTGGTGTCAAGGAAACGGTTAATATGGAGCATATTAAGGGTCATTACTACAAGTCCCATCGTCAAATTAATCCTACTCAAGTGGTGCCTGTTGGCAACGGACCCGACCTCCTCGTTCATGTTGACCAATAAAATAAAATAAATGTTTGTGTAACGCACGTCGCAGAGAGTTAAATATATATAAAAGAGAGACAAAAGTGAGGACGTAATCGTTTCAGCAATAAATAATAAAAAAAAATTATGAACTAAGTTTTTTTTATTTTTTCTTGTTTTATAAGAGAAGAAAAAGAGGTGGGGGGTTATCTTTATTTACACGCCTTCCATTTGGCCTTCCAACTCATCCATCTCAGCCTTGGCTTCTTGGTATTTGGCATCCAAATCAGCGTTCTTCTTGTCCCAAACAGCGATTTCTTGTTGAATCTTGACAGCCTTCTTACCAAGTTGTTCAGCACGTAAATCAGCCTCACGGAAACTAATAAAAAAGGGGTTGAAATCTATTATTAGTTTTTTTTTTGTTATATATATATATCCCTCAGCACTTACTCGGTGGTTGCTTGCTTCAAGTTGGCTTCAGCAGTTTCAAGTGACTCTTCCAACTCCTTAGCACGAGCTTGAAGGTTACTTAACTCGTTATCTTTTTGATCATGCTCAGCCTCGAGTGCCTTGGCCTTTTCCTCCAACTCGGTGGCACGCTTAGTGGCAGTATCAACTTCAGCACGAAGGGTAGCGAGTTTCTAAATTTTATTTCTTTGCTATCAATAACTCAATTCTACAAACCTCTTTTTTCTTTCATTCTATACTACTTTACCTCCTTGAACTTTTCCATGTTTAATTCAAAATGTAGATGATGTTTAAAAAAAAGAAAAAGCAGGGAAGAAATTGGAAATAGGCCCTTTTTATAAAAAACCCTAAAAAAATAGAGTCGGGCTTAAAATTTAACAATGTGATGATTGCCTAAAACACAAGGTTTGGCACACTTCACCCATCATTTGATTGGTCAACTACAAATAGGGCTGCTCCTTTATTTTAAAATATATATTCTTGAATTCGTTGATTTTTTGAATATTTGCCAACGTGAATTTGCAATGTTTCTATCGAATGAAACCGAAGCTCTATATTCACTACTCTATCTGTTGGCACTACTTTTTCAAATGAGTTCAGTGCAGCATCCAGCAAGTAATACTCACTTTTTTCATCACCACCACCTGCTGATGAAATCTTAAAGCACGTGTGTGGTAAATGATAAAATGACTTTACGTCCATCACCAACATTTTTAAATCCAGATTTGACATATCAAACTCTGTTGTATTACCATCCTCCATAAAAAATGTACAGTTGAATAGATTTAAATATTGCAAGTTGGGTATATGTCTTGACATCTTGTTTATCAAACCAGGGGTGATCATAGCTCTAAATAACTGTAATCTCACCAAATGATCATTTATAACATTATCATTTATCGTTGTCACCGTAAGATTGGATTGCCTTGATTGAAATACCTTCATTTGATCATCCCAAGAACAATACGGTTCCCACATTCTCGCTAAATACAGATGTAATTCCTTCACACCGCCACATTCTTTTAAAATCAATCCAAGATCAATGGACCTTGACATCAAACTTGACATTTGGATAGCCAACTTCTTTATTTGACATCCATACGTCGCCAAGTGCTTTAAAAAAGGTAGTTCTGTGGACTCGGAAGAGGAGAAATCACGCATAAATAAATAGTGTGCTGTTGTATTATTATTTCTCTTTTTATCCAAACTAATTTCTGTACGTTGATGGCGTCCATCGTGAATTTCAAATGAAGCATCCACTGTCGATGCTGCGTCGTTGCAAGTGAATTCGGCCATGGCGTCAGCTATACATGAAGCATCCTGCATCTTGATTACCAAGGATGAATGAGAAAGTTGTTTGATAAAGGGTATATATTCTCTCTTCATAAACGACACAATGTCTTTCTTGTCTGCTATCCAATCCATTCTACTTTGGTTCATACGCACATGCATTTCTGATAGATTTACAAAGCGATGCATCATGTATCGAAAATATGGCAATGAGAATTTGGTCAGAAAGATATCAATGGAGCGCATGGTTGGGTACAGCTGAAAGGACAAGTGGTTGGTATTGCTGGGATCTACCAGTGGATGACCTAGGTCAATCTTTAATCTTTCTAACCCTCTACAATGGTTCAATAATTGATCAAAGTAAACACACACATTCCTACTTCCACTTAGAATAAACAGATCCCTCAAGTTTTTAAAGGAAGCCAGATAATTCATGATTCCACCAAACTCTTGCCCAAATACAGGACTGCATGCTAGGATGATCTCTAGGTTTTCCAGCTGATCTCTGTATTGATGTGCAACACGGTAATAACATGCATTGGTTTCATTCGACCGCCACGAGACACGACCCATCTGCGCCAGTCGTTTTAAACGAGGTAGAGGCACATGCTCAGCCAATAACCATTCAAAATAACTAGAAAGATTATGGATACAGAGTTCTCCCAGTTGTGGGCATGCACGAATTAAGCGTATCATATCGTGTTGATTTAGTTTTGTATGCGTGTCCAGTTTAAGAGATTTCACTAGCTGACCTGTGGATTGTAGACTATATATCAGTCTAGAGACATCGCATTTATCATTTAAATGAAGGCTGGAGAAAAAGATTTGTCTGGCTGGATAGTACCATGATTTACACACTATTTGTAAAACGGGTTGTTGTTCCCGACTAATTTCCTTGAAGACTCTAAACAGTATCTCAGATGGAAGATACATGGCCTGACTATTCATGATATGATAAGAAAAGTGTATGTATATATAAAGAGAGAGAGAGAGAGAGAAGAAGAAGAAGAAGGGGAGGACCACATAATCATGCATTTTATTTATAATTAAAAAAAAAAAAGGCATCATGTGCGAGACACAAAAAACAGCCAAAAATTTCCATTTTTAAAAATTTTTGGACCCTGTTTTTTAATTCAGCCCTTTTTAAATCTTTCCCTAATTATGTGCGGAAGATTCTGCTGCTCGTTAAACCGAGCATCTGTGACCACAGAATTATACAATCATGCGGTATGCGAGGATAAGGATATTACTTGGTTGGATAAAGATAAATACGTAGCAAGCTATAATGTTTGTCCTACACGATACGTTCTTGCCTTGTATCAAGACACCGTGTCGAAGCACAAAGTGCTACAGTCCATGGTAAAAAAAGAAAAAAAGTTGGAAAAGCAGTGTATCTCAAGAACAGAGTCTAACTCTTCTTTTATTTAGCAATGGGGTTTCATTCCTTCTTGGTCAAAAAATTCCGCCATGGCAAAAGTAAGTCCTCACTACCCAAGAAAAAAATAACCCCGCATGAATAAATAAAAGCCTATCAATGCTAGGTCGGAAACCTTGCAAGAGACATCTATATTTAGCAGCGCCAAACCTTGTATTATTATAGCAGAAGGGTATCTAAAAATACAGAAAGGTACTAGTAAAGAGAAACTAAGCCTTCTTTTTTATTATTATTAGGTTTTACGAATGGAAAACATCGAGCACGAAAATACCTTTTTACGTTAAAAGAAGAGACGGACAACTCATGCTTTTTGCTGGTTTATATGACACCAACAAGCACTTTGGTATGCATAATAAAATGATGCATAGAGTTATAGTATTCATTCATGCTATTCTTTTAATAGGAGACAAGTTAACAACATGTGCAATCATCACAACCCAAGCCTCTGAATTCTTTGCTGTCATTCACAATAGAATGCCAGTTATTCTCGAGACAAAAGACGTGGATCTTTGGTTGGATCATGGTACTCTTTTATCTAAATCAGTGATTCATCTCTTGAAGCCGTATAAAGGACCGCTCCAATGGTAAATTAACTGCACAAAAAAAAAAAATTATGCACATTTATATGTATATATCAGTCACTGATAATACTGTGTTAATAACTAAAGCTATCAGGTGTCTAACGAGGTGGGACAAACAAAGAAGGATACACCTGACTTGATTGTACCGATTGACAGCAAAAAGAGTTCCATCACACACTTTCTAACCTACGTAGATCCCACTGTAGTAGCCGCCCAAAAGGAAGAGCCTATAGATAATGAGAAAGTAAGCGTAAAAAGAAAAGAGCCTCCAAATGACACTGTTGTACCCAAGAAAAAGAGAGAAAGACCATCCAATAACACCTTGATTACACACTTTTTTAACAAGGAAAAACATGAATAATAATAATAAAAAAAAAAGAGAGAGAGTTGGAGGGGGTATTTATTAACAGTGTAAATTATTAATAATTAATAGTCGGCAGCCCAGCCGTTTTCTTTCAAAAAGTCTTCGATCGCTTCACGAAGTGACAAGTTTGGGATTAATTGTCTTTCTGTACAAGGTCTTCTTGTGATTGGGTCAAAATTTCCGTTTCTACTAAAATGGTCTAAAAGAGATTGTCTCTCGTATGTGATACCATCTATTGATATGACATTTTAGATATATACATGCCAAATTAAAAAAAAATTAGAATGTTTGTGTTGTATTACCTGGTGTAAAAACAGGATCGTGCATAATATTAAATGAAATCTTGTCTAGATATGCGTCAGGGATTTCACGTCTCTATGACATGCATCCTGTATATGAGTGTATGCTACATAAAAAAAAAAGGGGGGGGGGGAGCATTTGTCTTACGTGTGAATTATCCTTGGATTGCACAAATACGGTCTGTACCTGTGATAACTTTTCATCCTGTGTGATTAAAAAAAAAAAAAAGTTTAGCTTTCAAAATATGATCTTTGTTACTGTTATAGGATTTTACTTTACAATTTTGTAATTAATGGTCTCAATCTCCTCTTCATCAATGGTGTCCTTTAACAAGTCAGCTCTTTCCTTTTCAATGAGACCTTTCACGTAATGCAATAATTCATCCTCCTTCTCAAGTCGAATTGCTTCATCGTCATCCCATTTCTACGTGTAAACCATGAATAAAGAAACCAAAAAAAAAAAAATTCTCCAAAGATGGGGCAACTTACTCTCTTTCGGGCAACAAGCAATGCTTGGATGATATCATTGACATATTTCACCTTTTGCTCAATGGCCAATTGATAGCCTATGGATAGTTTTCTATTTTTTTGAGTCGACTAACGTCTCTCTCTCTCTCTCTCTCTCTTTCTTTGATTTACCAGTCTTTAATTTGTTTAATGCTACACGGTAAAATAAAATCAGACCGTGTATTCTATTTGGGTTGTTTGTCCAATATTACCTTCAGTGTGTTGCTTCTTTTCAATTAATGCCTGTCCAATCTATAATTTATATGATGCATGAATAAACACACTTGTACCTTGGATATAACATAAATATGTGTGTGTTACCAAATAGTAAGCTTTCACTGTTGTAGTCATGATTAATAAGCAAACTATCAACTGTTGATGTATATATATAAAAAAAAAAATTTTTTACCCATTGAAGGATCTAATTCAATTGCTTTTCTACAGTCAGAAATGACTTGATCGTATTTCTCTAGCTGATATATATATATATAAAGGGTTAATTTTGACACACAAGGATTTTTTTTTAATGTGGTTGATACCTTTGAATAACAAAGAGCGCGGTTTGTATAATAAACGCATACTGTTGAATCTTTTATCTTTTTTTGTTTTGCGTTAGTTTCGAAATAAAAGGGAAAAAGAAGATAAACAAACATACAATGGCACTTGTGTATTCATTAATAGCATCTCCATAACGTTTCTCTGCAAAAAGCTTGTTTCCTTTATACAGAAACAAAATAACACGTACGAAAAAAAAAAGTCAGTCACTGAAGACGGGTTTTTTTCTCTCTCTCTTCCTTGTTCACCTGCTGCTTTATGTCTCTCTGCCTCAACTTTTGACATGTTCACAAAAAGGGGAAAAAGAAAAGAAAAAGAAGGTTGGGACACCTCGGGGGGTTTTTTTTTTCTTTTCTTTCTTTCCTTTTCTTTCCCTGTGACTGGGTTAATAAATAAATAAATAAAAAAACCTCGTGCAAAAATGCGAAAGAAAGGTCTGTACCTTTTTTTTCCCTTTTTTTCTTCTTTTTTTCCCTTTTTTTTATATATATACATATTATCATTCTTATGGCTGGTAAAGGAGTTGTCCGTAGCATGTAAGTGTGTTTGAGAGAGTATGATATAAGCACAATTAATCAAAGAGTGGTTCTTAGCAAGAATATTGCCAAAGGGTTTAGTGATGTACAAATTAAAGTGAGAGAGGCCACCTCAAACGATCCTTGGGGGCCAAGTGGAACATTAATGAATGAAATTGCCCAGTTAACTTTTAATGAGTAAAACTATCCTTTATATATTTCACAAGTAACTGTGTGTTCCCTTAATAAACAAACCCTCTCTTTACTCCCCCCCCCCCCCTTTTTAGGTCCGATTTCATTGAAATCATGGATATGATTGATAAACGCTTAAACGATAAAGGTAAAAACTGGAGGCATGTATTTAAGGTAAGTGATGACGATGACGATCCCTTTTTTTTTTTTTTTTGTGTAATAACCCCGAGTTTAAAAAAATAATAATTAAGGCCTTACTCTTGCTGGATTACTGTTTGCACGTGGGATCTGAAAATGTAGTCTTGTACGCCAAAGAAAATATTTACGTCGTCAAAACCCTCAAAGAGTTCCAACACACTGAAGAAAATGGAAAAGACGTTGGTGCTAATGGTAAACACATCACTTTAGAAAAAAACCAAAGCTCTGTCTCACCTATTTTATCTCTTATTTTCTTTTTGTTCACAGTGCGTCAAAAGGCTAAAGATATTTCCAACTTACTCGTAGACGATAACCGCTTAAAGGAAGAAAGACGTCAGCGACAGGGCATGAGAGAAAGAATGGCTAATGTCGGCGATTACCTCAACGAAAGTGTTCGAAGAATCAATGGCGAAAGTACAACAGAGACAGCAGGTGCTCGCAATTGGGATGACGAAAACGAGTTGAAAAAGGCTTTAGCCGAAAGTAAACGAATCGCTGCTCTCGAAGAGAAAAACAGACGTCAGGGTGACGATGACCTCGAAAAGGCTCTTCAAATCAGTCAGCAAGAAGCGTTGGAACAGGAAAAGAAGAAGAAGGAAGCGCTCGAGAAAGAAAACGCTAATAACTTGTTTAATGGCTCCTTTGGTGCCTTCCCTCAACAACAGGTATTTAACTCGCCTGCCAACAACCCTTACCAACAGCAACACATACAGCAGCAGCAACAACAGCCTGTGTTGCAGTTAGAGTGGACACAGTCAAATGCATTTGACACTATGCAAAATAACCCATACCAACAGCAACAGCAACAACAACAACAACAACAACAGGCACAAAATCCTTATTTGCAACACCAATTTAATGCAAACGGTCTTCAAGCTCAGATGACTGGATTTGTGTCTCCTTCTCCACAACAACCCACAATGGACTTTTTCTCACCACAATCACAAGGACTCCAAGCACAAATGACTGGATTTCCCTCTTCACCACAACCACTGTTTGGACAACAGTCACCACCACCACAACAACAACAACAACAACAACAACAGCAAAGTTTCCAACCACAAGGCTTTGCTCAACCTTCCTTTCAAACAAGTATGGTGACAGGCACTAACCCGTTTTCTCAAATGAGCTCGCATGGCCAATCACCGGCCTTACAACCTCAACAACAACAACATGATTATAGTGGGCTTGTGTTTGGAGGCCATACAACATCGTCACCTCAACAGCAATATGCTTCAGCCACTACACCTAATTTTGGTTTCAGTACAGCCACCAGTAGCACGCCTAATTTTAGCTTTCAAACGCCTGCTGCTGCTGCTGCTGGTGCTGTGTCTTCACCTTCTCCCGCATTTGCCAATACTACTCCCTCTATTAATAATAACAGCGCATTCTCCTCTCCTCAGCCCACGCCCTCTGATTTAAAGTTTGCTAAATTGAATGCCTTGTTGGCCAACAAAGAGTGAGTATTCAAAGTGGATTAAGAGTGTCATTTCTAACATGGGATTTACATAGTGATGGCATGGATACCTTTGGAAATCAAGGAAATTTACGTATTCCCTAGTAAGTTTTTTTTTTTTTTAAAAAAAAAAAGTGAGAATAATGAAAATCTAATTCAATCTTTTATTAGTGGAACAGGATTTGCTAGCAGTAGTGGATTCAAACCAGTTGAAGACAATGTAAGTTTACATGACAAATGTATTTATAAGAGCCAAAAAAAAAAAAAAAATTTACATGTATATCATTTAGATGACCAAGAACCCTTTTGGTCAAATCAATCAAAATCAATCCCCAAAGCCTTCCAAAAGTTTACTAGACTTGATGCAAGAACAAAAGCAACAACAACAACACTTTAATTCTTCTTTTTTTTAAAAAAGTGAATAAATCTTTTTTTTTTTTTTTTTCTGGTTAGATCATCAAAAACAAATGGATCCTCCATGATTGCTGTCATTTGATAAATAAAGCTTGTCTTTTCTCGGGAATGAAGGTTACACTAGAATGGAAAAACAAGGGTGTTTCAAGCGGGGAAAATATATTTTTAGAAAAAAAAAAAAAATTAAAACCTAAACCAAATTTTTCTTTTTATTTTTTTCCTTTTCTTTTACTCCTCCTTTTTTCATATAATTTATTTAATAATGGGAATTACAACCTTTTCACAGAATAAATGGGGAGGTCGTTCAGACTTCTCTCGACCTAGTGTGTCATCTAGTACAACAACAACAACAACGATGGTAGAAGCAGCAAAGGAAGAAGAGACAGTACAAATAAGTCAACCTCGTTTTAGTGTGTTTGGAAAGAAGGCTAAATTCAATAGCATCAATCAAAATAGCCTATTGTTGGATAAAGAGAGTAGTAAGAATACAGCACCCAAGATCCAAAAGTTTGAAATTCATCCTTCCACCATTTCGGCTGCTAATATTAAACAACAACAAGACGATTTGAAACCTGTGTTGCATTCGAAAAGTAAAAAATCCGTATCCTTTGATCCTATCTTTCTTGAAAGAGTTTGTCTCTTTAGAGAGACTCAAGCTCCTCAAGAACTAAAGGAAGCTCATGACAAGAGGTTAGAAAATCCTCCTTTTCGTCTGCTCTGTCCAAACTGGCCTGGTTCAGAGAATGATTCAAATATTTTATTGAATAAGAAATCATTTACAATTACACATGATAATCAATCCATCAAAGGTAAGCTCTCCATTCGTAATTTGGCTTTGGATAAGTCCGTTTCTATACGTTATACTTTGGATGGTTGGACTTCTGTTACGGATGTTGATGCCGTCTTTTTTGGTCCAAATCCAAAAAATGTCGCCTTTGATATTTACGAATTCTCAATGGATTTGGGTTTTGGTCACTTATCCGATCATGGCGAAATGCGTGGAAAACTAGAATTTTTAATCAGGTTTTCGGCGGGTGACATGGACTATATGGATAATAATCATGGCCGCAATTACCAAATCAAGATTATCGCTGATCCGTTAAATGATCCTTGGGCATCCGAAAAGCAATTAGAAAAGATCCCTGACCATCACCATCAATATCCCGATAATAATAGTACAGATGATGATGATGATGATACGGAGGAAGAGGAAGAAATAGAGGAAGAAGAAGAGGAAAAGCATAATCAGTTTACCAATGCTCTCAAGGGTTATAAACATGCTAAACCATTTCACCTTAATAAGCGTCAACCATGGCTTGGTACAAGGTATGATTTTGGTCAGTCACTGTCATTAGCCAAGAGAGCTCCCTATGAATCTTGGTCACATACAGTCAAACCAGACCCTACCTTTATTAACGATTACTTCCTGGCGAAGCCGATATCTATACAGCCTAGCAACACTGATAATTCAACTAAAACTGTCAATGTGCCCCCTACACCACCTAAAGTAACATCCACCACAAGTACACCTACCATTCCAAGCTTTAAACCTACCTATACCACCTTTTCTTCCTCTTCTGCACCACCCAGTCCACGCACCTCACCTACATTATCTTCATCCACTCTACCTCTACCCAGACCTGCTTACCACCAATCACAAAGCACTTCAGCAGTGATAGATACCTTGCCATCCTCCACTTCTCCCTTGGACATTCATTCTAGCGATTATTTGTATCTTGTAAATAAGTATTGTTTCTACAATGGTGATAATTCTAAAAAAGATGATTCCGTCAACAGTGTATAAATCAGTTTTTTTTTTTATATATTTTAATTACATATAATTCCATCTTTTTTTATTTTTTTATTTATACCCCTCCTCTTTATTAAACGCACAAAAATAAAAAAAATTATTATTTTGGCCCATATAAATATTATGCAACGTCGGGAATATCATTTGAAATAGCGAAACTCTTTCCCGTTTATTGTTTCCAAAGTTGGGGAACACACATGGATGTTTAATCTGTAGGTAAACTCTTTTTATTCTTTTTTTATTCTTGTACCAAGAGAAAAACAACGCCTTTTCTTATCCATCACAAATGCAATGCATAGTTTCTGTTAGATAATATTCTTGCATAAAAAGGAAAAACATTTTTTTTTTTTTTTCATTCAAGCACGGTTTCTTCCGCTTGTGTAACTAGATCGCCCCCCTCTCCCAAATATGAATAACATGATTCTAGCCCTTGCAGTCTATGCAACACTACTCTCTTCAAGACATTTTATCCTGGTCAAAGCAATATAACATCCCCCTCCAACGCCTTACATTGCAGCAAACAGAATTTTATTTCTTATTTATTTTATCATGAGCGTAGGTCTTGTGCTGTAAAAATTATTGGCCCCTTCCTCAGTTTCAGCCACTTTACAAGCCTTCTTTTATAAAAAGCAGAATAATATATCACTACAAAGAATAAAAACCGTGCTTGTATCCCATCCCTCCCACAATTCATCAAGGAATAATGTTTAAATTTTTAATCCGCCGCATAAAAAGAGTTCAACCATATAAAGAAAAACTCTCCGAGATGAAAGAGTTAAAATCCGTTTGTTGTAACGGGATTCGAATTATCTATTTGTTAGCTTAAACTATATCTTTGACTGTAATCTACTCTCCAACTAACAAACGTAGAAATGTAAGAGGACTAACACCTTTTGCCAAAATGATGTCGCAAAAAAAAAAAAAAATCTGATTAGAAGGCTCGTTTTCTTTTCATATTGCGTTCACAGATTGACATTGGTTTTCTTGATACATGATGTGCAAAGTATACTTTAAATCAGTTTTGGAAATTTAAAACAAACATGATTTGTATCGCAAACTCACTCACTCCTGTGTTTTTTTACCGAATAACAATATCATCTTCTTCTATATCACTGTCCTATTCAACAAATATTTTGATTTCTCGGAAAACAATGGGCATAGTCTTATAGTCAGATATGTCAGGGCCATTGTTACATTGGGAAAGAGTGAAGATGTTGTAGGGTTACAAAGTATGGTTATCGGTTATCATGGATGCAGCTCTTGATCGGTTATACGCACTTCGGTAATAAAAATTAGTTTGTATTTGGCGAGTTTGATATAGGAAATCATAAGTGTTTATGGTGTGTTTATGAGGTTCAGCCATAAGTTTTTTTTTTTTTTTTTTTGCTTTATTCCAAAACTCTTTGTGTATATAAATTTTTATATCTCTTGACTGTTCGTTGCTGGAGATAGTAAAATGATGTGTGGATGGACCAACTTCTGGTTCATAAGGACTATCAATGCGGATACTAGATGTTACCAGTGAGTTCAATCTTTTTGTACCAAATATAAGTTTTGAGCCATGATTGTCGATAATCGTTGTCACCCAAATATTTCGGTGAGGAAGGTGATGATTGTTTTGATTTAACAGTAAAATCTTCCCTGTGCACATCTACAGACCACGTCCTTTCACCTCCGAGCATTGGATCACCACCGTACTTGCATGTTTTTTTTACTTGGGCAAGATTAAGTCTCAGATATAGAGGATAACGTAGCAATTGTGAAAAGAAAGAAGGTGGTGCATTCATCTTTCATCCCAGCAATTACATTATATCATATACTCACATAGACTTCGTGACATATTACCAAAATAGCTTTGCTATTATTGATCACCGCGAGAAGAGCCGAGCAAGAAAACAACTCCGCGCAGAAAATATTCGACACTTCCGTTTTGAGCCAAAAAAAATAAGTACCTACTTTTTCTTCGTTCAACGATTCTTTCATATTTTATTACTCAATTTACCATACCACTTACTGACATTACTAACAAAGCCTCTGGAAAGACCAAAGAACTTTCAGATTTCGATCGTGGAGTCATTTGCGGCTTGGCAAAGCATGCCAAATGGACAGGTACCCTAATCAGCAAAGAATTGGGCGTTCCTAGAACAACCGTTGTTACGATCATAAAAAAGTATCGAGATAAAAGGATCACGACTGTCCAACCTCGTCCAAAAAGACCAGCAAATTTGACAGCAAGAGCTGAGCATCACCTGACGCTTTTAGTTCGAAGGAGCCCCTTTGAACCTTTAAGTGTTCATATGCAAAATCTTGCGAAGGCTACCGATCCCATCAGCCTGACGATATTGAGGAATGCACATCGCAAAATTGACTTTTATTCTTGCAGATCTTCTAAAAAACCGTTTTTGAGTCTTAGACATAAAAAACGCGAAGAGAATGGGTCGATGACAAGATGAATTGGACATCAGATGACTGGAAGAAGGTAATCTGGTCCGATGAGTCGTGGTTTGCATTCAGGCATAACGACGGTGGTGTGAGAGTTATTAGAAAGAAGGGTGAAAGGTAAATAGATAGATTTGTTCTACCAACATTTAAATTTAGTAAGGGATCAGTAATGGTATGGGGATGTTTTGGGCAGGTGGTTTGGGCCCTTTGGTGTCACTTAAAGGGTCTATCGATCAAGAAAAATATGTCAATTGTTTAAGTCAAAACTTTTTCCCTTGGCTTGAACAATTGACAGAGAAATATGGTCATGACTTTATTTTCCAAGAAGACGGTCCCCCATGCCATACAGGAGGATATACGAGGTGGTGGAAAGAGAAGGCTGTGATTGCAGGCTTTGAGCGATGGCCAGCTCAAAGTCCCGATTTGAACCCAATTGAGAACCTTTGACGCCTCCTGGGACAAAGGATTGCTAAAAGAAGAGCCCTTCAAAATATTAATGAATTGGAGGTTGCACTTCATCAGGAATGGAAGTTGTTGGGGGATGAAGTGTGTCATAAGCTTGTAGAAAGTATGCCCGATAGATGTCGGGCAGTAAAAAAAGCTCGTGGCTCAAATACCACTTATTAACGTAATTAAAAAAGATTCTTTTTCAAAATATACATATATATTGCAATTTTTGTTAAGTTTGGTAGAGTTTGAGATACCTTTTATTGATAAGTGGTGTATCACAAGACTATCTCACCATAATAACAATTACTCTAATGTAAATACGGAACATATAAGAATCACCGAGACAACAAATACGAATCACCGACTTAAAAAACATGAACATATAATATATATACAAGAGCAAATTAAGCATTTAATAAAGGATTATCTTATATTTGATTGAAATTATTGTCTCTTAGACATCGGATATTACAATAAGTTTTTGGTTTTAAAAAAATGCATGATTAAAGGAGCTTAAATTTTTGTGAAAAGTGTCGAATGTTTTCTGCGCAGAGTTTGTATTTAATATGCTTCCTCGTACTCCAATCCGTATTTAATAGGGTGCACATCTTCTCATCAAGTTCCTGAGGAAATAAATTCACCAAAATGAACGGAATAAAACCCGAGTCTTACTTACTTTGCTTTTCGAAAGTGTCTTGGATACGTATTTCTTCCTAAAAACGCGATATATAACAAAACCATGTAAAGAAAATATAAGCAAGAGTGTGTAAGACTTGATACTTACGTTTTTTTGTTATAAAACTTTGATATGCTGCTGGGATAAGAAAGTCCTATTTTATCCAAAAGGCAAGGGAATCGGTAAAATGAAATTGAAAAAAAAAAGCAGTTCGAGGCAATACCTTCAATACTTAAATAATGTCGTCTCAAGCTTTTTAATTCTGTAAACTGTAACAGGCACACATGGCATTCATATTGTAAACTGAAATATTCGATAATTTCACTCATTTTTTTAAAACTGAAAAAAATACTTAAAGACGCGGCAGTCGCGTATTAAAGAATTTTTTTTTTTTTTACATCACGCATTGTAAGATCCTATCACCGTAGCAGTTGAAGGTACGTTCAATTTAGATTCAAATTTACAAATGCTGACTCTGGGCTTTCAGAAATTTGCGAAAAGGTTATAGTAGAAAGAAAAAATGATATGTTGCAATGTCCTTTTTGCAATAAAGAACACTTGACTTGAGAAGGTATAAAATCTCATACATATGCAAAAATCAAAATGTAAAGCAGCTCTTTTCAATGAAAGAACCAAGACAACAAAAAAACGAAACTATGATACTGCCGTTTTGAATGCTTGTGGTGCTTTACTGTTTGGGAAATGTCTAGAACTCCGTATTTTCTTCAAACGTATTTTTTAGAATCACGTGATGGTCTACACATAAGTCTTTACGTCGATGGACATGCCCTATCGTCTAAACTTTATAGGATGATTGATTTCTGTTTTCCATAAAATCTGCTTCCCTATCATTACAAGCTACTAATGGAACGCAGATAGACAATTACCAAGTTCTGACTTGCTTGGGAGGTTTTTGCAAGTGTTGCTATTTTAAGTAAAGGCCCAAACATTATAGATGATGAAACAAATAGTTAAATCATTCTGACATAAGCTCTTGTTTATCAGCCTACAAATAAATCTGGTTCACACACTTTATGCTTCTACTTTTCTTTTCCCTTAACATATTTCTTCTATCTTATGGAAGTAGCCGATAACGTAAAAAGGTTTGTTTATTAATGACTCTTGTTTCTTTGAAAAGACACTAAATCGAAAAAGATATATTGTGGCTGCGGCTAGTCTTTGCCATAGGACGGCGACCTCCTAAGCAGGGTTCTTGAGTTTTCGAACTCACAGCCTGTGAATAACAGGAGTTGCACTGTAAATAGGTTTGATCATACTGGCCTACTGGCCTTAGCTAGAACTCATGTAAGTGGTATATAAAAAAAAAAGTTTGAAAAAAATTACGGAGGTCTAGACATTTCTATTGTTTGAGAAGTCTCATCAAGAGATGGTTTTAAAAGTGGTTTCTTCAGTAAACTTGAAGCCCGTTAGCATGGCCAATGGTAATGGTTAAGAATTTAATGTGCTTGCGCACGAAAGTCAATTCCAACAAAAACAAAAAAACGATATCCAAAGCACTTCTGTTGTTTCAAAGAAACAATTGATAGACAACGAAACCGTGGAAATAAAAGTGGGACTTGATGATGTGCCAGCGAAAGGTGTTTATCGTACTCTATTTAATCCAAATGAATTTCCTCTTTGACAATTAGAACAATGTCCGATTTGTAAAAGCTTGTGTGAGTTGTTGTTCACATTTCTCAACGATTGAAGAGTTGGGAAGGCACATGCAAACAAATCATGGTGTGAATATAAGACATATTTTGGTTGAAATTCATAATGCTTATTTTTTTTTTTATTATTATCTAGAGCCAAAAACTCATCCTGAATTAGAAAGAAGCTTTTTGGGATTGAATAATGTCAACAAATGGGTCCTATCCACCGGAAAAGTTGTCGAAGATACATTGTATAATTTCAGTAAGAATTCACTGGTTGATCATCCATCGAGTTCTTTTATTCTAGACGTGGAAGATCAAACCTATTTGAAGCACGGAATTTTCACCGAGTCGGAGATGGAGGAGATCAAAAACGAGAACGCTGTATCTATCACTGTACCCATTCCCATCGAATTACGCGATTACTTGAATTCGTTCAATTGTAATACGACTAAACAGATCAGACAAAGTCTTGCCAAACGACAGCATTGGGAAGTGGATTACGATATAAACATCCATCATGATTTTGACTGGGTAAAACATGCTATCTATACTCTAGTGAGGGAGTATGAGAGCAAATCTCTAAGCTCTTCCAAGAAAGAATTATGGTATAACATTCATATTTGGTCGTTTATTGATAGACTGTTTGATGATATACCCGCACTGGAAGTTGTCAGGTAGCTTATAAAGACAATTTGCAGAAAATGTGAATTTTTAAACCTCAACTTAACTTCCATCATAGAAGCGAAGCAATGAGTGCAGCAAGCACGAAAAGAAAGAACGCTGCCAGGGTCATTGGTTCACTAAAACCATTAGAAAGGAGAATGATCGGGTACAAGTGCGATTTCCTTGTGAGAGACACCACTTCGGAGCATGAAGAGAGCTTGGAGTATGGGGCAGGCGAGGTTGGAATTAAATATGAGCAAAAGGGTACGAAGTTGATGACCGAAGGATCTGTTAAATTACCCAAGGTTTTGAAAGACATGTTGGACCAGCTTATTATAAAGAACAAGGACTACAAGAATATACAGTCATTCGGTGTCGTTCATTCCGGACTTACCATGCAATTGATTACTGCTGACAGGCCATATCAGTATATAACGCGCATTACCAGGGGAAAAGAACTCAAAATCCCTTCCGATGTTGCAAAATTTGGCGATAGTGTCCTTCCTGTTCTTGTTCAAGTTTGGCAATTGAAACAGCATATTTTAAATGTTCAAAATAAGATCATGTCGCCATCAAACACTAAACATAATGATAGTCATTGGCTCGATGACTGCTTGACAAAAGGGGATAATTACATCATTCCCCAGACATCCAACTCAACAGAATATACCACATAATTTATTATTTACGAACAATTCCATGAGTGCAAGTATCGTGTAGTTGAATTGCCTCAACAAGGGACTACTAATGGGTATGGCAAAAATACGCCTGCGCTTAAGAAACCTGATGAAGGTATTGTTGTCGAAGGTTGTACAGATGACTCTCATTCAATCTATCGTTCACTCAATCTACTCCATCCATCTGTAATAAATCTGTAGCTCGATTGAAAAAATAAATAAAATAAAATCAAGTGCATTAGTACGTTATACATTTATTGGCCCATAGATACTGGATGTTAATATAATAATTTGGATCTCATTACTTACTAACAGACATGTATTACAGACTCTTTTGATTTAATAGATACCCATTACAACTGTGTTTGTTATGTGATTTATACCACTCACCCACTTACCCACTATGTGCTTCACTCTGTGGGTCGCTCTGTGGGTCGCTCATTATATGGCTCACTTTGTGGCTCACTTTGTGGGTCACTCATTGTATGGCTCACTCTATGGCTCACTCTGTGGGTCACTGACTGTATGGCTCACTTTATGGCTCACTCTGTGGGTCACTCAGTGTATGGCTCACTTTATGACTCACTCAGTGTATGGCTCACTTTATAGCGGACTCACTGTATGGATCACTTTTTAGCTCAATCCGTGGGTCACTCACCTTATTGCTCACTTTATTGCTCAGTCACTCTGTGGTTCACATTATGGCTCATTTTATGGCTCGCTTTGTTAATTAATAAAGGAGAATCTTATAAACAGTCTCAAAATACTCCTATATTCTTTTTATAATTTAACCTTACCTTAAAACACAACAACAAATGCGGACGATGCAGACAAGAAGGCTGTACAGGAAGACACGTTAAACAACCAAAAACTGGGAAGAAAGATTTTGTACAGCCTTTGCTTTGTTTAAATTAATAAATGTAGCTGATAATGTATGCTGGAATTGCTACCCGTCATTATTGGCTACAAATCCATATCACTAATATCTAAGTACAATAAATCATAATATTTCTCTTAAACCACTGCAACAAATCTCGTAAAAAGCAAATGGAACTTTACACGTAAAAAATTAAGTGCCCAAGGGCACCCAAATTTTTATGAATTAACTGATATTTTTATGAATTGGCTCAACTATGGTCACACGGTCAACTTTTATTTAGACATATGTGTAGACTTTGCTTTATTTTCTTGGAACTGAATAAATCGTCAAAAAGGGAACAATTGTTTTATTTATTTTCATCGGAGCATGTTTGATTCTCTACACTCTCACTGTTCGAATCTGTAACCCGATCGTTTACTATCTCCTTATAGAACATGGTATATGATACAGTCGGAAGCAAGTTACTTTCGGTGAGATTGTCAGAATTATTATCAGTGGTATCAATGTTAGCGAGAGATAATTCCATCGAATGCTTAAAATAAAAGTAAATCAAACAAAAGATAAATCACCACAGCATCCCATGAGTAACTTATTAAATACTTACCTTCAAAGTCAGCAGCGATCGAAGTGCATGCGGCAAGACGTCATTGACTTTGTTGAACCGAGGTAGCTCTCCCCAAGTAATTTTTTCATAAGGATAATAGCCATCGATGTAACGAACAATGTAAACCTCAAAAGTGAAACCTATAAGACAGAATTTAAATTAAGAAAACTTATTCCGTGAAACAATTATTTACTACATACCACGAATTAAAATACCAAAAGTCACTAACGTGTTATGGGCGTTTGTCATTCTCATTCTTTTGTGTAGTTGTCGTTTAGCAGTTTCGAGGACTCTTACTCTTGTTGCATCGACTATACATTTTGTTACAGTAGGGGCCTTGACTTCTCCGTTTCCTATTTCATATTCTTGACCGTTTGATAATTTGGTGCTGAAGATTATATCTGGTCGAAATGATACACTACTTGGTGATTTGGCACTTGCTGTTAAGGAGGTTTTATCCCTACATATTTCATTAGTAAGGAATAAAGTTGCTCTGCAAATAAACTCACCATGTCAAGCGAACGGTACTATGTGACGACCATAATGATGAAAACAAACAACTAATGGAATCAATGAGTAGTGAAAGTTCACTATCTTCTCTGTACTTCGATGTTGAATGTTTTAGGTATACGTCGGTTATAATATGGTTGATCGATAATTCTTCCATTGTGGTATAGTTGTTGTCAAGTCTCAGCAATTCCCTACTCTGCATTGCATACGCAAGTATGTCGATATTCCGCAAGGTCAAAGGAGAAAAGATGGCTTGTTCCGCTACATATCCAACCGATATAGGCTGTGGTTCGTAATCATTACTGTTGAACAAACCTGATAATGTTAACCTTATATCCAAGTTTGTGTTTTTGATATTGCCTGTTTTTATCTTGCTGTGGGCTTCGTCGTAGATAGCTTTGATGGTATAATTTGATGTATTCATTTCCACCTTATCAGTGGTGATGATACCTAGCTCACATAATGATAAATACCAAAAGAACTTTTTTGTAAAATTCATACTGGGCAATGATGTCTCTGTGTCGGTTTCCGGTATATAGCTACTGCCATCTGATAACCATAAACTTGATTCATTATAAGTAACTTCAACAGCCTCACTATCTTCTGTGATATTCCTAACGCGCAACTCCTCCACAAGATCACTATCTTCCGTTTTTGGGTGGTCACTGGTGGCGGGGCTTGTGGTTTTCTCCTCATTGTCATAATAAATCTAAGAAAAGATATGAGTGCTTTACCCTAAATACTTGATCTTTTATTACCCTTCTTCTTTCAGACTTTTGTTCTGATTGACTTGTTTCTAACTGCCGCTTGCGTATTTGGGAAGCAACCAAATCCGTCTCAGTGTCGAAAGCTTCATACGTCGCTTTAATTCTTTTTTGTCTGATTTTTTGTTCCTCAAATAAGGCGGTAGCCTTAATTCCTTCGTCAATCAGCTCTACCCAATCGATTTGATCGAAATCGAGTAAAAACTCGTTTTCCTTCAACGACTGTCTGGCAATTCTACCGAATCGGCCTCCCCATGTTGATTTAAGTTGTTCGATACCCAGACCTTTTGTTGCTAGTTCGTCGACAATCAATTTCCTATTCAGGCGCACGAATCTTGAAAAAGAAACTGGTGAACCTAATCGCTGCGCGAAAAGTATAAATTTTCGAATCCCTAACCAAATTATTATGGAAATTAGAAATAAAATAATACAATATTCTAAAACAATACCTTCTTCGTAAATATTCATTGGCATTGTAATACTGGCAAAATGACTACGAGTAAAAGAGTTGGAAAATGTTTTTTTTTGTATGAGAGTTGAAAAATGTTGATAAACCGATTCAAAAATACCAAAAAGTGTGACGTAGATGATGTTTCATATTTTTAGAGATCGGAAAGCGGCTGAAACAAGTCCCCTTCCTAGAAATTTCCTTTTTAATAATCACTTGTAGTATCTCAAACTTTATACTGCTGCACAGCAACTTTTATTTATTAGGCCTTCACACCAAGACCGTCCAGACGGTTTTTAGGCGTCCGGACGGTTTTTGTTCCAAAAAGATTTTAGCAATTTATATCCATTTGTACAACAAATAAGAATATTCAGCTGACGTATTTCTAAAATGCCAACACGCTTAACTGTCTGCTTTTTACTGTTTTGTGAATTCAGATTTTCTTTTTGAGAATCGGGTCGAAGTGCAGGACATGGAAGGGAGTCGGTCCTGCACTTTTGGGTCGAACGATTTATTTCTAAATTGAGACTCTATAATCGGAAATCAAAATCGTCCGGACGGACGGTCTTGGTGTGAAGGCCTATTATTTTTTAACACTTTTCTTTATTACTATTTATGTCTATCTACGGTTACTTCTGATAGCTTTATGACCTTCAGTATATATATCACACCTTTTTCTTAATAACAATTATCTTTAGTTAGTTCATGACTTTTATTTTTCTGATAAAACACTTTTCAAACTCAATCACCTAATTGCCCGTGTAACAAGAGCGTGTATTTGAAAAATGTGGGGTAAGGGCGGTTTACAGTTAACGCAGTGTTAAAGGGCGGTTTTGTAAAACCAAAGAGCGGTGCAATTTATACGCATTTGAATTTTATAAAATGGCCGCCCTTTGGTTTTAAAAAACCGCCCTTTAGCACTGCGTAAACTGTAAAGGAAAAGAGTTACAAATTTAGGAAAAAAAATTTACAAATAGGCAGTATAAACAAGAGTTGGACTTTGTTTGTCTTCTATAGTAGTTTTTTAAAGAATCACAGCTTACCAATTAATTTGCGCTTTTCTTAGGGACAGCCAAAGTGCATGTAAACACAACGTAAGATCAGTGGTATGACTGTCCTTTAGACCAGGAAACAAGAACATATAATCAAAAACAGTGTGATAATTACGAAAAAATGTATATTAAACGATTTATATTTGTCTTGACAATTTTATCTTCACTCTTTCGCCTTTAAGCTCGTTTGATCTTGATCTTACGCAGACATATAAAGATAACGTCCAAACGAGAAGATGAAAGTAAGCTATAACACACATATACTGATTTACACTATGTCGGTTGTGATAAATTTATATCTAGTTCAAGTTGTCAAGTTATATTGACCTCTTGGTGTCTATCAAAGTATAGTTATCCAACATTATGACTACGCGCACCCTGATTGTCCCTAAGAAAATTAGTCTGTCCCCAAGAGGCCGTATCAAGAATCGTGTATGGTTTCAAAAACCATCACGAGACCAATGAATATACTTTTCAAGATGAACCATGATTTAAATATAAAGCAGAACAGTGAAATAAACATCAAGTCATTAAAACAGACTCTTAAAAATGGACATGGGTTAAATATTAACGCAAATAATAAAATAAAACCACTATTTATTAAAATATGTTTGATAAGCTAAAGATATATATTGGAAAGCTGTAAGGACCTGGTACACCAATTGCTGTAAGTAATTCTTGAATATTTATTTTTATCTCTTTCTCCCTCAAAAGAGGGAGTGAAAAATATAATGTTCAAGTTTTAAGTTAGTAAGCTATTTATAATAAATCCTCATCTGGCACGGGTCTTAATCTGAAAAATGGGCAGAAGAGACTCCCCACTAAACACAAAAAGACCACAACTCTCGCGTGTCTCGTTGAAGCTCCTTACCCAACGTGGGTCGGTTGGCATTCCCCGTGTGGATCATAACAGAGCGTGCTATACCTGATTTTAGTCTTTTATTTGCCCATACAAAGAAGGAGAGAAGAGACTCCAAACAATAATAAGCAAGTAAAAAGATTCAAAACAGAAGATGAGAAAGGACATGGGTTTTAGTAAAGACATACCTGTTGTATAATTTAAAGAAAAAAACAAAATTATTGAAAAAATAAAATTATTAGATAAATATTCGCCAATTTCAAAGCCACAAAATTGAACTCGTCATCTTGGCTTGTCAGGTGGCATTGACTGATATGCGTAACTTAGGTATCGCAGCCAGTAACAAAGCACAGAAGAGCCTCTCTACCAATTAAACCACACTATCCTCATATCAAAATATAATTATGCAAATACGGGTGTAATCTCAGCTTCGAAAGTTAGGAGATGAGCGTGGAGATACTAAAACGAAACTCCAACAGGCGTGCGTTAACGGTTTTGTAACTCCTTTGGGGAAGTTGAGAGATATAGCAATGAGGTGCAATAATTTGCTGTTACAATTCAGTATGAATTTTTTTGTGAGAAGACAAAATAAATGCATGCTTTTGAGACTCTAAGTAGTTAAGAAATGTTTTTTGTCTTTTAAGAAAAGTTGATATCTGCATTTTTTGACATTTTTATAGTATTCTCATTATCGTTATGTAATCACATTTTAGGGCAAAATTATGATGTGCTTTTGAATAGAGAGATTCCAGCACATAGCAGTATATGGTTGGAGATCACACAGACATACAGTCCACACTGTCAAACAAAGTGTGACTTGATTTTTATTCTACAAAACTAGTTTTTTTTTTTTTATATATCTTTGCATCTAAACAATAATAAAACATGGTCAAGTTGTGTGTACTTTGTGCCAAGAAACGAGCAGTATTGAAAAGACCCAAGACGGGTCAACAAATTTGTCAAGAATGTTTCTTCTATGTCTTTGAAACCGAGATTCATCATACGATTCAAGATACCAGCCTTTTTCAACGAGGAGAACGAGTAGCTATCGGTGCCAGTGGTGGCAAAGGTAAAAAAAAACAAAAGTCTGACTCTGGGTAACCCCCTCCCCTTTTTTTTCCCTGACATCGTTAACAAATGAACTGTAGATTCAACTGTACTCGCACACATTATGAAGACCTTGAATGATCGTTACGATTACGGTCTTGATCTTTATTTACTGTCAGTGGATGAAGGCATTACAGGATACCGTGATGATTCTTTAGAGACGGTTAAGCGTAACCAACAACAATACGACCTCCCCTTAAAGATTGTATCGTATCATGATTTGTATGGCTGGAGCATGGATGAAATTGTTGCTGAAGTCGGTAGAAAAAATAATTGTACCTATTGTGGTGTGTTTAGACGTCAGGCCTTGGATCGTGGAGCTGTCATGTTGGGTGTAAACCATATCGTAACTGGTCACAATGCAGATGATATTGCCGAAACAATTTTGATGAACAGTAAGTATAAGTGTGAAAGAGATAGAGAAGGGTAGAATAGTTTTTTAATAAGGAATTTTTTTTTAAATAGTTTTCCGTGGTGATATTGCGAGATTAGGTAGATGTACAGAGATCGTGACTCAAGGTGAAAGTAACATTCGACGATCCAAGCCATTCAAGTACACCTATGAAAAGGAGATTGTCATGTACGCCTATTTCAAAAAGCTTGATTATTTCTCAACTGAGTGTATTTATTCACCTAATGCCTATCGAGGTCATGCACGTACATTTTTAAAGGATTTAGAAGCGATTAGACCTAGTGCGATTGTCGATATCATTCATTCGGGAGAGGCTTTTGAGATTAAGACAGGAACCAAGATGCCAACACAAAAGACCTGTGAGCGTTGTGGATACATGTCGTCGAATCTTTTATGTAAAGCATGTTGTTTATTGGAAGGCCTTCAACGTGGCTTACCGCAAATGGGTATCGGAAAGGCTTCTAAAGCTGTAAGTAGCATTTATATTTTGGAAAAGAGATATATATATATATATATTAATGCTTTGAAATAGCAACGTGAGGAAATTGCCAAGGCACCACCCGTTGCAGAAAATGTGCGAAAGGTACAACACTTTTCTGAAATTCAAAGAGACGAGGATCAACCTCAGCTGGTGCAACCTAAGGATCCCAAGGATGTTTATACTCCCCCGCCTCGTGTGCCTGGAGGTATTTTACACGATGCTAATTTGGATAAAAGAGATGTCACTTGGTAGTTTAGATGGATATACAATAAAATGCTTTTTTTTTGGGTCAGCATTAGCTCATCGATGAATACACTGGCCATATTTTTTTCTTTTGAAAAATGTACCAAGTGTTAGAGGACGAAGTATTAAAAAAGTATACTATATTGTTTAGTTTATAGTATGACATTGCTTTAAAAGGGGACGAGCAGTATAAAATAACTTTTTATTTTGGACCTACTATTTTGAAGAAAAAAAAAACTACAAATTAAGACTAGACCTTTCATTCACAAAGAGAATAAACATAAGTTTATAATTCGTAATACTAAGGTAACTAGTACCAACAATGATCATACTATGTTGCTATACACGTTCATGACAACCCCAACCGATAACAGAAGTATGTTTTACTTTGAACAGAAAAGATTGATACATATCACTGACTTTGTAACTTCAATTACGTAGTCTGGTGCGCAATTAATTAGATAGAATTATATCTGACAATGCAAAATATACCAATATCGTCTTTAAATTCAAAAAATAATAATATACATGATTTACAATCTCTCAATATGACAATGACCGCTAGGTTTAATAAAGATAAACTATTTTATCGCCACAAATTTCGTGGATCGTTTAAATAGTAGACAGTGATTGGTGGGAAGGGGAGGGGTGACAACGGGAAAATATCGTTTTGATTGTAACTTTTTTATTAAAAAGCAGCTTTATGCCAATAAACATGTAATTACTGTACTGTTTGTAGACCTGATTATCCCAAGTGAATGAGCCACACAAACAAAAACTATTAATTTGGACAACAAGTATTTATATAAATCGGTCATTTTTGGGACCTATATCACCAGCAATTCGACGTGACAAACGGTTTCATAAATAAGTAGCCTACTATCTAATACGTAATGATAGCAAATGATCTTTTTTTAATATCACTTGATAGATCCTGCTATAAAAAAAGGGGGCACATATTAAAAAAAAAAAAAACGAATTCAATGGAAATTATTCATGACGCTATGAGAAACACGGTGATTTATTAAAAAAACTTACTTGTACACAATCATCACGTATGGATCTTTTTCGAAATCTACTCATAAAATTTGTCGACCGCTATGTCCGGTATTTAGCATTGATGAGATTGATTACCACAAGGGGCAAGATTCCCCTTTATTTTAAAACTTGGGCTTATACTATTCCTTCCTAAAATAAACAACGATTTTAGTGTATCAACTTTTGGTGGTATATTAGAAAAGTTATTTAACAAGGGGGTGTTATTAAGAGAAGAAGAGAGGGGGGTTATAAATTAAAAGAAGGGTTTCTGTATAATGTCAATATCCTACATTTCATTTGTTCAAAAAATAAATACAAATATCCAACATTTATTTTATCATCAGGTTAGTATGCATTACTGGTGCATTTTCGTTTTATTTTTATTTTATTTTCTCATCAAGTGATAATGAGTGGTATATTTTTCTTTTTGTTATTAGTCATTAGTTGTCTTTGTTGTAATAATAGGTGTTCTCACACTGAATTTTATGCAGATAGAATATCCCAGGGTGGTACAACAACAATTGACTTGATCTGTACGAACTTTATCCCATCCAGATTGTATCACATTATATTAGGAAGTATTTACCCATCTTGATCCTAAGCTCCGCTCACTCACCTAGCGTTTGATCTTTCTAACATTATACCACTGTATAATATTCAAGACATGGCTGAACCCAGCCTTCATTCTTTACATGAATAGTTGACAAGGGAAACGTATGCCATAATAATCAAATATGTTCCGAAAAGCGAAAGATGCTATTTCTAGTAACTATGACACCCCCCACATGTACATCTTTTTAAAGAAAAAAAAAACAAAACAGAAAAAAAAAAAAAAATAGATCCCTGACGTGGGAAATACGGGGTAAAAAACATAAAAAAGTCCCGGAGGAAACGGACTTGATCAGTAACTTTTTCAGGGAAAGGAAGAAAAAAAAATATGTATAAATACTTGATATGCATCTCACATTTTATACCAGTGCAGCTTTATTCTTTTTTTGTCTCTATTGTGCATTACATCATAATGGAAAAGAAGACATCGGAAAAAAATCCTTCCATTGAACAATTTGAAGATATTCAAGCAACAGATAAACATGATCTGGAAGATTTGACTTTACAAAAGAAATTAACCCAAACACTTGTCAAGTAAGCTTTTGATTTTACGCCACTCTTTTCTGCCCCTTTTATATGTAAACTAAACATTTTTTTTTTCTTCGTTATAATAGAAAATTAGACAGAAGATTGTTACCTCTTCTTTGTATTTTATACCTCTTGAGTTACATTGATCGATCCAATATTGGTAATGCTAAATTAGGCGGTCTCATGGAAGACCTCAACTTGACTAGCCAACAGTATCAATGGGCTCTTTCCATCTTTTACTTTTCCTATGTCATTTTTGATTTACCCTCCAATATTATTATGAGACGCTGGCGTCCTTCCTACTGGCTTGCTATCTTGATGTTGTAAAGTAACTTCTTAAAATGATCTTGAACAAAAAAAAAAAAAAAAAAAAAAAAAGAGACTAAACATTTACTCTTAAAAAAAGTTTATGGGGTGTTGTAGCTACTGCTATGGCCGCTAGCAAGAATTTTGCTGGAATCGCTGTCTCTCGTTTCTTTTTAGGTGTATTTGAAGCCGGTTTTTTCCCAGGAGTCATCTACTTCTTATCAGTATGGTATACACGACAGGAGTATGGTCGTCGTATCAGTTTCTTTTGGTCGTTTAGTTCATTGGCCGGTAGTCTAGGCGGTATCATTGCATATGGCATCAGTCAGATTAGTAATGATACGTTACAAACATGGCAATGGTATTTATTTAAAAGTTATTTTATTTTATACATTATGTCTTACAGATTCTCTTTTTCCTCAGGCTTTTTATCATTGAAGGTGCTCCCTCTGTAATTTTAGCAGCTTTTTCGGCTTGGTATTTACCTAATAAACCGGAAACTGCTAAATTCCTCACAAACGAAGAACGTGAATTCGCAGTAAAAAGATTAGAAAATGGTATGTCAACTGCAAATCTTTAAAAACATTTCACACCTAAAACATTGTTATTAGATGCTGGTGCATCTAATGATCATTCCTGGTCTTGGGCACAAGTCACATCCGTATTCACCGATTGGAAAACCTATATTTACATGTTAATCTATATCACGGGTACAAGCGCACTTCAAGGTGTTACTTTGTTTTTACCTTCCATTATTGCCGGAATGGGCACCTGGTCTAAACCTGCCGCTCAAGCACTGACAACGCCTCCTTATTTCCTTGCCTTTCTTGTCACTGTCGCCATCGGTTGGAGTTCTGATAAATACTTTGAGCGTGCTTACCACATGGTAGCTATCAATACTGTAGGACTCGTCGGTTTTTTACTCCTCATGTTTTTACCCAGTACGAATGTAGCTGGTAATTACGTCTCGGCTTGTCTAGTCACAATTTCAGTGTACGCCAACGTTGCTGTCAAAGTGGCCTGGTTCAATAACAATTATGGCGGTCTTACACGTCGTGCTGTCGCTTCTGCCGCAATTGTGTCTGTAGGTACCATTGGTGGTGCTATTGGAGGGCAAATCTATTATGATCCACCCCATTACTTTGCAGGTAATGCAATTGCCTTTTCTTGTTTAGCAGCGCAAACACTTTTGGTGATCCTGATGCGATTATTATTGGCTCGTGAGAATAAGAGAAGAACTAGGTTAACGGAAGAACAACGTGAATTGGAAATTCATAAATATGGTGGAACCGAACTTGTAGGAGATCGTCATTATTCTTATGTCTATGTCTTGTAAAAATTTACGGCAATTATCTTGTAACATAATAAATGTATAAAACTATTTTCTTATAAAAAAAACACGTCATGTCTGATATATAATACAGAGGGAGAGAGTATGGGAATGGATTTTATTCAAACTTTTTGTGATTTAGATATCTCCAAGATCCAATTCATCGTATTTGGGACCTGGTGCATCCGTACGCAAAGATTGCTCCTTACGGTTTTGCAAGTGTAACAAAGTAGCACGGAAATGACGACGCACATAATCCGACACAGGTCCATCGTGTTCCACCAAGGAAGAGGAATTGGGCGTAGGAGGATGTTGGTCTGGGTTGTCCATATTACCAAGATTGGTATTAATCAAATCAATCAAACCATTCAAGTACTTGACAGTTACTGCTTCGTTTCCTTTTTCAAAGTAATAAATATATCGGTTCAAAATCTCGACAAATAATTCCACATTGGTGACAGGATCCATACAGCTATCTGCAATCTTGAGTGCCTTTTGAAGACATTCCAATGCTCTCTTACCGTCACGGAACAAGGACTTTTCGTTCTCAGGAAGGTCGGATTCGATCAATGCACGGTCGGTAGCCCACCATAAATGAGACGAGAGGTAAACACCACGACATTGATCAGGTTTCTTCAACAATTTGGAACTATGAAGTGCTGCCTTGGTGATCAACGTATCATAATTATCGATGGAGAACACACGTGTTTGTTGCAATGCACCAATAATACATGTAATGGCTTGATATTGTGCACGGGATTCGGAAATCGATTCTTCATAGATGGTGAAAGCCTCGACAAAGAACTCGTAAGCAATCTCTTCAAATCCACATTCATCGGCACTTTGACCTGCCAATAAGAACAAATGAAGACAGTTTTCGGCTACCTCGCACTTGTGATATAAAGTAGAAATTACTTGATGAATGAATCTGAAAAGTGCTGATGTCTTCTTTTCCCAAATCTCATCTTGTTCTTCTTGCATCTTGTATCTTCTAGCAAGCTTGACAGCAGACACGATCAATGGAGGGAATGTATATCGAA